TCCTGTCCTTGCTTATCTAGTTCTTGTTGTCGGAATCTCCAACTTTCGCTTTTTAGAATATAGTAGAGTTTATATAGGTCTTCCTTGCAATTCTACTAGACTCTCGTAAAGTAGTTTACATACTTCTAAGGGTATTCGACGCTAGGTCGTAGGAATGCTATTCTATCGTTATTAGTTTTCTATTCTCCGGGTTCTCCCCGTACTTCCTAATATGAGAGTTCTTGTTCCTTATAGGCTTTGCGGATTCGCAGTTCTTCTTTTCTTTTAGGGTATAGTTCGTTTTCTACTTTCTTTAAGAGATAGTAGGCGCAGTGATCGAAGATATAGTAGATCTATGCTATCTCCTTGTATTCTCTATGCTATGTCGTAATCCTAGGATCGTCTTCTAAGAATATTTCTTTATCCCGGGTTTATATGATTATTATAGGGATTTTGTTATGATATTCTTCTATATGGAAGGCGATCTGTTAGCAGTCGTCTTAGGGGTCGATATATTTATATTCTAGTACTTCCTTAATTTTTTCTATTCTGTCGAGATAGTGTTCTTCTTCTGCGTCTTCTAGGTCGGTATCGTCTATCGACGTTCCTTGTGGACGTACTTCCGCCGAGGGTAGTCTGTCTACGACGTCTTTAGCCTATTCCGAGATAGGTTAAGGAGTAGCGCGGGTTCTTTATAGCAATTCAAAGGTCGAGTCGCTAGCTACCATGGTATATAGTAAGCTCCATCGTTAGCTTAGGTTGTCCTTTGCTTAGTATACTCGGGTCTAGGTGCTAGCGTCCCTAAATTATTATTATCTTAGCATTTTATCTAATTGCTTAGTAGCTTTACAAGCGTATTTGCTAGCTACCGCGAGGGTTTATTCCGTCTTTCTATCGTTTTAAGGTCGGTAGATAAATTAGGTTGCTTTATACTTAAGTTAATACTATCCTCGGGTGTTTTCGCGTAGTACGATATAGCGGTCTCGGGTTTTCCGTATATATTAGAAGGTGTCTCTAACTTTGCTGTTATTTCGAATTTGCATCGTATAGTTGATAGCGTCTTATATCTATTTAATAGCTATCTCGTTTTCTTTTTCGAGTTTCCTAGCTTCTTCTTCTAAGAAACTTTCCGGGGTATTTACTTTATTCGTCTGTCGATAGTTAGCGAGGCGTAGGATGTCCTATAAGAGTCCCGGTTGGTATATAATGCTACCATCTTGGAAGGCGTTATTAAGTTCTGTAGCCTTCTTCGCTTGTTCCCAGTCGTCGAGTAGCTCTTGTAGCTACTTAGTATAATCCGGTCTACCGGTATATCGGTCTATTATAGCAATAGCCTTGGGTATGTTAGTAGTATCGTATCCTAATCGTCCTTATAAGGTTTTAGGGGTACTATCTACTATTCTCTTTTGCATACCTATGCGTAGTATAATTATTATTATAGCAGGCTATCTATCCCTTTTCTTCGTAGCTAGGGATTTTAGTTATAGCGTTAGCTTGCTTAGGGGTTACCGTAAGTTTCTTAGGCTATATATAGTGTCTAGCTATATATCCTAGCTTGTCGTAGTTATAGCATTTGAATTCTCTACGTCTAGGTTTGTCTTTTTGCGCGACGCTTAGGTCTATAGGTCTACTATATTGTCTATATACGGTGCTCTGCTAATTGTTATTCTTATTATTCTAGTTTTTATATTAAACTTATATTAAGGTTATTATTAGTATTTCTTTCCTAAGTTAGCTATTAACGTTTTTCTCCTTTTTCCTTACGTCGTTTAAATAGTCGGTTGTCAATCTTAATAGCGTATTCGACATAATCAAGGAAGCTAGGTAGCGTGTCCACTTTAGCTATTTCGTCCTTAACGTCGTCCTTGAGACCTTAGTAGAAAGCAAAGACTTTGCTTTCGTCGGTCATGTCGAGTCTAGCTGCAAGTCGTCGAAATTCTATAGTATATATTATAGCTGATTTGTTTTATCGTAGGCTTGCTAGTTCTCTTTCTGCTTGTCTTTTCTTATCGGGGTCTAAGAAGAGAGATTGAAGGGCTTTAACATATCCACTAAAGCTGAAAAAGATATCCTTCACTTCTTGACTATATCTCTCGATAGGGGTATCTAGCTATTCTTATTAAAAGGGTTCGAACTAAGCGAGGGCCTTCCCTCTTAAGAAGGTAGCGGCGTAGACGATACGTTCGGTATCGTTCTAGAACGTGTTGATATAGAAGGCTTAGTAGGTCCGTATCTATACTAAGTATCCTTTAAGCTGTCTAGGGGTTCCGTCGAAGGTAGTAGGGGTATTAAGCTTAAGGCGTTCTCTTCCTTCGACAGGAGATGATATGACGTTCGCGGCAGCTCGAAGTGTTGTGACTTCCTTCTCTAGTTCTTTAGTACGGCAGGCTTATTCCTATAGCTCCTTGAGGGCTTTGACGTTCTAGTTAAATAGGTTTTTCATTTCCCTAAGCTTGTTATTATTCCGCTTAAGTTGCTACTTAAGTTCTTCATTATCGTTATCGCTATCGGATTCCTCCTTTATTTCCTAGTCTTAAATCTCTTAGGCTAGATTCTAGGGAATATGTCTCTCGGACGTAGACGAGGTTCTAGGAGTAGGGTTTTCGGTAGTTCCGTACGAAGACATCTTGTCTTATACTATTCGTTAGTCTTAAAAAGTAACTTACTAAATAAAAGTAATTAAAGTATTACGGCTAGCTATCTAATAATAGGTTTTGCTAATAGAAGTATAGTAAGAGACTAATACTAGTTCGTAAGGTCGTTCTAGTAGATCGTAAGGTTAGGGTAAGGTAATCAGTCTTACACTATAGTAACAAGGTTCTTAGTATTTATAATACTAAGAAGTAAGCTAAAAGTTATTCGAGGATAAATTATAAGTTGATTGCTAAAGAACTATCTAGAAGGCTTAAGCAGGTGCTTAAGTCCTAGTCTATATATAAGTCCCGTTTCCTAAGGCTAACGTCTCTATCGTCGCTTGCTAATATCTTAATTATCGGTAGCCGATATGCTAAGAGTCGTATCTCTTATTCCTTTCTTATTATTACGTGACTTAAATATAGTTCTTCCTTTTCCGGCAGGGCGACCCTTGTCCCTTCCGTCGCCTGTATATATCTTGTCTCTAGCCGCTGTCCTCGAGTAGGGCTAGTTTCTCTGTTAGGCATACTTAACGGGTCGTAACACCTACTTGGTGAGGCTTACGAAAATACTCTCAATATGCTGTACCCAAGAAAGGAGGCCCATAACGTCGGCATACAAGGCCATGCAGGGAAGGAGAAAACGCAAAATAAATACAGCCTAATTCTACTATTGTCTATTATAAGGTTAATTCTTAGTAAGTCTAACAGTTGCTAATCTAGATTAGGTTTTACGACTTAATTTCTCTGGAAATAGCGGGGATTTAATCAAAGCGAGGTAAAATATTTAACTTTATAGAACCAGGCTACTTTATTAGGGTTAGTGCTAATTAGCTTAAGAAAAGGTTAGTATAAGCTTACATAAACATTCTCTGCTAAAGACCGGGCTTATTTTCCAGAAATGTGTTATTATAGAAACTCATACCTTTCATAAAGTTTAACGACTTTATTAGGGTTAGTGCTAGCTTAAGGATATGGTTAGTATTACCTTACTTGATTATTTTCTGCTAAGGAACGGGCTTATTTTCCAGAAATGTGTTATTTTAGAAACTCATACCCTTCATTAAGTTTAACCGATCTGGAAGTCTTTACAGAAGGAGAGAGCCCAACTGTAATGATATGACCATTCTTACACTTTCTCCGTATCCATAATATGAAGACGACAAAGAGTCAGGGGCTTGAGATCACGTATGTAGTAAAACCTTGCTCACCCTGAATCGGTCTTAGTAAAGCCTGCCTGCCGCGCTCCCGAATATAGTACGGAACCAGCGGAAAAATGGTTTTGAATAATAATAATAATAATGTCAACAATGAACGATATCAGAAACCTTTATAAAAGCCGTGTTCCGGTGGTGAAAGGGTCGTTTCATTTTGTGTATTATTTCTCGTGACACAACTACCTACTGCGATACCTCCCTCGTTCAAGATCTGTCTATTATTTGCAAACAAACCAAAAATAGGAAAAGTATTTCTTTTTCTTCTTTCTCTTTTCTTTTGACATATAGTTTGCAATAGCTAACCCTAGTTAACCAGTGAGACTATCGATTTTCATCCTAGCAGCCACTGCTTCTGCCGCTCTGGCAAAAAATTGCGAAGTCGACTCCAGGGACTGTTTCGGCCAGGTACCATTCGACCAGTTCGTTAAAGACGCCATCCCAGTGTGTGCGAGCCTATCTGGCTATTATAATGGAATATTTGGGGGTGTTCTACAGTGCAGAGGCGTACCCGAATGGGTCCCAAACTCATCTTCGATTATAGTAGCTGGCAAAGAGTGCGGATATACATGTTCGAAATAGAATGTAAACATTATTTAAACGAAGCGTCTTTTCTTCTAGGCGATTTCATCATTTACACCATAGAAGGAAAATCTGATCAAGCTTTTAAAAAGAAGAAAAAAAAAAAAGAGTTATACTCCTGTTGCGTGGAAGTCCTCGCCAGTATACCCCTAAACCCGTGGCAAACCAGAACCTCAACTATTCAAAAATAGTCTCGGTTCTCTTACTAACACCATTGCGGATATCTTTAGAGCAATTACTCAGTGTCCAGTAATGACCCTACTTGCCAACCACTATTATCTTCTTCGTAACGTGCACGTCACTCTCGGTCAAGTGATCCAGGCAACTCCACGTGGCTTCATGATAGATGGTGTCTAGACTTCCTCCCTATAGCGACCGCGTCGCTGACATAATCCTGCATACCTCAGCTTACAGGTCTCTGTAAACTTTCAGGCTCATCCTCCGCACCAAGGATGGTTCTCACTCTGGTTCACACAGGTTGCGTGGCTTTATGGCGGGAGATGATCTGCGGACAGTTGAACTAAGAAACAGCAAGAAAATAAGAAACATAAAAGCCAAGTCCTCTATATATCTCCTTGGGCTACTTCTCTTCTTACAGGTGCTTCTTCTCTACAAGAACCCCGTTATCCACGACATAACTGCTAAACTTTCTGGGTGGAACTCCCTGTGAGTAAAGGAAATCAATGTCCTGATATGTTCGGTTCTTGGTCTCCGGTTGGAACCAGAACAGCAGGCCAAGAATAAAGACCTCCGCGCCAACGAACAAGAACATAACCTTGCCGCCCCAGTTCAGCTGATCCGGGTTGATGAAGAACGGAAAGACTGAAGACAACATGAGAGCCGTGAGCTGTTGGCACACCAAAGTAAAGGCAATTGTCTTGGGTCTCGTCGCTTGAGAGGCGGTCTCTTGAGCAACAGCCCAGCCAAAACATCCGACCGTCGCAGTGTAGAGCATCGACCAGGTGATCATGAAGGCAAGGAGGGCCATGTTCGCCGCTTGATTGCTGGTTCCGGCGAGGGAAGTTCCGCCAATGATGAGGGACCAACAGCAGAGCAGTGTGCCGCCGCCGACAAGAGACTTCCGACGAGGCAAGACGTCCGAGACGGTAACGGCGACGCAGTTGGAGAGGAATTGCAGGGTGGAAGAGATGGCGGTGAGTCCGAACGGATCGGACTGGCCAATTAGTTCAAAGTAGTATGTCTGGTACGTGTCTTGAAAAACAGTGTTAGGAATTGCATTTTTCAGGAGGAAGAGCCTCGACGGAATACTCACTTGCAAAGTAGCCACCAGAAAAGTTCTGCGACTGAAGGCCTAGAACAGCAACGAGGGTTCTGTAGCGGTTCTCCTTTGTGAAAATAGCTGCCCAGCTTGTCTGCTTAGCCATGCTTGCTTCTCCTGCTTCCGTCTCAAGTTCTGACTTGATGAAGTTCAACCTCTCTTCGACGTCGACGTGTTTGCCGTACAACTTGAAAATGGCTTTGCGAGCATCGTCATCTCTGCCCTTCTTGACATACCACACAGGGGATTCAGGCAGGAATGGAAGACCAATTGAGAAAAGGGTCGGCACAAGAAATGTCATTACAAACGCCAACCGGTAACTCCACGGCCCAGCAATCTTGGATGAGCCCCATCCGGTGATTGAGGAGAGGAAGAATCCGAGAACGATAACGACGTTTGTCAAGGAGCTGAGGGAGCTTCTGAGGGCGGCGGGCGCGTTCTCGGTGACGTAGAGTGGAGGAGTGGCTGTCGACAGACCGACTGAAAGTCCCAGGAGAAGCTTAGAGACGAAAAGAACGGGCAGGCTTGGGGCAAATACAAGAGCGAACGATGCCGCCCATGACAGAACGACGGCGGTCCACAGCACGTATTTTCGGCCGACGTAATCCGCGAATTGGCCTGTGAGGAAGGCTCCCAAAACCTGTCCAATGGTGCTGGCAGCGTTCCACAAAGATTGCCAAAGGGCAGGGATGACGAACTGGTCTCCCGCTTTGTAGTACTCGCCATAGACTTTCCGAAACTCGGGAAATGCAATGGCTACACCCGAGAGGCCGGAATCATACCCCCATCCGAAGACAAGGGACATGACGTAAAGAGCCCAGAAAACATATCGCTTGTCTTTCTTGAGGTTTGCCCAAAGGCGCTGATATTGTTGCTTAGGCGTGAGATCTTGGTAGTCGACCGAGACTTTGATGGCTTCGTCTACGTCGGCGGATTGCTCAATGTGGTTTGCCGATGGGGATTTGGCGATGGCCAGCTCGTTTGGTTTGGGGTCCATGATTCGCAAGGTATTTAGAAACAAAGGACAGTTGAGTTGCTCTATTCAAGATGCTTTGGAATCAAGTATGACTTTCGTTTGGATACTGTGAGGGAGGATACCCAAGGATTTATACGACGGCAATGCTGAGGCACTGCTACACGACTAACTCGTCGCCAGCATATGTCTGAGGTTTGCGGCGACCTGTGCACACCATATGGCGCCAGTCCCCACGGGGAACATGGCCAGGAGGGAGAATTCGTGGGGAGACATTTTAGCTTCACCAACCAGTCGGTAAAATTTTCGAGCGATTTGACCTGTTTACCGGAATGGAACGGTACTAGGAGTTGGCAGGTTTGATTTCCATTACGATGATTTCGGGTGAACTGGCTGAATTTCGATTGGCTGGGGCGTCTCAGGATGGATTTCGATGGGTGAATTATGATTGGCTGTTGTCGGTCTTGTTTGTTCACCATCGGGTAGCATCCACGGATGTCTCGCGAACTAACAAGAGTCTAACCGTAGACAGCTTAGAGATGCTTTCTACACAAAATATTGTTATTTTTCAAGTGAGTGAGCTATTGGAGAAAAGATTGCGCGAGTATAACATAATTGCTAGTTGCTTAACAATGAGTTGCTTGTTCATATTTCGTGTAAGGGAAAATCCAATAAACAACTCCCGTTCTTAATGTCACTGTCAATGGATAGTCTCAAATAATACATTCGTGATAAAGCTATGTCTTCAGTCTACAATTCTCTAACTGACCAGAGAGATATGCAAGCTAGATGGACCGAAAAAACTTCCGCACTGCTCCGAACAACCAGTAGATTCCCCAGACAAGTAATCCTTCAAAGCCCCGCCACCGAGACCCGGAGCTAGCTAGTGACATGCACCCACTCTGGGTGGCGGGCATCCGCGTTGACCTGCATTCCCAGCCCGAATATTTCAGCGACATGCCGGCTTACGCCCGGAAGTGGTTTAGTGGCTAAGAATTATCGCGGAAGTTCTAACGTCTAGTTACCAGAACATTTTCACATGGACGACATGCGATGTGCTGAATTGATGGTTCGTGGTTTACTTTTGCTGACGTATCGTCAACATTGTCATTGACCTATGTAAAGCTGGCCCACAAAGAATTGGAACACAATGGTTCATTTGTTTAGAGCCTGCTAGTAGCCATTAAACAAACTCATGAAAACAATACAAGCGAAAAACAACCGGCAAATGGGCATAGTATATCCAGCGAACAACAAGTAAAAGAAAGGCCATGAAAGCCAAGAATATGAGGGCATACGCTGGAGAAAATGGCAGATGGACCATCAACTCCACAGCACTGTTTCAAAGATCGCAAACTCCTGTGAGAGTGGTGAAGAACGACCCCGTGATCTGCAGCATCGTTGGCCCCATTCCAAGACAACTTTTTAGAGCGCCACCAAGCCCCATGGCGCATAAGGGCAAATCATAATTCACCCATCCAAGTTCACCCCAGCTTCTTGTCCCTAGACGGCCGCCCCTCTCGGCCAACGGCGGATTTGGTGTCGTAAACCATGAGCCACCACGTCACACCACATTCGTCGACCAGCATTCGAACATAAGAGGGCACGATGACTTACACCAACATCCAAAAGTCACGTCCAACGACCCCAAACTCTAAAACCCTCTTCTGTTGTGACCCCGATAGCCATGGCATCAACGCTCAGCAACCCTCCTGATAGACAATGGTGGAAGGAAGCCGTGGTTTACCAAATCTATCCCGCCAGCTTCCTCGACTCGGACGGCGACGGGCTAGGCGACCTCCCCGGCATAATCTCAAAACTGGACTACATTAAATCAGTCGGAGCCGACACGATCTGGCTCTCACCCATCTTCAAGAGCCCTCAGAATGACATGGGTTACGACATCTCCGACTACAGGGACATCCACCGGCCGTACGGCAACATCGCCGACGCCGAGGCCCTGATCCAGGGCTGCCATGATAGGGGCATCAAGGTGCTCCTCGACCTGGTAGTAAACCACACCAGCGACGAGCACGAATGGTTCCGGGAGTCCCGGTCGTCGCGGACCTCTCCCAAACGCGACTGGTACTTCTGGCGAGACCCGAAAATCGGCGCCGACGGCGTGCGCAGGCCACCCAATAACTGGTCTTCCCTGTTTGGAGGCAGCGCCTGGACGTGGGATGAGCAGACAGGACAGTACTACCTCTCGCTTTTCCTCCCGTCGCAGCCGGATCTGAACTGGTCCAACGACGAAATGCGCCGCGCGACGTACGCCGACATGGAGTTCTGGCTAGATAGGGGCGCCGACGGGTTCCGCATCGACTCCATGAACCTCATGTCCAAGCACCCTGACCTGCCGGACGCCCCCGTCACGCTGCCAGACCAGGAATTTCAGCCTGGCGCGATGTACTTTGCCAGTGGCCCGCGGATGCACGAGTACATCCGGGAGATGCGGGAGAAGGTGTTTGACAAGTACAACTGCATGACGGTTGGCGAGCTGGGGTTCACGAAAGATGAGGCCAGCGTCGCGAGCTACGTCGCCAAAGACAGGCACGAGCTAAACATGGTCTTCACGGGCGACATCGTGGATATGGACTTTGGCGCCCATGGCAAGTATGAGCGCGATGGTTTCCGTCTGTCGAAGCTCAAGACCATAACCAGTCTGTGGCAAAAGGCGATGCTGAAGTGCGACGGCTGGAACGCCGTGTACATGGATAATCACGACTCGGGCCGCTCCCTCTCGCGCTACGCGTCGGATTTGCCGCAATACAGGAAGAGCGCGGCCAAGATGCTGGCGATATACCTCGGCACGCTCAGTGGCACATTGTATCTTTTACAGGGACAGGAGATTGGCATGGCCAATGCCCCTGAATCGTGGACAATTGACGATTACATTGATGTTGAGGGGAGGAATTACTATAACAGCGTGCGTGCGAGAAGGGGCCCCGATGCTGATATGAGCGACGTGATGGTAGAAATGAGGAAGAAGGCAAGGGACAACGGGAGGTTACCGATGCAATGGAATGCAGAGAAGCACGGCGGTTTCACCACAGGATCGAAGCCGTGGATGCGCATGAACGATGACTTTGGGGATTGGAATGTTGATCAGCAAGAGAAAGACAGCGACAGCGTACTGGCGTTCTGGAGGCAGATGTTGAATCTGCGGAGGCGAGAGAAAGGTGTATTTGTGTACGGTAACTTCTCTTCGGTGGAGAACTATGATGATAGCGAGGAAGTATTTGTATATACTATGACAAGTCATGACGGGAAGACGGCTCTTGTTCTGCTAAACTTCTCAGATAAGGAACAACATTTGGGGCTGGAAGGATATGCCGGGTGGAAGAGGTTGCTGGGCGGTGGCATTGAAAGCATCGGTGCTGGCGGGGTTCGTCTTGCACCTTACGAAGGTGCTGTGTATTCTAGTTGGTAGAAATCTGTTGTGTTTTCGCAACACATGAAACCGTGGTTACCTGTAAAAAGCAGGAATGCTCCCTTCACTCATGCATTACAATAGCTGAATATGCTTTGTAGGTATGGCGTTAATGTCAGAGGGCATTATAAAGGGAAGAATTCCAGCCTTATAAAGTTCGGTATCCTTTATCGCTGAGTCGCTTTCTTCTACTTAAGTATAACCTGTAATAAACAGGTTGCTCGGATTGGTAGAGACCAAGGCGATTCCGAAGTAGCCCGTAAACTTGTAATTGCACACGCACTACGGCTAACATAACAAGGCCAAACTATCATCATTATTCATCAATCATTCTTAAGCTAATTAATTAGAGTTTCAATACGCTTAGCAAGCCGAACATAGCGTATGGAGCATCTCGTTACCAGAAACATGCATGACCGCCCACCTTATTTCCAGCCGACTATTTGTAAGTAGTAAGAGCACTGGTGCATTAGACTCAACAGAACATTTGTCCGAATAGCGAATGGGAAGGCCGAGGTGCACTGTACACCATAAGTTCGCATACCCAAGTATGACAAGGGTCCGTAACGGGGTACATTGCAATCCGGGTGGGGGAAAAACGTAAATCTTGTAATTGGTTGGCATACTAGCGCCACCACCAACAGCTTTCCGCCGCCTACAGCCCCCTTATGGTTATTTCCATGCATCAAAAATGATACTGAAAAGGTAGGTTGACACTTTCAGAGGTTCCCGGAAAACCTTTGGCCGAAGCTTCGCTGGTGTCGCGAGGTTGCCTGCTAGGATTCCCGACATCCGCCAACGCCCGACTTCTCGGCCAACCCTTGCAGGCGGGGTGTCTTTCTCGTCCTTAAACGAGAAATAGACGAAAATGGGGAAGTGGAGGGTGAGAAGGATTGAGACGGAAATTTTGTGCGGTCTACGAACCCATTCGAGCACTTCATTCCTGGGATGGAAAACCCTCAAAGTATCTTGAATAGTTTTTTTTTTTCTTTTTTTCTTAAATACAAATGACTATTTCAGATCCCAAATTCTCTTCTCTTGACCGGTCATACCAGGATGGTGCCCATATTTTGCTTTTTCATGTTTCTGACCTGTGTCAGTACATGGAAAAATGCCTCCAGAAAGGGTTATATAGGTCGTCTATCTTTGCAGCGAGACTCCTTTCAAGTCGCAACCAGCCGACCTTCTCATCTCTCCCAATCTCGCAATCTCCTCTTGAGGCCACTGAAGCCAGTCGTGGTATCGCTTCTCTAACAACCCCCTGATGCCGCATAGAATACGTCCAGCCCAGCCGCTCATATACCATAGGAATTCGAGCTTTTTCACCAGCACAGCATAGTGTGCCAGGATGAGGAGAGCAAGGGGGCACCCGTCCTTCAGGCAGCCAATGAAATCCTCAGTGAGGTTGTCCATCCACTCGTGGATCAAGGGCTCGTCGCTGATCTCATCATCCTTTGGCATGTCTGTTCGCCCGTAGATGTTCATGAAGCATATCGATAGTGCCTCAACAACATCCAGGTACATGTCCATCTGCGGATTCGCGGTGAGAGAAATGAGATCTGATATGTTTCCCAGTGCTCGCTCCCAGTGTGGTAGGTCCTGTCTCCTCTCTATCATGGGGTGGATGTGTGGAGGCTTCTGGGATATCCGGGGGCCCAGAACGCCGGCGAAGATGTTGGCTAGTCCCATTGTATTGGTGACGATACGTACACCTTGGATCAAGCACCACCAAGACAGCCCGTCCTTATCCGGCACGAGAAGCAGGTGACCTGGGCCTGGCTCCTTGGCGACGCATATGAAACAGAGCAGTATGGAGGAAATGAATAAGGCATCGCAATTCGACTGGTTCAACTCGGCCATGAGCGATAATACTTGTTGTAGCCCGGTGTCTAGATGATGCGCTGCCAGGTCTTGGAACCGATCTCGCTCATGTGCCCGAAGCCTCGCTAGGTGTAAGGCAGAAAGCGCGAGCAATAAATGGCGTACGGCGGTGTAGCGGAACGCTAGAATGGGCACTTTTTGCTCCCATACAACGTCGCCTAGGGTTTTGGAAGTGTTGATCATGTAGTGATGTAGTACTTCAAAGTCATCCGTGTTGTTTTGGCCATTTGGTGCCTTGTCGACCCCGCCCAGTCCTAAGCCCGTGGCTGAGAGAACGACTTGCCTTGGAAGCGCTTCGGCCGACAAAGTAAGATTGTTCCAATTCTTTCGGGGCCGACCTCTTTTTTTGCCGTTCTGGCGCGACGGCTGCTCATCCCTCTGATTTGGTACGGCAGCAACCCAGTGAGGACAGAAGCTGCACCGTATCAGGAATTTTGCGCAATTCCCGCACGTAGGGCTGACTTCATCACACTATGATAATGTGATCAACTGGTGAGCCATGCAGCTGTCGTAAATGCAGAACCTACCTTGACCCTTCGCTGCTTGCAGTTGATGCAACCTAGTCGGGATTTGGTGTGGGTCTTTTTCTTGCCTTTTCTCCGTAGACCGTTCGTCTTAATAATTGCCTCACTGCCCGAAGACAGATTGATGCTGAGACGATTATCGTGGTTGACATGTTGCTGGTCGATCCCAGCTTCAGTCACCGCAGGAAGAATTGTGGGCATAGATCGAGTGAGTTTTGAACCTGTCTCAATGACCATGGTTGCCGTTCACAGAACTCGGGTGAATAGGGACAGATCTGAGAACAATGTTCATTAAATGATAAGAGGGGATGCACAATTTGAAAAGAGTTTCAGTTGCTGACAACAATTCTTGAAATACCATGCATTAGGAGGGATTTGGCAAAGAAACAGTCGAGAAAACATAGGTTCAAAAGGCGGGGATGGAACCACCACCATTCGGGGTCAGACTGGGGGGTGACACTATTTCATGCCGTGGGGAACCCCAACCAGCCCGTTAGCTCCATTGTAGAAGGGGGCTGATGTGGGGATCGGGTGGACATGTCACGCAACCCGAGGCTTCGGAACCGAGGGTAATTGGAGCGCCATCAACGATTAGCAGGGCAGACGTGGCAGACATCAACTGCATCCGATATCGATACAACCATCACGACTGGCGAAGGTCAATGGCAGTAGGGCTATGATTCACATTTTACATGGATACACAGATGATCAACTATACAATGTGGTATGGGTTGTTCGTGTTTCTCAAGTGACATCTCCACACGCGATCAAGATAAACCCATAAACACACACTGTTAGTATACACTGGTTAAGTGCATCAAGACCTCACCGCGAGTTTAAAGTCGGATGTGGACTGCGTTGTTCTAATCTTCGTTGGCGCAAGTAACAAGAAGCGTCGTTTTCATCACTTGTTCCCACCCAAGCGTCTTCATCAAAGCAACTGCTGAGTGGGCAAAGTAGAGTACGATTGATTTCAAAGATCAAAGAAAGATATTGTAGCCCAGACCCCAGTACCTTTACGACGAAAACTAAAGGCACTTCTGTCCACAGGTGAATGAACCAGAGCCTTAGCCTAGGCCGTATATGATTCCGACTCAACTTGAACCTCTTGAGTTGCAACTAGCTCTCCTGCGGACTTGCCCACGCTGAATATATACGTCCCTGTCTCAACAGCCCAGTTGTTTGCACGCTCATCCCAGAAAGCAAAATCCCGCTTCCTGACCACCAGTTTCACGTCCCGGGATGCCCCAGGCTCTAAAGCGACTTTCTCGAAAGCTGCCAAGATCTTGACTGGGTGTTCAGAAGAAGCCACCTTTCTACCCACGTACACTTGCACCGCTATGGCTCCCTTGCGGTCCCCAGAATTACAGACCGTTGCCTTGACTTGATATGTACCGCCAGAGGTTTCGTGGACTGAGAGATTTTCTATACCGAATGTTGTGTAAGAAAGTCCGAAGCCAAAGGGAAAGTTGAGTTGGTCCGCTGGCACTCGGTCGAAATGTCTATAGCCAACGAAGACGCCTTCCCTGTATTCCACCTGAGGAGCGCCATAGTTGTTGAAACCACCTGGGAAGTTACCATAGGCTGGGCAGTCTTGGAGTCTCTTAGGAAACGAGCAGGTCAGATGGCCTTCGGGACTGAGTGCGCCCGTGAGAACGTCGGCGATCGAATGGCCAGCTTCCTGGCCAGGGAACCACGCCTGTAGCAGCCCTTGCACCTGATCAAGCCAGGGAAGTGCTACAGCGACACCTGTACTGTTGACGACGATCGTGTTCGGATTGACTGCGGCAACCGCGCTGACCAACTTGTCTTGGCTACCATCTCTAGGAAGATTGAATCCGGCTTGGTCCTGGCCCTCGGTTTCCCAGGTAGGATCGTGGCCGGTAAAAACAATGGCGTAGTCGACTGTCTTGGCCAACTCAACCGCCTCTGTCAAGATATCGCGGTCATGCTCTAGTGCAGATATGTGTCCCAAGCGGACACCAACATGAGCGGCAAGGAAGCCCAGGTTTTGGTCCTCGGCTACAGCAGGAGACTTGCTGATGATTTTAATCTGATACTCTCTGTCCTTTTCCATTTCCAACTCAATAGTCGGAATCGGAACGCCGCCAAATAGGAAGCCCATGGCATCTGAGCAGTTTTCCTTCTGTTCGAAAATTGTTACATCGTTCACGAGGAGCTGTGAGGGCCCGAGTCCGGATAATTTGAAGTAGTATCTTGATGTCACCTCGGGATGGTAAGTTCCCTCAAGAGTTATGTCTCTGTGCTCAATGTTTTGGCCTCTTAAGAGAGAAACTTCCGAATCCGTATGGCCGTGAGTGACTTTCTCCGGTATCGAGCGACCTTTTTCAAAGACGCTGAAGGTGAATCCTGGATTCCCCTGGAGATCTTTGACACGTTCTGAGATGAGTGGAAATTGACGCGCCGTATGAGCACCTGTTCGGTGTTAATACCAAAAACACACAGCGCTATGAAATCAGGTGATTGGGCAGGTTTGGGGGTTGAAGGGTAACAACTACCTTTTGAAAATGCGAACGCGACACCGTCGTCCTTAAAAGCCTCTTTAAGAGCATCCCAGGGTGTGACTCGGTAATGGGGGTTCACGGATGCGCTACCACCCCCGTGCGCGAGACAATCCTTGGCGTAACTATCCAAACATGCCAATTTTCTTCCCGTGAACCTTTTCTTTCGTCAGTGGAAGGATGTTGTCTTGGTTCTTCAGCAGCACGATTCCCTTGCTTCCTGCCTCTCGGATCAAACTTCGATGCTCCGGCTTGTCGATAGAGTGTTCCTCTGGCTCTTCCCAAGTCGGGTTTTCGAAGCCTTGTAGCTGCTCAACAAAACGCAACACCTGGCGAGACCTATCGTTGATGGTATCCTTTTTGAGTTTTCCGGCTTCCAGGGCAGCCATGACGTCCTCCAACTTGCGCCATCGACTGGGACCGGGCATCTCCAAATCCACACCTGCGTTGAGTGATTCGGCCGTGGAGTTTGTACCTCCCCAGTCGCTCATCACTAGACCGTTCCATCCCCATTCACGCCGTAAGACGGTCTGCAATAGGAACTCGTTTGAGTCCGCATGATCCCCGTTGATCTTGTTATAAGCTGTCATGAGAGCCCATGGATTGGCCTCTTTGATGGCAATTTCAAAGGGCTTGAGGTAGATTTCGCGCAGGGCCCGTCCGCTGACTTTTGCATCAACCGTCAGGCGCCTTGTCTCTTGCTCGTTCACAGCAAAGTGCTTAATTGTGGCGGAGACGCCCTCTGACTGCAGGCCAGATATGTATGCCGACGCCATCTTGCCGGTCAAGAACGGGTCCTCCGAGAAGCTCTCAAAATTGCGCCCTCCGAGTGGATGCCGATGAATACACACAGTCGGGCCTAGTAAGCACCGGGCGCCCTTCGTCAGCGATTCCTCGCCTAGGGCTGACCCAATTCTTCGTGATATTTCGACGTCAAACGTTGAAGCAACACTGCAGGCAGCAGGGAAGCACGCCGACGTGGCTCCATCCTCAATGTTCACCCCGCGAGCTCCATTTGGCCCATCCGAAAGCTGGGTCAGCGATCATGTTAGTTTGGCGACTAATCGTTGTGAGAGATGGAGTGTGCATGTTGATGATGACTACCTTGACGCTCGGAACTCCCTTCTCAGGAATCCGTTTGGTGGTCCACGCTGTTCCACCGGCTAAAAGTGAGACCTTATGGGTGTGTTATCAGCATAGTCACTCTATCAAGTGAGCGAGCAATCAAACCTTCTCTTCTACAGTAAGGCATGCAAGGATGTCGTCGACACGATTGGATGTCATTTCGAATGACGTCGTAGCTGGCCGGTAGATTAGAGGCTGGAGGAAGATGAGGGAGACCAAGGGGGTTGACGTTGGCACAATGACTCTGATGAAGAGATCTGCTTTCCACCTCGAGCCTGGAAAGAACGCTAGACTTTATCACAAAAGCACTCTGCCACGGAACGAAAGGTGGGCTGTCGATATAGTGGTGGTAAAGTAGGAAGTCTTGAAGAGATCCCTGTGTGGACACTTGGGCCGGTCTCTTTCGGAATACAATCTACCGACTAACTAGGCTGGGCACTTGCAGCAGTAGTGGAGGGTCGTTGTTAGGATGAAGAGAACGGCCCACATGAAGCAGTCTTGTGGACGTGCATTGGTTTCACGTAGCACATATCGATGCATGATGGAACGGCAGACAGAAAAGCTAATTGAGCGGACGTTGTCTAGCCTTGACTTCTAGCATTGAATATCACTTGAGAGAGCCTGGTCCAACTCCATATTGAATCTGTAGCTTAGGGCGATGTAGGTACTACAAGACCATCCCCGAATCGACAAATAGCAGCGTCACTTACTTTGATCGCACGTAAGGGCCAAGTTGTCGAGTGGACATGGGCCTCCGATCCGGCCAGCTCCTGGTGCCGGTATGGAGCACGGTAATGGATTTAATTCCCCGTTACTTTGAATGCAGCTCAGGGAGTGGATAGGGAAACGAAAATTAAATGATTGGTTCAATCCCTCGGTCCTGTACAAATATGGGGAACTACACTAAGTAGAGGCACGCTAGGATACTCGCACTTAGAATGCGCAAAGTCTTCGATTGGTCAGACCAATGCTTGACGAGATTTTACGCTGTAAGTTGGAGGCGCAGCTTACTGGGTGCCATGGTAACTAGGTAATCCCAGAAGTGCATACAATTTCGACGATCTGATGCCTCGGTCATAGCGAATGATAAATTGCTTCATCACCGAAAAAGATAGTATTATTGACAAGCAAGAGACATATTGAGATGGGGCATAGGAGAAACGGTCGCAGAAGGGTTTGAAGGCGTGAAAAGCCCACTAATGGCGAGGCACGAAGCGGTGCGCAAGAGACTGTAGCGGAAATGGCTGCGATGGCATTGTGTCATCGTAGATAGCATCGTTCATACGTGTTTATTTCTAGATGAATTGAGCAGTCAACTCCAGGGCTTTCTCGCCCTCTTCCTCTCTAAAGGCCTGCGAATACCATCAGCTTTCCAAAGAGACTCTGTACTGTGTTTCTGGGCCTGTGTCTGGGAATTGACAATTTGTCCTCTCTGTGCTCCATCTATGAGTTGGTTGGTTTGCGTTGTTTCAATGTGCATTGTTAAACTATATTATCCAGCTACTTTACAATGAGCATGTCATTTTTTTGAAAATAAAGAGCAGAAGCTTACTTGGTCTGAGCAACCTAGTCAACCACTGTTGAGGAAGTCAATTTTCTGCAAGCTTTTCCTTTGGCGCGTCAATGATATACGCAGCCTAGTCGCAGAGAAACAGTCAGCTACACTCGTCTCTCATTAATAAGGCGTGGTGAGTGCTACTAGCAACGCCAGGCTTTTGACTTATCTCAAATACGCTGTGGGCTGGTCTTCCGCGAGATGTATGAGTTTTTCAGAACCTCTCACAGAAAGGTGAGACACTCACAGTCCCTATACCATCGCTTTTTATCGCCTTTGGCATTGAGTTGACGAATATAAGGGTACACTAGCTAAACCACGAGGACTTTTGTTAAGTTCTTAAGAGGTATTCAATTGCGAAGTCTTGTCAAGGAGCCCAGCCTATATAGACCAGTTCTTCTTGCATTGAAATGACATCAAATGCTAGTAATACTATCATCATGTCAAAGCATCTAGTCCTAAATTGACAATCCTGGATTCACACAAGCTTATTGTCACGCACACAAAGTGTGGCGAAACGAGAAACACAAAGTTCTTCACCGACTGGCCGGGATTTGCTGGAATTGTTCTACTTAGCTGGCTAGGTAGCTTCTATATCGACAGATTCGGTACTAATCTGAAGCTCATATTGTTTCCTGTTAGGGAAACGTTAACACAGATTGAAATTAAATGGTATCCTTTTCTCCTGGGGGGCATCGCTGGCGTCCTTTCGTCTGCTGCTTGTCGTCTGAGTAGCTTGCACGACCACTCTAGAATTACTTGGCTAATAATTCAATCCGTGTCTCCTAGTTTGTTTGAGCTTCTCGTCTCACTATCGTCGCATTTGTAGGCCATATACATAAAGGATTTAAGAAATCTTATGAATACCAAATTTACCCACATGCTTTGGTTACTCGAGATAAGCTCAGAGTGGGCCTAGGTAGAGGAACTTGGATCCGAGCTGTAGCTGGTTGGTCCTAAGCTTGACTGAGCCGCAGTTGAGCCGGTGATTGATTTTATGCGGTCCAGAGTAGCAATTCGTCAGCCAGAAATTGGTGTTGTAGGTCGATGGCTTTTACTGCACACTCGCGTAGACAAAACCTGATGACAAGATCAAGGTAACTCGCCTTTCATTTCAAGACACAATAAAAACATTCACATGGGTTAAAACCCCAAGAAGAATATGTTAAGCCATTATCCTCGGTAGTTGAACTCGAATACGATTGCTTACATCAACCCTGTCTCCTTCAGACCGGGCTTGCCCTACCCTACCCTACATGTCTCAGTCTCGGTTCATTCTTGCAGTTTTTGGCCCTGCCACAGTAGCTCCTTGGTATCGGAATAACCCACGAATACGAATAAGCACAGCAATAGATATTAACCAAGCCGTTGCCGGTAGCCCGTATGTCTACTAGCGATGAGGCGGTCTGCGGCTCAGAAGAGTCTAGATCAACGAGCAGTCGGCTCTCTCAGGATGAGACGCTTGGATCTCAGCCACCCGCTCAAGCCCGGAAGTGGTTCCTGCATACCTCTCAACATCCGCGGTTGCTATGCAGTTCAACCACACGGACCAGCGCTTCGTCCAAGCTCAACTACAGCAGTCATTCAAGGTCTGCCCTTGAGATACGGCCAATGAGACAAACTTCCCCGCGCCAAAAGCCTAGATGGAAACCCAACATCGGTCGACGAGGCGTCAGCCAAGCCACACGAAGCTACCGTCCGGACCGACGGCCAAGGCAGACTGCAGGAATTGGGCACCCCTAACGGTCGGCAGATGAAGCCCTTATACTTATAGACTAATGCTTCGAACATGATGCTCTTTCATCTTGCCCATTGGCCATTTGCGCTATTTTGTAGTTTTTAGGCGCAGAGGAGCGCGAGAGACATGCAAATTCTATTCTCTACCGCTAGGCTTGTTACGACACAGGTATCGAGAGCCACTCGACGTTAAGGTTGCAGCAACGCCACTCGTAAATCCAACGGCACCCAAGGTTTACCTGTATGACCCTGGAGAATAGATGTCACCTGAGCTGTCCTTGTCGGCGTTCTATTTCCCGCGCCAAGAACCGTCGTACGCGCGACATCAAGGGTTCAGAATCTGACCATAACTATGCCTACCGCCCTTTTACTCCGCTAGTCGGACTTGGCCTGCAGATTCTGAGTTTTCGAGACCATGTGTCGTGATCTAGCCGAAATTTTCGAGGCTGTGATTAACCGCAAAGAAAAAAACTTTCTTTCTCATTGGGTCTTTACCGTTCTAGGTCATCTGAAGCGCTCTGTAGAAGTCTATAAATCTTGCTCTGTTCCTCACGTGTATGAACACAGTGATGTTGAGCTTCATCTCTTCGCGACATAACTCTTCAAAGGTTCATACACGGTAACGTGTTTACTTTACAAAAATTGCCAAAATGCTGGCTGTGGTGTTGCTCGTCAGCGCACTTCTGGTGTCCGATGGCATGGCATGCGCAGGCCATGGGAATTACCATGCTATGGGTACTAAGCGTCAGGCCAATCCGCCACCCCCTCCTCAAGCAGCCGACTGGGCGTATGAAGCGTCATTCAATTGGGGCCGTATTAATCCAAGTGAGTCGCAATACGTCTTTTTGAGTTTGAGCACGCACGATCAGGTTTTCTAAGATCACATACACAGACTACAGTCTTTGCCAGACAGGCACGCAGCAGTCCCCCATTGCACTGAGCCTCAACAACGGTCTGGCTTTAAGCCATATTATCAAGTTCAATTACCCAAACAAGACTGCCGGCAACTTTTACAATTGGAATTATGGCCCTGCCTTTACCGTTACGCATGCCGAGAATGTGTATACCGATAACCCATCTTTCACCTATGACGATATGACAGTCTACCTGAAAGGCTGGCACATCCACTCGCCAGCTGATCACACCGTAAACGGACAGCGGTCCAAAGCTGAGTTGCATCTTGTACACGTCGACAAAGAGGGTCATGAAAAGGCCGTCTTGGCTATTCGGCTTGACCCCGGCAATGCGAACAGCACCTTCTTCAATCAGCTTCCTCGGATGATTGGCTTCAACGAGTCGGGCACTCAACAGGAAATCGAGGTAGATCACATGCCGGCACTCAACAGTGTGCTGCAGTTCAATGAGTTTTGGACCTACCAGGGCAGTCTGACAAGCCCGCCCTGTCACGAGGGTATCCGCTGGTTTGTGGCCCGTCAGGTCATGTTCACTGGCGTTGAGCAAATGAGAGCTATCCTCGGCGCAAGCACTTACAGTGCAAGGGCCGAACAGGAAGTTTGGCAGCATCGGATCAATGAGTAACGACAATAATGTTTGGTGCCTGAAAACGAGTAAGCTAGCTACGGCTCTGAGGCAGGCGACGTTGTTAATTTGGTCTGGATCCTCGGAGTACGGTACAGTCTCCTCATGGAATTTTGATGAAATTTACGCTTTCCATGAAAACGAGTTAACCATGTTTTTGTTGTTATTGTTGTTGTTTCTTCTTTGTCATACTTAGCATGTGCGTCAGCATATGATACCTTCTAGATGTTGTAGTATATCTCAGGTTAACCCAAGAGATGTTTCAATCTCCACACTACCCTATCATGAGGTCGATTTGAGCTTAAATCTTTCTCCTGGTGCTAAGCTGCCCCCACAATGTAGCGGAAACGGGCGGATTTGTCCGGTTCCTGGATGGGCAATGGGACACCTCCGCTTTGCGATCCAGAACTGAGGCTGATGCCGCCCGATTACCTGCCGGTCATGAGTCGTGGCGACCCCAATATTCATCTTAAAGTCCTGTCAATCATCGTGCCAAGACACGAGTCGAATTTTCTCTCTATGTTTTTTTGCCCTGCTCCAGTCACGCGACTCCACAAAGTCACGGCGTCATATTGGGGTATCTCCGCGCAACCTTCACGCAAAAAACCTTTTTTGGTTCTCGTTTGATTCGTCGAGGACTTTTCTCTCCCGGCAAAGCTTCGTAGTACCAGTATACCCGGTTCGTAGGGTTTCTGAGAACTATCGAACCGGAAGTACCGGAGCCCGATAAACCTCAAAAGACTCACCATAGATGGTAGCTCAATTTCATTCTGTCCCATCCCCGCATTCTCTCCAAAGGGCTGGCCCAACAATTGTCAGGCCGATCACGGATTGATGTTTTGGTTTCAGAATGAACAGGCAACGCGCCAATTGGATGAACGGGGCGAAACGTTCTCTCTCCACACGCTGAGTGATGATCGTCTTCTCACAGCCCTGTTCAGCGCAATCACCGTGGCTGAGCCACCAGGTCAACGTTTCTTGGCAATAGGGACGAACCATTGCCGTTGGCCTGTTCCCTGGTCCGCTCCAACTTGGCGGATGCACCTCTGTATATTTAGCCCAGCCCAGCAGAAATGGACCCGTTAGACGACGGAGTTCCTATCATAATGTGGAGTCATGATTGTGCAGACTTTTTGGCGGAGAGGAGAACGATATCCATAAAACATGATAGTCGTATTTGACGTAAGTAAAGGTGATTGTTAGATAGTCGGGCAGGGCCGCGTGGTCTGCTCCACGATGTGACCTTGTTTTCCCGTCATGATGTCGCCTACCCATCATTGTTCCTAGACACACAAATGTAAGCATTCCCGCTCCTCCCCCAACCCGCTCCGGTGCGCCAGAATTTGGTCCCAGCATCAAACCCCAGTTCCGACGTCCATCACCCACCTCGATGCGTTCCGAACTTGCCTCCGCCCTTGGGCTCCTTGCGGGCTCCCTTGCTACCGCGGCGGCCCGGCCTGATATTCACGCCTGGTCGCAACAGATCCGGCGCCAGAACGCCCGGGAATGCGCGGAGGACTTGGAAGATATCTTGGATAATGCACCCACTGCGTCACAATGGCCTGCCACGGCCTGTGCCTTCACATCGACGCTATCCGGCGCCGAACTCACATCCAGCTATGCGGCCTACAGAAGTCGGATGTCTTCATGGTACAATGATGATTTGGACGACATCACAAAAGTTGCGAACAGCTGTACCCAATATGCATCAGTCTTTGAACAAATTCGTTACTGCTACGTAACCGGTCCTTACCCAACAACAACGGCATCAACATCATCAACCGCAGCAGCAACTACAACTGGTTCGTCGACAGCCAGTAGAACATCTACAGGTGCCACAAGCACGTCGACATCTAGTGCTACCGCAACCCCCGATCCAGATGGGGGCATGGATGACGGTGCTAAGGCAGGACTGGCGATCGGCATTATCCTCGCCGTGATCCTAATCCTTTTTATATGCTGGAAATTCTTCCAGAAATACAGAGCCAACAAGCTGGCAGAGGGTGCGAGCCAGCTTAAACATGGAGATGTCGAGCCGCAGATGCAATCTGCGGCAGCAATAGGTGCAGCCGGTGCAGGAGCAGGGCTTGCGGGTGCAGCAGCAGCAAAGCATCTCCATCCTGATTCATCGGTCTATGCTTATAAGTCGGAACTCAGCGGCGACTCCAGGCCAATCTCGGAGCTAGATCCAGCAGCTGCCGTTGCAGCCCCGGGGCCTGTCCGGCCGCCTCCTCACATCGCCGAACTTGACCCCGAGCCCCCGACCCAGTTAAGTGAGCTGCCCGCCGATAATTATGACCCGACAGAAAACAACTCGCCTCCCCCGGCATATGTCTCGCCCATGACGGGCACAAGTAATGGCAATACACTAGACACGGCGGTATCACCGCTTTCGCCCAACTCAAACACTGTGCAGGGCTTAGGTATCTCTATGGGTGAAGACCCATCACAAGGTCCTAACACTAATTCCATTACGGGACCTTCGACAGGCGAGAATCAGAATGGCATAGTGCAACAGGGGTGGGGCCGAGGATGGTTGCAAAGGGATTGAGAATGATTCGAAGTAACATAATGAAAAACACGTAGCGATTTAAAGGACAGACGAACAGAAATGTGGCGGTTTCCTTTCCAAATATGAACAAGATTCTCAGTACTACTGTGTCCTCGGAAGCTCTTTTTTTTGTGAGGTTAATAGTTGCTTGATATTGACCAGGTTAAGACAAGCTGCGAACTTGTTGCAGTAAATCTCACGTGCTCATGAGGCATCATGTCCTGTCATGCGTCGGTTGACATTAGCATTTTTGGAAGGCCAAAAGTGTTGCTAAGCTGTATGATGGGTATTCTTCCTGCTTAGGACATGAAACCGGAGGAGGTGCTCTCCATAATTTGTGTGTACTCGAATGTGAACCAGTGGTTGAACCACATGATATGTTTTCTCACCTCTTTTCATACTTCCAACCATGTCGACTATGACATACAATGATCTTCATTCTTGCCAAATGGTTCAAGGATTCAAGCGGAGATCTCTCAAACAAAAACTTCAATCTGGAAGGGATTGATTGACGTGGTTCCTGCTCTACGGTGACAATGAAAGGGCCACAGCTTTACTATTTAAACTTCCAGTGCACATGAAGAACATCTGCACGTCTACTTCGCGGAGTTATCAGCGCTACAGCTGTTCATTGGGCCATTTTGTAGGTTGCAGCCTTTGTGTGTCCAAATTGGATATTTGGATTCATTCCTCGTCAATATTGTTCCCTTGGCAATGCTGGACAAGTCTCACTCTATGGGCTTGTCTCATTGCCAAGGCCACGCATCATCCAATGAGGGCGCAGTCATTTCACTGGCGAATGCCGACCAACACATTGTCTGAGTTGTTATGGTAAGGAGACAAGAATAGAGAAGAATTTCTTCTTAGCCCAGGGAAATAGCCCCTCGGATGAGGTGTCTTCCGGCGGTTGCCCAGGAGCCTAAAGAAATACAGATTTCAAAATCCGCAGCATGGCGCCATCGGAAATACACACGATCGGCATTCCAGGGAAATTCTGATTTCAACATGCTATCAAACTAGAATCGCGCACGTCACTGACTCTTGGTATGAGGAGTTGGCACATCGGACAGCAATGTTGGGAGGAAAGCCAAGCCTTTGCCAAGGAGCTTGTTCATCTACTGGCGCTCCCTAATGAACTCAAAGACTTGAAAGCTCCCACTTCTGCCGGTAAATGTTGCTTCCGCCGCCGTACCCCAAATGATCGGCGGCGTTGTGACCGTGAGCCTGGAATCGGGAAGACGCGCGCCACCCAGATCGGGTGGCAGTTATCTTGCCAAGGAGCTGCTAGCTTTGCGGGTAAGACTTGCCAGCAGAACAGTGCAATTTCCTGTAGCTTGGCCCATTCATCGTGGATGTCTCCCAGTCCACGGCAAGGGCGTTAACCGACCTGTATCTAAGATGCCTGGCTTACTGAACACATTACTAGAGACCTTGGTTAAGTGCTGCATTCACGAGGAGGCTGCAATCGGTCAAAGACATGGCCTCCCAGAGTTTTGGGAGTAGTCTTCCTTGTAAATGAGCTTGGCAAGAGGTATATAGAGAAAGGAGCTCCCATCGCCAAAACGGGTTCAATCCATATCACAACATACCATTCTAATACAATCCAACTAAATTTCGATACCTTTTTTCTATCTGTACATCCAGTTCTGTTTAGTCGTTCGTTCCGCGCTCTCACACAGTAATCAACATGAAGTTCTCAATCATTCCCGTCGTCATGGCTGTGACCGTCGCGGCTACTCCCATAAAGATCATTGAAGATGTCACGCACCTTATTGGATGGCACAAGAAGGCGGACAACAAGCAGGCCTGGGGCACCTCTGGTCCCTTCCACTTCACCTCGTCCTACCACATCGTTGCGACACCTGACCAGGTTGTTGACAACAACAACACCGCAACTGGCGGTCTCGCCGGAGCTATAGGCTACTACAGCTACGGTATTAACTCTTGGGAGGATGTCATCTGCTACAATATTACTCTGGTGAACTTCCAGGGCGAGTACCAGTCTCCTGCCTTGACAGCTACTCATATCCACGAGGCACCAAAGGGCCGTGCCGGCCCCCCTCGGTAAGTTTCTCAACCTTAATGAAAGCTATAACGGAGAGTAAAGCTAATTTGGGCTTTTCTTTCCCAGCATTGCTTTCCCCAACCCTAAGCCAGTTCCCGGTAGCGCAAACATTCGTCGCAGCGTTGGCTGCCTCTCTGGTCCTTTCCGCACGGGTGTCAATGTGACTGGCACTCAGACTGATACTGGCGAGGGCTTTGCGGTTCGTCGTATTGAGGAAGACCCCTCCAAGTTTTTTACCGATGTGCACTCTAGCCTGGCCGTTCCCGGTGCCGTTCGTGGGCAGCTCGATGAATACGTCAACCGAAACTGCAACTAGGAAAATAGTACAACGAGAATGAAGCGGCGGAATGTTTTCTGACCCTTTGGTTTGAACATTGGAAAGTTGAGAAGTGGGCATGATAATGGCTGCCAGGCGATAATTTTCTATTACTAAGTTTGAAATAAGTAGACTACTAGTCATTAAAATATTACTAGTAAAAGTATTTTTATGTATTGGATATCTCTTTGAGCCCAGCACGAAAATCCTAAAGATGATAGCAATAAGATGAATTACCACAAGTGAGCTGCTTTGGAATGGCCCAGGCATTGTCCTGAGACATGTAACATCATGATTCGATGCCCAAAGCATTCTCTTGAGAGTGCTGTGAGCTATAATTGACAGACCTTATGATGGCACACAGGCACACCGGGTAATCTTAATTATGCTCCTCCAGGATGGCTCATTTACTCTTACTACGGGACTTCCCGTTGATGGCAGATTTGATTCCCAAACAAGTATTTTATATTGAGCACCGAGTGGAATTTAGAGATCCAGAAAATGAAAGTAGTTTCAACCGTTGAAGTTAGGGACCGAATGAGACTCCAGGACTCTTCTTGCTGCAAATTTTGAGTTGAAATGCCAAACAGCTGGCCCTTTGTCATTTAAGTTGCTGGCAGCCCCGTTATATATGTCTTGCGACACTAGTTTCCTCTCAATTGCACGATGCCGTCGTGTTAACTATGTTTATTATCGTCTAAAACCTTCTACAAACATCTCATTCACGAGCGGCACCCCCGTTACCATCGGCTTGCGGAAGGAAGACCGCAAACTCCCCATTCATGTTGGCCACCTTGAGCGTCAATTCATTTTCTTCGGCCTCAAATTCGAGCTCGCCCAATGCTGGGTCAATGATGAAAGCATTAGCCTCGGGGAAAAGGCGGCCGATCTGGCCTTTGCTAATATCGAGTGTGTCTGAAGAAATGTCAGTGGTGAAGGTTATGATAATCTGAACTTAGCCAACCTACTTCCCGGATTCAAAATAAAGTCAATTTTTGATAATGTCATCCCTTGGGCTCCTTCAGCTAGATTGACTTTCCATGAAACCCCCTCCACAGACGTGAACCCTGGGGGAGGTGGCGCGGGTGCTCGGTTCTCTGTCACCGTAAGAGTTCGGCCGATTGCATTTTGAAATTCCACTTCAAAGCGACCGTTTTTCTACAGAAATTTTCAGCAAGAGGTCAATCGTTTGCTCCGAGGTAATACGAAGCTTACCCTTGGGGGGTAGAGAACGTCTTGTTTTACGCTTGCTCCTCCAAGGCGGACTGGCACATTGAATTGGCCTTCGATCTCCTTCTCGTTCCCTTCCTTCGCTTCATTGCCTCCTATTTCTGACTCTTTTCCTGGTGTGTTCTCGGAAGTTGGGGCGGCGCCGTTGCCTGGTACTCTTTTCGTCAAGACCTCATGAGCTTCCTTCACTACCTCCCTACGTCCAGAGTTGGTGCCAGCAGTCGACGGCGATTGAGATCCAATGGGCAAAGAAACAGTACATAACATCTGTGTAGAGAACAGAAGAAGTCTCGATAGCTTCATATTGATTTGGTGCTGAGAGATGATAATTAAAGATCCAACGCAGTTGAATCGAATGGAAAAAGGCGGGCTAGTCGCAGGTTGCCTTCACCTGTAAGGCAGAAAGATGTAAATGATAAAGTGCATAGAATCAATGCGCCAGAAGTATACTGCAGGGTAGAAACCACCAGTTTTATGTCCAGATGAACTTCTTTTTCAACATATATGCCGCCGGCAGCTGGCGTGACGAGCAGTTGAATGGAGGTGGTCGCCAAGGCCAACGGCATCATGAAACCCACATAAGACTACAGGGATGAGGGCATTCCCCCACCATCCGCGCTGCCAAGAGCGCCAAGGGCTATCAGGACGACGAGAAGCGCTTCAAGAGCCTCATTAAGCACTAATTCTAGGAAGTAGGTAGCTGTTTTAACCGTGAAGGCCGCCTGATCAGGTCAGTTTTACTCGAGATGCGGCATTGGCGTTTCTTGGCAATCTGGCAATTCGCCTCAACTTGACTTTTCCGGACGCGGCTTACCATGCGAAGGAAACGCCAACATCAAACGAATCGAGCTTGCTTAATTATATTGCAATGGTTAAAAAGCAAAGAACAGACTATTATCAACAAAGACATTTCTTTCCTAACTAATCACATTCATGGACTGCTTCATAGACGAATCAGCTTACCTATGCAATCGCTCCAAACCCTGATGCTCTCACAACCTCCTTCTGAGAGTCTGTACAATGGCATGAAGCAGATCTCACGCCCCTTACCCCGTCTGTGGGCAAATAATCGCTTAATAACTTCTACCATCTGGCTGTCTTCAAGCAAAAGTCTAGTCCATTCGGCTGGATTTCAGGCCTCGCGAGTCTCAGATGACAGCTGTCGTAGGCTAAACTTAGAATCTCAAACATAGTTCCTTGTATCGTCAAATCAGGACGAAAAATCCCGTCATCCCAGCCCCTGGTCAATGCCTCCACGACTCCTACCCCAATGGACGGAAAGGGACCAAGCAACCAATCAATTCGTTTTTGGTAGCGCTTGAACCAGGGCCATCGGCTCAACCTGCTCCTTACTGTAACGCGGAGTATTTGCACCGAACCCAGCTAATTTGAGTCCTTGTCAATTACGAATTCTTATTTCACATGCTCCTTACTATACGAATTAGCTTGAAAATCCTTACCAGAGTAATTATAAGGGCGTAAGTGTTCTCCTGCCTGCGATGGTTCAAGGCACTTTCAGGAAGCACCTTCGTTGTGGCTAACAGCTGTTTGGGATTTCACGGGGTCCCGTCTTTGGAATGAGGACCGGCATTTCAATTGTCTTGGCAATCAGCCCACTTTGACTCGCTCTCAAATTAAATAAGCTACAAAATAAGAGACTTCCTCTGAAATTTACAAGCTTGGACCTGGTTGATATTGTTCTCCAGCATTCTGGCACTAGGCATCCGGCAGTACTCTTATTTAGCAACGTAGGAATACAGCGATCCCCCCTACCAACAATTGTTGGGGCTGTTTTTCCCACTGAGAGGGGCAAATAATTGGAGAATGGAAGCACGTAGCATGACGTCTGAAATAGAATTGCTGTTGAAGCAATGACCACTTGCTAGCTGGTTGCCGGCCATGAAAGGGAACAGACCTCCCACACACCACACATGATGTACCGACTGCGGCTGCTCGATGACAATCCCCTTGAAGTCTTACAAAAATTCCGTGCATAGCCTATTTCGCGTCGCCTGGTTACATCATAAAACGATGAAATACTAGAGCAATGTCCAAACAAATCGACAATAGGCACTAAAAACATTGCAATGAGCAAGAGTAAATTGACTATTTACCTTGGTTCATATCGTCGAATCAGCGACTCAGCCACCTTGCCGGAAGTTCAAAATTTGTAACATTCATATTATGTGGAATGGTAAGGCAAACTAGAACACGGGCGTAGGTTCTTGAGACTGAAAGTTGTGTCGTCGTTTTGGTGTAGGCTCTCATACAAACTGACAACCACCAATTAGCACATACGGCCATACCCACTGGAAACCTCGGCGGCGACCGGCGAGAAAAATGGGTCCTCCGTGAAGCAACGTTCCGTCTTGCTTACGAGCACTATGCGCTTATGTAATTACTTGCTTGCCCATCTACGCCTCTGCCCACTCCCTCCAGGAGGTGTATGAAGTTTCTAGCACCGCTTAGAGCTTATCTCTCTTGTTGGCACTAAATCTAGAAAATGAAGTGATTAAATCGAGCCCCTATTCGCCTTTTCAGTAGAACCTGTTGTCTATTCGCCTTCTGGTATTAAAGGCAAGATTTCTCGACCTTCCTCGAGAGCTTGATCTAATGGAGGCACGCTGAGTTTAATATAACCTTCGTCAATAACTCGGATAATTATTGATTTGCCTCTTTTCTTTCTGTATTACTTTCCCTTTTATAACAAAACAAAAAGAGCGTTAAGAGCGTACCATAATTATTAAAACCCTCATGTACAGTTGCTCCATGATATTGCTATAGGTTATTTGAATATCAACCGCGCCGGACCCATTATTTATATTATAACACCATGACGAGGTCCCATAGTGGTCTAGGTCTGTCTATTAACTGCTAGACGCATTGAAAACAGTTTAGGGTATGATACAATCTGCCACCTGCGGCAGATTTGAAGATTTTGTTTCTTCTGAAATGTGAAAGTAAGGTGCACATTCCCCTGCCGCAATCTGCGTAAATTCCATCAGCTCATAAAGAGCTGATATCGAAATGTGTGATCAAGGAGCCTTTTTCCGCAGCTGTCATTGTTGAAGGTGTTGTCCGATATTAATACGCCGAGCCGGCCTGCAAAAATTCGAATCTCGTACAACAGCGACCAGCGGCATGGCAATATTATCGCCGGCATGAGCACGTTGTTGTTGACTGAGGTCAAATAAGCGTTGCTGAGCACGTCCGTAGCGATCAAGAAAGTGGCCAGATATACAGACAATCGTTGTACTGCTCGGAGACGTCCCTGGTTCTAAGGCAAGATGTACCTGTGTCAACGCGTCAAGGAGCTCTTGCGGTACGGCCTACTTCTTCACAGAGAAGAGCCTATTGAGACTTTTCTGCATAGACGTACGGGCCAGCGCTGCCATGCTTGGGAGTTTAAGATAAACAGGCTGAAGCATCTGTTTCCTATAGGGGTCGCTGGACGTATCGAAGAGACTGTCGCTATTGATGATTTACTTGAGGGCAAGCTCTTCGACTTGTGACATGTCTGATGGCCTGACGCGAACCTGCGGTCGCTTCCACCAAGGCTCTTAATCTTTCGCAGATTGCTCGGATGACTCGTTTCTGCGGTTTACAAAGATAAGTTGATTTGTGTTTTGGGTGATCGGGTTATCGGGTGGGGAGCTTGCCGCTTTGACGATATAAAAGCGCTTGAGAGTACTTCGTTGATCGCCATCTCGACAGACCCAATATACCTCAGCTCCGGGACGTCAGTGAACTGCCATCAGCAGACAGAGTGTTGGTAGTACATCTTTGGTGTTCACTGGCAGCATCAACTCTCTGATATAGAGACATTCGTTTTGAATCCAGCTAGCAAGCCCCCGGACGCCCTTGGAAGACATTGTGGACTCCTGCACGAAACGACGGACTCGACGAGTCGCAACAGCTACTTTACCAAGCCTATCTATATAAACTAGCGATTCTAGCGTTGATGTTGCAAACTGCCGAGAGACCGAGGGTGGGAGGCAACGGCCAAAGAGGAAGACCGGACATTTTGAGATCAAAGCCAAACGAAAGAGCTCGCAAGGAAAGAATCAGTTCATTTGGGAGGGCAACAGAGTTGAGGTTTGGTAGGAGCTGTGGCCTCTGTGGGTGTAGATGGCTTAACGCGTCCTGTGATCGCATGTTCGCCTAGAATTCACTAGAGGAGCTAGACTTGGTCTCCCTATCTGCCTACTTGGAAACTGTATAGTTACCCAGTATGATTAGCCAGTGAAATAAAGCTAGTGCGAGGCATTTCAATGAGTATGTCTTTGGTCAAATATGGCAGATATAGCTAATATATGACTTAGGTCTGCTTGTTTAAGGATCCTAATCTATTGTGTTTGCTGGCTTGATTGCTCCAGTTTAACCAAATAGCTTGCTTTGATAGTAGCTCCTATAATCATGATACATGATAGTGGTAGACAGCCATATTTAGCTCATGTAGTACCTTTCGCTAGTTTAGCACTTGTTACGACCCCAGAACTGGGGCGCAGTGATACATCCCGACTTCGTAAGTTTGCCGTAACCCTCCTTATTCTCTGAACAACCGCAGTTACTCGGAAAACACCACGATGCACAGCGCTTTCCGCTATCATCTGGATGTTCATATTTAGCAGGGTTATACGTATCATACGTAGGCCTTCAAACTTACAGTAACATTGGATGGCCGCAGCGGTGCAAAATCGTGCAGCAATCGGCTGTATAGCTGAAAGGACGACAAGAGCGGCAACGATGTTAAACTGCATGATGAGCTATAGGCTTCTATGCAAAAGTGTGTTCTTAAGCTGTAGTTAAATGTTGTGAAACACTGTTTAGAAATGAGGAGAGTAGATGCTGTGATTGATTGTGATGATGGAGTGATTGATGGCAGTGGTAGGAGCAGGATCATAACTAACTTATATATCCTGATTATCACTCAGCCCGGTAATTTACAAAATAACACTTGCTGCGGTCCCAATGTCATTTCCTCAACTTGATTTGGAACCACTGATTACCATAAAGCCGAACACTCACCTTTATTGAATATCAACACATATGCCGGCTGAATAGAGCGGGAGTCCACTCTTCTAGCAACGATCATGACACAAAACATATCCAGATGCACGCACGTTGGTCTCAAAGCTAAGGGACTAAATAACTATAATTAATGAGCTTTGATTAATCTATTTCAGTTATGTAGTTGGGAGAAAAAACGTTACGTAGCTATCCCATCAAGTGTTAGAGACGGCATTTTCGCCCACCGAGGAGTCAAGCCAGCTAGGGCTCCTATGCCTGCTTGTTTTCAGAGCTCAATTACTTCTAAACCGAGTGTATTTATTGTCACTAGATTCTAAGCGTTAGATGTACTAGTGACCGCTGTTGCTATATAATTATTATGTCTTACACTGTAATACTACGAGGAAGACGACTGATTGCTTTTGTACTGAGTGTATTGCAGAGAAAGACTGGCTCTCAAAGTGGGATTTTGAGGGCTTGGCAAATATGGCGTCTCGTATCACTTGACAGGATAAAAGAAGTTAAATATATTTCAAGTCGTCAAACGACTGTGTACAGTATAGTTTGCAAGAGAAGGAGACGTCATCCTATTGACTGCGGCAAGACTCCATTTTCGCCAAGGGCGCGGAAAAGCCAGCTAGAGACTAGTCTCATCAGATGATGTACTGGAAATATAGTACATCTATTCTCTAGGAAAATGAAGGCACACTACAGGTAATAGCATTCTCCTTCAATACAGACGTATGACATTTAGGCAGAAACGACATACTAGCTATGTGCTGATCGTAATGCGGAGAAAACGTAGCTGCTAAACTGGAAATTTCTATGTAAGGCTCATTCCCTAATAGGTGGATAACCCACACATGCTATTATGAGACGGGATATGCACGCGTAGATATGAGACTACGCGTACGTAAATTTAAATTATGTACAGGTAGTCAGCTAGAAAACATCTAGCAGACAGTTACCTTTCGGTGCAGTATTATGTGTGCGCGCCTTCTACAGGTATGACAGATGGTAGAACGACCTGGGCTCCACTTCACCTAAGGAAATTAAGTTTGTTACTAGCTGCATTCAAAACCCAAGCGTAATTATGACTCCCATATACGTGCGCGGAATGACAAAGGTAGTAGGCTACGCACTTAAAAGACTCACGAAATAAGCGGGTTACGAAGACGCATCTACTACCCATAGAGCTTCGGGTCCTAAGTCCCCTTTTGAAGGCAATTGCCCTGATTTGATGATGCTATGAGGCCTCTGGCTTTATAAGATCACTCGAGATGAGCGGCCCCTTCTCTATGAGGGGGGCACTTACTACCCCTATTCCCAAGTAGGAAATCCGTACATGCTGGTATGAGACGGTATGTGCACGCATAGGTATGAGACTATGCGTGCATGGGTTATAAGGCTGTATAGACAGCAAGCTAAATTACTTCTAGTGGTATGCGAATGCGCTTCCCTGGGTGTGACAATGATCAACTCGAAGTTTAATTTTTGGCGGCTTAGACGTCTCGGCGGCTGACATATAATTAAAGAGAGTTTTACACTGACTCGAGACCCCGAGTTGTATAGTGCAAATTTAACATATCATATGTTATGGCCCGAGCACGGTTGGTAAGTATAAGTAGACCTATATCCACGCATTATTGGCATTTTGCGTGTGAGTTATCACAAGTACCAATCATCAAGCTGAAAAAAATGCAGAAAACTCTTTTACTTCTTTCCTTAGTCACAGGACACACCCTAGCTCAGGCCCAGTGTGCCCCAGCTCCTCTCCCCAATATCGATTCGTATGACAACAATATCTTCATGGAAGTGCCAGTTCCGGAGAGAAGATATGAATCTGGATGTGGCTCCGACCTAGTTGTGCATTACTACCCGCCATCCGCCGGCTCTAGCGCAGGGACACTCAATATTTACACTACGGATCAAGGCTTCAGGTCGATTGTCGAGGTCAAAGGAATCCGCATTGATAATCGTGCCGAGTTAAGAGAAGGCAACACATTTTGGATCGATTCGACAGCCGACTGTCGGACGAACATCATAGAGTTCGAACCAAAAAATATTGCCTGCTATAAACAATAAATCTGTCATGAAGATTATAAAACCGCGGCTGAGAGGAAAGCAGCAGAACTTTTAAAAGGATTTTAGGTCATTGGCGCACTTCATACAATGCTTGTCATCTATGTATGGGTTTTGTTAGGTAACGCAAGTACTATACTGAGATTGTGGTGCGCCTAACGGGTTATACTCTAGTGGTTTGGGTTTCTGTGGGTTGGTAGCGGATGCTTTATAAATCTGCCTTTGGGCCGTACAGCAAACAGGCCCTTGATTCGACTGTAGGCCCTTTGATCAATGTTACCGTTTTAATAGCGCGGTTTATCTTGTCCGCTTTCGTTACATGTTGGGTTTCTGCCGGTGGTGCTGGTAGAACGTGAGCTGTATAAGTGTAGTATCGAAGTAAAGAAGTAAAGAAGTAGAAGTAGGAGGTGTGTATGGTGAGAGAGATAACTGCCCGGCTGTAGATTCCATGTTTATGCCAGTTGAGGTGCTTGCACATATGCCGGACCGCCGGTTAGCCACCTTATGAAAGAGGAACAAAACATGATTAATAAATAAAAAGTCATTTGGGATTATGAAAGATGTTGCATTCATCAATGCTACAAGAAGATACAGTCTTACTACACATAGAATCAATGCATGCGGAAGTGTTGAGAATAGTGCGGCTGCTGCACGTCTGTTCAGACTTAATAAATATCCTATCCTAAGTTTTCTACCACATACGACCATACCCACTGGAAAACTCGGGATCCCGTCCGCTCTCCCATAGATAAGCCAGTGAGGGCCGGATTAGTAGTTGGGTCGGTGACGACCAGCGAATACCTGGTGTTGTATGTTTTTGCATTTTCTTTTGCTCGTCCCCCACCGAGCAAGTTAGCTGAGTATTGACTCTATCGCCGTTTTTTTAGTGTGACTATTTTGGTATAACATAGCTTTGGAGCTGACTTGACAATCTCTCTGGAAAGTGTTCGCAGAAATTTAAGTCATATAAAACACCAATCAGCCCCTTCCATTCGGTCTCTTACTGGAGTATTTGTTTGGACTTCTGTAGACTTACCCGGTGTTGATTTAGTTGCGACGGGATTGCATCGGTGAGGACGGAAGAGAAAAGCGGGGCATACGGGATTCGGCTCCGCTTACTCCAACCCCATTCGAGCTTATCAACGTCCTTCCTGATTCATCTCAAGCCCCTCACCTCACCTGACTGTCAGCTCGGGTTCATTCCAACCCTAAACATTGTGCTTTTGGGTAGAATTTCGTTCTGGACAGTTCAAGCAAAACCGATGACAATGGTAACCAAGAGAGTTGCGCCGTATGGCGAATGGGACAGTCCGATTACGGCTGACACCATCACGTCAAAGAGCTGGTCTGTAACTTCGCCGCGCGTGCACGTGAGTTCTGGGATCACCATAAGCCGAACTACCGCTAACAGTCGCCATAGCGAGCCTCTGGTCGCGCATACTTCAATGAGTCAACGGACGATGGCCGTAACGATATAGTGGAGATCACTGACAACGGACTCAAGGGTTTGTTGCCAGCACCTTGGAGTGCCCATAATTCGGTCTACGAGTACGGCGGTTCTCCATATGATGTCCTTTCAGATGGCCGCATTATCTTCTCCGACAGCAAAGCTGGCATTGGCATACTAAACCCGGATTCTGGGGAGGTCGTGGCGCTGGCAAGCCATCCAAAGCTACGATACTCTAACTTTAGCGCAAACCCACAGGGTCCCTGGGCCCTGGCTACTGAGGAAGACCATGAGATTGACACAGCCAAGGGAATTAGAAACTACGTTGCAGCTGTCAACGCAGACACTGGCGAGGTCAAACGGGTTGTAGAAGGCGCCGACTTCTACTACACCCCACAATTCAGTGAAGACGGAAAGCGGGTGACTTGGATCGAATGGAACCAGCCAGATCTACCGTTTTCTGCTGGTAAGATCTTCGTGGGCGATTGGACGTCATCAGCCTGCGTCGAACACAAGATCCAAATATCGGGCAAAGACCGTGAGGGTGCTGCTGAGCCCCGGTGGGGATTTGACGGGAGCTTGTTCGTGTGCATTGAAGTCGACGGGTTCCGGCAGCTTCACCGCCTTGCACCTGGCAGCGAGAAGCCCGCTCACATCAAGCTCAAGGGCCTTGAAAATGCCGAGTTCGGTGAGATTCGATGGTTCCAGGGAAGGTATGTCCTACTCGAAGTTCACCATAATGTTGCATTTCATTATTCTAACAGCAGTGTAGCCATACGTACGCGCCATTGTCTGCCCGCCACGTCGTAGCAGCCGGTATCATCTTCGGCCAGGCAAAGCTTATTCTCATCGATCTTGAGACAAGCGACTGGAAGACTATCGGGCCCGAAAATCTCTGCGCTATCGCATTGGACTCGGTGGTACGCTTAAGCGACAGCTCCGTCTTGGTCATCGGCGAGCAATCAACCTCCCCATCTGCACTCTACAAAATCGACGTATTCACAGGAGAGGTTACGACCGTGCGGAAGACAACCGACGAGAGCTTGAATGAGTCACTTTTCTCAAAACCAGAGCTTGTCCAATTCGTATCAAAAGGCGAACCCTCGCGCAAAGTTTACAGCATACTCTGGATGCCGCGAAACCCAAAGTTTATCGCACCAGAAGGTACACTTCCCCCGCTCATCATCTCTTCTCATGGTGGGCCGACCAGTTACACCGGCTCCGGACTGAAGCTCCGCACGCAATACTTCACTACACGCGGATATGCATTTCTAGCGCTGAACTACACTGGTTCGACGGGACACGGGAGAGACTACCGCGAAGCACTTTTCAGAAACTGGGGCACTGTCGACGCTGACGATGCCGCCGAGGTTGCTGACCACCTCGTGTCGGCTGGCAAAGTAGGCAAAGTCGGCATCGTCGGTGCCAGTGCCGGAGGCTACAACGTCCTGCAGGCGCTTGTCCGCCATCCCAAGGCCTTCGGGGCGGGATTCTGCGTGTGCGGCGTCAGCGATGTCAAAAAGCTGGACGAGTCTACGCACAAGCTTGAGTCTGAATACATGGGCGCTTTAATCCTCGACCCGGGTATGAGCGAAGAACAAAAGGAGGATAGGTACCGAGAACGCAGCCCGCTTTTCCACGCGGGCAAAATTGAATCGCCGTTGTTTTTGTTGCACGGCGTTGCTGATACCGTGGTTCCCGTCGAACAGGCTCGGCTTATCTATCAGGCTGTCAAGGATAAGGGGGGAGACGTGAAGATCAGGGAGGTCCCTGGCGAGGGTCACATGTTTGGCAAGCCTGGAAGCCCGAGGATCTGGTTGGATGAAGAGGAGAATTGGTGGAGGAAGTATTTGCTGTGAGCCAGGGGAAGTCCGGTATCTCTCTACTCAACCTTGACAAGAAGTATGATTCAGTGTGTTGTGTCAGCCTCAGAAAGTGATAAACAGGCATCTGAACCGATGTTGCCCGGGGAAAAAGAAAATAAGATCTGAATTAAACTCCACTCAAGGATTAGAACATAGAACAGAAAAGATATTGTATCAATTGTTGGTCCAAATAATGATTCGCGATGAAGGTAGCTGTACCCACTAACAAATGGGTTGACATATTCTCTTCACTTGACCCTGTCTTTGGCAACCGCAGTACAAGTAGAGGGATATTACATGACATACAGACATCTGCAATTATATACGGTTTGTCCAAGAACGCGTGAACAGAGCTGCATCATTTGGCGTTTACGCAATGTTGGGTAACATGAAGTGAATTTTGAAGTTGGCCTTGATTAATGTAAAACTTCAAACTAAGCGCATACATACTGTATCCGTCAACTGTCGGTGGCCTATAAAAAGCCAGGCAGGTTTGGCCTCAACGAGCCTGGCGTTGCAGCCTTATACTGACATTGCATTGCAACGCAACACAAGGTTTCCTAGTAAGACAACAACAAGCTTAATGGAGCCTGTAGATATTCTGATACATACAAGTTCTCATTGTTCGCCCACTTCAACGTCTTCATGACGATGTCTCCATCTCGGTCGAAGACTCGATACAGAGACCACTGTGAAATCACACTAACAAGGCTGACAAATGAGCAATGGATGCTATGCTGTCAGACTTTCAGCGTTATGCAAGCAGCATGCCTATTGTTCATGAGAACTCCCCCAAAGCACCTGAATCACCAAGCAGCTCAAGAGTCGCAATCTTCACCAACGGCTCGGCAGGGTTCTTCCCCGTCCAACAAGCCAGGTGAGTGAGTCTGGAAGGCTGCAAGACCTATCTCAACATCTCTCGGCAAAGCTTGAGTCGGTCGCTGGCTTCTCGGAGAAGCTCGAAATGCGACTGCTCCAGGTTACTTCGCAGCAAGTCCAGCAATTCGGGCAATCTCTCGTTAAGGTCCATCGCCGACTCATCGTTCAGTTCGTCTAGCGTGGCGAAGTGGGCAAGATATCGAGCAATTTCGCTGTATCGTCCCGGTGGCATGTTCTTATTGGGAATTCCCAGCGCCTGGACGAAGGACCAGATAGTTAGCGCCGCGTAGTACATGATCCATGGCCGGTGAGGATCAGGCTCGTTGCGGCAAGAGTAAAAGACGGACACAGGCTCTGGGAGTGACCCAAAGCTACTTGTCCTTCTTTTCGGTCCTCGCTGATCGACAAGAACACGGTATAGTAGCTTGAAGGCGTGGAGAACGGCGTGTCGCGTCGACGAAGAGTTCGACCAAGTCCTCATTCGTGCGACAGCGTTGGAGTGATCCCGCGTTGAGACTTTTCTCCCAACTAAGCGCTTTGCGCCGGCGTATACTTGACAGTCGACAATGTCAACGTGTATACTGATGTGTGCTAAATGGTAGAGCACGGCAGCGGAGTGAATCGGCCCATTCGAGCTTGTGGGCTGTCCTGGCGCTTCTGGTGTGTCGTTTGCACCAACAGCATTGTCGAAGCTCTCCTTCCACTCATCGAAAGCCCGGAGAAGTATTTTCTTCCAGCCATCATGTGTCTCGGTACTTGGTGTACGAAGGTCAAGCCATTTGAGGTGTGATTCGCGGTGTGAGAGATGCCACCCCACGCTAAGCAGACCGGACATGATGATCATGCGGCCAAATGTATGCGTTTTTACTTCTTGCCCGTGCAGAGCGCTCTTCAATCCATCAAGGAAAGACACTTGTTTTATGCCGTACATTCTGTAGTTACCGTCAAGCTGGCGGAAAATGTCGGGGGTGGAAGCCGTCCAGAGTCCGTCATCGCAAGGCAACGGAAGTCGTATCTCATGTGGCGCCATGTCCGCCGTGTGCCCGAACATAGCTGCGTGAATGATATCCAACATAAAAGCAGCAAAGACGACGCGATGCATTGATTCCTTTTCGGCCCATCTGACCCACCATGTCCTCGAGTCGAGCGAAGCGCCATCGTTAGATGTCGGAGCTTGTTCTTCAGGAGGGGATTCACTGCCTCCTCTCCCGATGAGAGGGCTGCCTCTGCGAAGCAGTGTCAAGGTGGCGGAGTGATAGATGTGGGCTCGTTCGTGGAAACGCCTAGAAGAGAACATCTTCTCGTAAAACTCGAGCAACAGAAGCGACTGTGCAATGAACAACCCTACTGGTGGCGATGCTTCATCGGCGGTAAGGATTTCCCAACGAAGACTAGAAATCATAACATCGGCAAAGCCTCCATATTGTTCTAGATTACCTGTTGAGTCCCTACTGCTCAGAGATGCGGCTCCTAGGGCTATCATGACCATCAGCAGATAGATGGAGCAGCGGTTAGGCGCAAATGTCGGCTGGTGTACGATGGGTAGCCTTGGCGAGACATTTTTCCAGTACTCTTGCAAGCAGTCTCTCATCATGTCCAAGTTCAGGGCAGGCAAATCTCCCCCGCTTTCTTGCACTAGGTTGACGATTCGATGCTCGTATTTGGGTTGCTTCTGGCGGAAAACCTGCAACCATCGGAGGACTTCTTGGCGTCGATGTTCGCTGATGAGTTCATCGCTAGCTTCGACGTGACGTGGTGGTGTTTGGTCGAGCTGTGAGCGACTAGTGAGGGATTCGTAATCGTAGTGAATGTTGTTGTTGAAGGTCGATTCGAGGCCACCTTCGAGGAATGGGATGCTCGAGACGCCGTTGAACTCACTGAAGCTTGCTTGGGGATCGAACAGCCAGACGGCAAAATTCTCTCTTGACAAAGCTTCATCGGACTGAAAGCCAACTGGATTGAACGACGGCATCATTGCCGACGCCTCGGGGATCGGCGGTTGATCGCGGCCAAAGAAGTCGGCCTTTTGGCGCATCATGTTGACTGAGACATCGTCTATGGGCGGCCATGTTGACGGTTGGCCAACACGGGCAGTCAATGAGGGGCCAGAGGCGGTGGTTGTTGGTGTAGGTGTGACATTGGAGTCCGGGGTCAACAAGATGGCTGCGTCATGAGGCCCACTTGAGGAGGGCTGACTGGATTGAGGGAATGGCGGTCGTGATGACTGAGTTGTTGGTGATGAGACGGCAATGCCGGAAAGTGCGCCAGAGGTAGCAGAAGTACTGAAGCTCGGAGCGCGGTTTCGAGGGATATAGGAGGACGAGTGACGTTTCTTATGTCGTGTCAATAGGTCGGCCCGTACGAACTTTTGATCACAGCCCGGAATATCACATTGGAAGATTTCTTTCGGGTTGTCTGTTGACTTTTGTCAGCAACTCCAGTATCGCCCCCCACGTAAAGTGAGAGACAGCACTCCAGCAAAGGAAGATTGTGGAGGCCGGAAGAGTGAACTCACGGTTCAGTTGATGTCTTTGAAGGTGTTCGGCTCGGGAGTATAATTTGTCACAACCTGGATGATCGCAGACGAAGCGACGAGGTGCGCCCTTCCGGCTGGCGCGCTTGTAAATTCCAGCACTGCCATGCTGGGCGGGAGAAGGATGACTTGCCATTAACGGCGAGATGGAAACATTGTAGACGGGTGTAGATCGTAAATGGATGGGGGGCCTGTCGTCGAATCAGTGCACAGGCGATCTGGAATACAGTGGGGTCTTCATCGGTGAGGCAAGGTGAGATGTGCCGGATTGAAGATGTCAAGGTCAAGATGAGAATGAGAAGTTGGGGGTGAGATGAGACGGATTGGGGGATTTTGGGGGGTTTACAAAGTTGCGCCTGAGGCGAGGAGGGAAGCATTCGCGGGGAAAGGGCGAGCTCCCCCAAAAATGCCCCCCGCCCTCCTTCCCCCCCCTTTCCCCCACATCTTTGTTGTTGCGGAAAGTGGACCCCCACGCGTGATGCTTCCTGCAGGAATTGAGCCGTGTCACACTGTCTTGCTTAAGTTCACCAATCACCTAGTTTCCTACCTTTTTTTTCTTCTTCTTGGGTATTCGTCCTTCATCTTTCACGTCAATGCTTGCCATTGTCTCTATTTGTCTCTGTTCTGTCGCCTATCATAATCCACTTCGCTGGAACGTTTGTCCCGGGCACTCAATCTCCTACGTGTTGTTGCTGGCTGATGTTTCTTACCCGATGAAGGAATAGTACCTATTTAGCCGTTATTACCCAGCCGCTGCAGGCCGTGATACCTCTTCAAAATTCGCCGAAAAAACATTGATTTGCTTCATTTATTGGCTGTTGATAGTCTACATCGTATCTCGCAAAAAGATAAGGTCCGAATTGGTAAATGTACAGATCGCTCACATGGTATCGTCAAATCATTCCACCCCATTTCCATCGATTACCTGCCTCGCATTCGCGCTGCTATCCTCTTCAATGCCGCATCTTCTTTCTCGCTCTTCTTGAAGCTTTGCCGTCGACTCTCGGCAGCCGGACCAAGCACCTCCAGCAACCTAAAATGAGTCAACCCAAGCCATCTGCCCACCGGCCCTGTGCAGCGATCATATCTGCCATTCCGCATCGCAATAAATTGGTCCGTGTAGGACTGAAGTTCTTCCGGAATCTCTCCGTCCCTTGTTTGATGCTCCAGTACCTTTACCAGATCAACAAACACAATGTTAGATGGCAACGATGCCAGTGTTGCCCCAAATACCCCTAATGCCTTCATCGAGTCCTGGACGTCAATGCTGACAATACATATAGCTGTATACTCTGCCGCCAACCCGTCAAATAACTCATGCACCTTTTTCTTGGCGTCCTCGTCGTGCAAGTCAAATGTCTCATGCTCGTCGACCTTCATGTAATACGGATTTGGCTGGAACCGTGTGTGTTTCTTTTTCTGCTCTACCATGTGAACCGAGCGCCTGCAAAACTGTCGCGTTGGGTGCCTGTCACTGCTGATAGAATCGAGGATGGGTTTCTCGTCGGGGGACAGGATATTGAGACGAATCATTGGCATGACACGATAGTTGGGGTAGATTTGCCCGTCCGCCCAGTCTATGGTCAGGATGACTACCTGTCGCCCTTTCCAGCAATCCGCGAGCTTGGCATTTTCGGCGGCGCAATCCTCGTGGCGTCGGAGCGTGGATTCGCTGAGAAGATGCGGCATAAATTGCGCCATCCTCCTCGAAGTAACTGACTATTGTTTTTTCCTTGCAAAATGGTAATGGGAAAACGAGCAATGTTGTTGTGACTGAAGCTGAAATTATCCAAGGTCTGTGTCCCAGCGAACATGTCCTCTAAAAGCACTCTGTTCCCGGCCGTCACCCATCAATCGGCCTGTCACCGGGGATTGAGTCACACCGAGACAAGGCGAACTAGAGGGCGGTGCAGTACGGGAACGAACCGCATCATTCCCCGAAAAATGCTACGCATTTCGTAGATTGGCTGAGCGGTACTCCGCTGCTGGGGATTTTAGAGTACGATTTTCCATTTCGCCGCCTGACTATGCTTTCTGCGGCGTGGCGATGAGGAGCTTTGCACTGCCTGTTCCTCAGCTGAAAGGGATACCTGGCTTTCTATTGGCCCATTTCACGTTTAAGTATACGAGGTGCGAATTATTGACTAGGTGTTCGACTCGCAGGATGGGGTTGTACCCTTTGAAACACAACAAGGGCAACTATACAAGGATGAGAGCACGAAAAAAAGAGGGATGATTCTATCGCGAGAGGAATTGCAGGGTTGAATGCTAAGCTCGGCGACTTCAAGACTTATCATCAACACCCCTGTTTTCAATCGCAGCATCATACAAACACTTCGACCGGCTGGGTATGGAAGATTGCTACATCTCCTAAAACCTCTTCAACATGATTGGTATCTTAAACAAATCATTCGCTTTTAAACTTCTATGATTAAGAAGACTTCTTGAGCATTTTCTTGGAACGACGTTGATTCATCCTCTGCCGGTTCCCTAAACTCTTAACAATAGCCTCCCACTCATCCGCACCACTGGAATTGTGTGTCGCCCCCCATTCGAGAAGAAACTTGACAACAGCCTCGTGTCCTCCCTTACGGGCTTCTGATAGTGGCGTGCTTCCTGCCATACTCTTTATACCGACCTTTGCTCCCTGTTGTAAAAGTAATCTTACCATGTCCAGCCGTCCGTAGTAGCAAGCCAAATGTAGTGGTGTACGCCCGCAGTCGTCCTTCTGGTGGACATCGGCCCCCTTATCCAGCAACAATTTCGTAATGGCCAAGTTACCCGCATCAGCGGCAAAGAGAAGGCTCGTATACCCATGACAGTTCGTCAGTCGGACGTCAGCCCCATTATTTAGCAGGAGAATGGCGAGTTCCTCGAAGCCTCTGCCCGCAGCAATCATCAAAGGCGTCAGTTTCAATTCCCTGGTGGCAGAGTTCACGTCGAATCCGCGTTGGATCAGCGCGTCTGAGATTTCTCGAAGATTGAAAAACGCAGCCGCGTGCAGACCCCTCCAGTGTCTGTCGGGAGATAATTGGGCGTAATTACACAACAAGCTGGATGCAACGCCGACGCTGATGTCGTCGGTCAGGAAGTCGACGACGCTCTGTACCGCGGCTGCACATTTGCGAGCGTGATGCCCCCAGTTTTCCGCCGCGTAGCTGAATAGTGAGAGGGGTTCCAGTTCGGGTGGAAGCTTCCCATCGAACCGGCGCGGGTACGTGTACCCGTGGAATGAGAGATATGTGACGCATGCCGTCGATATGTAACTTTGTGCGTTTGGAAAATATTGAGTCTGGGTGGACCTGAAGTACTCTTGCGTGGTGAAATGCGCCAGCCGCACCACGTCGCTGTTTTCGTCTACCGTCACCAAGCCTGCGCAAACTGACAAGACAACTTCAACCTTTCGTATGTTTTCGCGGTCCAGCTTTACATCGCCTTCATTCACGGCGAGGGCGTGCTGAAGCTCCGATGTAGTAAGTGGCCTCTCTGCATGTACGATCCAGGCTAGTGTCTTCATACCGAGGTTTCTGAAACCGGGCAAGTGGTTGTTAATCCTATCCATGGCTTGGTCGTATGTCTGATAAAGCACGTTTCTCTTGTCGTTGTCTGTCGCATGCTTGTTACTCTGGTGTTCGATGTCCGCTAGCGCTTGACGGACTTCAGTTGCTGATGTCTTGTCTCTAAGTGAATCCAGGTATAGCTTTGCTAGAAGAAACCTATTGAAAATATTAGTGTATGATCTTGAAGTTTGTCATCAAGTCGAAAACACATACATCCCATCTGCTAGTCTCATTATCTTCGACTTGATGGCATCTTGCAGATCAGGGGTCTCTGGAATGGACTGAAGGGCCTTTGACAAGTGGTTGTCAACATATTTGTAGACGTCGTCATCTGACGCCTTGATTTCCAGTTTAAAGCAGCCCCTAAACTGTTCTTCAATTTCAGGAATATGGCGTGATGTGCACATGATGTTTGCCCCTACCAGAACTTGGACCCTGGATAAGTACACCAAAAAAGATGATCTGCAATCTCCAGCTGATTGGCATTCGTCAAGAGCGTCGACTATGATAAAAAGTTTCGAATACAAGGTTGAAATAGTGAGTAAAGCCTCCGCCAACTCGGCAGAGGAAGGTCTTGTTCGTGCCCCGGCGTGACAGTCGTAAAGAGCCTTCACGCCCTGCGGAAGATCTTCTAGGCTCTGAGAGAGCTGCTTGAGTAAACTTGCCAGTAAATCTTGCAGGCTCTGCTGGCCATGTCGAAGGTAGTTGCAAAAAATGTACGCAATGCCGACTGTCTTGTCTTCATGAAATTCTTGGCTAAGACGGTCGATAACAACAGAGGTAATGATCGTTTTGCCGGATCCAGGAATACCGGGGCAAAATAATGTCGTTCCTTTGGATTGCATCCAGGTTTGAAACACATTGGACCCAAGGAACCACTGGCCAGTTCCCGGTTGATGCCTGGCAAGGAAATCGCTTTGCTGAGGTCCATAATCGTAAGGTGTAAGCCATTCAAGGACTTCAACATCTTGTTTTTTGGTCATATGTCGTCCCAAACGTTCTACCTTTGACTCAGTTGTTGTAACGATATCATGAACTGCCCGGTTTCTTGTTAGCTGATGCATGCTGGGTAATTTAACTCTGAGTGACTTCGCGCATACTATCTTCGAGCTTTTCCTTTACCGAACGCTCCTCTCGAATCACTTCTGGCTCGACATATCCCAGTAACTCTTTCGCAAATGCAGCAGCGACTGCAGCAGCATGCTCTTGCCAGTCTTTGTTCTTGTGTGAGTCGGCGTAATCACAGATTCCTCGGATGACTAGACACGGAAAGTTTGCCATGAGCCCGGCCGCCTCCATCTCGATACAAAGAACGTTGCCGCCGAGGTCCTTGTTGAGCTTGTCTCTGAATATGCCATCTTTAATGACTTGATTCCCAGACGCAACAAGCCCGTAGTGGACACCCGTTTCCTTAGGCTTGCGCTCCTTGGCTTTCGTCTTGTCGCAATACCGACAATTTTCAGGTTCATCGTCGTCCTCAGAGCCGACGCTCTCTTGGGTTTCGTCTCGATCCATATGGCTACAATCTGCTTTGAACACAACATCGCGTAGAGAATCTGACCGTAAATATTTCGGCGCGAGCCTAGGCCAGTTTCGCTCGAGATCATCCAAATATTCTGGAATCTTGGAGCCAATCATATCGTGGTCGCATTCCAGCCTGGTGAGGGCGGTAAGCAAGAAAGTTGGAGGGTTGTTCAAGGCCCCTGTACGTTCAAATCTACCACCGTCTCTTGTCTTACCCATGTCCCACTGGACGACTCCTGGATGTGTCCCCGACGGTGTGCTGACAACAACATCTCCCAATCTGACCTTTGACGGAATGCCACCACCAATCCCAACCATGAGACCGACTTTGATGGAAGGGAAAGTGGTCACCATCTTTGAAGCCACAGTTGCCGCTGACACGGTGCCGATCTGGCCTTTGGGCAGACAGGCAATTACAATGTTGTGCTTGCCGATGGATCCGAGAGTATAAGCATTGGTGTCGTTTGGTGGCTTCATATTGGGCATATCTGGATGGCGCTCGTCAAGCATCGATATTGCCGCGGTTTGTTCTTTTGGAAGAGCACACACCCAGCCCACCGAGTACGCGTCGTGGCGCAACATGCTGGGGTTCACCATGCGAACGTCCCTAGAGTCATTGCCGAACTCCGTCTCTTCCCTCCGTCCTACTGTGCTCGATGTGTCGGACATGGCAGTCTCAAATTCCAAATACTGACAATTTAGATCTTGCTTCGCTATTACCGACTACATTCTCGGTTTGCGAGTTGAAACCTGTCGATGCCAATTCATTCTTTTTCGGATAGAGGAGTGATACACCGGTTGTGTTAAGAGAAAATGTGTTGGAGTGTATTGTCTCAAGGAATGAGAAGAGACTTGCAGCTACGAAGAATCAGGCGGAGTTATAAGGGGATAACTGATAACAGGGTTCATGGGCGGGGCCATAAAACGAGTGCTCAAGTCAGTCAGCACTAAACGAAGGAAGCAGACAAGGCAGGGTCGATACAATCTTGGCATGCAGGACCAATCATTGCGACCTTTCTTAAGATGTATGGTATGGCTCACTTGTTCAACCAAATCGACAGCTGTCATCGATACCATTGAATGCTACCACAATCACAACCTAAGGTAACCTTTGGATATTGACTACACCCCGATTGACAGCGGCTGTTTTCCACTGGGTTGTAGAAAACCAACCTGATACCTGCACCTCAAATGCAAGAGGGGAAAACTTTACTGGATGCAAAAGCAACATGGTGAACAAGACGACAAATTCTTTCCAGGCACATGAACTCTGGTAATCTTTCAAAGGCTTGCTGTGAGGCATCTCGAGCGCGAAACAGTCATACTCACCAAGTTTCTTATGACAGCCGCTATGAATCACGGACCGGCCACAAACACAAAACTGTCGTTAACTCATTTGATTCCGTAAAACTCTATGAAGCCTTGCTGCCGCTACCCTCACCCTCCTTCTCGGCCTTGTCGCCCTCAGCACCGTCATCCTCAATCTCAACCGTCGCCGCCGCATCATTTAGACCCTCCTGGTTCCCGCTCTCGAGACCTCCGGATTGCGCCAAGAACCAGTCTGCGACCTCGCGCTTGCTGTTGAAAAGGGCTGAGTCGAGAGGAATCTGGTCCTTGTCATTGGCGATGGCCGGAGAAGCCCCGTTCTCGACCAAGAGCTTGACGACCTCGAGGTGGCCGCCCAGACACGCCCAGTGAAGGCCGGTGTTGCCAAACTCGTTGGCGGCGTCGACGTAGGCCTTCTTCTCGTCTGCGGGGCGAGATGCGAAGGCTTCAATCAAGGCTTTGACAGCGTCTGGCGGATTGTGTCAGAATATTTTTTGGTTATTTAAAGTGTTTTCGCATAAAATGCAGGGATTTTGGAGGCAAAAACTCACCAAGGTGGCCGTTGCCCGCGGCCATGTGCAGGCAGGTCGACTTGCCCTCATCCTTGGCGGCGGTGATGATCTCGCCGACGGAGACGCCCTCGCGCTCCGACAGGGCTTTGAGGCTTTCTTGAAGGTCGGCAAGCTCGCCAGCGCGGGAGAAGTAAATCAGATCATCGATCTCATCTTCTGACAGTTTAGGCGCCATTTTGGGTAGATTTTCTGAGGCTCTGTTCTGACCGTTGTGAAAGAGTCTTTCAAGGTGAAGTAGAAATTTTTGAGTAATGTGTGTGGAAACACGGTGCGTAAATATTTATGCATACCCCACACTGTTCTTCCGTCAAAACATTCGCCTGCTAATTAGCTTGAACCATGCGCCCCTACAAGTCTTCCTAATTTCAGAGCAGTAATAGTAAAACCTTTCATATAACACCACAGGCCATGATTTTGAAGTTAGCGGCTGACCATGTGCTCGTCCAGCCATTTTGACATGTCGCCTGCGTGGTCCACAGCTTGGATCTCCGCCTTGATGCCCAAAAATAGCATTACCTGCAGCTCTCGGCGGCATTCCATGTTGTGCTCGTCGACGTCCTCTTGTAAATCTTGCAAAATATGTTTCGAGGCCTTCCTATCTCTTTCGGTAAGGGGATTAGTGGTCTTGAAGCCATTATCGAACAGGTGTCGTCGGTTAAAACCTATGCGCAATGCCCGGCTAGCGGGAGGGGCAAGGCCTTCATTCTCTAACTCGTCTTCTTCAGCCAACGGAGACTGGAAGTTAATGAGGGAGTTACTTTTGACTCCAAGCCACTGCATTGATGGAACAGTAACGCCCGTCTCGTGAGCATAGGCACGCGAACCATGGCTATAGCAGCGCATGATGTTTATCCCATACGGATCGAAGTCAACGAGGCCGAAAATGGGAAGTTCTGGCCTGGCGTGATGAAGTTGGTGGAGAAATTGCCTGGTGTTCAGGTCCGGGACACCTTTACCCTGGGCTCAATGTCAATCAGTGTTTTCAAATGCTGCGAAGGGACTTACTGTAACAAGAAACCCTTGTCCTGCTGCAGACGTGTCCTAGTAGCGTGCCGCAGCCAATGTTCGAAAGGTCGCCTGTGCTTATGAGAGAGAGATCATTCCAACGCATGGAGAGAACACTCCCACCTCCTTCTCAATGACCAAAACCCACTCCACGAGACGGAAATCGATCCGAGCAAGACTTTTTGTCAAAGGGAGAAGTACACCCTGGGCTATGGTAAGCACAAAGCTAGAAGGTAGAAGACTGGACGACATACGGTGTCACTGGATGATGCATCAACCCTAGAAGAGTCTTTCAGGTGCAAGATGAGAGGCCCCGCTATGAGGCCTTTGGCGGCCGCAACCTGACTTGGTTTTGAGAAAACGCAAAAACGATAGGAGGGGGTACTTGCGATGTTGAGGCTGTCCCTTCCTAGTCCGAGAGTATAGGCTAAGTCATCTACTAGCTTGTCGACAACAGACATATTCTTGAACAGAACGGGGTCCTGGTAGTAAATGTTCCTGGTTGTGATATCAGATATTGTGGTTGTGTAAAGAGTTGTAAGTTTGGGCCATTTCGGACCTCTTGGTAATTGGGGTACCTGCGATCAAGGCACTGAGCGATAGTTGACAGATCTTCAACAATCGAGCTAAAAAGGCATGTGTCAATTTGAGTCAGCCAAATCAAGCGAATTCATGAACACACTGAACTTGATAGCCTCATTATCAGTCCTACCAGGGAACCGGACCGCAGAAGTTGCAGGCCGCAAGCGAGGATTGCCTCCCGGGTTGTTGCTAGTCTGCCGGGCACGAGAACGAGTTCTGTAGGGAATTGACAATTCTTGTCTGTCCCATAACGCTTCCTGTACATTAGCCAGGATGTCTTCAAGTTTTGAAATGGCTATCCCAACGGCATTGTTGTCAGGATCCAAGTCCGGGATGTCGACGATGTTGTGAGACTGAGATGGCTGCGAGATTAGTTGACCATGCTGATGGTCTGGCAAATGAGGCATAGCAATATCCATTGAAGGGATGGTTATAGATGAATCGTGAAAGACGTGAAATCTATACGCATCGTCTTGCGCAATGCAGTGGTGATTCAAGGTCTACCTTGATCAGATTTGCCCTGTAGTGGTGATTCAACGTGGCTGACAGCATAGGAGGAGGAACCTAGAAGTGGGAGATACAGCAGGGAGCTGAAAGATGCAGGAACTAATTACTACTAGGCTATTTGGGTGAGGGATGCCACCCCACCCTTTTCGCCATTGGCCAATGGGATGAGTGCCGCTCCCACCCATTCGGCCACCCCTCAACTCCAGTAAGGAAGGAGCACCGAATGGCCTGGCACAGCGAATTGGCTGGGCGGCAGATCGCCCCTCAGAAACACACAGCACCACCACTGGATGGGACGATGACATGGCGCATGGTTTGTGCTCACGACACAGGGCTTCAAGTATCAGAAGCCGCCCGAAGCTTATCTCTGGAGCCCGTGAGCCATGCTATTTTGCTACCAATTACTAGTATGGCACCTGTCAAAAAGGTTTAAGCGTAATCATACGGTTTTTGTGTGTTTCGCAGGACTCGTATCGACGTGATTGACAAAGAAACTGTATCACAGAGGGTAGAAGTTTGTTGCTGAGATGAACTAATTGTTTGTGGTGCTCAGGCCACGGATTCCTTGGGTATCGAGGACGAGAACAATATTGAAGATGAGGTACCTACGGATACAAGTACTGGCAGGCGCCGACTTCGACTGGGCGGCCCCTGAGGCTATTGATTTGCCCCTGTAAATCGCTTGACTCCACTAATTAAAATCATCTTGGGACCAGGGTGTGGTACGACGACGTTGGTGGGTTATTCCCGAGCACATGCAACTTTCCGTCATTTTTTTGGACACCGCCTCAGGGAAACACGCAAGGGACCGCGCTCTTTGCGCCGACTGGGCTGTCATTTAATAAGTGCATTAACACCCGCCGCCAGCATCGTCGTCTCTCCCCACGACAACCCCCCTTTTACCCTTTAGGACCTATATATTGGTCTTCTCAAGGGCCGTACCACCGCCAAGATGGTCGTTGTGAAAAAAGCGCCTTCTGTTGCTTCGAGCAACAGCAACAGTCTTAAGCCGATTGTTTCGAGCAACGGTAACGGTCTTGAGGCGACCCAGTCACGCAAGCGTGTCGCAGAGGCCATCGCCGAGCAAGAATGGCCCAAAAGACCCCGCATCGACGCTAAGACAGACCGTACAAAGTGGCGCATGAAGGACGAGGATGGTCGCCACACCTGGAAATACCTTGAAGACGACGATGCTGCAAAGGAATGGCCCCAAACCTACGCTGACAAGTACTTCTTGGGTCTTCCCACAGTCAGTTAACCTCCCATGCAATACCACGTACATGCCCCGCTAACCAGATATACACAAACAGGACCTCCCAATCCTACCCGAGCCCAATAGTCCCCTCGATGCGACGCTGAATGGTCTTGAATATGTTGAGAAGCTCCAACTGCCCTACGGCGACTGGGGCTGCGAATACGGCGGTCCCATGTTCCTCCTGCCGAGTACCGTTATTGCTCTCTATGTTACGAAGTCGCCCATCTCCTCGGCAAAGGCGACCGAAATCAAAAACTACCTGTTTGCCCGCGCCCATCCTGAGCTGGGTGGTTGGGGACTCCATACTGAGGGTATCAGCACTGTCTTCGGCACGTCCTTGAACTACACCACTTTGCGACTTCTCGGAGTTGACGCAGATGAGCCTGTCATGGTGAAGGCCAGGGCCAGGCTTCATGAACTCGGCGGCGCAACCCAAGGTCCTCACTGGTCCAAGTGGTGGCTTGCTGTTCTTGGTGTCGTAGACTGGGAGATTGTCAACCCAGTGCCGCCTGAGATCTGGTTGTTGCCCAATTGGGTGCCCATTCACCCTCGTCGATGGTGGGTTCATATCCGCCAAGTCTTCCTGCCCATGTCCTACATCTACTCAAGGCGGTGGTCAGTTGAAGAGACGGACGTGATTCGCTCTTTGAAGAAGGAGCTGTTCGTTGAGCCCTGGGAATCCATCAACTGGAAGGTTCACCGAAACGACATCCATCCCGGGGACAACTACCACCCCAAGACGTGGCTTCTCAACACAGTAAACTGGTTGCTAGTAAACGTTTGGAACCCGTACCTGCGTACCAACTACATCAAGGAGCGAGCTGAGGCCTGGGCCAGTGAGCTAGTTGACATGGAGGACGCAAACACCGACTACCTCGGCCTGGCCCCTGTAAACGGTCCCATGAACCACGTAGTGTGCTATATTCGGGATGGTCCAGGTGCCTACACCGTCCGCCGACACACTGAGAGACTCGAGGACTCACTTTGGGTCAACGCCGAGGGTATGCTGGGCAACGGAACCAACGGTGTGCAATGTTGGGACACTGCCTTCATGATCCAGAGTGTAGTGGCCGCCGGTCTTGAGAAGGAGGCTAGATGGCGCCCGATGCTGGAGAAGGCTTTAGGTTTCCTTGACCGCCAACAGATTCGCGACAACTGCAAGGACTCGGATAAGTGCTACCGTCAGCAGCGCAAGGGCGGCTGGGCCTTTAGCAATTGCGAACAGGGTTATGCCGTGAGCGACTGTATCTCGGAGGCGTTGAAATCTGTCATCATGCTGCAAAAGACCGAGGGATACCCTCAGCTCTTGGACGACCAGCGAATCTTTGATGCGGTCGACTGCATTTTGGTGTACCAGAACGAAACCGGTGGCGTGGGTTCCTACGAAAAGCGTCGTGGTGGCGAGTATATGGAGATGCTTAATGCTGCAGAGGTGTTTGGTCGCATTATGATTGAGTATGACTATCCCGAATGCACAACCGCTTGTGTTACAGCCCTGTCGCTGTTCCGAAAGCATTGGCCCGACTACCGCAAGGACGACATCAGGGTTTTCATCACCCGCGCCGTCAACTGGATTCGCTCTCACCAGCACTATGACGGTTCCTGGTATGGCAGTTGGGGCATCTGCTTTACATACGCTGGCATGTTCGCGCTCGAGAGTTTGGCCAGCATGGGAGATGTCTATACGACCAGCAAGGTCTCCAAGAGAGGGTGCGAATTCCTCATTTCGAAGCAGAGAGAGGATGGAGGTTGGTCAGAGAGCTACAAGGTAAGACAAGACACTGAGTCTATTCCGCGGCGAGAAGAGCTTTGCTAATGATACTAGGCGAGCGAGACGATGGAGTACCACGAGCATCCCAGTGGCTCCCTGGTCGTGCAGACTGCCTGGGCCCTGATTGGTTTGATGGAGGCAGAGTACCCCCATATCGAGCCTCTTCGCAAAGGCATCCAGTTCCTCATGGACCGCCAGCAGGCGAACGGCGAGTGGCTGCAAGAGGCCATGGAGGGCGTCTTCAACAAGAGTTGCACCATCATCTACCCCAACTACAAGTTCAGCTTTACCATCAAGGCACTTGGCATGTTCGCACGCAAATATCCCGACGAAAAGATCACGCCTGGCATTAGCGGCAAGGCGGAATAAAGATTTGGACTGTCTTTCTCAGATCTGGAAGTACATAATTAGAATATTCCTTAATGTTAATGAGATAAATGATTCTATTCAAGTAAACAAACCGTTGGACCCATTGTTCTGGAGACATTGGCTTGATGCATGAGCCTCAGATTCAAATCAAAGTGAGGGTGCTGATGACTACTCGTGGACAAATCTCCGGTGAGCCTTCTGGCCTCGGTGAACAAAGGCGGTCAGATGCCAAAATGCGGGGTGGCCCAAGCTCGGCGGCAGAAAGTCGAACTGAGGCAGTTACCCCACCACAGCTTCCAGAACAGTCTGAAATCAACCTTGTGAACTGCATCTTCTTCGTTGCATGTTTACCAACCCCCAAACTGCCAAGACTACCTTATTCTCGGTTACAAATCGAAAATTAACCATTTCTACTCTTACTCATTCTTTCAAGTGTTCTTCCAATTAATAGCAACCCCACAAGCTAAACGACGAACCATTGAAGAAAGATGTCCGAATACACCGCCGCCAGCGCCGGCATCGCCGCCGTCGACGCCAAAAACTGGGATGAAGCAGTCACCAAGCTTACCCAGGCCCTCAAGACGACCCGCTCCCCCAAATGGCTCATTGCCCGCTCGAAAGCCTACATCGGAAAGCAAGACTACGCCCGCGCCCTCCGCGATGCTGAACTAGCCTACGCTGCCGCCGCATCCCGCGGCAACCGCGACCTTATCAGGGAAGCGCAGCATCGTCGTGCTGTCGCGTATTTCCGCCTTGGGCAGTATGCCAACGCCGATGCCTGCGCGACTTGGGTGCAGAGGATGGTCGAGGGCAAAAACACCTCCGATCCTGCTTTCCGCAACCCTGTTGTTGACGAGAAGGGCTTTGCGACTGCCACGAGGCAGCAGTTGACCGAAGAGATGAAGGCGGCCGAAGCGGAGAGGAATGCCAAGTCTGGTGGTGCTGGCGGTATGTCGGCGGAGGGTAGAGCCCCTGCCGCTTGGAACTCTGCTTGTGCGCTGCGGCTGCAGATTCTAGGCCAGTTGGACAAGGTCCCTGCGGATGACGAAAGGCGCAAGGTGACTGTCAAGTTTACGCCCAATGTTTCATTGGACGATTTCGACGCCGGCGAAGAGCAGTCTGTGGAGAAGAAGGAGGAGAAGGAGGAGCTGAAGGCTGCGGCTGCTGAGTCGATTCGCAAGCCTGCGCCGCAGACTGACGTGAGAGTGGATTTCTTCCAGAGCAACACTACTATGTCTGTGTCTGTCTTTGCGAAGGGTGTGCCAAAGGATGAGTTCAAGGTGGAGTACGGCGAACAAGAGGTATGCACACACCCTTACATAGCCGTGAATGCAGTCGATAGAAGCTAACGAAACAAAAACAGCTACGCATGAGCCACATCCCAGGACATGAGCCCTGGTTCACTATCCCTCTCTGGGGCCAGATCGACGCTACGGGAAGCAAGCACACCGTCACTGCAAACAAGGTCGAATTTCAACTCAAGAAGGCCCAGGCAGTCAAGTGGCCCACCCTTCGTCGCGATCCCAATGTGGCTCCTTCCGCAGCTCCAGCACAGGCGTCTCCGGCTCATCAGCCAAAGCCAGTTGCTCCAATTGCAGAGCCCGCAAAGAAGGAAGGCCCCGCGTACCCGACATCCTCCAAATCCGGCCCCAAGAACTGGGACAGCATTGGAGCTGACGAAGACGATGATGAAAAGGACATCAATCTCTTCTTCAAGAGCTTGTACAAGGGAGCCACACCGGAACAGCAGCGCGCCATGATGAAGAGCTTCACCGAGAGCAACGGCACCGCGCTCAGCACCGACTGGGACGACGTGAAGGACCGCAAGGTGGAGACACAGCCCCCCGAGGGCGTCGAGGCCAAGAAGTGGGAATCTTGATTAGGCCGAGTATACGGGTCCATGAGATTACAAACACGGCGTTTTCTGTTTCAGTATGAAGGGTACTATATATATGTGTATGACTTGACTTGCATTACGGCATTGCAAGAGCAATTCTGCTCATTGGCGTGGCGTTGGGATTCGGTAGTCAAAAAGGGCAATCGCTAGCTAGCATTTTAACATGAAATGACAGAAGGGAAGGACTCTGTCGTTATTCTCTACGAGAACTGGTATCTATGACATGGCGATGTATAGTTTTAAGCTGGCCAAACGAATGACTGGAAACATTCAAAAGCTCGTCGTGTAATGACTGTTGACCTTAAGGGCATGGCGCGCGCGGGTTTTACCTTGTCACCTTTGACGGCTCTTGTCATTGCGCAGGCTGTTCAGCGTACTGACGAAGTCCTCATCGGCAACGTACGTGCCCTTGAGCCAGCGACGACCGCTTCCCGTGTCAAAGGCGCGGCGCCCATGAAGCACACGCCGGTTATCAAAGAGCACGCACTCTCCAGGCTGAAGCTTGTACTGGAACATGTTGTCGCCTTGTTCCAAGATCTCCTGGAACTTCCTGGCGGCCTTGTGCCAACTGCGCCAGACCTTGGAATCGGTCGTGATGTTGGGGTTATGGAACGGGGCCTGGAACGGCGGCGACCACCAGACCTCGGCGGAGGCTGCACTTTTGCCCAGGAAGTCAAAAACGGGACGTTGTTGACGGTAGTAAAAGCCGTTCTTGCTGTAGTGGTAAGGGACCTTGACCTTGTTGAGCACATTGAACATGTTTTTATCCAGGTTCTCGAGTGTTTTGGCAGCCTGGAAGGCGTCGCTGAAGATGGACTCGCCGCCGGAACACGAGTTCTCTAGGCAATGGAGGAGTTGAATACGGGGAGGTGATTCCAGGTAGAGCATGTCTGAGTGCAGACCCAGGTATGAAGACGTATACGCAACGTTCTCGGCATCAGGCTTGGAAATGACGTCCCACGTGCGGCCGTAGAACGTCTCCTTTACGGCGCCAAATCTCAGCGCAATGTCGGCGACAGCGGTCTCGGTTTGAGGCACGTTGGTAAGGAATAGGAGGCCCATCTCTGCGAGTCCGCGGGCGCCGTTCCGGAGGGCACGACGGTCAGCGATAAAATCATTGTAGTCGATCTTCTGCAGGCGCGGAGCCAGCGTCTCGTTGTTCCAGAGGACGCGACGAATGGGATTTCTATCGAACGGGGTCTTAAGAGGAGCGTATGCTTGAGGCTGCTCGCTAAAGATTCGGTGCATGCTTTGTGTCCCCTCGGCAGGGAACACAGACACATGACCGGCGGCGGCAGCACGGGGAACGTCGTTCTTCCAGGTGATGTGGACGGAGCCATCGGGTTGTTCTGTGACGCTTTCAAACTCGAGGGTTTCGGGGATCTCGGCAGTGGAGAAGGACTTGTTGCCGGAAGATGGGCTGATGCACTGCGGACAGGGACAGCGGTCTCTCAGGTAGACAGCGTCAAAACTGCGGGTTTTGGTAGTCTGTTGGTCGGGCTTGTGGCGGTAGACTTTAAGTGTTTGGGCGTCCGCGAGCTCGTAACGCATAGGTGCCGTAAGGCGTCGATGTTGGTTCTTCAAGGCTTTATGGAGAAGTTGGGCCGAATCGAGATATGATCGAAGGGATTCCTTGAATTCTGCGGGCGAGGCATAAGGGCTTTGGCGAGTGGAGGTCTTGGCCTCGGGAATGGGGACAAAGACGTCTGCATCCTGGCGAAGGGCGGCAGCTTCCTGGGTCTTGCGGGAAGTAGAGTGAACGCCTGCGAGAGGAACGTAGGCATATGGTCGGCCAGGGAGGCGAGAGGATAGACAAGGTCTCGATCTCGTCTCTTCCAGAGTCCGCGCCGCGCGCGAGGCGGACCGGATAGATGCCCTCATCGCCATGTCAAGACCGAGATCGGGGGGCTCTCGTGGTCAGTAAACAAAGGACAAGCAACAGAAGACGTCGTGAGATGGCAGCTACTGGGAAGCTGACGAGAACGAAGAAGACGGCGTCGGAGGTAGAGAAGTTTGAAGAAAGGAAGTTGTTTTTCTCAGCTAGCCGGAGATTCCATCGTGTCTCAAAAGGCAAAGGGCAGAAAATGGGTGGACAATGGCACGATTAAAGAGGGCAGCACAGGGGGTTGGTCCAATATCTTTGTCGCTTTTGCCGATAGCTTCCCCGCGGGGTGGAAGCTCCCCAATTGAGTGTTCAGGGGGGCAGCTATCCTGTGGCAGGGAAGCTAGGTGCCGTAAGGAGGGGCCGAACCTCGGTCGGATGGCATTTTTCTTTTCTTTTGTTTTTCGTTTAGGTGGGGGAAGTCGAGTACTGGAGGGACACAATTTTACGTCATTCACAGCACAGGCCTTCTTTTCACATGCATTTATGGAAATTGTGCATTTTACTCTGATTTGCTTCAGCTGCAATCTGATCTGATATAAGTTGTGTCTCTGTTTACAATTCCTCCAATCTTGAAAGTCCACTTTCATTTTGCAAACCAACAATTGATACCAGCATTACAGTTGTCGCTTGAGAAACCGTTTCAAGGTTGCCAATACGAAATATCCTCAAGTTGCCAAAGTCCTCATGTCACATGCTAACAGCACAGTCAAACAAACAGTGCAACCTCGTGACCTCCACAACTCCTCCAAGCCCCAGCCGGACGACGGGAATCTCATGCGGCGTGGCTTAGCCTCCTTCACATGGATACTGCAAAGCCTGGGCCACCCGCGAAACGCAGCATCTGATTATCATTTTCCGCAAATTTCTTTTCTGGCTGTTTTGTGGCAGCCGACGGTCCTTAGAATTCGCCATCCCGCATGTAAATCCGAACAATTGCCCGGCGGTTGTTGCGGCTGAAGGACCAGGGTTGCTAGCATGCCCGTATGGAGTTCTAACATGGATTGATTTGTGAACTCTTTCCCGGCTTGACATTATTACATCATCTTAATTATATGTTTTAGGGCCAGGCAAATCCACTCCTCCATAGGTGGCCAAGAGCCCAGCAGAAATCCACACGCAACCCGTTTGTTTTCTGGTAACTGAGAAGTCGATCCATGGGCTACAACATGCTCAAATCAGACATCGAGATACACCAACTACGTCACAATAAAGCTTTGAGATGCTAACATTTCTCATCAACCGATGAAAATTATCACTGTCAAACTCGACGTTGATAGCGGTGCCATTGCCTTGTTTCAAGTTTTGTACATTGTCTTACTAAACTATAGACAATCAAAATTGGTATATGAAAAATCAGCCTGCCATCCCGGCAGACCTACTACATCGGTTCTCTTCCGGAAAAAAATCCCACTCTCAACTCCTGCTGTTTAGACAGAGGAGCTGTTAATAGCCTTCCAGATCTCGTCGCTAAGAGCCTTGTCGGGGTTGATCCAGGAAGAAAGCGCGGGCTTCTTCTGGATCAACAAGTCGTCAACGAGTCTGCCAAAGACCTTGCTTCCCTCGACGTTGAGGTGGGTGTTGTCACCGTCCTTGAGGTTGTAAGAGTGAGCCTTGGTCTCGCCAATGGCCTGCACGAACTTGCGGCTGTAGAGGTTGAGGTCGATGTAGGTAGCCTTGGCTTGCGAGGCGGCGGCGATGGTGCGCTGGCGCTCGTTGGAGAGGTTGTTGGTCACAACGCCGTTGGTGAAGCTGCGGCGGGTGAGGGGGGTGACGAGGATAGGGGTGGCGCCGAGGGCCTTGATCTCGTTGGCAAGCTTAACCAAGTTGGCTTGGTACTGGTCGAGGGAAATGTTCTTCTCAGGCTTTTGGTCGTTGTGGCCGAACTGTCATGGGATATCACGTCAGTTTCTTTGCTTCTCATGATAGGAGAGGAGACAAGTCCCAAAGAGGGAATGAGAGGACGATGAGGTCTCACCTGAATCGTGACATAGACGTCAAAGTTCTTAGCGTTGTCTTGGACCGCCTTCTTGACCGTCGCCCAGTGTCCCTGGCTGACGTAGTCAACCGTCGTGCGACCGTTGCGGCCATAGTTGGTGCCGAAAGCGGGCTTCTTCAGAGAGGCGAGGAAACCATCACCCCAACCACCGCCGCCGGTGGACTGTACCGCCGTTGTCGAGTCGCCGGCGAGGAAAAAGGCGGGAGGCTTGGCCTGTCTCGGCTCCGAGGACGGTGCGGCCAGCGCAAAGGCGGGAAGGAGAGCGGAAAGAACAGTTTGGAACTTCATCTTGCGTGCAGTTGGTCGATACTGTCTGGGGTAACTGAGTAACTAATGACCTCTTGTCTTTACTCAAACGAAACAACAGGTGAAGCTATCGTCCGAACAGAGGCAGCCCTCTGGGCTCCTCTTATAAGAATCCGGTTTCAAACAAGAAAAAAGCCCTGCCGACCATCCCGTCTCTAGCTCCCTTGAAACCTTACTCTCAATTAAGGAAGCCAAGCGGTCGTATCCAGTCACATCATCAGATTAACTTCTCTATTCGTTCCTAGTCCGGTACGACTCTGTCTTAGAAGGTTGTATACACGTACAGATTCCCTGAAGGGGCTCCCCCTGGGCGACCGGGGATGATGCTGGGAGTTACGGAGCCACGCGGGACCCACGATGGATACTTTGATTTCTTCCGTCAATGGAATTACGAGCTCGAGCGCTTCCCATCCCATACTTGCTACACCTCCATTGGCTCTGGCTCTGGGCTAAGCTTTTTCAGGGCAGAAAGGGGGTATGGCAACATGGGATTGAAATGTGTTGATTTTTCCGACAGCTACGTTGCCAGCTTTCGGCGCGTTGATCCCCAAGGTCGATCTAGGCTAGAATACGTCAGCCGCTGCAGCTCAAAGCACGCAAATCGGCACCCCAATCCCGTCTGGGAGGGGAAAGCTGCACGTCGGACGAGCGGACGGCACATATTAAGCGTAATCCTTCGGACGGATCTAGAAGCGCGCGAGATCGCGGGGAGGGGGGTTTCCAGTAGGTAATCAACTGAAACCTCTCCGGAGAGTCCACGTGCTGCGGGGTCATCTCGGTCCCTGGAATTTAATTCACCGTCGCAGTTCGTCCAATTTCAGCGCGGGAGACATCCTCTGTACTACGGGCTCATCCGGCCAAGGCCTTGGTAATGCTCTGAAAGCAGTAAGTAACAACCGAAGGCAGGGTTTGCCCAAGAGGGGCGATACGATGGGGAGCTTGTTCACAGCTGCTGGGTGCAGAGAGTGCTTAATGAAAACTTGACTCGTAAATTATGGGACGATATAGTGTTTCCAACAGATTGCCTCGTTATCATCATACATTGTTTTAAACATAAAAGACATGGCGGTTTGATAAGGGGTATTTTAGTAAAAACTTTCAAGTCGCTCGCAATTCCCGTCGAAAATGCCGTCTTCCGGAGCCTCCGTTTGCATATTCATACAGCTTAGCCTCATCCAAGTGGAGAGCACCAACGTTCAATATCCCCGAAAGTCGTGTAACAGTGTATCTCTCATTTCGCCGCCCAAAACCTTAAGCTTCTAGCTTTTTCTCGTGATCAGTAAAAACTGCCTTTCGCCGTTTTGGTCATTTCCCTCAACGACCGCCTATATGAACACATATACCTGTTTCGTGGTTACCGGTTTCGGTTACTCGACCACCGCTTAACCATGACCTCACGAATTTTGTACAATTTAAAAACCTCCGCAGGCCCCCCTTTCTTCAGTGCCTCATCAAACTGGGGTGGCGGGGGCACATCAACGTAGACAAGGACCAAGCTCTTCTGTACGTGCGATAGTACACGAACCACCCCATGAAGCCAGTGCCATGTCTTGCGCGGAAGCTGACGGTCGCTCTCTTTCCACCATCTGTCTGAGTACGATGGCAGAATGATGGCGCCGAATTCTGCGTGGTCGAAAACCGGTCCCTTGGCGTAAAGCATCCAGTCGACACCGAACTTGATACCAGGGCGAGGCACCCAACCAAGTGAGCGGAAATGGTGGTAGACCGCGTAATTGACGAGGAAACCATCGTCGGGTTGGAGGTCGGAGTCCGCACGGGAGGGAAAATACGAATATTGCCGGAATATGTTCAGAAGATCCGGGGTGGGAATAGGTGATTTTGTGGTAGGGTCAACAACGCGAAGAGCGCCAAGGCCGAAGGACAGGAAGAATGCTTCTTCAGTAGTAAGCTGAAGGTGCTCCTTGTTCACAACCTCTGTGGGCTCAGAGACCGAAGAGATGTCATCGTCTGCAGTCTTTGGCTTATCCACAAGTGCATTTGTTTCTTCATCCGCTTCTAAGACACTAGGCCCCAGAGGCGTACCATTGAGAGGCGGTGTGGCCTTCCCGTTCAGCAGAGCATAGCTCGGACTGGGAGGGTCGGACAGTTGATAGGTTGCCGACTCGACCTTTGGCGAAAAACGCACGCTTTTCCGGCGCTTCAAAGGCTTGGGCGTCGATGGTAACTCCGTCGCTGTAGTACTTCCAGCCTTGAGTGTGTATGGCACGCTCGTGCTGTCAACAGTTTTGTCACCATTGACGCCATCGATCAAGTCATTGATCAGGTGACCCGTCATCATTTTAGGGTCACTCTTGGCGCCATCAGGGATTGTCGACGGCTGGACTTTCACGGACAACCCATTGACAACGCTCTTGGTGCCGTTGCTTTGGTCGATGTAAGTTCCGTTGACGGAAGATGCGTGTGTATTGGGAAGACAAAGCAGCTCCAGTGGTCCGACAGGCGCAGCACTGGCTGGAGCGAACGATGATGCATGGCTGCCAGCCAGCGACGCTGACTTGGACATTCCATTTGGAACCACGTGAATGCCTTCAACGTTGATCTTGGTCTCCGAATGCAAAACTCCAACATCGTCTTTGGGTATGATTGCAACATGATCATCCTGCCCATCTGTCGCCACCCGAGCGATGTCAGAGTTGGGTAAACGAAGGATCTCTAATGGACCGATTGGGGCGGATCCGACAATGACCTTGGCCTGCTCAGATGCTCGGGGGGTGTCGTTAGGCTCGACGATCGTAGGTGAGATTGGCGGTTGAACAGGCGTCTGAACTGCGCACGAGATGACATTGACCAGTCCAGCATGCGAATCCAACACAGGTTGGAGAGACGGAGAAGGCACAACACCCGGTTTAGATTCGGTAGGTGTAATTAAGGACTTGTCCTTGGTCACGATGGATGTAGCTTGAACAGAAGATTCTGGCCCAGCCTCCAGGTCGATAGGGGCAATGGGCTCAGGCAAAGAGATCGCTTCGGCCAGAGCCTCTGGAGCATGGCCATTGGGAGTATTAAAGGTGACATCGGTAGCGTTTACTGTATCCATAGGAGCACCAGTTGTTTGCAGCGTTTCTTGGAGCCGCCTCTGACGAATGATCTCTTGCTCGGATTTGGCCCGCTCCCATTTCATCTGCCTGCGCTCTTCGCGGCGGCTTGCCGTAACTAACTCGCTGACCTGACCTGGTACCAGCCCACGGCGTACTTGCTCGCGCTTCAGCCAGTTAGGCTCACTACGACTTAGGTTGCCCTTGCCATAGAACCCCTGTTCCCATAGCGCGCGCATGGACTTCTCGTCGACGACGTTAACAGACTTGGATTGGGGAGACCAGATACCCTCGTACACCACGGAAGGCTCAGCAGGAGGCGGGAAGAAAGTTTGCTTTGTCCATGCGAAGAGGATGTGGAAAAGAGAAATTGGATTATTCGGATAAAAGCTAGGAAGCGGGAACGTTCGTATAGGAGCAGGCAACTCGTAGATCTTGTGCAAAGGAGGGCCTCTCGGCCGCGGCGTTGACGAGCCTAGAGCGCTCTGCTGCCCGGGTGTCCCAGCCGGTGAGGGCTGGGAAACCACATTCTTAGTTTGGGACATTTTCTAGCAAGTCATGACTGTCTTTGGTGACTTGTTAGCAAGTAATATTTATACAAGCACCGCCAAAACGGAAAACAAGACAATTAACAAGTTCGCATCAGATACCGTTGTAGTCTATATTTGAGCATTCATCGAGGTTCAATGAAGACGCCTCTTCGCACAAAATGGGATTGGTGTCATCATAGCAAACGAGGCTGTAAGGTCAACTGGGAAACACATTACCATTGTGCGACGTTGATGTACGCGCGCGACAATAGAAGTATTGCCCAACTGCCAACGCCATTCTGGAAGAAAGGAAAAAATGCGTAGGATAAGCTTGGAACTTACATTTTCAAAAGTCATCCACCCGTCCTGCCGACAGATTGCCCGTCAATTGGGCCATTCAAATCGAAAAATCACCCCACGAGCTGGAGGCACCTCGATCCTGTTCGGCAGACGTGTGGTAAGGTTGAAAGAAGTAGGTCGCAAGAGCCTGTGCAGAAAATTTCTGAGAAGATAAAGGGTTCCGCTGTACCCATCGGTTGCTTCCGTCCCCACCTTCTGACTCTTCTCTTTTGCCGGAAAAACTCGGCATCTTGGATGACATGTGGCTTAACCGACATTCGCTTAGAGTTAAGCCACATTCCTTCAGCCTCGCCAGCCCTACCTCAGCTGCCTCAATCGCAAGGCGATAACAAAAGGCTCGTGCTCGCATAAGCTTTGGGAGCTTTTTGGTGGGGCTTTGTTGAGTTACAATGCCACGCAAACGTGGACACCTCCGATATCCCTGATTATTGGGACACCACAATCTCGTCACCCACTTACTTCTTAAATATCGTTGCCTGGGTCTTACTTGGGTTTCTTCCTTTTTCTTTCCCCGGCTCGTTTCTCACAAGGATTCATTTTGACCGGCTTTGCAATGGATTTGTGACGAGGCGCACTCTGAACTTCCTACATCTTGCATTTATGGCGTTTGGTTTCACCTAGCGATAATTCATTCTAGATCGCACTTCATTGATACCCACTTTCTCCGTCTTCGGCACAACGCAGTAGTAACTATCTTGCGTCATGGCAGATATGTCTTTAGCGGCTCAGGCTGCAGCAACTGTCTGCCTTGTCTGGAGCACTTTCGTATACATTGTGCAGTCGATTGGCATCGTTAGAATGCAAGTCAATATCCTAGATGGTGGACACTGTCTCCCAGTGCTGACCTGACCACAGCTTCTTGTCTTACTCGTCCCGACCCAAGCCTTCCGTTTCCTCCTCTCTCAAGAAAGAAGATGTGCCTCACGTCACAATCATCCGTCCTGTAAAGGGTATCGAGCATGGTCTTTACGAATGCATCTCCTCCACGTTCCATCAGGATTACCCGGCCGATAAAATGACAATCTACCTGTGCGTGGCTGAGAAGAGCGATCCGGCGTATCCGCTATTGAAGAGCCTGGTGGAGGAATATCCCGGTTTTGATGTGCATGTACTCGTGGAGGAGGAGGACCCTCTGCTGCATGGTCAGCAAGGCCGCATTGATAACTTGGGACCGAACCCGAAGATCAGAAATATCAGTCGCGCCTATCGTGAGGCCAAGGGTGACATAATCTGGGTCATGGACTGCAACATCTGGATTGGCAAGGGAGTTGCTGGACGTATGGTGGATAAGCTAATGGGTTACGGACCAGGAGGCAGTCAAGTCAAACCGTACAAATTCGTACATCTACTGCCCATTGTTGTCGATACAGCTTCTCATCGGGATGCTTCACAAGGAGAGGCTCAGACACTTTTGTCTTCTGGGTCTCTGTCTGGGTCTTCTCATGTGCACAGCAACTCCTTACTCGATTACATCCAAGCTCAGGGCGGAGGAAGACTGGACGAGATGTTTATGGCCACGACTCACGCCAAGTTTTATGGCGCAATCAACACAACAGGCATTGCTCCTTGCGCCGTCGGCAAGAGCAACATGTTTCGCAAGTCGCACTTGGACAAGATTACGGATCCCGCCCAGAACCCAGCTCTACCCCCTGGTAAGCCCCTTCCTCTGGGCATTGACTACTTCTCTGAATACATCTGCGAGGACCACCTCATCGGGGACTACCTCTGGAAGGCCAGCCTGCCTGGGTTCAAGAACCATGGTCTTGTTGCCGGCGACATCGCCGTCCAGCCCATGGCTGGGATGTCAATCAGCGCCTACTTTCACCGCCGTGCTAGATGGCTGCGTGCGCGCAAGTGGACGGTGCCTGCTGCCACGTTAGTGGAGCCCGGTGTCGAGTCGCTGTTGTGCTGTGGCTACTTTGCTTTCGCTGTAACGACGCTCCCATGGTTCAACAAAGTATTTGGCACTGCTCAAACCTGGGGAGCGTTTGGGTTATACTGGTTGGCCTTTGTGACCATCTGGATGACCTGCGACTGGTTCACATACAACCGGCTACATGCTGGATACACTATCGAGGTCGATGAGAGCACCCCGAGATTTGCAAGGGGTACAAAGACCCCCGGCGGCGCTCCACCGAGATCATTCCTTGAGTGGTTGCCTACCTGGATCGGTAGGGAATTGCTTGCACTTCCAATTTGGACTTGGGCCGTCTTTTGTGGATCTACCGTGACATGGAGAGGCCGGAGCTTCACTGTCCGATCTGATATGAGTGTTGTCGAGATTGGTCAGCAACCAGCTAGCATATCCGAAGGTGGCAGAAGATCTAGAAGTAAAGATCGATTAGATTAATGCAGTAATACCATGATCATGGTACCAACACCCCTGGTATCACTGATGTCTGTCCATCTTGCCTTGTTCACCATTCTCATCAACACCGAAGAAGTCTCCTGTCAAATATCATAGCCTGAGTTCCTCATGTCAGCCAACACTTTTTCAATGACGTCCCCATCCGCCTTGAACGCCATCATGGCCGCAACGTCTCGTGCCTTAACCCACTCCAATCTCACATTCTCATCCCAAGGTGCCTGCGCCACCTCCACCGGAACGTCCCCCTCATCAACTTTCGCCGCGAACCAAAACACCATCTTGAGCGCCCCGGTGTAGATGCATGGATATACACACACGGAGGAGGGTTCGGAGTTCAGCAAACCGTCAGTGACATCCGGATTCTCACCAACAGGAAACGTCCCCTCAAGAGCCTGACTCGGCGTCGCGCGTGTAGCGACTTTGAGGGGCAACGCCTCGACTTTCAAACCCGTCTCTTCACGCGTCTCTCGGAGAGCTGTAGCGAGAAGATCCTCGCCAATCTCTTTGCGGCCCTTTGGGAGCCAGACGGTGCTGTCAACGCTGTCACGGAGGACGGCAATTTTCCGCGTAGAAGGATCGACGGGTACGGTCCCGCAGGAGATGAGGATGTGATTGGAAGGGTAGTGGCGCTGTTGAGTTTGGAGGAATTCCGACTTGGCTGCGTTAGGATTGGCTTCGCACGCGGCCATTGTGTTTATCACTTTGTGGTTCGAATGGGAGACAATGTAAGCACGACAGAAGATTTGAACTCTGGACAGAGATAATTATTAGGAGCTATCATCGGTTACTGGTAACTGGTGTGACGTTCAAGCCGGCCACCGGATGAGTCAGGCCGAGTCTATCTTTGGGGTATCGGTGGCGTTATTGGCAGCCCAGCCCGTTTCTAATTGCTCCAAACATGTGGGCTTGTTGTGTCTCACTGTTACGCGGGCTTGTTCAACTGCCTGTTTGGTGAGGTTTTAAATAGCCCCATACAGCTGTCACCTACTACTCCATGCTCAATCCGTCAAACCGTGTCGTTTCACGTTCATGAGCTCTTCGGTGAGAGAACAGTCATGAAGACAGGGCAATATATGCCTTCGGTCCATCCCACACATGAATAAAGAGGTATCATTATCTAACATGTTCTCTTCTTAAGAACGCTTATGAGGAGTGCAAACGCAGTCCAGGCCCTCTAGTCGGGGCGACGAATCCAGACGAGCAGGTTACCATTGCCATGGGCATACTCGGCTCCTTGAACCATGTTGTCCGCGCGAGTGCAGTGGTCCATCACGTAACCAGCGCCGCGGGCAACGTCGTTGCTTTGCACAAGATTAGCATATCGCCCGAGAAAAGCTAAGTGATGTTTTCTTCTTCTTTTTCCTTGATGACTTACCAAGACGAGGAAGTAGGATTGAGGCCGCCTCTAACGCCAGTAATCTGGGCACGACCATGGACACAGAAGACGGTCACAGTGTCGACTCTGCACTCCGCACCGCCTCTGCGAGCGACGTCGTTGATGCACCACACTGCATCAGGTACCTGGATATATATTAGCCTTCCGCTGGATATCATTCGCAGCATAGTGCAAAGTATCGACATACGTAAGCCTCGGTGTTAGGGATCGTGTTGCACCAGTATCGCTTCTGAAGAAGACCGCTGTCTGGCACAGGGCTGGTCTGGTCGATGGACGCACGCCAGGCCTCTACAGCCTCATCTGGCGTCAAGTTGTCTCCATCGGGATTCGCGATGATCCCCTCGATCCATTGGGCGAAGGAAAATACCTCGACAGTGTCTGACTGGGTGGCGGCAGGAGCGGCTCCGGCGAAGGAGGCAAAGGCCAGGGCAGCCAAGGTAGGGAGAGCTGAATTGACCATTTTGATATGGGCAGCCCTCTTAACTTGTTGTTGGTCTTCCTACTAGTAGGCAAAGAAGCCGAGAAACATGCTGGTGGCTTTTGGGTGCGTTATATACTCCATGACTAACTTCCAAAACTTGAGCCTCCTTCCTGATCAGGCGTGATATTGAAAGCTGCCTGTCTACACAAGTTCTTTTGCTTCGGTTCAAAACCTGTTTCCCTGATAGATTATTCCCTTAAATTGCTGATTTGTCCGGGAAGATGCCGTCCCCCGGCAGAACTCTCCACACGAGCCGAAGGAAGTCCACAAACAAGTTGGGCGATGTGAATGGAAGAGGGGCATCGCTTCGCCCGGCTGGGCAACGCACAACTTTCTGTTCCGTCTCCACTCCCGGGCCGCGGCTGTTCAATAACAAAGAAGGTTGTGCTAGCGAGTTGTATAGGCGTATCCTGGTCTACCTAGTGCTGCAGCATCGTCATATTTCAGCTGGTCAAGTCCTATAGGCGGCCCGATATACTATGTCCATACTCGGGTCCGGCTATTCGCGCATGCATGCAGCTATACATGTAGTGATCCACTGAGGAGAAGTATTGGACATATCTTGTCGGCCGTCGCTTATATGATGCCTTGTAAGGCTACGCGGGGCAAGATGAACATGTAAGATTTTAGATCGTTTCCAAGGATTCATTGCATATACGTGATGCAACATTCCGAGTCCTTGGCTGCAGCCTAAAATATATATCTCAAGGATTCCTTTTTTGTCTTCAATACGTCTCAGCGGGTCTAATGCAACATCGTATGGGTTGGGGAGTGAAAGACATGGAACTATCGGACGAAGAGTGCCGGGACTCTTCCGAGGGTTTTTGGCGATGCATGTCCGCCCATAATATTCTGCATTCCTTTACGTGCAAAACTATTGATCCTGTGATCCTATGACCCTATCTCGGTGAAATAAAGACTGGGCCAGGTCATCATGTGCACCCCCGCCAGCGGCCACTCTTTTGCTGTCTACATGGAGCTTTACAGCAGGTGCGCACCTCGCTGGTGGATAAGGCAGAGGGGCATATTAATAAGTTATTGCCTGCGGTTATTGAGCAAACTGCATCCCAATACTCAATAGTTGCAGGGCTTTGAGCTCCCTGCCACCCTAAGCGATGGCCCGACGGTTATGAAGGCAGGGTTCTCAAGAAAATGCTGTGATGCTAAGGCTTGACTCATACTCAGCAGGACAGGCATATCAAGGAATGTGTGTTCAGATCATTACGGTACTGTATTGTGATTGTGATGTCTGTCTGTATGCGAGGTCATACTGCATTATAGAAAGGTTTAGCCTATTTAGATACCAATTTCAAAACAGGAATCAACGAAACAGTCCAATCAAATAACATAAATTCCACCCAATTTTGGATAGCAGTAGTTTGGGTTCAATGTTCTCTTAAAAACTTTGCAAAATGACTATGTAAGAGGTCAACGTATTTGCCAATTTCAAATCAACTGCGAGAGTCACTTTTCATTTGTGTCAAACCAGTAAAACAACTATCCCAGCAGGGTCCTTGAGCTTGGAAATTGAAACTGACAGCATGTTTTCTTTTCAACAGCTGACTCCAAAAAGGTTGCCGAAACCATATTTCAAAAATCCATATGGCGCTAGTGTGTTTGAATAGCGCTAGGTCCAGTTGGTGAGCCCAGTCACACAGCTATCAGCATGCCCCAAGACTATACCCATTCTCTGGGATTTCTCAGCACTGCCAAGAGCTTTCCTTCTTGACTCTCAGCTTCAGGCTCAGCATGCATATATCTCCACTGAGCTGTCATCGGTAAACTGATCAGAATGCTCTCAACCCTCGAACCGGGTACATTCAATCCAAATGCAGTTCCGCGATCATGAACAAGGTTGAACTCAACATATCGTCCCCTCCGGACTTGTTGCCACTCCTTTTCCTTCTCATTAAATGACATATTCTTACGCTTTTCGACGATAGGTATGTAAGCCGGAACAAAAGCATTAATTGTTGACTGAACGAAGGCGAAAACACGTTCGGGATCACCAAAGCTTTCGTCGAGGTCGTCAAAGAAGATGCCGCCGATACCTCTGCTCTCGGCTCGATGTTTGATGTTGAAATATTCGTCGCACCACTTCTTGAACTTGGGATAATACCCTGCATCATGATCGTCGCATGCAGCCTTGAGTGTTTTGTGGAAATGTTCAGCGTCTTCTTCGAAGAGGTAGCTTGGCGTCAGATCACTTCCACCTCCAAACCATGCGGTCTGCAAAGAACCATCGACCTGAACAGTTTCGAAATACCGGCCGTTCATATGAACAGTTGGTGCCATTGGATTTTTCGGGTGGACGACCATGCTCAGCCCCAATGCGCAGAAGTTCAACTCAGATGCGTTCGTAGCAAGATTCGCGTGATTTTGCCGCATCTCCTCAATAGCGGCGCGGTTCAGCTTCCCGTGAACGATGCTAATGTTGACTCCCGCCTTCTCAAAGACGTTGCCGTCTTGCAAGACACATGTTCGGCCACCTCCACCGTTGTTGGGTCGTTCCCACTCGTCCGTGCGGAATGCATTCCCATCAACCTGCTCAAGAGCTGATATAATATCCTTTTGCTTCTTCCTAATGAAGCTTTCCATGCGTAATCTCATGGGCTGCTGGCTTGATTCATCGCCACTGTTTTTTCCTTCGACCTGGAAGAAAGAATTAGCACCGGCCATCGTCAAATTCCCTCATAACTGAACCGAGTCACAAGAACAGAACGTCATCTCACCATTTTGATACTTCTAAGTAATGTTTTTCCAACTCAAATGACTGCCTAAGAGGAAATGTTGCTACCTAACAGTTAGATTCTTATATCTGGCCTTATAACTATTTGGTGAAGAGATAGGATTATCGACTCACTTGTCAATCACCTGACTATGACAGGTACAAATGGATGCCGAGTGCTCATGGCCTTATCAACCAATCATGTGAAGCCACCTATTTTCAGAGTTAGGTACAGGTCCAACACCTTCCACATTGGACATAAATACCACCTTTCTCATTCCATTAGCATATTGCGCACACCTTCACATTATAGCCCTCCAAGTTTGAGCCCCCCAACGTCCTCGACCATAGACCCAATCGACTTGCCTCCGTCCACGACAAGGCAATCATTGTAGCTAGCATCAGACGATATAATGACACGGTTTCCAAGTAGTATCTTTCTGTGGGTAGCAGGCCTCGCCCCATTGTATACAAGCCTGGAAACCATAGAACATTTATGTTTTTGGTACAGTGCTTGATTTTAGGGGTCAGCCCCAGGCTCAAGAGTAGCTGGTTTCCGAAACGCCTCCATGCCTCCGGCCAACGACATGGACTTTTGCCTTATTAAGAAAAGAAGTTATGTCATGTACATAGACTAATGGATAACGAATACTTCCATTTTTTCATGCGTATCGTTCGGAAGGTCTCCCTCTTTCCCATAGCCATCCAAATGGCCCATGCCAACCACTGAACAGTACTCGACAGCAACGTAGCCCTCGTTAGGCACTGTCCACTAACCCTTTAGATTCTTCTGCTATTCCCTCATAGGATCACAGTATTCCGATCCCCGAAACGCCGCCAAAAGGGCGTCGCCGGTCTCTTTCATAAGTGGTACCTCCTCTTATCGAAAAACAACCGGGGCTGTGCAGCCTGCGAGCTATGCGACAATATCGCCCTTTCTAGCATTCGACGGCACGATGCCGCATCTTCCAGCTCTTGTTTAGGCGAGCCGTCGACCGCGGAGCGCGCTAAACCGTGCGTCGAAATAATTCCGAAAAACGCTGAAGATGTCTTGACTGCCATAAGGCGTATACCTGCGGCCCTTGGCCACTTCTCCTAATATCCGCTGGGAGAAGAAAGTTGTGAAGACGCTGTCAACTGACGCGATGTTGTGAGGCGATTGGCCGAGATCGTCGAGGAACCGGATCCAGGCAGAGATCAGGATGCGGAATAAGCTGGAGGGTTCCGCCTGATTGTCAACTAAATGCGGTTTCGAAGAATGATCCTTGAGAACTCCGGTGGGGCTGTTCCTGGTTGGGGATGTCCAACGGATCAAAACCCCACGGGGCAGTAGCCTTTTACGAAAGGAAAACATTATCACCTGTCAATCAAAAGAACGAATCCAGATTCTATAAGACATCCCGTTTCCAGTTGGTCATTGCAATGCTTGTCTATTCGTTTGACTCAGTCTTCATTAGGCAGTATTACTTGCTATGGCTTAGTGTATTTTAGGCAGCAGTATAGCCCCAAGTTTAAGCAAAAGAATTTGGCATCTTTTGTCACGCGACAAAACTGTAATAAGCTTCACAGTTCATTCGTCACGTCCATTTTTCCCTTCGCAAGGACTTCAAGATCTAGAACAACAGCTTCATGTTATTTTATTTTTTCCTCCTCATGCAGTGACGTTTTTGTTATCAAAGTTACTCTCCCCACTCGAGTTATGTTTCAAAACCCGAAGGTCTGCTCACACCTCGAATATGCCTGGTTCGATCCGGCAATCGGCCTACCATCGAGACCACTACGGAATCCCCAAGACGTCTGCAAAGAGTTACTTGAGAATGCCATAATTATCGGCAATCCCTCCCACGATTAAGAGTACCTAGTATACCACTTCGATAGCATTGACAGAAGTCGAACGTCCATAGGTCAGACGGAAGGTCATAAATTCCATCGGTTTCCGGATCTGCCGCCAGAAATTCGAAGAAAGATATGGCAGCTCGCGCTTCCAAGCCGGACAATTCACTTCAGCGATGCCGTCGCAGAGCGGGTAGCCTGGAACAGACGACTACCTATCCCATCACCTGCTTTAGCCTGTCGTGAAGGATGGTTTTGCATCAAGCCTCTTCTACGTGAGATCACAAGCTGTAACATGCGCGACATGCACGACATCAATGGGGAAAGGAAGGAAGACCGTGCAGCGTGGATTACAGAGGCCGATACTATTAGTTTAGGACATGTGAACGATCTTTTGGTAGGGTTACGTTTCAACTACCAATCAGCTTTTTCTATGGTTGAAAGCCTAGCAATTCCTCTTGATGCTTTGCAGTTACAGGCTGCATATAAGTCTCAAAGGCAAAACAGAGTCTATGCCAATGATTTTCTTACTGCCAGTCGTTTGAAGATTATTATTCAGACAATCACGCTTGAAATACAAGACGGACAATGCAATGTCGACAGATTTGCCAGTTCTGGAGGGGTGGAGACTGTGGCATACGGCTTTGAGCGATCAGTCGACTTTGTCAACGTCAGCGGTATCACCGATTGGGCTGTTCACGAAACTCCGGCGACGTACAACAGAAGCACCGGAAGCAATCATCTCGTTCTTGTTGCCGACCTACGAGATCGTTGTCGTATTGGGGAATTGCTGAGTCTTGTGTCTGCAAAAGGTGACCATTGTTGGAGAAATGGCCATGCTCGTCTTCAAGCCATAGCGAACTGGAATAGAGCTTTTTGTGTCGATTGTTTGACAAGATGGTGGGACTATCGTGGCCGCAGTCTGACCGAGGCCGCTATCCTGAGGATCAGGGCTATTGAAAGGTGGTCTAGGGAATATACCTTCCATAGGGCTGCGGTTCAAAAGGAGGACATTGATCTGGGATTTCCCGAGATGATCCCAGCGGTTAAATTTCACGTAAAGTTTAGCGGTAGGTCTCCACCTGGAATCACAATTGAGGATGCAGAGAGGCTGCTAGGACCAGAGTTGGAGACCTGCTTGCTTGATCTGCGGCACCCTGACTTTTCAGACCAGGATCTCTAGTAAATCACGAAGACTCCGGGGAGTGTTATACACTATCATTACAAACGAAAGTGACCCGATGTTAGTGGTCTTAAAATAATGAACAAATAGCTTATTTGTTAGACCTGCCTCATAACAAACTATCGATATGATGGATCAAGGAATAGGGCAAGCAGAAACCAGAATCGAGACGAGAGGGCCTACTAATGAGTAGTACCAAGAGTACTGTTTCTTTCGCCACTCCCGGCGGCTTCTGGGACAGAAGATAAGAGAAATATGGGATGCCTAAGAAGGAAGAACGAAGTGGTTAGGCAGTAGATGAGAAAGATTTTCAATCCATAGATAGAATTACCAATATCTTACACTCATTGAGTTACCTATTTACCTCTCTTCGTGAATTCTGCCTTGTGATGCTGCTTGCAGGGATTTATGATCCTGCAGCAATCGAGCTTACACGGCCTGCTCAGGCTCGACTAGACCTGTAATATCTTAGCGCGACTACGATTCTTCCCCGCGGGAAATTATTAACTGAGAGCTGGCTTAAAAATCATTTTGATCCCTTAGAATTGACATATACCTTACTAAAGACAGCTAGTCGAGTGGATAGTATGACAAATAACGGATGAATAAACCCTTTTGATCTAGATCTTTCTCTATAACACAGTATTCTAAAATCAGCAGGTGCACCACGATCCTGCTACTTTCCGTTATGGACTTACCCAAAATGGTTATAGTATTATCTTCGCTTAAGCAACCGATCTCCAAAGTCCTTTTCTTAAATTAAAACCTTACCAAAGTTCTTCCTTTTCCTCAAATTTAGGTTGAAGTCTTTTCAACATCCTTCCAACATCCTCAAGTTCTTTTGTCTGTAAAATTGCCTTAGGTTGACAATATGTGAATTATATAGAGTTGTCTTGATGGATATATAAAGATGCCCCTCTACATCTAATGTAAAGGAAAGATTCATCCAGACTCTTAACTATCGTTCACATTTCATCTGATCCGATAATCCAATGTTCGCCAAAATGGTCTCTGCTACCTTCCTCGGCTTTGTCGCTTCCGCAGCAGCTGCTGCTCTGTCTGTCCGTTCCGAACCGCCCCAGCCTCTTGGTGAACTTGGCTGGGAAGGTGCCGTTACTCCTAACAGACCAGTTCTGGAGGTGTGGGGTACCAGTTTTGAGGTGATTATCCTAGAAAGTTCAAGAATTGACTGTGAGTTTAATATTAATTATGTTAGGATATCGAATCCAAGATTCGAAAGGACTACCCTAACTTCTCAATCTATACCGAGGAGGAGCAGGTTGACCCAGAGACCTCCGCGAATCCTGCAGTCGCCACTCGCGGTGAACTTGAGCGGCGTTGGGTTAGTAGACTCTTTAATAAGAGGGAGAAGTATTATCCCTTCTGTCCTGTTCTTCTTGGTCATAGTACTACAAACCGTGCTTACATGAATCTTTTAGGGACGTCGCATTTGCGACACGCGATTCGGACAGGTTATTCCCTACTATGTCGACATTGCTGTTGGCAACTTAAGAAGAATTAATGGTAACTCGTGTAAGGCAAGGGCCCGTACTTGCATCCGTACGCAATGCGTTGGTGGTGCGGGTATTGGTCTCTGCAATGATAATTATGGCCAGATCGATATTGCCTGTACTACTGTGGCTGATATGGCTCTCCACATCTCTCAGAACTGCTGGGAACTTGATACCGACTGCAAAGCTGGTAGAGGTTGCGAAGGCTCGAACCACGTTACCTTTGGTCAGCTTTTTGCCGATGCAGGCAATTGGAATGTGGTCCTTGGCCAGTGCAGTAAGTAAACGTCAACCACTTTTGCCTCAATATCTACTTGCTAACTCTCGATCATAGGTTACTTCGGCAACGGAGAGCGTCCCGTTAAGGCTTAGGCAACTATCCCACCATAGCAAGTTCAATTGTTAGTGGATGAATCCCTTGCGGGATTAGGGCAGACAACTCCAGTTATGGATGTAGTTATACATATGACCGTGAGACATCTTACTATGTCGTCCTGACCCAATTTCACAAGAACTATGTCTCTGCTCTACCGTTATAGTAAAGCTGGGAAACTAAATCAAAATCTGCTTGCGCAAAGCTCCTATGACAACTTGTTTTGAGACCAATGATATTGTTTTTTTATGAGGCTTGCCATGATATGAAAACCATGTTTATATTTCGAAGCTTAAAGTCTTTGTAGTACCATGAGTATCAACAGCGTCACATAGTAATTATGTTTTATGATCAACTTAGCGGCATTGTAGTTAGGATAAATGATGTGAACTTAAGTCGCCATTCGTTAAGATGATGCATTTTCAGGCCCAAGACCCAAGAAATGCATGATGCTCATCTAGAACTTTCATACTCTAACAACATGCAGTTAGAGACGTTCATTGTGATAACTTGGGCACAACAGTCCATTAGAAGAAAATTCTGAGTTTATAAGCAAAGATAACAAATCCTTTGGAAGTGCCCCTTTCTTCCCCGTGTTGTTTGCGCAGACATTATTCATTTGATCATGAAAAGTTGCTTTTCTAGTAAATACCATACAGCCTTGATTAGCAATAGACACAATGGTGTTGAGAAAGCCCACAATTTCTAGTGATAGCAGGCCTAGCTACAAGAAACTAAGAACCTCAATTGTAGACCAGAGAGATACATATACAATCTTATAGGGATACTTTACTTCTCTTGGGAAGCGAATACGATCATGCATATAATGTGGACTACAAGTGTGGCATGAGAAGTACAATTTGGGAAGTTAGAATTCTTCATGCTATGGGGACTATATCAAATACTTACCAGTTGAGGCTACATATGAGCCTCAACATCACATCATGGTATGGGCTTTTGGTTACGAGAAGAGTTTCAGATGGCCACGAGACAGACCCGGATTAAATGGCAATCTACTATCATGTTCAAGGGTCTCTCTAATAGGTAAATTATTGCGACGGTAGGTTAAAATACGTATACTATACTTTATAGTGTAATAAAAGATAGTATAGTATAAGATATCCCTATAGTAGGGGTAATTAGGTCACCGCCAGCTCAGAATACTTCTGGCTAGCGGGGTGTATATACCGTAGCGAAATCCCTTCCAGCACGGTGTCTTTCATTCAACCCCGCTTGGACATAAAGGAAAATAAGAAAACTACATGCCCAAAACTTAATATTTGATTGAAAACCCTTTTCCCAGGGTAGGTTGAAAGTCTCTGTTCCGATCTCATCATTATAAATTCAGCCTGTTCCCTGTTATTCCACACAGCCGACAATCACTGAATCCCATTCCATTCCACAACAATCGCATACGCTCAAATCTAAAGCATTCTACCTACATCGCTTTATCGCTTAAATCATTCAAACGCTCGCTCGATCACACCATGATTCCAACGTCACTCGGTAAGAAGCCATGGGATGGCTTGCCAAAAGAGATCCGGCTTCTTATCTTACAATGTTTGATACAAGACGGCTGCACACTGGGTCCCTTGGCCACGGTGTCTCGAGAGTGGCAAATGGAGATCGAACGGTATAACTTCGGTCGACTCAGACTGACTCCGTCACGCCTCGTCAACTTTAGTGCGATGACTCAAAGAAATCGGGCTCTCGTCAGATACATCTGGTTCTGCTTAGAACTTGATGATTACGATTGTACCACGTGCGCACCTGCCCTTGGAATGCTCACAGATGTGGAGTGGGAAGAGGCATTTGAGATCAGCGATACAGATAAGTGTCCCATCACCACGGGATTCCGGAATCTGTTTTCGATCCTCAGCACATGGAACCCTCACGGCGATTTGAGCCTCGACATTAGCATCTACTCGCCTAGCGACTCAGAGCATTGGTTTAAATATCTGACCTTTATGCCCGATACCGTCTCGGACACGCCAGGCGAGTGTGAGATAGAGAAGGCGATATCAAAGCGAGACTATCATGACCCTCAACATGGGTGGGTTGCCGGTTTTCGACACTCCGCCCCACCTAGCTGCGCTATCAGTAAAGTGTTCCATTCAGTTATGGAGGTGGGGCCGTTTGATAGTGATCAATTAGAGCTCCAATGGTGGGATAAGCTTCCTTCAGTGCCAGCCGTAACCAGTATACTTCTCCGGCAACAGAACCGCCGGAGATGGAAGCCGGCTTCGCTGGCACATATGTTTGCGCGGTGTCCCAGACTCCAGATAGTCCACTACGAACCCTGGAGGGAATGGGACTTTTTTACAGAGCCATACAGATAGAGGTGAGTATTGCCGCATAACCCATCTATGTTTTTCAGGCCGTTGCCCACTCTGAGTTGCGCAGGTACTAGTTTGCTAATAACCCCTTTTATCTATCTAGATTACCAATATCTTTTCGCATCTATCCAAAATTCCAACAACAGTGTCAAGAGACTCGTGGTCTTCGAGAACTTCAATCAACAGTACCCTGCTACTATGCAGCGATTCCAGGGTGGAGAAGATCTGATCGAATGCGACAGGATTCGCAACCCTGACCCAGCTGTTAGCCAGATGGTTGCGCTCGCTAGCCTCAAGCTTGAGCATCTCGCAGCATCCTTCATCGCAGATGCTAGTCACTTCTTCGAGATCCGTCCCGCTTGGAAGTGGCCGAACCTAACCTCGCTTGTTCTTACTTCAAGATTACTTACGCCCGACGAGAATTCGAATGAGATTGGAACTATGCTTCGGGCAGCGGCGGCAGCGGCTATGAAGATGCCCCGATTGGAAACAATGGAGATTTGGAACGGACGAAAGGGGCTAGCAGCGCTCTTTAGATACCAGGCATTCTGTAACATACAGCAAGCTGTAATTGTTTGGAGATGTACATGGAGGTTGGCTATGGAACCATCCACAATCCAGGCTTGGGAAGCTGTGATGCATCAATACGATGGTTGGAAGCTCGATTTGGTTCAGGAACGGCTGGATGAAGCTCCTATTAAGTCTCACGGTGATGCACTTCACTATTTAAGGCTTTTAAGCCAGGCCATTCGGCCGATCTCGTTACAGCAGATCCAAGTAGAACAGAAGGCTCTGGAAGGCGTAGACATTGTATAATATGAATTAAAACATAAAAAACAACAAAACTATAGCCCGCAGTTAATAGCTAGTAGCCATAATAGTATTGCGCAAAACAGCAACGGGGATTATATAACTATGGCAGCTACGGAGATGGCAGGACTCTGGGCAAAGGAGGATGGTCAAGCCGCTAAATTAAGACTGTGGGAAGCGGTCGTAGCAGCGTCAGGCAAGGCATAGCAAAGGATTCAAGGTAGAATAATTTTAGAGACCACCAATTGCAACATTGGGCAAGGCACTTCTGGGAAGCGGCCATTATGGACAAAAAGAACCAGGGTAAAAACGGCCGCCAAGGACAGTAATGATGGTCAATTGTGAGCGTATCCGAGAAGATTAGGAGGTCCCTCCCGTATGTAGATCACAGGTGGTGAAGCTGGCATGTGTAGCTGAGTTATGTATGTTATGCCATTCCCTGTGGTCTAGTTGCTCAGGTTTGGCTCAGTTCAAAATCAGGGAGGCTCCAGTGCGCATCCAGTTCAGATGGGGCCTGGTAAAACCAATCTTTGGAGTTTGCAACAAAGATGAAGATAGCTTCAATATATGCTTACACCATCCTAGTTGTCCCTTTTGACGGTATGGATAACATTATTCTCGAGGTGTCACGGTGCCAGCGTGATAGCGCAAAGAACAAGTGCGGAAAGTCTATCAATCTTTCAAGAGCCAGAGCCCTGAAGTCCGGCCACCATACTGCACTAATCCTCTGACGGCATGACTAAGCTAGAAATCGACTTTACCGTTCTCGCCCGATGGGTCTTTGTCGGTATTACTATGTTCCACTCTGCGTGTTTCGCGGAAGAACACCCACCACCTTAGGTTGCCACAGCTATTATGATGAAGGGCGTGACTTCCAACTTCTTCAGGTGTTAAATCATCACAGGCTTGCATGCTTCTATCACAGGCAACTGGTGGTGGGCAACGTCGCAGGTTTACGTCACGTAACTTGACAGCACTGAGCAGACGAAGCAAGGAATCACGAGCGTGTGGAGGTGACTCAAGTACAGCGTGAACACAGAAGGGCTTCATATCTAATGCAAGACATCACCATGGGAAGGATTTATGCAAGGCTTTCACGACTACATCAAGATCTATAACACAATCATGGGTGAATGGGTGCAGAGGGCACAGGTAATCAGTACGTCTCTCTCCGCAATTATGCGGCTGGTACTATCCAGGCGGGTGATTCAGCCACATCTGAACGACAGAGTGGCGCAGTTGGGAGGGGCTCACAGTGCCAAAGCACGCGATAGCACCCCGCATGCACGCGATACGCCGACCGGGGCTCCGAGAGTCTATGACAAATACAACTTCAACACCAACAACTGAAAACCAGTCTCAGTTGATAGCCAGTCCGGCACCTATTCTCGGCACAACATTGCAAAAGATGGCAGCGCAGGCAGATCTTGAAAATCAACGGCAACAGACCGATGAAAGGACGCCTCTACTTGGCAGCTCTGCCGAGAATGAGGAGGCGAATCAGGAGCCTTCCAGGAATCGGTCTGAGCGCGATGACGAACATGATGTGAATGAAGATTCAGAGCAAGGCTACCTTATTCCTCCAGAAGATGATAACGAAGAGGAGAAACCTCAAAGGACCACCGGATGGTGGTTATGGAGAGCCTTTTGGGCGGTACTCGCCATAGTCGTCTTGGCTGTTTTTATCAAGGGCTGGGTTGATGCGAAAGACACAAACGTGAGTTGGTAAAGAAGGCCAGGCTGTGCCTTCTACATCATGGCCAAGCTCTCTATAATAATTGTTTGACTGACGAGATACCTTACTTTACCTCAGTTTGATCTTGGAAAAGCACTCAAGAGAGCACTTGGTGGTGGATTGAGTGGCGCTGCAGCCATGGTACTGCAAGTTCTAACGCTGATGGTACGCCTTTTTGTTCCTATTCCAAGCTTCGAAAAACTTATTTCATTATAGCCACTTCGAACCATCATGAACTATCAGTATCGCTTTGGAACTGGCTTTCGGACTGCCACAGCTACCCTCTATCACGATGGAGGACTACGAAGGTACTACCAGGGTATCGGCGCTGCGCTCATCCAAGGTATGCAGTGTTTTGGCTTTTTGCCTCGTACAGTCCTCGAGAGGCTCACTTTTGATGAGACACTTACCTTCGTTAGGCCCCGTCTCTCGTTTCGGTGACACTGCTGCCAATGCCGGCATTCTTGCCTTACTCGAGTCTAACAAATTCTTGAACCAACTTCCAACGCTCATCAAAACCATCTTTGCTTCACTTTGGTGAGTTAGTTTCATTAACGCTCTGCCTAAGTAGGCGATAAGATGAGATTCTTGTGCTAATTTGATACGCAATGAAGCGCTGCCGGTTTCCGCATGATCTTGACACCTATCGACACGCTCAAGACAACGCTTCAGGCACAAGGTGCTAAAGGTACCGCGATCCTTCGCCAACGTGTTAAGACGAACGGCATTGGAAGTCTCTGGTGGGGCGCCTTCGCAACTGCTGCCGCTACGTTCGTCGGCCATTACCCCTGGTTTGGAACAGTGAGTCCACCTTCAACCTCAACGCAGGCTCATTCATTTGTTCCTCTGTACTATTTAAAAGATTTATCCGCTAACTATTGATAGTACAACTATCTTACTGCTACCATTCCGGAGCCTGATAAGAGCGAACTATTCTTGTGGCTCCTACGTCTTGCGTTCATCGGCTTTTGTGCCTCAATTGTGTCTGACTCGGTGTCAAACTCTCTGAGAGTGGTTAAGACTTACCGCCAAGTCAATGACACTCAGATTTCTTACAGTAAGTACTGTGTCAACAACCATATTGAGTTGGTTCACTGCTTGTCAGCCTCATCAGTTAGGCGGAGCAGAATCTTCAAGATGGTGTACAGGCGTTGTAATTAGAGAACAACCAGCTGATTTCTATTTTTCACCCGTCCAGGAAAAGCAGCGTCGCTGGTTATCCAGCGAGATGGCTTCCTTGGATTCCTTGGCCGTGGCCTTAAGACCCGTATCCTGGCCAATGGCCTTCAAGGTGTCCTTTTCTCTATTCTCTGGAAACTTTTCCTTGACCTGTAAGTTGCCTTTACCCATTTGAGCTCTACCGTGCTAACAATTTGTTCTAGGTGGGAGAAGAAGACGAGCTCCTGAAGCCGGGACGCGTGAGGAATGTGCTTTAACTCAGACAAGTCGTCGAAAGTGCTTGACCAAGCCTGATGCAAAGTTGGAGTTTACTTACCTGCACAGTGCTCGACTTACTTTAAATTACATGCCAAGTATTTTGTAAACCCATATACATATTCGTCAAAGCCTTTGCCACGCCCCCACAAAGGCCTTCTTGTTTATAAGCGGCTTATGTATGGACAGTTATTTGTGGATATTGTTATCGGATTGTCTGTCAAAGCTAGGATTTAAACAGCAAAAGCCTAAGTCCTGAATGTAAATTTAGATGCCAGCAAGACTACTCTGGTTTCTATGCAATACCTAGCGACCTCATTCCTTCAATTATGTGTACCAAGTGGGCTCTGGGATTTCACCCAGTAATTGGTATCTTCCAAGCTCACGATTCTTATAAGCAACAGGATCATGGAGAGAGTGCGTCCTAATATCTCTCCAGAACCTATCCAAACCAACCTTGGTCGATGTGACCCTGGCGCCAGTTACCTCGAAGACGCCCGAAGTAACTCTTAACCCTGTGTCGGTAGCTGTTATCTTCACGCTGGCAACCCACTCTGCGGCTTCTCCTCTTTCCTGTGCGGTAAGTTTTGCCCGAGCCACCGGGTCACCAGAGTTCTTGTACACATTGTCAATCTCTTCACCCGCTTTATCAGCCAGAGCAGTGGCTGCGCGAAGATGAGCCAGGAAGTTTCCATATGTGGAAAGGATATAGAACTCGTCTTCAGCCTTTTCCTTGTTCTATATTCCAGGTCAGTATCCTTGTGTCTTCAAATGTTTGTTTTTGGGAACTTACATCGCCCCCAAATGGCCAGGCACGGGTGTTTTGCCTAGTGTACGCTGAAGCAAACTCCAGCGCGCCCCATGCAATCCCTATATAGAAGTTGCTGAAAACCAGCTGGATACTGTTTAAGGCGTCAGCAAATTAAATATCTCATGTAACAGAAATAACTCACGTAGGCAGAAGCAAAGACGCGAATGGGATCTTGAGGATCGCGGGATTTGGCTTCTTTTCAGTCTTATCCCACCCAAGAGCGTCATCCCAAGGAGCTTTTACGTTTTCGATCTTGACACTTCCGGACTCAGAAAGCCGCAGTCCGATATTGTCCCAGTTGTGAGAAAATATGATACCGGGCTGTTCAGTTTTAACAATGGCGTAAATATGGTCCTCAGTTCCCTCTAAAACACCCTCTAAGACTGTCAAATCCGAGATGACACCACCAGTGTTGAAATTCTTGAAGCCGTTAAAGATGACGTTTTCGCCATCAGCAGTGATCTTATGGTCGCTATCACGGGGGTTGACGGCACCACCAACAAAGTAATTGTTGGAAATTATGAGATCCTGAAAGCGTTCTGCCTGCTCTATACTTCCAATGACGTTGGCGGTCGTTGACCAAAACAAATGGTACCCAAGCAGCATTCCGACGGAGCTAGAAGAAAAGCGTTAAACGAAGTCCAAAATGTTTGGATTCTCCATAACAGTCGTGCTTACCCATCTCCTTTTGCAACCTCACGTATGACCTTGTAACCAACGCTCCATGGTTGTTCTCCACCGCCATACTTCTTCCATCCCAAAATCTTCAGGAGGCCGGAATGTTTCAGCAAGGCGACTTCCGCTCGAGGGGACTTATTCTCTCTCTCTCGCAATGCAGCATCCTGAGCTAGGACAGAGGCAACCTCTTTGGCTCGCTGTAACCAAGTCCTCTCGACCGTTGGCAGGTTTGACCATTTTGTCTTGTACTCATCATAGACACCAGGGTCCGTAGATGGGACTGAACGAGCGTTACTTGCCATCAGAAAGCCGGAATAAATTTGATGAATAAATGTCCCCAATCAAGTAGAGGTTGCAAAATCAATTTGGTTTGGTCTTTTAAAATGATGCTTTGAAAGACATAAGATGGCAATCATGTAATTCAAATTGTTTTCCTGAGATGACTTCATTTGCGCACATTTGAATGTTTGGTTATCATGTCTGCATATATAATTATAAATAACCCCTCATCTAGTAAGGCAACGCACACATATGTGTAACATCGGCGTTGATACTTGCACTTGCGCAACATTTCACAGCTATGTTGCGATATGTCGCAATCGCAGCTATGGCTTAGATGCAGGGAATTGTCCCCACGCAGTCCTGCACGTCCAGAGTAAGCATTTGCTGGGAGCCACCCCGCACCCATTTACGCCAGGTCTTTCTGGTGCAGGTAGCCAAACATCACTACCAAATTTCGGTAGGCCCGTAACAATGGTACAGTTATGTCGTCATTCACGCTAGTTTCTGGTGATCGAGACATCTGCACCTTAACATAATCTGATGCTTCAACCTTCGAGTGTTATGCTTTGCACTAGTGTTGAAAGGATGGCGGTTGTAGACCCCACAAGATATACTCTTCGGCATGTTAGAAGATAGATTGAGACCTAAGTCTCAAATAATAATCATTTTTAATCCTCCTGATAATCAAGCAGTTTCTCCACGGTCACTCAACCTTCTTTCTGGTCTTGGGAAAGTACTTGGATGTATCTCCGAGTGGAAGTTCCACCAAGGAATCCTTCAACAAGAGTGCAAATGTTAAATACCTAAGAGGTTAGTGAGGCGCAATTGAGAGAAGGGTGTGTTCATACCATGTAACAAGACCGGTAAGAAAGGCAAACACCCCTCCCGATTTCTTCAAGCTAACAGAAGTGCTCGTATGACCATCGGCAGCGGCAAAATAGCTGGCAGCCACGAGGACGAAGGTTAACTCAAGGAAGACAAAAATGAGGATGTGGACGACGTCCGTTGGAAGCGAAGCAACAAGATATGCGAGAACAAAGATGGACCAAACTGAAAGAAGACTAGTCAGTCAAATCTGAAGATGCCTTTAGGAACGAACCACTTACTGATCAAGAAAAAACCAAGAGCATTATCAAGCTGTTTGGTATCATCACCGTAGGCAGCAACGACTCCGAATGAGGGCGTAAGGATTGCGCCATAACCCGCAAAGAATAGACCTACGATAAGCGTTAGCACTATCAAAGAACGAAGAGAGGAAAGTGAAAGAAAACATCCGTTGGATAGAAAAGCATACCGAAAGCCCCGTAGACGCTGTAAGCAAAGCCATTTCCCGCTGTGAGCTCCCATTGAGCAGAAACAAAAAGGCCGAAAGCGGCAAGGAAGAAGAAGTTTGCGATGTACACGTTTGTTATGGTAACACCCCTCCATTCCATTAGACTCATCGAAAACGTCGTCAATGTGGTTGCAATGGCTCCAACAGGTAATGATCCCTATAAAACATCAGTTGGGAAACTGGCAGCAAGCGGCTTAAAAGACTTACCGCAGAAGTAGGAAGTGGCCTTGGTGCCGTGAATTGTGGGTAATTCGGATGAACCATTTCTGATCTTTCAACAGCTAGTTCGGGTTTTCCAGACTCCATGTTCATGATTCCAGCATATGTGAGGCAAAACTATGATAAGCAAGAACGGACGACAGGAATGTTTGAATCAAAACAGATGTATCAAAAGTGCAAAAATAATTTGTTGGCAATACGGTTTCTCATTATAAAGTAAACTACATCTGAAGTAAGATTTCTCAAGCCAAAGCTGGCCAAGCCGTAACCGAGGAAGATCGAGTTCGTTGATGTTTCTGATCCGACAACGGGGTGAAAGAAGATAATAAATTAGGTAAGTTTGTTCTCAATCCCTGTCGTTTTCGATTCGATGATAAATTTTGAAATACCTGATTGCATGTTGAGTGATATTAAGTTTGCAGATCCCCGCAAAATCGAACGAAAATAATTCTTCATTACGGAGACGCGGGGAAAAGTCGTGTGTAAGAATCCCCCGTAATCCGGTTTCACCCTTATTTCGATGATGATATACTTACTTTGAAAGATTTATTAACTAAGAAACTCTAGCCCTCTTTTTTTTTAAGAATGAGTGGTTGCACTTCAGTGCAGCCACACCTTTTTTGTTGTCCAAGATGCGCATGCATGCTGACGTCGCATCGAGTATCACGTTATTATCGCTATAATGTCGACTTTTGGTAGATATGTCCCACACCTCTACTCAGGGGAAATATTTAGATAAATACAACCGAAGGGGTCTCTATTAAACTGTGACCATATCTGGAAAATCACTGCCAAGATCTTTGCTCTGGCGGTGCTTGTTATAATTTTGATAACTCGAACTGTGACAACATTTCTTCTTCGGCGTAACTTATACAAACGCAAGCTATTTTCCCCACGGAAAATCGCGTTTTGGTACCTAATCGGCCAAGCCGACGAAGCACTCAACTATTAGGTCGACTGAATCATTTTACTTTCACGGCACCCCATTCTGAACGGTGACCTGACCAAATGGCTCAACCGCACCCCCTGAACAGCGATCCCGATCGCTTGCTTTTCGCGTATGTGCTCCAGCGGCTAGCAAAGAATATAACCTGACTAACCTTTCACTCCTAGTTACTGGGTGCCAAATGTTTCAGGCGGCTTGATTATCAGCAAAATCCCCCAGAAAACAAACTGGGACCTCGCTAGCAACATCAAATACGCCAAGGCGGCTGAAAATGCGGGCATAGAATATGGCCTAACCCAAATCCGTTTCACTGCTTCCTATGGAGCGGCAAATCAACATGAATCTGTCTCCTTCTCCCAAGCTGTTCTCCAAGGAACAGATACCATTAAGATCATTGCAGCCATCCTTCCGGGCCCATGGAACCCTACCCTGGCAGCTAAACAAATTGCAAGCATCGACCAATACAGCAATGGCCGGATCGCTGTAAATATCGTCAGTGGCTGGTTTAAAAATGAGTTCACTGCCGTTGGTGAGTGGTGGCTCGAGCATTCAGAGCGCTATCGCCGCAGCAACGAATTCATACGTTGTCTGAAGGGGATTTGGACAGCTCCCGCAGATACTGGGTTCACCTTCGGTGGCGACTTTTACAGATACAGAGACTACAAACTCAGTCCAAAGCCGGTACAGAAACCACACCCAGAAATCTTTCAAGGGGGAAATAGTGATGACGCTAGAACCAATGGTGCTGAGGTCAGTGACTGGTACTTTATGAACGGTAACGACCTAGACGGGTTTCGCTCCCAGATCGAAGATGTAAAAGCGAGAGCAGCCAAGGTCGGCCGTGACAAAGAGGTGCGGTTTGCTGTGAATGGCTTTGTCATTGTCCGGGAGACCGAAGAAGAGGCGATCCGCGTATTACAAGAGATACAAGGCAAGGCCGATAAAGAGGCTGTTAATGCCTTCCGCGATGCTGTTCAGCAAGCTGGGGCAAGCACATCAAACAAGTCAGGCATGTGGGCTAATAGCAAGTTCGATGACTTGGTTCAGTACAACGATGGATTCAAGACAAAACTGATTGGAACAAAAGAGCAAGTTGCAGAAAGACTGGTGTTATTGAAAAGCCTGGGCATCAATCTTGTCCTAACTGCCTTTTTGCACTATGAAGAGGAAATCGAACAGTTTGGGAAGGACGTTGTTCCCCTAGTCCGACAACTTGAGAAAGAGGGGCGAGGCAAGGATGCAGACTTCGAGATTGAACGAACGGGCGATGTGTATAGAAAAAAGTAAATAAGATGAACAGACTGCCATTCTTAGATCCAATGGTCATTGAAGTGGGATAGCTTTCAGGACTCCAAATCTAGATACTTGATTTAGCACTGTCACTGGAATACTAGGTGGTATATCAACTCTCTAATGCCGTAGCTTTATTCCTCTAAATATAGTATGCCGCGGCACCTCTGCAAAGCACTCCTAAACTCGCAAGTTATCTCTGACGACATTATATCCATCCAAAACAGCTTGGGCTCTCTCTGGACTTCTTATCTTGAATTGCATTGGGAATGGCAAAGGCTCAAGGATGACGTTCGAGTTTGTAGCTTGGCTGTCAAACGTCACATCTTTACCTGTAGCAGGGCACTTTTTCAGCCCCATGTCGAAGGCCCAGCACACTGCTGCTCCCGCGACGAACATCTCGTCATCAACGAGATTCTGCCCCAGACATGCTCGCCGACCCCAACCAAAGGTGTGCATTCCCACACCGTCACGGAAGTTAGGGTAGTGGCTAAGAGGTTCCTGATAAGTTGGAAACTCCGGGTTAAGATATCTGTCTGGACGATAGTGATCAGGGTCAGTATAGTTCTCGCTGACGCGGTTGAGGTTCCTGTTGGTAAGCGTCGTTAGCGCCTTCTTCGTACATTTCATGGAGAACTGACCATTCGCAGGCGAGGATGATGGTGCCTTTTTCGATCTTGACGCCTTGAAACTCAGAGTCATTTTCGCATTGATGAGGAACGCCTGCACATATGTGTAAGTCTTCGCTTCATTTGCGTTCTTGTGAAGTTGATTGGAATCTCTCACCCAATGGGACGCCGGATCTCCATCGAAGAGTTTCCTTCAAGCAGGCTCTAACAGTCGGCAATTTGGAGAAGTCATCACGCGTTGGCATTCTATCGCCGCAGACGCTTTCGATTTCATCTTGGCATCTCTGTAGCCATTCAGGGTGAAGGGCCATACACATCAGAAAGAACTGCATAGGCCCAGATATAGTGACAACGCCCACGAGGCACTGGAACCCTAGCATACAGGCGGCAAAGTCCTCTTCCTTTTCAGTCTGCACGAGAGATTCATTGCCGCCTTTCTGTAATTGCTCAAAGTATCGGTAGGCCCAAGTATCAGCTGGCAGCTGCCCCTTTTGGTATCTCACCTTAGCCACACGGAACGACTGCAGCCACCACGCACGCTGATTTTTCTCACGAGCAGCTTCGAATTTGCGCCACGGATTGAAGCGAATGAAATCTCCCAGGTGCCATAGTGGAGTCATTGTATTCACAAGAGGGCCAGAGACGGACATTTGCGTTAGCGTCGCTATCGCGCTGTCTCCATAAGCCTTTCCTTGTGAAGCGTCGTCCCAAGAAAGACGGCTAATAATGCGACCTGTCAACTCGCGGGTGTTGCTGTGAAATTTTTCGGGGTCTATCAAAAGGGTGACAAGCCACCTCTTAACCTCGGCTTCTATGTGGCCGTAAAAGTGCTGCTGGTGCGCCGCGACCATGGCAGCGTGAACCCATTTTCGTTGGTATTTCCAAGTGTCTATTCAGATTGATAAATGCGTCTTAGTCTTCAACTTCATAGGCAGCTAAAGCCGTAGAGGAAATTTAAGAAACACCTACCATGACGATCCATCAGAGCAGAGTAGGCAGGTCCTAGTTTATGATTGATCAGAGCTTGGATCTGCGGTCTGCCTGCAAAATCATTGCCGTTTTTAATAAGGAGTTCTTGAGCCAGCTTTTCATCGGAGATGATGACGAATTTCTGCCCAAGCATGCTGGTCTGGTAAATGGGGCCGAATTCATCTGCCCATTCCTTGAGCTTGAGCCACATAGCGAATCTAGGCAGATCATGGACACGGCCAATAATTGGGTACTGTTTTGGGCCCGGGAATCTGGCAGGATTAACTTTGGCCTTGTTTTCCTCATCGGAGCTCTTTGTTATGCACCATCTCGAGAAAAGATGAAGAGAAGAAACAAAAACGCAAGGTATGACGATGACTCGAAGGTAGAAGAGAATAATGTCAAGGCCTTCCATCATGACGGGAAGGGGTGATTTCAAGTAGAATAAATGATGAAAGCATAAGAATGTTATAGGTCTTAGATTCGATGACTTGGGAGGGCAGTCTGGTACATAGATATATCTTTTGGTAGTAGTCAACGAGTAGGCGAAAGGATTGAGAAGATAAGCAGACCAGGTTAACGCTTACTTGGAAGGCTCTGGCTTCTTGATGTGGCTAATAGGGTAGTAGCAGACATAGCCTCTAATGCATGCCACGCACCACGTGCAGTTCACTGGCATGACTTATGCACGTGAGACCTGGGTCAACACCAATGAAAGTCTTATGGAGTCATACCTGAGATTCAGCTACTGACCGAAACTAATATCGATCACTCACATTCTAGCCTTCTGGACAAATACCCCGAGCAATGATCTTGATATCGTGTTTAACAGGTTTGCATTAGTGCAGGAAGTTACTTTGGTTCTGTCTGCTAGTTACCCGGGAGCCGTTTTCCAGGAATGGCAATCTTGCGTACTAACCACTTTTCTAAGTGTCATCGGGCTGTGCTGATGCCGATTTAGCCAACAATGTCTCAAGATGTCAGCGACAGGATGCCATTGTCAGATTGAAGGACTGCAGGGGAGGCAAGAGAGAACGATACCAAAATAAACAGGCGATCGATAGCAAAATGAGCATTGCATAATCAGCAACATATTATTCCTTTTTCGGGCAATCGTGCCACATAATCAGCACAATCAAAAACAGACGCGAGCTTTTTTACACAATCGTTTCGTGTTTCCATTCGTCCGCTCAAGGGATCGAAGCTAGCCAACCCCCACCATAAAGACGTTGGGGGACTACAAATAAATCTTACATTAGTGGCACCTACCTGTTCGATCTTACTACTGCACGCATTGTCGTGCATAACCGAAGGGCGGGTCAGGCCGGATGCAACTACTAGTGTGCGGCTTGAGCACGGCGGATAGTACATTGCTCCAAGCGAAGGCTGCAATCCGACTCGACAAACCCTTCATGTTGGCCTGACGAGGCCTGAAGTACAAAACGAGGAAGTTCACCACCCGACTGATCAGTTCAGGTAAGTGATTTTTTACACACTAGTACTAAGAACACATAGGGTTTATATTTGAGGTTCATTGCAAATGGACTACATCCCAGGTATCTGAGTGTGTGGGGGCTGACTTGTTCGTACCTAGATTGGCCTCGTTTGTGTGGCTGTCAGATCGATGCAAGATGACTTGTAATTTTGACAAAGCGATTCGATATACTAAGTTGACCATTCCGTATGGAAAAGCAAATCAGTAGATGCAATCGAGAACACTTCACTCTGCATAACTGGTGAGGCACGGACACTTAACGTGGGGTGGCCGTTGGAAATGGCGTAGAAGCAAGCATGTGAAGTGCAAAGGTTTTACGCTAGTGAGCATTGTCCCATGAGCAGTTGGAAGCGGGTGTGGAAAAGTCCCGCCCAAATAAGGTGGCTACAGTCCGTTGTACTAACAGCGTCTAAATAATAAATTGTGCGTGTATGTGTGTGTGTGTGTGCACACTGATACTGCAACTACTTCACTACAGGGCTGTAGGGTTGGCTTGGGTTGCGCTTGTTGCAGACGTGGGTGGATCATCAGGAGTGTCGGTCTTGGCTGGTGGCTCTTCTGTGTGGCAATCCGGCTCTGTAGGTATGCCGCCGTAGAAATCCTTCCTGTATGCGGCGTCTAGGTGAGCTTGGAAGTTGTCATCCGTAAATGGCACTTGCGTCTTCTCGTACTTAACGTCCGTTAGTGCTTCTTTGGCTGCGTCCGGGAGAGAATCCCAACTCACAAGCGTAGGCTCAAAGACGCTATCGCCGTCGGCTCCAGTGAAAGGTGAGAGAGTATTATCGTGAATCTGCATCTTGGGGTGTTTGTCCATGTTAATGCCCACATCTGAAGACTTGAATGATACGCTTCCAGCAGCTGCCGATCCCCAGCTCAAGTGGTCGGTTGTGTAAGATACACCAACAGGCCACAGAGCCGTAATATCGTCCGTCTCACAGCCCCATCGATTGATCCAGACAACAACACTGGCCCAATAGTGGCGGTGACCGTTGTTATCCCCCTCGGCCCAGCGAACCTTTGGGACGTAATAGCTATAAAGAACTCCAATACGGCCTTGACTTTCGCCGCGACGGACATAGACCTGGCTACCTTTACTGTCATTGCATCCATCTCTTCCACCGCCAGTAGGTTTCAGCCCAGCGCTTTTCCCCCCGAGGAGTCAGCCATTGGTCCCACGTACACGACAATATCCAATTGGAAAGATACATTAAGCGGCTTCGCCCACTACCCTAGGTTGCCACCGGCGTCTACAGCGGGGTAAAGATCGCAACCCCCCGATATGTGTAGATAGGGGTTGGATCGAAGCTCAATTTGTCCCTCAAACTCTGCACTGGCACTTGGAGTAAATGCGATGACTTTATCATGGCCGATTCAGTTGTGTCCACTAGCATCACCACTGCGTGGTAAAAGTAATGGCATTTATCTTGGTGAGATAGCTGGTATTCGACGTTTATTAGACGTGTGTCGCTAACCAAGAGTTTTCATATAGGGACACGGCCAGCAAGATGGGGCGGCTCTCCGATAAAAAAGAACTGGTGTTGCGTTTTTAAAGCAGACGAGTATCTGTTTAATGCAGCAGCCAAAGTATGGATCCCGCAATATTATACAGGCAAAAGTCTCTGGAGCTTGAAGACCAAGGAATTATGGGGTTCCGGCGAGAAGGCAATCGCTAAATACCTGGCGGAGCTTGGATTAGATCCTGATAAGGCGTTGCACTTCTCATACATTGAGGGATTTGGCAATTCTCTGCAGATTGTGATTCCCACTAAAATGGCCAATCAGGGTACTCTGAACTTCTCTGCGCAATGTTTTGAAACCAGGAAAGAGCTACTAGATTATGAGAATGAGGTTGTTAATGTCTGGAATTGGAATATTATCGGAGACCCCGGAAGTCCTGGATAGAAAAAGTGCGCCTGAAGCCGGGACCCGAACCTCCAAAGCGAGGAGATGGCGAATTGTGCGACCGTCTAAAACAGAAAGAAGCTATCTATGGTTTACTAAACATAGTCTGATTGTTACCATAATAAAAACTCTCTATGAATGAGTCACATGGTTTTTGATCTTAAGGGTATGCTTTGTCGCGATGAAGTGATCAGCTTGGAAGGGTCTAACATAAGCAGCATTTCCATAGATATTGTTGCGCGAAGCCGTGCGTGGCGCTGTTTGTATCCTCGATTACCGGCGATGTTCTGGTTTTCACAAATCTTGATCTTTCTCCTCGGCGAAGTTGAGGCATGGGAAGCTTGTTTAAAAGCGTCATTTTATAACTCTGGAACCATGCTAGAAACTTGTGGCAGCCAAACAGTCAAGGCTTGGCAGATGAACGATCAGAAAGCTACCTGGATCTTCATAACTCCAACGACCATTTTTGTACTGGATGTGGTGTTTAGCAAGAACGATTATTCTGTAATTGTCTGCGCCAGAGATGGAAAGATTCCGAAGTGACCGCTTCTACATGCAATCAACCTCGGGACTCTAATAGGACCAGTAGTCGAGACTAGTATTAATAACCCCTTAGGATTTCCTAGCTTTTACAGTATGTTATTTTGCATTCCTGGTGCACTATCCTAGTTGTAGAGTCTTATTTCCCTTTTTCGCACCAACCTCCCGGTGGATGTTTGCCTAATGCTATGCACTTCTGAAGAAACAAAGGCTCGTTAATGTCAATTATGATCCTGCACCTAGTAGGGTAAGGGCCAGCTAATAACAGAAGTTTTACATGTTAATCACCGAAAGATCCTACAGAAATTAAGATCGGCTCCGAGCTTACCGACGCCTCCATATATGGGGCAGGCTTTCTTAGTAGCATCCGGGTCACTAGTCTGATAATCTTTCGTGACATCACCGCAGTAACAGTTCTTGACATCGTCCAGTGGAACACCGTAAGCTGCCGGGGCAGTGGCGACAAAGTCAATGAAGCCCCTATGTGGAATCTTAGTAAACTAGGCTGTCTGGCATGTAACATAGCGTGCAAAAGGTTAACGAACATCAAGGCAGCAGCAGTTTTGAGACAGACCATAACGCTTGACTTGGTCATAAATAGTCATCGCTAATATAAATAATTCAGCTTGTAAAAAATACTACATCTCATGCCGTAGGTAACAAAGTGTTGCATGCGCAGTATTTATATCCCTTCAAGACTACATGGCTGTCACGGCTCCACTTGGACTATTGCGGGGACAGGTGAGATATCACACACGGACCGCCGATCTTATAAAGTGTTATTCTGGTAGAGTTGTGAGATGGCCATCAAGAATAGACACCGCGTTAGTATATTAACGTTAACGTTGGCGTCATCATGGTTTGCGTTTGGTTCGTTGTTTATACAACAATCTCGCCTGTATTGTGTTATAGACCTAGGCTAGCAGAGAAACTGGGGTGAAGACGCCATCTCACTAAGAGCGGAATAAATTTTATTAAAACACTTTCTCTACTAGTTCTAAACTATAAAAAGTACACACATCCTATGAGCGCGCCTCACAGCACTAGTTGCTTATAACTAACAGGAAATATATTTTATACAGTTTCCACAGCAAAGTAATCCTATCCCACTGGGTTGAACTCTATGTAAGAGGTCTAATTCAATAGACCCAAATAAATACAGCATCTTGTTTCATCACTATCGCATAGCGGCTTCTAGCAAGAACTATTGGCGACAATTACGTAAGTAGTTGAAAGGAATGGGCCAATCTTCTCTTGTGAGAGGAGACACCTGGGATTCGAAGTCTCCTGTTTTCGGCAGTCATTATAAGAATCAGAACAAAAAGGCCATACATTTGTAGATAAAATAGTCAAAGAGCATAACCCCCTGTTTGCGAGCATATTTCTCTCGTTAGACTGAGCCTATGATTAAATACAACGGCTACAAGACTTAGGGAACAGAGATAACTACCTACTCTTGATAAGAATTATGGTAGAAAATCTGTTACACTATTAAATTGTGTCACGAACCTTCAGATCAGGATACCTCCAAATTGACTCTGGGGGTGCTCCTAGCTTCTGCTCTCAGGAAAGCTATTGGCCCTCGCAACGAAGACAATGCAGTATTCAAACTCTCTAAACTTACGGCTTCGCACTTCCGCCCTTATATGGACCTTTAGGTTTACTAGGATCTTCTGCTAGTAGGACTGGGAGAGGAGATAGCTCGAAAGGTATGTTCAAGAACCGCGTAATAAAAACTAAACTGTAACTGCCACTTCCTGTGACAATCCAACCCCACTCCCCAACGGGTCCATAGAACTGACTCATTACTTCTGAGTGCCCTTACAAATAGGTTTGTAGCCTTTTGTAGACCTGGCTATGCCTACGGAGAACGAATGGCCTTTTAAACGTCCTTGAAGTGAATTTGATATGTATTGTTTCTTATTTGTTAAGTAATCTCCCTGGAAATAACTTTTCAAATTGACAGTAACCTTCGTCTATAATGTCAGCTAATTTTTCAGGTCTGCAACGGTCTTAAATGGACTTGGATAAACCCTTGGCTGCTATTAGGCATCCTCCTGGTTAAGTTGTATAAAGGAGAGGTAGTACCGCCACCTCTATACGGTTCTAGTTCTAGTACGTCATATTAAAAGTATAACGCGTTGCAGTGGTATACATAATGCTACGACCCAGTTGGGTATTGGCTAGCGCAGCTCTGTAGTTCAGAATAGGGGACAGTTGTAACGGATTCGTCATTACAAGCTTTGTCTTTACGCCATTATTAGTTACCCTGACCTGCTTATAGTATATAAGTATTACGACCTAATATCTACTATATCTTAGATACAACTCGGAATCCACCCTATTTAGCGTAGTAGAACTGCTTGGAGAGATTTTATAGGGAAGACGTACTGAAGCGATGTTAAGGTATTTTAATATGCGGGCTGGTAGCGGTTGAATAGTATACATAACTACACCCACAGCTCGTCTTATAAGCCTTCTGGTCAGTCGGAGACTGCGCACTTCCACAGGTTGGCCTAGCTCGATCGGAGAGGTTTGGGATCCCCAATACCCCGAGTCTTTTCGCAGCGTGCTATTTGATATCCTCACTCCTCTAAGTACCAGAGAGGAAACACAGTTATGCTTTACTCTATAACGCATACCTAAAAATATACGTACTGAGGCAATATGCGAAGGCTGACCCAAAACCTGCTGGCTTTCCTGTCGAACCGCTCCTGGACTTATGCCTGCTGCCACTTCGGCAACTGCCGAAGCTACCGAGTAGAAGGTCCTCTCGTTTGTCCGAGCTCCGATTTCCTCTATTCTATTGATGGCGCTCATCTGGGCTGAAATACGCGCATGTCTTCAGAAATTTGAGGCGTAGTCTATCGTAGGTACCACAGCCGCCATAAGAAGCTATCATGCCGCAGAGTGAGACAAGCCCTTGAGTAGTCTGAGCTCCAACCCCTCTTTCAGGTCATTAGTTGCAGCCCTTGCGATATGCTGGGTAAAGCGGAGTCTGCTGGTCACTACCACGCCCGGGATCTTCACCTGATCCTTAGGCCGCATTGTGTCCCATATGATGTCGAACGTGGAAAAGTCCTGTGGCCGTCTTGTTTGCTTCGAAAGCCGCCCCGCTTCGCCTCACCCAGTCGTGTGCCATATCAATAATAGCTTGGATACCTTCTTTGTTGGCCTCCGGGTGATACTCTAGTAACCCATGCCGTTAAGTTGTCCAAATACTAGTGCGCCTCTATTCTTATTGTTGATCTAGAGCTAGACTAAAACGTCATTAAACAAGAGAAACAGAACAGGGAATAACAGCAAGCTCTGAGGTAGCTTATCCTGAGGCAGGGAGCAGATCTGAGAGCCCTCGCCGTTTACCTGGATAATAGCTGTCTGTTTAGAGCAGAACGCATCTGCCCACTTTACTAGCTTTTCCGGGATCCGTCATGCTTTAAGTCTTTGAAGGAGCCTCTCCTTATATACTCCATTATACGCGCCTTTAATATCAAAAACAACCAGACTAACGACTTTTCTCTTCCTTTATGCTCCATCGTTGTATTTATACAGCAGAACCAGCGTCTTATCTGCTGGCTACTATTTCCGGGCCTCGAAGTGGCTCGTGGACAGGAGCCCGTATGTCTCGAACGCGTATAATGCTCTCTCGGCTATCACCGACTCAAGCACCTTTTCCAGAGTCGACAGCAACGAGATAAGCCGCAAAGCCTTCGCTGTAGTATAGCTGTCATTATTCGATTTCTTCAGCAAGATAATCTTCGCGTGCCTCCATTAGTCAGGCAGCTTTCTGTTTCGGCCAGCTAGGAAATCTACCCAATTGTATCACCACGTCAAAAGGAAAAAGAAAGGGAAAGCAAATCAGAGTATATGGCTACAAAACAGTTTGAAGAACAGAGGAAATGCATTTATGACGACTAAAACGTATGCTTTTACTAGCCTTGGAGAAAAGAGCAAATCATGTTCATTCGCAAGTCGTAACATTCCTTGTGGGACTGGGATGAGGTGTGAACAAGCAATCAACCACTTACAGTCAGCCGGATGAGTAGGAATTTGGCATCTGGGTTCTTCCTTTCATTTTCTAAGACGATGTTCTCCTTGGGATCAAGTATCACAACATCTATTGGTCATTAGTCTAAAGCTTGGTCCTGCCTAATGGCGCAGTGGTTGATAAGACGTAAGATTGCGCTGGAACACTCCACCGTTTTGGCGTAGACACACTAGGTGTACACACTGATATTTGAATTTGATGGAAAATAGCAGCTTGTGAAGGCTTAGTTTTGCACCAACTGCCAAAAGTATATGCTCGTTACTAGCATGACAACCAGTGAATGAGTTATGGGTAGTGTTCACCACCATACCATGATGTATGACTAATTAGATAGAAAGAAGCAATGGAAAGTAGTTCAAATCATATGCTTTGGCGCATGGTGATTCACCACATGGCCTGCCCGCTGATATCCAGATAACGCAGAATCCCAACAGCCCACCGAACCGCTCCTTAACAAACGTCGACCTCAGAACGTCCCAGACTTGCTAATCTTTCAACATGTCTGTTGGATGTCAAATATTACAGTAGGTTTCTATGAAGTGGATTGGTTTAGATCATTGGATATTTATAGTTGCGATACTTACACCACTTGACACAGCAGGCAGCGGTGCCACCAGAGATCTGGGCGCAGCTCCAGCCAGCAAAACAGCCCTGGAAAGCGCAAGTGAATTTGCTGTCATAGCAAGCGCCAATCTCCTTGGGCTGCTGGCGAGCCTCAATCTCGGTGGGAGCTGCGGCAGCAGTGGCGGCCAACATGCTGAGGGCAACGGTGAGGTACTGGGTCGACTGGAAAAGCATCTTGGCGACACGGGCTAAAGGAGCTAGTTTAAAAAACAAAAAGATATTTCAATGAAAGTGTAGAAGTGTACCGTAGCTGGAAGGACTATGTTGAATGGAATGAAAGCACGTATGGATTTTAGACGATGGCGGCAGATGGTCTTTATAAACAAGTCTTTTTCTATTCAATACCAGGGTGAATCTTCTTCCTGGAATTGTTGATAGTGCTTTTAGAGCATCGAAACTTTGCAAAACATATCTACATTCGAGTTTGCCAGTCAGGCTCTGGTCTGATGACCCACATCTCATCTGAACATTCTCTCGACTCGAAGTCCAAGCGAGTCAGTGAGACTAGGAAGTTGCGCAAACTGTGGAGGCGACGTCAGCTCTTGGCATCTTTGCCCCGCTTCGTACATTAAGTGACATTATAAATAGGCAAGTGGTCTCATTTGTTAAAGACAGTGAGTATGAAGATCACTCACGTAGCCAAGCGACCATTGAGAAGTACTTAATACATAGGAAAGAAGTTGGTTCCAAATCCTCTGCCCCAGTCTCAAATGGTGAGAGCTTGAAAGTCGAAGACATATCAAACGCTATACCTTTCGTGCATTTGTAAAGGAGGCACTTATTGAAAAACGACGCCGAACAAAATGAATCTCGGGGTTGCATTCAAATAACCTGCTTATAGTAACACAACCAATCGCACACATTAGGGGAGTCATTTGTGGTAACTGGACTTATCCAGCATTACTTGATGCATTATTATTCAAGTTCGGAGCTTTCCGTTGAGCTATACCAGAATCATACCGACAGCGAACCCCTAGAGAAAACTTTGATCTCCATGTTCAATCAATTGATTAAGCTTGATTGGACAGCAAAGATTCTTGACTGATGATGTAACACGTTAACCGCCGTACTTGCGGGACAGTTTGTTAAGACACAATTTCATTCCAGGCAGCGGTAGGATGTGCGGCAGTATGAAGCGGCAGGTGCGGCACATAAACCTACCGCTTACTTGTAACCTGCTGAGTCTGGTGTAGTGCACGCAGTGAATGAGGGTTTGATGGCCGAACGTGCTGTATGTTAGCTTCCTCGGCACTGGCTTGCCAATTCGGAAACATTACGTGGAGGAGTTACATGCTAGTAAGTCAGCATTCCACGCTCTTTAAAAACCAACAATCTTTAGTCATTCAAAGGTTTGTCACCATTTAGGAAGCTGTAAGCACGAGCAGTTGCCGAATTGGTGCCCCACACATACGAAACGAGCATCTTTCCCCGGTTTAAACCCCTCCCCTAGCTTCACGGAACTTTAAACTTTGATACCTCGGTTTTGTCTTAATTGGTCTCGGCCGATAAGCGGAATTTGGTCATAGAGAATTCAAGGATGACATCAGGTCGAAGCCTATTATGAATCGTGCAGCAAATAGGACCAACCATTAGGTGGAGGTGTCGAGGGTAGATAGTCATGACTAGCCCTGAAGGTGCCTTAGTGATTGATGACCGCCAGTCTTTACAGAATATCCACATACGAGTGATTGAGGGCTGATATGAGGTGTTTTAACATAATTAAGATCGACACATAACATGATGTGCCACGGATAGAAGCGTTGTAAAGAATGATCTTCTTTTAAATTTGCAGGGAACCCTTCCAGTAAATACGAATTATGATCTTTTAACAAGTACATGTAATGTCTGGAATTGAGACCTTTCCGAAATTAAAGTGATTAGATGGCCTTACGGATGGTTGATTACAATTCGGTTTTCCAACCGACAAGATCTAAATTGGCATGCGCACCATCCGAGTTCAATTTCCTCCAAAGAACCGATTTGAACCATCTGTCCCAGGCACCACTCAACCTGCCGTTTGATTGTGAAGTCCTCTCAAGAAGCTTTCATTGGCTCTAAAAGCTTGAACTCTGGTAATTTTGAGCTCCACGTCCTTGACTCGTTGCATCTTCTGTGTTAGGCTCTTACCATTGTTTTTCTACCTTCATCCGATACAGCTGAGAGCTTACTGGAGTATTATATCAACTTCAATGGCAGAGTATTCTTGATCAGTACATCAATCCGTTGGTATGTAGCATGCTCGGATCTCAAGGCATTCATGTATGGGAAGTGCCCTTAAAGGTTGCATCAAACATCACAAAAGTTGCTACCGTTAGGTGCCAACCACGTTTCGCTCCCCCAAATCGTCAAGGAAGCCTATTCCACATGTTCCTAGGCATTCAAAAGTTTTCGTGTTACAGTAGACCTTTTTTGTTTCCCCGGGCCGAGGTTATACATTCAGGAATGGCATTTTCTTTGTAGCGGTAGAAAAAGGACGGTCATTTCCCGCTTCGGTTTCTTCATTCCCAACGGACCTTTCCGGTTAGCCTAGGTTTCTTGATACCGACCCCCTCACATCACCACCCACCAACTTGTTTCTTTTCTCCACGAACGTGCCATTAGGCCGTTGTGAGACATTCTCACAAGAAGGCCACCGACCACGCAATACCCCACAAATACAACCATTTAGCACACAGGATCCACGTCGCAAACGGTCCTTCCGAGCGCCACCCTATTGAAGTTCCCGGCCACGAGTTGCAGCCCGCCCTGCGCGACGTACGCCGCCAAATCAAACGGTACCCTTACAACCGAGTCTCCTGTACCCACGGGAGGCGGGGTGTAGTTTTCTGGTTGACGGTAGAGCAGCGACATGTACCGATGTGGGGTGAATGAGAGTGGCAGAAGGGACTGGTAATCTACCTGAGTGACGGGTGCCTGCGTGGTTATGCAGGACGGCTGAAGGTCGTAGACAAGATGGTGCAGGAATTTACGCCGAACCGGCAAGGCTGGGCCAGGGGTGTCGGGGTCGACTTGGATATAAGTGTATTTTGTCGTTGCGGGGTCGTAGCGTGGTTCGGGATCAAAGGAGATTTCCGGGCTTCGGAGGGTTTCTGGACTTTTATCAGTACCCCCCCCTGATCACTCATTCACATTATGGAGTCAACTAACGTATGGCGGCGAATTCATTCCCCAGGGTCTCAAGCTTGTCCCCATACTTCACTCGCAGCTCGATTGTGGGGTGGATGGCTGGGAGGTGGGCTGGAGTCAACCCGTGGGATTGAAAAGCGTAGCGCACTTCTGCAATACTTCTAGGGGAGAAAGACGGTGTGGGGCATTCGAATTGCTTTTTTTCAAGCAGTGAACCCCATGCCGCGGTGGTAAAGAGGGCAAGCAAAGCGAAGCGGAATGTCTTCATGGCTGTGTAGTAGTGTCAATAGGGAGTCTTTGAGTAAGTGATGCAACAACTGAAGACTGTCCGAAATAACTAATCCCATGCACAAAGCAGGTATTTTATATCGGAAAGCAAGGTCACTAGCAGGACGTCATGCTATTCCTAAAGCTATCAAGAGACATAAAGGGTCTATGTAAGTCATGGGTTCAGCCATGACGGCGTTGGGATGACCTATTCTTTGTCAAAATCAGGCGATTCCCAGCATGTTGGTGTGGCTGACTGTGGCAATAAACCTGAATAGGAAATCTCTGATCAGCATGGGCAGTTGACAGCTGAACCATACGGTTTCACTCGGGAGGCGCCGCAGACGGACTGGCTCTAGCGCGGTGTCATCCCTTCTAAACACATGCCATGACATCAATCTTAGCTTTGGTCTCTCTTGCTTTAGGGTTGTCTCTGTCATAAAAGACAACAAGTTTGTGCGACATGACAAGGTGTTCCAGACCCACGATCTACACAGCCTCTTACCGCCACGGGAAAAATACCGGTTCAGGTCTCAGTGTAGCTGACCCTATGTCTGTGACAAGTACTTGAAAAATGAGCGTTCACATTCATATTACCAAAACAGAGTGATATTTCCCTTAAGGTAGCTACATTTTCTCTTTCTTGATTGAGAGTTTCGGGAGGTACTTTCCATCTCAGGTTAGCCGATAGGGTTGGAGTAGAATGAGATTAAAAGACAAGTTAAAAGACAAGTGCTATATCTACTAGGTACTGAAGCCTATTGCGACAGAATGAAGGGGGCAGGCTTGCAAATTAGTGCGGAAAACAGATTTCGCTTCAAAATAAAGCTACTGGCTTCACAGATCTTTCCGTTGTAGCGTATCTGCTTGCGGGTGCATCAAGGGCAAGACGATGCCTGATTAGTATATGTGAGAAAGAAGAGAATAAATAAGTAGCAAACATGGCTGTTAGCCAGACTCCGTAAGACTTTGATACACCCCTAGCATCAGACATTTAGTTGGTGGCGTACCGGAGGCTAGCTGAGCGACGGCGAAAATGTACGTCAGATGGGAATACCCCCATCGGGATGACATCCAAGCCCAGAAAGGAAATCATGACGCGAAAGGTCAATTGTACTTGATGGGAAGAAGAACTACTTTGAATTGAATGCCCTTTACAGATCTGACTGGATACGCACCGTGGCAAACAACTAACGAACTCATATATCATTTCGGAGAAATGCCAGCGTTTGAAACATTCTGAACGTGACTGCTTCTCAAAGCAGATCAGCCCAAGCCCGGCGGTGCACATCACCGACAAAAAACACCAGCGATATAGTTGAACTGATGTCATGGATCCGCTCAAACTATCCCAAAGGCTCTGATATTGCCTTTCTCGGCGGCATGAACGGCCGCCTCGGCCATGGCTCCAGACGCAGCTATTCCTTGACATTGCTGCAATCCGAGACTGCTCATCCTCCGAGTTGATTGGTCCTGGTTTCCGAAGGGAACATCACATTCCTCTCGGAGGCTGAGAATCACAGGATTCAGGTTGGTGAGATCAGTGGGCATAACATGGGGACGCAAATGGGTTTCTCCCCGTATCGAGTTCGGCCGAGTGACAACGGCGGGCCTGGGACGAGACTTTACGAATATTTGGCACCTGATGGATAGCAATGTAGTCTGCCAGACCGCTTTCATGCTTGAAAGTAACATCACCAATTTTTTTCTTCTTAATTACCCAGAGCTAAGAGAAGAATTAACAAGATGCTTAGATTTGGCCTTTCGTTGCCAGACACCGCGAATGTCGCTTGTGCAGTGCATCTTAGGTGGGTATGCTCAAAATCCCACTTTATTTCTCCATAATCACCTTCTACATTCAACAACCTAGGTACCTTAAAATGCTATAAGCACACCAAGGGTACACCTTTATTAAACAACTATTTGCAGTTCAAATAGGTTCACTAAGCGTTAGCAATTTATCTCTCATGGCGATTATTTGCAGGACTTTCGGGCGCATGATGACAGCGTGGTAGAAGACAATTATGATCAATTTCTTTAGGGGAATAGTTTCGTAAAATATGCGCTTAAAGTATGTACGCCACAGTTTCGGTATCACAATCTTATCACCAGTTTACTGATAATCCCAAGGGTCATCACCCCAATCATCTCCTGAATAATCGACAGCAGGCTTCTTGGCCCATTTATCATTGACTTTAGGGGCCGTGTTTGCTGGGACAGGAGCAACAGTAGCCGTCGTCTGGCGTTTGGAAAATAGTGGCGCCACAGTCAGTTCTTGGTCCATCGAATGGCTCGCTTTAACCTCCTGTGGTGGCGCTACTGGTGTCGCCTGGACGCCAGAGCTTTGAGTTGTTGCAACTCGAGATGGCAGTTGATGCTGTCCCGTCGAGTTATTAGGCTTCTCAACTGTCACCAGCTGCGGCTTCAAAACGGGCTGTGCCTGAGCCTCAGACACATCCACGGTTGAAACTGATATGGCAGAAACAGATGCGGCATCTGACATGTTGTCTATGGCCTGATGATCATTTGGCATTCCCAGAGCTGGTGCCAGGCCACCAGGCGGCAAATCCGCTGTCTGCTGGGTTATAAATTTGCCGCTATCCGGTAGCTTTGGTATCTGTGGCTCAGACGCTACCGGAGGCGGCAAAACAATTTGTTTTTGTTGATGCGTTATCTGAGGAACCTGGCGGCTGGGCTGCTGAGAAAGACTTGGGCCTGGGCCAACTGGCATGCTCAGTGGAGTGACATGTTGTTTAGGGGCTTCCTGCAGCGCTGACGAAAATGCCTTTTGTTGCGGTGCAGTCTGAGAAACTTGGTGATCCGTCGGTTGCGGAGGGAAACTGTGAACCGGATTGCTTGGCATGTTTTGGGGCTGAGAGTATTGCTTGGGGGCTTCCTGTAAACCCGAAGTGGCTGGTGGTCCCCGCTGTTGTGTCTGAAAACTTTGGCGATCGTTGACTTGCTGAGGAGAATTCCGCGGCTGAGCTGAACTACTAAACGGTATACTCTGGGGATGTATCTGTAGCTTTAGGGTATCTTGCGGTATCGACACAACTGGGGCTTGTTGTTGTCTCGCCTGGGGAACATCATTAGATTGCCGGGAGAGATTGTGACCGTGATCTGGCCCGTTCTGGAGGCTTTGAGACCCAGGAGATGTCAGGTCAGGAACTGGGGGTCGGCTTTGGTGAAACATGGCCGGTGTTGGCGGATTTGTGTTAGCCTGGTTGGCCTGTTGCGGTGCGATCGTCGCAGGCCTCATGGCATTTACTGGGGAGTTGTGCCACTGGCCGCTTTGTCCTGGGGCCACGTTATTAGGTGAATGCGGCAATACGGAAAATGTCTGGTTTGGGGGTGGTGGCTTTTGGAGCATTGTTGGTTTGCCAGCGCCCTTCATAAACTTGGATAACCAGCTTCCTTTCTCTTTTTCCTTTGCTGGCTGTTGCATGACTGGAAATGCTGAACCAGGATTCATTGCATGTTGAGGAGACTGAACACTATTGATCGGAGATTGGAAAGGGTTGGTCTGTATAGGGGAGTATGTCTGGCCAGCTATGGCAAGAGCTGGTGAGAATGGTTGCTGTAACTGCTGAGGCGGCCTGTTTGGTTGGTGTACGAGTCCTTGGGTCGCCAGATGTTCAATACCCTTCCCGTTGGGTGACTCGGCTGACGACGGATATTGAGACGATCCTGTGGACGATCGTCTAGCACTGCTTGGGGAATGACGATGAGGATCTTTGGTAGTTTGAGATGCAACTCTGACTGGCACACTGCTTGTGGGATGATCGTTGTCACCGTGCTCCTGAATTGGCTGAAGAAGGTGTCCTGGAGTCCTAGGGCTCATGGGACCGAAGAACTGTTGCGATGGTGGAGTGACCGTGGGACGTTGTGGACGTTCTGACGCCTGCTTGGTGGCCTTGGGTCCGGGCTGAAGTGGATGGATTGATTGCGGTGCGTGTTGAGATCCGGCGGACGACTGAGATTGAATGGGCTGCGCCGAATGCGGTCTTGAAATACCGTAACCCAATTGGTATGCCTCTTTCTGATGCTGAGAACTGGGATATACCGATCCGTGTTGTTGGAACTGAGACTGTTCAAAGACGGGTTGCGCCGCAGGATCATTTAGCTGTCCTGTAGGTAACGAATGACGACGATTCGTAGGTGACTGTGAAGCTCCAACAAGGTTCTGGATAGTGCGATTACCTGGCATCATTGATAGTGGTGGTTGGGAATTGTTGCCTGGAGGTCCAATTGGGACCTTCTTTGGAATTGCCGGAGGGCTTTGAACATCACTGAGGTCTGCAGGTTGCCTAGAAGCCATGGGTTGTATCGGAGCTGGAGGTGAAGTCGGAGTTGGTCCTGAGAAAGATGCAGGCCGCGATCCTGGATTGTTAAGATGAACATGGGAGTTGCCCCCTTCAGATGCGGATGGAAACCCGTTGACGTTGGCGCCTTGGAAGAAGCCTGAGGAGGGACGTCTTCCTCCAACCTCCAATGGCGACGGCGTTTGCAGAGGCTGCCCCGACGACTGACTTCCCGTTGGTGGTCCCAGTGAGGAAACCTCACTTGAAGCGAAGGAGGTTTGCCGTGGTAGACTACGATCCGGTGGCAGAGATGGGCCTGGCTGCTGTATTTCCTGGTCCGCCCCTGACGGAGAACGCCCCTGCATGAAATCCATTGCAGATCGAGGCCTAGCAGCCATTCTGGACACTACCGAAGACCCCACAGCCACGGCAGCATTATCTTCAGTGCTCGCTACGACACGCGGTTGTCCAGGAATAAGGGCAGCTGGTCCCTGTACGCCACTAAGGTGCGGTGGCGCATCAGAGCTCGATCGCGGGCGAATGGTAGCTGGAGGAGACTCCAACTGAGTTAGGCTACCAGGCTGCTGCCCAACATCGCCTTGGGCTTGGGGACGCTGGAGAAAGTGAGGCAAGCCGGGCGCTCCCGGTGAGGTTTTGTATGTAGCTGTCTGTGACGATGTGTGGGATGCCGGCTGCCGTTGTTCAGATAAGGATTGTGTTGGAGCCGTTTCAACTCGCTGAATGGCAGGCCGAGGACCCATCAACTGCTGGCCAGGGGCTGGAGTAAGTGAATGGGGGATGGACCCAGATGGTGCCGTCGCATCCAGTTGAGTTCCGCGCGGTTGCTGGACCTGCTTCGCAGCTAATCCTGGTTGGAAAGCTAAATATTGCCCTTTTCTAGGCGGAGTTTGGTTCAAGCCCCCATTTTGGAAATGGGTCTTAGTTGGAGCAGCAAGAGGCGCGACAACATCCTTTCCCTGAGTGTGAGAACTGTCAGAAGACAGAGGCGGCTGAGGGCGGCCTTGTGGAAATCCACTTGCTGGCTTAAGCACCGAGGGTATGTGCTGTAGAGGCCCGTGTGTAGGCTGCCCAGCTGCGTTGGCTGCCCCGCTAGGCAAAATTGTTGGTTCCGTTTGTGTTCGTGGAATATCAGGTCGCGTCGAATTGTTAGGTTGCTGAACGGGAGGCTGTGCGCTTTCAAGTGGATGTTTTGGTGGCACCACAGGAGGTTGCAGAATGGAAGGCATGTTTGAAGTCTCGTAATTCTGGCGTGTACCCATCATCAATGATGCTTCTCTTGCCAACGAGTTCCTGTGCTCTCGGCGACTAGAATCAGGGTCTCTCTTCAATTTCTCGGAGGCAACGGTAGGTACAGCACCGGGGACGTATGGCTGGTATTTGCCTTGCTTCTCTCCTGCGTTTGAGGGCTTCCGCCTGATGGCAAAAGTCTCGTTGGTTGATACTTCGGATGATTTCTGAGCCTGAGGAGCCCTGGAATCTGGAAGTGAATCATTGGGGACGGGCTTCGGTGGAAAAGGCCCGGCTTTCGACTCAGGAGTATGTTGTGCTGATTTAGTAGGCGAAGAACTCTGAGGTCTGGACCCCGACCCAAAAGTAGCGCCGTACAGGGCCTGATCAGTCATGTTGGTTTGATGTAACAATTCATGAGTTGATGGCACAGGCGGGCTAGTGTCTGAAGGGCTGGTGCGTTCGGGCAGCTCAGCTATGCCAATGTCCACGATTTGAGTTTCTATTGGTGCTAAGACAGCATTATCACCCATCTCAACAGGGTCGGGGTGTATCTCAATATGAGCGGGTGCCGTATGCTCTGTAGCCATTTCGGCCATGATGCCGACAGGGTCCCAGGGCGGGGAGTGTACAGCATGAGGCGGACCGGTAAGCGGGGGAAGCTCTACACGCGGCTTTTCAACGGAGTCGAGAAGTGGGACTCCAGGAGATGACGCATCTTGGTTTGTCTGAGGAAGATCTTGAGTGCTAACGGTGAGCACCGGCTCTGTAGGAAGCTCCTTGGCAACGGCCTCCGGGACAACGGCCGCTTCACGAACGGGAAGGCTGTTGGCCACGGATGGCGTGTTTGACTCACTTTGGAGGGGCGATACACCTGTCCTATCTGCAGTCGCATCAAGCAGGGTCTTGTCCTTGTTCTCATCTTGTACGCCGTTGCCTTTACTTTTGCGCCTATCTTTGGGGATTTCATCTCTTTCGTCTTCATCGGCCAAAGGACTGACATCGGTGTAAGCACCAGGACCAAGATACATCAAATTCTCAGGCTGGTAGTAAAAGTCCTCTCCATCATCGTCGTCGATGCCGGGGCCACCAAACCCACTCCTGTTCATACCAAAGTCAGCCAGCGGGCCCCCAGTTGCCCGCATTTTCGACTTAGGATCGGGATCGAGCGTCGTTCGTCTCTTGACCTGCTGCTGACTTTCTAGCTTCTCTTCGGGTGCGAGGTCAGGTATTGGTGAAAGGGCGTCGAAATAATCGGGGAACTCGTCACCCTCTTTGGGGAAGTGAAACTGGACATGGCCATTTGGCTTGTAGCGATAAAACCAGCGTTTGCCATCGTAGTCCCATTCCCAGTTAGGCGGAAGACCCGACATTGTTGCGAGTCGTCAGAGCTGAAGAGATCGAGTACGACGGCCCTGTTTAGGTAGAGAGGTTTCGCGAATGTACCGTAGGTGTCTGGTAGGAGACCGGACCCAAAGTTCGATCGTAGGAGGCCAGGCTCGCAGCCTTGCCGACTGCTACAGCTCGCTGGAGCTATCGGGATAACTTGCGTTACCGTCGCAGGTGGTGCGGGGTCAGTAGAGTGTGCGGTCGGCGCGTCAAGATGGCATTCGTCAAGCTGGACGACGAGATTTCACCATGATCGCGTCCAAGTCTCTCGCTCTTGTTCAAAAAAGCGGTTGTCAAAGGGACAACGTCGCGAAGACGAGAAGGACGGCAATAGGAGAAACGTGGCGCAAGCCATTTTTCGCGACATTATTTGAATCGACAGCATGGTCAGGTATGGTCAGGTATGGTCAGGTCAGCTAGTCTCGATTGAGCTGCAGTGCGGCTGAGCTGCGTTGGATTGTCTCTCGTTGGTTGTTAGGGATGACCTCGGGTTTGTGAGTGGTACTCTCTGAATAAGCCCGGGGGGACTATTGCTGAGTCATACATGAGTTGGTCCTCACCGCATCGGGGTTGGGTCGTTATTTTAGGGGTCTTGGGAGGGGCAGCCCCGGCTGCTTCAGTGACGTCCGTGCGATAATCAGGGCAGATTTGCGGTATTGCCAGCAGCCTGCCCCCACTATCGCCGAGGCGGAGCTGCTGCATCCCACTTTATTTACACACTGCAGCTGCAGCGAAGTGGAATTCTATCTTCAGATGGAAAGTGGAAGTCAGCTTGGGACGGCAACTGGTCATCTCATTCAAGCCTAGGCCACATTGCTATCCTAAAAAAGACCAGACTGGAGACGGGGTGAGGGGAGTGGTTGCCTTCCCTGTCGCTGGCTCGACTCTTCAGTGAATGACCATGCTGCATGTAGCTCGAGGAAAATTCTTGAAAATAAACGTACCTTGGTTGGTAGCCGCCAAAGCACGTCATCTCTTTCAATGGTAGACGGTATTGGCATACCCCCTGTTCGCACTCAATCGAGGGGCTTCCTGGACAACCACGTGTTGAAGAAACAGACACTCACATTAGAGTTCTAGTGTCTAAACCCTTCTTCAGCAGCTGTAAGGTATGTTCATACTCAGTGTTCGGAAGTTATGTTACTCTTGAAAATACTCACGTGTGTTGTTTGAATGAGAATCGAGACGGTTATGGTCTACTTTCGTCACAAGTACGTCCCATTTTAGATCATAACACCTTTATCTCAGGTAGAGTAAAGGGAAATAACAGAGCAGCCATGTTGTCCTCCTCTTTCTTACGATGCACATACAGAGCGGGTGTTACAAGGATGTCGTAATTGACCTCCATTTCCCGCGCTGCAATTTCGGGGTAATTCAAATTGTGTACTGCAGTATCCGAGCAGTAGCAAACTAGATACTTCCTCAAAATGATGGTAGCATTCTGTCAATGACGTAGATATTTGCACAGTCACCTGGGAAGGTAAAACAACGCAACTTCTTGTACAAGTCACCAAGTCTTCAGAATGGCAGCTACCATTCGTTGTGAAACATGTACTTTCTAAAAGAGACTATACAACAATAGAAAGGAATGATGCGCTGATAATAAAGGAAGTCTCATACTCACTTCTCAGTCTTGCCATTAGTCCCCCCCTCTGCATGTTTGTCTTCGACATCCATCTTCACTCCAACTACATTTGAAAAACACTCTCTCAAACTACCTCGACCTTCAAATTCTGCTCCTATCTCCTCAATTTTGGACCTTTGGACTCAGACACTCTCGTTTCTTGCTTCAAATTCGTCGAATCTACTTCCAAAATGCCTCTCCTCAACACCTTCCAAGCTGCCACGGCTATGTCTGCAGCTATTATCCAACCAACTTTCGCCACAACCAATCCCATCCAAAATCTTGTCCTGGCTGATTGTGGTATTGGCACCAATCCTTTGAACGAGACTTGGTCCACCTCTCGACAAATGAACTGGTATCAAGGCTCTATCTGGTCTTCGTCCGCCGATTTGAGCCCTACGTCTCCTGACCTCGTTGTTGAGATGCCCTATGGCGACGGTAGGTACCCCTGGAGCTTTCATGGCGCCTCTGCCACATTCTCCAACGGCGATACTTGGTCTGCATGGATTGAGGATGGCACACCAGAGCCCCTGCGTGCCGGCAAAGCCATGGGCACGAAGGATGGTGGCACAACTCTCTGGTGCTACACCTACCGTGGACGGCCTGTCGGTGTCACCCCCTCCGGCAACACAACTTGCGTCTCGGCTTTCGTCTGCAATCACCGAGAGGATGGCCCGACCCCTTGGGTCACGGGTGCTTCGCCTTCCAATGGCACCGCCGCAATTACTCCACCGACAGACACTTCCTTCGGAGGCATACTGAGTGTTAAAACAGAGGCCAGTCCTCGTCGCGGTGTGTGGAGTGGAACCATCAGCCACTTCCTGAGCAGCATTATCTTCACCAGTGAGGGCATCTGCAGCCCTAACCCCTTTGCCAATGGCCTGAATTCGTCAGTCATAACCCGATGTCAAGGATCATACAACACTCCACTTAATATTCTACCGGTCCTTTTCAACGCTTTTAAGAATCTCGGCTCGTTACCTGGCCCCGACGGCTTGTTTGTGCACAACCACGGAGCAGCTCCCTTCGCTAACGATACCTCTGACGATACAGTCACCCTTCCCGTGACCTTCAACCTTACGGTATCTGACACAATCACTGGAGAGGTCAAGGGATACATGGGCTACGAGATGAAGTGGCCAGAAACGGCAATCGGTATCCATTGCAACGAATGCAATACCACCAAGTTCAATGAAAACTACAACGCAGCCATAGCATCAGCCTTCCAGGCCCTTCATCCCATTTACTCTCAAGTTGTCATCGAGAGTAAATGTACACTTGATGTTTTATGCTGGTAGGCTAGTTATGAGTTACCGAATGTGATAAGGTTTGCAATAAGGTAACCTTTGTTAATTGATTGGGCCGGGTATTCTTAGTAAGGGGGAACTGGACCTCGTGGAGCAATTCATGGTTGAGCGCTAGCATCAAGTTTGGGAACCAACAGTAAATATTAAACTTCATTATCAACCTAGGTTACAATGACTGACATCACAATCACTGTACTTTCCCTTTTGAGTCAAAAACCTGTGCGGATATGTCGGTTGCCTAATTTTGGCATTTTTGTTTACTGGAATCTTAACCCATCTGCGTAAGTGATAAGGGCGAAAATCATAAGTAGTTTGAGCATGTCGAACGGTTGAATGGAACAGGATAACGACGATCAATTTTTATAACAATTGTAAGGCAACTTCCTTTTATAACTTCTCGCAGTCCTTTTATGTCTTAAGTAACTTCTATAGCCGCCTTAGCCCCTACCAATCATGTATTTATATCGCTATGAGTCTTCTGAAGCTCTTCCTCGCTTCCTCGGCTAAGACCAGTCCCCATCATCAATAACAACCTCTCCACGAGCTGAAGCTTCAAGCAGCTCTTTCACTGTCCATGGTTTATAGGTGTAACCCTTTGGAGAGTTGGTGTTCGTGAATGGAGTTCCTTTCAAAATGTGTTCGGCGCAGGTATTGTAATTTTCATAGGCGTATTCTGTTGGGTCATGCTTCAACACCCAATCACCCAACGGACGGGTCGCAGACGCTTGGCTGTTCTGCGTCTTTTCCAAGTCACCAGAGTGAAAAACCTCACGAATCTTAAACCCAAGTTTCTGAGCACAAGCAACACGTTCAAATCTAGAGACAGTATGTTAGATTGCTGTTTCCAAGAGGCTGATGGCGTTGACTTGCCTGAGTTTGTTATGAACCTTGACACCCAGCGGGACGTTTTGCTTGCCAGCTACTTGCAAGCATGCGGCGAGAGAAAATCCATCTTCCCAAGCCATAGTAGCGCCGGATCCAGAGGTAGGCAAAAAGGCATGAGCCGCGTCACCTATTTGGATCACGCGGCCAAGAGGCGATGTGTATGTGGGTTGAGGGTCGCGCCACATGAGTTTCCAGTGCGTACAAACTCCTCCGGGAGTAGATTTAACTAGCTCATGTGTAAACTCATCCCAGCCGCCCATGAATGAGAGAGCTTTTTCCACGGGAATGTCTGGCCTAACCCAATCCTCAGAGGCTGTGCTATCACTCTAGGCCAAAGATTAGAATTAGCGCTTCATATAAGCTGTAGTCAAGTGACTTGGTACTTACAGTCTCCTTGTGCGTCAAGATCCAGCATATATCCTTCTTTCCCTTTCCCGTGACCATGTGTACGTCTTTACCAAGGAATATCATGATCCGCCTTTCAAACCCCTCATACATTTTCGCAACGACGGGATTCTTGAGCGCTTCCTCCACTGGGAAAGTAACTCGGTAGAGAGCAAAACCCGAGCTGATTGGCGTGCTCTTGTGTCCCAGCACGAGTCCCCAGGATTTGGAACCTACGCCGTCAGCAGCCGCAACAACATCCGCCGTGAGTTTTCTCCCGTCATCCAAAATGACGCCACCGTAATCTTCAGTCTCGAAATATTCGACAATGTTTGCCGAGAACTCAACCTGTATTCCTAACTGTGTGACATAGTCGTGCAGCGCCTGGTGTAAGCTACCCCTGTTTAATGCGATTGAACGATTATTAGGATCCCCTAGTTTGTTGACGCCAACAAGTGTACCGTCCGACTTGAACATTTCTGACTCGGAAGGATACATCGAGTCCTCGAGGGTCTCGAGAAAGCCAGGCCATTCTTTTGGTGAATACAGGGCCGAAGATTGAATGGCAATGATGTCGCCTGAGGGATATAAGCAAACGGGATCGATGTATTTTGACAAGCCAAACGTACCAAAATCGTCCAAGTCAGGCCGCTTTTCCAGTATTCGGACATTGTGGCCTTTGCGGTAAGCTTCAATGGCGAATGATAGGCCTGCCAATCCGCCGCCGCAGATTAAAACATCAATGCCGGTTTCTTTATCCCGTTTCATCCTGCTAGCCATGATTATGGTTTTGTCGAAATGTTCACGGGTGAGGGCCTTTGTGCGGTTTCGAGTTAAGGATGAGTAAGAGAACGGTGGTTGATCTAAGGGTATTTAACACATTTGTACAAAGACGTTAGCCATGTACTGCTAAGTAATTAAGCCAATCAGAAACCAGATGGGTTACTCGTAGAGCCAAGTCAAACCCAGTATATTAGGGCGTGTATCGATTCCCATCATGGAACGCGTACCCGCTTGAGTAAGGTAACGCAAACACCTTTTTCGTAGTCGTTGAACCCCTGGCAAGCAGGTATACTCGGAGTCCTCTCAAAGCCCGCCATTTTAACAAAGATGACAAATGCAATACAGCGGAAGATGTGGCTTGGCAAAGAGGCGGATGTTTTTTTTTTTTTTTTTTTTTTTATAGTATGCGGCCGGATTAGCTTCTGAGATCTGCGATCTTGGCCGGGTTCCTGTCGGAGCCCGCTACTCAAACTCTAAAGATCGTAGATGGAACACATATTCCTGCGATATGAGGGGTCTAAAACCCTGTTCACGCCCAAGCCGCTCTACACGTACGACGTAAGAGGTTTTTATACATGACTCATTTGTATATTGGTCTCCCTCTAGGCTATAAACCAAACATCGAATTGTACACCAATCGAGCAATGCAAGTCGTTCCTGACCCAATATTTTCACTTTTAGGAATGGGTTCCTAATTCTCGACTCATGGCGGAGTTGTGCTGCAACACTGGATCAAGCCGGCGGAGCTTCAAGTTCACCCTACCTCGCAATCAGATCCAGGCGCACTCGAGATTCGTATGCTTGCCGTGCCTTTAACCTCATATATGGAAGCATGAAATTTATTACGGGAAGCTAGCACAATACAATCAACTGCATCGTTCATCTTTGGCAGCAATATGGTTTGTCGAATTGCAGCGGCATCGCCCTCCTGCTCGTCGCTGAAAGCGAGCAAGCTGGACTACTTCCATCATTCAATCCGCGCACGGGACAACTTCGACGTCGTATGGATTCAGAATGTCCGTAATGTGGGAGGTGCGGGAGTGAAATTTGCAAAAGGCGGATTCCCCCCCTGGCGCATTGGCCGAGCACTGTCGTGTTCCCAAGCAGAATATACATCCGCCTCACCAGCAGAGGTTACTAAACGGCCTGACATGTGGGGGTTTCGAATACAATCTTGCGCAGTGGTCCCAATTAAACATGGTGATTGGAGGGACCGATGGTATGGAGCTTGAGCCAGGCGAGACATGGGCAATAGCATCTACGCCTCACGACTCGCGCGAACCTTGGGTCCGTCAGTTGTGGCGCTCAGTCGCAACATGACAGAATTTGCCAAGATGAGGGACAAAACTTTGCCACATTGCTCCATCACAAACACCAACTTGGCCAACATAGACAGTAACGCCGCTACCATAGATGTTGCTTCGGAAGGACGTTAGATGTCCATATCAACAAAAGTCCCCCAAGAATATTTCACACTTCAATCTTGCTTCAGGTCACTTCGACTCAAAAGCTGCATCAATCTGATGAGCGGCGTGACGGGTAGTCTGTCTTGGCTGTATCGTTCCTTGCGTATAAGGATGGTGATTTTGAAGCCAGTCATGAAGTGTGAGTTTGCCCAGATGAGGAGAGTAAATACACTTATAATGGCGGTAAAGGTGTCCGTAGTAAAAGCCGGTAGACTGGTGGTTATTATAAGTCGATCGGTATCGAGCTTGACAGTCGAATGGGATGAGAAATCTCGATTATGAACGAAACAAATGGAATGACAACATGTACTCTGTTGACGAAGACCATTTCTCTCTCGTTGGTTAACAGCATTGGACCTTTTGCTGTTATACACTTGGTTTATTCTCCAACAACATGTCGATATATGTTCGAACATAGCCAGAATAGTAAGTAGCGTAGTAAAGAGAAAGAACATCAAATGATTTTCTGGAGACTTGTGACATCTTACAACAGGTTGCAAAAAACTACGCGTTATTCATTGCGTTGAAGAGGTCTAGTTTGTCAAAGATCGACGCGGAAACCGCTTTGACCAATCTTTCCAACCGGATGTAGCATTATGAAGAATCCAGCAGACTGTCCGCCATTAATTCATAACATGACGACATACGCAGCCGAGCCAAGCCGAATTCAGGTCTGCTTGCACTTAGACTTTCGATGTGCTCCTCCTATCCGCCAACAAAATTGCTCAATCTTGTTAAAAGCAGTAATTATGGATATTTTCTGTGGAAGAGTAACATGCTTTAAAAGTCTAGTGAGATTTCAATAGACGCTTTGCTGTGAATTATGACTTCTATGAAATGAAGTTGTAATCTAGTTACAGTTGTTAACTACCTTAATCGGTACCTTCGTACTGAGGTGTTAGGAGGTGACAGCAATAAAGACAGCATGGTGTCGAATATATTTCAGTCTTGAAGGCCTAAAAGTGCCTGAATTGACGTATTTTCAGGTTTGGTCAACGGATAATCAAATCTCTGGGAGACCATGTAGACTCAGGAAGACATCACTGGGGTTAGTGATATTGTGTCTTGCAACGGAACCGGCAAGTGGGGTTGTGTTTCGTTCAGCAGACCACCACTCACAATTCCCACCATACTCTTATGCTGCTGTGTATTTAAATACGAAGCCTTGGTCAGCAAAGCAGTCAGTGCCTTCAGAAGAGAAGAATTGAGTTCTCGATTTTCTATAATAGTAGTTTTTGTAGGTAGATGTTATGACTTGCGAGATGCTACTGGCTTTGGTATTGTCCCTGGCTCGCCTGATGCCCCACTTGCCGAGTTCTTGGCACCGGATTTCCCGAAAAAGGCCACCGTCGGCATACAAATTTTGGCAATGCGAACACGTTTTACATTAATGGCATATTCATTGGTTTCCGGTGAAACCAGGGAACTCTTCTAGATCTTGTGTTGAAAACCACAGCCCCTGAGGTCGCTTACGATGGTTCACCTTACAGTGTTATAAATGTAACCTGGTGCCGCCATCAAGGAAACTCGAGACGTGAAACTTTGACAACACCCAAGAGCAGCTATCAAAAGCCGAAGTTACCACCCAGCGGCTTCGATATCGTACGAGAGCACTACGGAGTAGCACAATAATTCACAAACAAACTGCATGACATGGAAGTGTCATTACAGCATAGTGCTAGAGGTGGACCTAATAGTCTAACTGTAACCTTAATTTACTTTTAGGTGGGTAAATAGCATGCTTAAAGACTGAATCTAAGCCAGATTTGACCGATTTTGGCAAGAATCAAAAACCCCGTTACCCAGTATACGGGATCAAAGTGGTAAATGTCGCGTAAAAAGGCAAATCTCAAAAACTTTGATTCTACTTTAGCTCACTGCCCCGGCTGCCAAGGCTCGAAGCGATGTTTTCCAGTGGATCTGATGATATATGGAGGAGACAACTTCGGGCAGTGTCATCCGATAGGGTTGGCGATGGCGTCGAGCGTTCGAGTGTGAAAACAAACGGTAGGCCCATCCGACCTCGGTTTTCCTCCTGGACATGACTTCAGTTTGATCCATGCTAGTCCTTCTGACCGTATACGCTCGTTGCATGCTGCTCTACTTTCTTTTCCAGAGATCTCTACTAGCATCTCAAACAAACGCAACAGGTAATCAATGGGGAAACTGCTGTCCGCCGTAACAATCCTTCTAGCGGCAACGCAAACCGTATCAGCAGCCTGCACGAACCCAAGCATACGCAAGCCATGGTATGTCAACCTTGACAGTAACTTTAATGACGACCCTTTGGCAACTCACGCAGATCACTCTAGGACGGCATTAACGGAGGGCCAGCGGTCGTCTTACGTTAACGCGACGTTATGTCTAATGGATCCGGAGCAAGCTCCGGCCAAAGTCGGCAGCTGGGGCGCCAAAAGCCGTTGGGAGGAACTCCTTGTTGCACATGTAGCTCAGGTTCGGTTCATTCACACCGTAGTAAGTACACCAAACATGCCCTCACGATCTCCATACCTCAGGCACTGGGACTTGTCTAACAGTACAGGGTGCATTGTTCCCCTGGCACCGCTGGTACACCAAAATCCACGAGGATCTTCTCCGCAATGAATGCGGCTACACCGGCCCCTATCCGTAAGCACAACCTTGATCCTGTTCATCATTCATACAAACCCTCTCCCATGGCTCTCCCCACGGTAGTATCCTCTAGACTAACCGTCTTTCCTAGATACTGGGACGAACAGGCAGACCAAGCTCTCCGGCTAATCGAACACGCGAGCGTATGGGACCGTCCGGCCGCTAACACCTCAGCCGTAGCCGCCTTCGGAACTGGTAGAACCGACGAGAACAACTGCGTTCTAGACGGCGCGTTTACCGAATACCGCCTGGAAATCACGACACAACTAGAGCGAGTCCAGCCTGGCACTTGCCTCACCCGCGGCCTCAACCAAACCGCCTTCGATACCGTTTCGTACAAGAACATCGTGGAGCCGTGTATGGCTGTCGAATCAGACGACTACGCGGAGATGTTGAATTGTTTGGGAAACACACCGCATAGCGGCGGCCATCTTGGCGTTGGCGGCATCGTGAGTTGTTCCCAGAATTCATGGAAAAGTGGCAAAGCTCGGAAACGATGGACTGACTTGCTGCAGATGAGAGACCAAGCACGGTCCCCGGCCGATCCGATCTTTTGGCTGCACCACACGAACTTCGACAGGCTGTGGTGGGAATGGCAGGCGGCCAACCTCTCGACGCGGTTATACGCGATGGGCGGGCCGAACGTGGCGACAGCGCAGGTCTTTATCGACATTCAGCCGACCATTCTCCCCATCGAGTCCTTTGTGCCGCATTTTGGCGACGGCGGGAACGTAACGACGCTGAATCACGTCTTGTGGATGCCTGGTCTGGCTGAGAATGCCACTATTAGGGATTTGATGGATATTCGGAGCGAGTTCCTGTGCTTCGAGTATGCTTAATTGAGAGGAATATGTGGTTTCTTGCTTGTCAAAAGAAGATATAGACATGGACTGTATCGCCGGTGACGACAGGTGCAGGGCTATTGCCGCAGTGTTTTCGTCTTATTGGTCACTCTTTGCAATAGAGTTAGTTATCAGGAAACTACCTAACATCAAACCACAAAGACAGGGCGGACGACAGGCTGCTGCTTATTGTGCAGGTGACCTCAACCCCACACCGCTTTTTACGGCTGTTTTCTCATATCTTCTGTCGAATCTGCCAAAGACTTCAGAGTCCCTTTCCATTCGATCCTGTGCATTCAACTTCGTAACTAGTCATGGCAGCGTTAGAAAAGAACCCCAGCCTCATATCCGAGATCCGACAGAGTGAGATCGCAGTCCCATGGTGTGACGAATTCGAAAAGATGGTGAGCGGGATGAAGTAAGTAACGGCAAGTCATCAATCATACCATATCTCACACAAAGAACTGACAGATAACCTAACCGGATAGTTTCCAAACGAGCAAGGCCCAGGCGCTTCAAGATTACAAACTAGCCACGATGAAGAAACTACGGTCCTTCAACGACGATAGCATCACAGAAGACGACACACTCGCCTCGCTCAAGGCAAGGCGAATGACAGTGGCAGAAGACATGCTGGGGAAACTCGGCGCGAACGTAACCATCGAGCCGCCCTTCTTCTTAACATGGGGCTGCAACGTATTCGTCGGCGACGGAGTCTACATCAATCGCGAGTAAGTGCCACGCGCCTTGCCAGCTGCCCTGCATGCCCGTGAGACATTTCGAATTACTACGAAGAATGTACAAGCATTGCAAGGACTTAAGCTTGCTGATTAACAACTCAGGACGTCGATTTACGATAATGCCCTCGTGAGCATTGGTGACCGCGTGCTAATCGGGCCCGGAGTATGCATCTGCACCGGGACGCATGCCGCTGACATGCACAGCAGAAGCCGGGATTCCGGGACGTCGTTCGCCTTGCCTATTCGTATAGAGGCAGATGCCTGGATAGGCGCTCGCGCGACTGTTCTTCCAGGAGTCACAATAGGACGGGGCGCGACGGTAGCTGCTGGCGCTGTGGTGACGAAGAATGTGGAGGCGGAGAGCCTGGTTGGAGGTGTTCCTGCCCGCTTCATTAAAAGCTTGAAGGATAGTGATGAGGGTGTTCCGAGTTAACATGGTGCATACATGTACACTATTTATATATGAGAGTTAGAAAGTACGTGTCATTGTAGCTACATATCAACTGTCTAGCTCCTCTAAGTAACTGACAAGGCTACGAGGAGCCAATTTCAATATCAGATGTAAACAGCTTCAGAGTCACATAACATCCCCTCATCACTCAATACTCGAAATGACTTCAAATGAATCGAGATTTCTATTGGGTATTTACCCCGATTTCTGTCTAGTAAAAAGTCCCGTCTCACCTGCCCACACAAATTTTGATCAATTTCTTTCGAAACTCCGCCGACACCCAGAGCCCAGTCATCCTCAACTGCGTTCTCGTCGTGGGCGATCATACACAACACGTTTCTCTCCTCTGGGTTCGCTTCGCTATGAATTCGAATTACCAATACCAAGTTATATAAAGAAAAGAGGTATCTCGAGTCTTGTTGCAATCTTGGCAACGATTATTTGTAAAACATAAATGAATGTAAAAGGGACAAAGCGGTATCAACTTTACACGATGTCGTTGGACTTCGCCCTGCTGGAGCTTCTTGGTCTACCCCAGAACTTTCGCCGCTGAGATGCCGAGTCTTGGCTCTGTCGCGGATGCAAGACACCTGAGCTGCTGCTCTGAGGGGGCTCAACGTCATCACGTTCGCGGATGCTCTGTAATCTGCTAATGTGCGGCTGCTGGGCTTCCCTACGAGATTCGAAGACATCCTGGAAGTCGCTCCAATTGTCGTCGATAAAAGGAACCACACCTCGCGAATCGGCGCGAGCACGAGTGGCAACAGCTTGACCAGCGGTAGTAGACTGATGAGAGGTAGATTGAATGGACTGATTCTCGTCGGGAGTTGCAGGAGGGGCGCCGCTGGGCCCCGCCTTGTTGGAGGTATCGTAAGATGGGGGAGGGGCACCACCGGTCCAGTAGATAGGGTACTCGCGGGAACCACCGGGCTGCACCTGCCAAGGGCCCTGCATGCCAAGGTCCCGGATCTCGGCCATGAGCTGAGCGGCGAATCTGTTGTGTCTCTGAAGACGGAGAAGTTCATTTTGGAAGTTGGACTTGTGGAAGAAGATTAGGTTCATAGTGAAGGACTGAACTTCATTGAGAGTCTTGACTTCAGTAATGATGCGAGGCTGATAGTCGCGCTTGTTGTCAAGACAGAAGTTGAGCATGCGGGACTTGAGTTCCTCAATGAGGGCCGGGTCGGTGCCGAAACCGAGCTTCAACTCGATAGGGTCGGCGAGACCGGCAGAACGGCGCTGGTTCAGAATGAAGAGGGTGTTAAGCACGCTGTTCGGCGCCTGTACGATATGACCTTCCATCTTTTTGAATTCAGTGTAAAGGAGAGAGACCTCCGTGACGTAGTAGTCGTCGCCGGTGCCAAGAGTACCGGTGTTGCCGTAAACAGTAACGCGGTCACCAACGTCAAACGGATGCTTGACGAAGACGAAAATAATTGATTGAAGGAATTCCTGGGCAGTGGCCTGCAGCATCCAAGCAAGACCCAAAAAGCTTGAGCCAGCAGAGGCAAGACCGGCGGCGGCCGAACCCGAAAGAATAGAGATGAAGACGATGATGGCGATAACGACAATGATGAAGAGGAAGACCTTGTCGAGCTTCTTGATAACAGAGTCAAGATCCTTCAGGGAAGCAGCGATAGCCTTGCGCTCAAGGTGAATTTCATTGCATGTTCCCTCCATCTCCTCCATGGAAATATCACCGTTGAGATCCTTGTCGAAAATTCCGAAAGCGTGCTCTGCTTCCTCGGCGGTCTTGAAGGCGACCTGCATATCCTCGAGATAGATGGTGTCTTGATCAGGCCTCACCAGACTGCGGAAAATGAGACGGGCCAAGGTATGGGCGGACGCTGTGTTGCGCATCATCTCGTATACGATCTTTCGGGCGTGATTGAAGGCAACCTTCCTTCCAATAAAGTCATTGCCAACACGGGCCGCCACACCTCCAGCTTGCTTGAAGGCGTACCGAACGTTCTTACCCACAAAGCCCATGGGAGTGCGGGCACCTGAAGGACCACCGGTTTCCGTCGTCTGCCAAATGGAGTCCTCGCGAGCGATGCGCATCTTGGAGTGCTCGTACAAGTGGACCAAATGGTCGATGTCGCTCTTATTAGTTTCGATGCGCTGAACATAAGTGCGTTGATGGAAGGACGTGGCGATCCATTGGATGCAAATCTTCTCAACCCAATTCAGGGCTGCCAGCACAAAGATGGCAATAATGACCTTCCGGACGATGTCGATCCACTGAAGTGTCGGCAAATCATCTGGGTCTTGGCCATCAGGTACTACACGGTGGTCTTCAATGATGGGTGAGAAAGAGCAGAGCACAGAAAGCATCCACATGAACAGAGCAGTGTGAAGCTCGAGGCCCTGGCCAACATCCCTCCACTTCTTGTGGTTGCTGGAACCCATGACAATGGCAAGGCCGCCAAACAGGTGAGGAATGAAACTTGTAATCATGCGTGATGTCCAAAGAGAGCACCAGACAACCTCAAGCCAAATACCGAACCAGAGAAGGTAGACACCGGTTGGGCCACCGACAGTCGAGCTGTCGGGGTCCACAGCAAATTTGCCGATCAAGACGGGGATCAACAACAGAGCAGCTCCGGGAATCATGTAAACGGTGTAGCGGAAACAACGGGGGAACTTTCGAAGCCACTTCCAGACGGCAAAAGCGAAGGCGCCGGCTTTCTTCTCGGGCGGTGGCTTTGGCGTCTCTGCATTGGGGTTGCCAGCAAAGACGTCCTCAGGCTCGGGGTTATGAGACCTCCCCTTGTGCGAACGACCTTCATGCTCTTGATTGGACACGAGGCGCTCGGCTCGTAGGAGTTCGAGGTCATCGTTTAGGCGAGAAGCTTGTTCTCGGTTGCCCGAGAGCGATGGCGACATGTTGGGGCGATCATTGTCAGGAAGATGCAGTAGGTTATCGGTGTTCAACTGAGGAATCTTCTCGACTTGCGGTGCGTGATAATTGGGGTCCGTCGCGGTCTGGACGGTGTCTTCGGTGTGAGAAGAATGCTTCTCGTTCTCATCCGAGTCAGCACGGTCACGGTTCGCCATAGCGGGCGTGGTTGGGGCGGAGGAGCCGCAACTCTGGTGTGTATAAGTGGATGTTGTGTGAAAGTGAAGTCGTGAAGGAGTTAACAAGATTCAAACCGCCTTGCCACCAAAACCGAATATAACTCGAAAAATGGAAGAAATCGAATCACGTCGTGGTATATCGATTAAGATTTGGCGAGATGATCCGAAAGAAGGATAGTGTCTACCGGATTTTGATGGACGACCCGGTCGCTATAATTGCTCTGCAAAATGAGGGTGTCGCGGGTCCTGATAAGGATATCAGCTCCAAATGCGGAAGCTGGATATCATGAAACGGAAAGCTCTTCAATCAGGAAAGAGGAGAATCCAATCCGGGATGTATGAGAGAGTCCTTCCCTATTCCCCCGTTGGATGTGAAAATGTAAGGTACCTCGTTAGAGGAGGGAGGGAGGTGCAACTGGGGAAGGAGAGGGAAAAGGCTGGGGAAGGGACTTCTTGTCGAGATCGAGGGGAAGGGACGTAGATGAAATATCTTGGGTAGGCAAGACTGGGATTGTACCAAAAGGGTAAGCAGCGGATAGGCAAATCAGTAGCGGAAAGAGCAGTCAAGGTACCGCGGAGCGGAATTCCTAGCATCAGAAGCTGGGTGAAAAAGCAGAAATGGCCCCAGAGGAAGCTCCAGTCCCTGACCTTTCGGTCATTTAAGAAACAGGGACTCTGCAAGTAAATATGGAGCCCCCATGGAGGTTGGACGGAGTAGTGTACGAGTGTGTGTACCTGCTCGAGTGCACCACCACCATAGACAAGTAACAAGGCATGGTGGTGTGAATGTACAATCTCTCGGTACGAGACCCCCGGCCCGTCTATGTTTGGACTTTCGATGAGCCAAGAACGGGCGACGGCCGCTTGAGGGGGCTCCAGTTATTCCACCTGCATCTCTCTCTGTCTCTGACTGACTCTTGTCCTTCATCCGCGGTCGAAAGTCGCCCTTGACCAGCCGGCGGTGCCACGGCGGTGCCCAGAAAAAGAGTGGGTGATGGGACGCCGATCTTTGCTTGGAATCCGTGGCTCAATGGTGGCCCGTCACTACATTGGCAAAAGCGGGTCAATCTCTGGATGTACACTGCCATTAAGACCACTTTTTGTGCTTTATTTTTTTCTAATCTGGGTTTTTCCTTTTGGTGGTGGTTTAGGTGTTGGGGATGGTCCTGGAGTAAACTGCCCTTAGTACAAGCCGTGGATCTGTTCTGGAGCGAGTTTCTTTCTATTACATCAGGGAGTCAAAAGGGCGGATGGGCAGCGCAGGTACACTAATTCAGTGGCCGCCAGTGGCAGCGTGCCCTGTTGTGGTGTTCTTTTAGCTTGTTTGACCCCTGCTGACAAAGAAGGGAGCCGCTGAGGCGGACGATGCCTGGTTCGATAATATATATTGAACAGGGAGACTACAAATCACACCCACAAATATGCCACCAGGATGTTCACTTCCAACAGTCCAGAACCACAACCCATCATCTCTTTGCCATCCACAACCACGGATGTTGGTCATAACAAGGGCCAAAACTGGAGCTGGGGGACTGCAGCTGAGAGGAGCTGGGAGGAGCTGGAAGCACCGCATAGGGGGGACCCTGAACGCGTCGCCCTTCAGCTTGATTACTCGGGGGGACCGTTGTGGGCGATAAGGCGATGGCTTGAAGTATGTTGCAACATTGCAATCAATTTTATTGAGTGCGGCTTACACCGAAACTCTCTTTTCAATCAGGGTGTAAGGCTCCCATTCTGCAACAAGCTCCCACATGCTTGCACATGCATCGTGTGCTGCCGTCAATCGACTGCCGCAGGTCGACAATACAGCTCTAGCCTCATTTCATCGTCTACATTCACGTTGCCTCATTTCGTTCCCTCGCGCCCTATCCCCGGTTCGCCGCAAGGTCCAAGCTTTTAAAATCCCTAGCGGCTCGATTACCATCAACCCAGACTACGGATTCTCAATCGTCATCATCATTGTTGTGGCCAACATAGCATCATCGTACATGCGCATTGCGGATACCATAGCATAGTACGCCGGTCCGTCCCATCACTTCCAAACCGAAATCCTCATCGAAAAAGCCGCATCATTGGGAGATGGCAAAACGTCAAGGCCACGAATCCTGGCGTCTGAGAAAGAGTATGGGATAGAGCCAGAAGAGTCTAGCCGCTGGCAAACCCCCCCACCGGGATGAACCCACGATCGCCCGTCATCGCGATCCTGTCCACCATCCCACGCCTTGCACGTCCATCCGTACACCTCACCCCTGGCTTACCCGGACTGCTGAGACAGTGAGGCTCGTGGGCTCTCTGCCGCGTTTACGCCGAACCAACCGCCTCTCCCGCGAACAGACGCTTGGGGATCGCCCACACTTTTTCTTCTTGATTTTTGTCCTTGAAGAGCATGAAGAGCCTACTGGGAACATCAATCGCACATGGCCGCCACCATATCCCATGGGTCCACGTCCATTGCAAGCCACCTCAACAGAAACCCTAGTGCGTGCGGGAGCGCAGTCTTGATACTGTCTTCAACATCAAAAAGGACCGAAGGGGCCGAGCGGCAAGGGCCTAATAGTGACAGCCAGTGACGACAGATGTACATCAAAAGCACCTGCTAGGGTCGAACGAAGATGCTCTACAGCAGGTGGAAAATACAGCAGTCCGAAGCGCGAGAACAACTGTCGGCAGCACCAACCACAGGTCAGACTCACCCAAATACGAGAAGGACCGCCAATCCATTCCATGAGCGGTACCGGTCGCGGAACTGATGGGTCTTGGCTGTGGTGCACTACAAGTACATCAAAACCCAATTGACAGCAGTACCATCGCTACAGAGACAAGGGTAAATATACCCTGTGATGGTGCACTTTCCCATTCAGTCTCCCTGGCTGGTGTACAAAAGATAATGTACTCCAATATCTAATTAGCAGGTGCATTGGTGCTGTGGTGGTGGTGTTGGTGGACTTGATCTTTCATTCTTGGGGGGGGTTGCTTCCTTCCACGGCATGTTTCCCTTCCATTCATTCGGTGCCAGTTGGGAAACCCCCACTCTTTAGTGGCCCCACCTATCACGGCTGACGTCACAGCGTCCTTCCATGTTCCGCATTCAAAGACGGTAAAACTGGTCCTCAGCCCGTTTTTCTTCCCCTGCCAAGACGCCTAGGACCCGGCGCTGAGCCCCTAATTCTGCTCGGCCCACCCGTCTTCCCCGAACCTTCTCGTCCACTGTCTCAATACCCCGATGCCGTCACTGTCCTCCGTCCTTGGTTTTGGCGCGTTGACGACAGTCCAACGTCGTCTCAGACACGGAGTCGCTTATTTTCCACATGTTACTTTCCCAACTCTGTCCCCTCCAACATTCCCTGCAGCCTGGGCAGTTACCTCCGCGGGTCCGAGGCAAAGCTCGATTGCGAGATCCATCTAATTTGCATGCAATGCCATCACCCGCAGATGGATGGAGAGACAGCACCAGGTAAATAACTGTAAGGGAGTCTAAAGCTCAGGCAGCCTGAAGTCTGCTTCGCCAAAGTTACTCGCCGTAGGCTACCTACCTCTTGAGGTCATTTCCGCCGACCGTTTCACCTGTAACCATTGATTTCCCGGGCATCAACAGAAACTGTTAGGCGACCCTTGACACGCCTCACCACTACCATTAAGGCCATGCATCCATTTCCAAAAAGGAACCCTTCTAGCGCTCATCAAGAATCCGACCCTCCTGAAAATCAGTCTTCTCGCGCATTTCTAGCTGCTTTAGCGCGAGAGACATTCCGACATCCACACCCTCAGCACCACCACGTCACCTACGGCTTGCCTTGTTAAGCCTTCCCGCTCACCCGTCGGTCGGGTTTCACTTAAGTCCATTGCCACCATCCGCCCTGATTGCCATTCTGGCGGTAAGGCACCGTACCACTCACTCACTATCCAGCATGTGAAAAAATGCTGAATGCAGGTACACGCGCTTTTGCCATTTGTCTTCAGGACCTGTACCATCAAAGACAGTTTCTATTCTCTCTCTCCTTTTTATTTTTTTTTTATTTTTATTCGCCATTGCCCTGGATTCCCAAAAATAAGTAGCTGCATCAACAGAAAAATTCAAATTCAGTCGCCGAGCGCAACCACAACAGGAAGTAGATCTGCTCATGCCAACTGGCAGTTCATCTCAACTCGACTGTGGCAAGCCTGCAAGACACTTCACAATCAATCAACAAAATCAGATCAAGCAAGCACCACGCGTTCCCCGTCAGACCACCATAAGAGCTGAAACAGGAAAAACATACAACGGAAGCAGAATGTCGTCATGCACCGGTGGTCTACAATCTCACAACAACATCTCAGCCCTCACAGTCAAAGCTCATCAACCCCAGAGCATAAGATACATGCATTCGTTTTTTGTTTTGTTTTTTCTCGCCCATCTAGTGTACAAAGTCATCCCACAGGCACATGTTCCCACCCACCCCAGCAAAGCGCTGATCGGCGCCAATGCCTTATGAACAAGTTTGACAGTCACCCACTGCAAGCAGCTCCCCAGCGGCCCCGAGCGGCTTCCCAACACAGGGAACCCAGTCGCCAGCAAACCGCCGCTTACTATGGTTGTATCCTTTTTTTTTTCTTTTTTTTTTTTTTCGCCCGCTTTTCTTCGTAAATGTCCACAGCCAATCTCTGTGACTTGTCACACTTGTCTTCCCACAACCTTGCACACTTTCCCACATCCATGGCTGAAAACAGGTGGCATAAGATGAGAGAAAACCTTAGACCAGTCCACTCCTTCAACCTTGCTATCCTCCCTCCCCCTCTCAACGAATAGGAAGCTGTCAGTCGGGGCCCGTGGTATCTTGCAAATCACAACAACACGTCCCATCCCCAGGCGTCCCTTGCCCTACGGGGCAGATATTCTCTCAAGAGCCGCGACGTGCCATCTTCTTGACGTGAGGAGAGGGCCTCCTGAACATTGGAACATGCTAGTAGTGAATTAACGGAATGAAAAAGGGCACAGAAGTCGCCCAATAGATGGGATACCCTTATCTGCTGTCCGCAAGGGACGCGGCATACATCATGCTGTCTCAGGATAATCATCCGCTCCCGTCAATTGACTTTTTTTTTTCCTCCTCCTGTCCACTCAGTAATCGAGATACGGACGGAACCTACATGTGACTGTCCTTTTTTTTTTTTTTGCTTTAGTTCTTTCCATAGTTTTCTCCCAGAGCGAAAACGAATGCAACTCTACTGGAGCCTCACAAGAGCGAGAGGCCACTTGGGGAGATTCAATGAGGATGGGGGTTAAAGTGCTCGTAGCCAACCTCGCTATTCGCACGACGTTGCAACAGCGAGGCTGAGCCCTCCTTGGATTATTGTCTTGTTCCTCGGAGCTCAACGACTCTCCGCCCGGGACCCAGTGATCTCTTGCGTCCACGAGCGGTTCCACGGAGTCCACCCCGACTACCTGGACCCGACAAACTACCCCCGACAAGGGGTTAAGGGGGGGAGGGGGAGCCCAACAAGCATTTCAGACCCGTTTCCAGAATCTCTAGCCCCTTAAACGAAATCACACTGGGGGATTGCGTAGTCGGTCCGGTCGCATTTTCTTTACAAGTTTTGTAAAATTCTCTCTAATAGACGGTTTATCTGCTGGTTTGTAATCTCAAAGGAGGATCTCCTCCTCCTCCCAATCCCCGCAACGATCCGCGGAGCCCACGTCTCTATTCTTAGGTTTGACGCCTACACCGCACTTCGCCACGTTACTCCTTGGAACTATGTGCCCCAGAACTCAGGTTCGACTGTGAGATATCCGCCAATGGGGAGCTTCATGACCATCGAGCGCTTCTAGGCCAGCTTGATGCTCCAGTCCTCGCCGATGCGAGCGGCTACCCTACCAATAAAGGCGTACGCTGCACGGCCCTTCTCGGCGGCGTGGTACTGAACGGGGACGGACCAGCTCTTGCCCTCCGACTCGATAGTCACCTCCTTGGTGTTGAGGCTCGCCGGCGCGCCAACGACGACGATCTTGTCAACGTACACCTCCTTCATGGCCTTGAGCCAAGAGCCGGGCTTGACGGACTTGCTATCACGGCCCTCGGCTTCCGAGGATGTGATGGTGTTGCCAGACAGCTTGAACTTACGATGAATGTACTGGCCCTTCTCAAAGTCGAAAGAGTCACCGTCATCAACGTACAGCTCACCCTCGGCGTCGCCATTCTTGCTCACGGTGACAACCAATGTGTAGTCGTCGAAGCGCATCAGCTGGGTTGAGCGACGAGGGCGGTCGCGACGGGGGAAAATGTGGCCACCACGCATGAGGACGGCGACCTGGTCGATAGGAACGGCCTTAGTGAGATACTTGCCCTTCTGGGTCGCGAGCTTCTCGTAAGTGAAGTAGTCATAGTAGACCTCGTCATCGGGGATGAAGATATCCACCGACTCCTTGTCCTTTTCGACAATAGGCTTGTGAAGTAAACCAGTCGACCCAACGAACAGCTGATCGTCAATGGCAAATCCAGCTTCTTCGGAAGGATGGGTCCAAAACATGGGTCGCACAATAGGGCTGCCATCTCTGTGGGCATGGAAGAAAGCTGTATACCATGAGGGCATCAGGCTGTAGCGGAGGCGCAGAGCTGCGGTCAGGATGCCCCTGAACGGCTCGGGGAGCATATACGGCTCGCGGCGGCGGGCGTCGATATGAGCGTGGCCGCGGAAGAAGGGGTAAAAGGCGCCAGCCTGGTACCAACGAGCCATCAAGTCCGAATCAGGGTTACCGAAGAATCCTCCAACATCGGCACCTGCAAATGGGAAACCAGAGATACCCTGATTCAGAATCATGGGTACGGCAGCGCCGAGGTGCTCCCACGAGGCCTGGTTGTCACCAGTCCACATGGCGCCAAGTCTTTGGGAACCGGCGTAGAAAGAGCGAGTCAGAACGAAAGGTCTGCGGAGCTCGCCCTTCTTGCGAGTGAGGAGAGCCTCAAAGGTGGCGTTGTGGAAAGTCATACCGTTGATGTTGTGGACATCACGGTGCTCCCAGTTACCGTAGTGGATGTTGTCCTTGGGCATGGTAACCTCAGGACCGTTGAAGACAGATGGCTCGTTCATGTCATTCCAGATAAAGGTGTTCTCCATAGTGCCGGGGAACTTGTCATAGTTGTAGAGAGCGCTCCACCACTCGAGAGCCTTGGGGTTAAAGCAGTCGATCCAGTGAGAGGATCCTGGCCAACACCAGCCCTCAAACGTCTTGCCCTCCTTGTTGAGCACAGTGAGACCCTTATCGTTCAACTCCTTGCTGACGCTGTAGCCATCCACATTCTTGATGTGGGGATCAATGATGACGACGAGCTTACGGCCGTGATTGTCGAGAGCTTCACCCATGCTAATAGGGTCCTTAAACATATCAGGGTCCCAGGTGAAGTATTTCTTCTCGTGAGTGTACTCAATGTCGAGCCAGATAACGTCGTAAGGAATCTTGTACTTGTCGAACTTGCGGTCGACATCCTTCACGTCATCGTCAGAGACGTAGTTCCAGCGGCACTGATGGTAGCCAATTGCGAACTCCTGAGGCATGGCGGTGGTACCGGTCAGCTCGCCGTATGTCTTGGAGATGTCTTTGGGAGTAGGACCGAGGAAGATAAAAACGTCGAGGATGCCAGCCTCGGAGATCCAGTGGGTATGAGTGTTGGTCTTGGAGCCAACACCGAGGGCAAGAGGGTTGGACTTGCTCTCGCCCTTGGTAATGTCAATCCAGGTCTCAGCGCCGTTGAGCCAAAAGACGCCGACGGTGGAATCCTTGCGATGCGCCTGCATGAGGGGGATGGCTCCGTAGAGAGTCATGGGGCTGTCAAGGATGTACTCGAAGACATCAGAATTGTACAGCCGGTACGGCTCGCCGTAATTGCCCTCACCACCGCGGGTCTGCTTCAGAGACAGGGGTCCAGTGTGCTCAGGGACGCCATAGACGTGCTCGTATCCAACGAAGGAGATGTCAAGAGCGACACTCTCAGGGCCACGAGGCTTGGAGTCTGTGTTGCCTCCAAAGGTCTCGTCCCACCAGGTGCTTTCGTCCTCCTGTTGCTCGTTTTTCTTCTGGTCATCCTTGGCCTCGTCTGCCTTCTCCTCGCCCTCCTTCTTTTCCTCGGCGGGCTTTTCGACCTTGGGACGCCAGTGCTCCATGTTAAGCAGACCACGGTCATTCAACTTAATGTGGGAAGCACCATCCCTCTTGAAATCGATACCGAAGGGCGAGAACTTGATGACAGCTTCAAACTTGGAGTCGGGGCCGTATTGAACAGTGATTTGGTCTTTGTCCTGGTAGGCGACCTTGGCCTCCTTGTCCAGGGTCAAGCCGCCAACAATAACGTGCTGCTCAGCCTCGTTGTAACGCTCCTTCCGCGCAATGCTATTGTGTCGCAACTCGATTTCGCCCTTCTGACGCTTCTCCTCGTCGACGCTCACGCGAGCGGTACCGGACTCGAGAAACGAGACGGTGATGGGAAGGCGGACCGTGTCTTTCGCATCGTTGATCGTCTTGAGAATGACGGCCTGAAGCTGGCCGTCGGCAAACTTGGCGGAGTCAGGGGCGATGTTATAGGGGGCGGCCCATGTAGCACCCAGAGAGTTGGCATTGTCGGCGTAGTCACGGTTGCGCTTGCAGAAGCCAGACTGGTGACACTTCTTGAAATCGTTTTCCTTAACCGAGACTGAATATCTCGTTAACAAGTTGTCCAAGTAATAAGTTTGAGAAAAGAAAAGATATGGGCGTTGCGAAATTCCTTACATGCGGGCTCGATCATGCAGCTGAAGGCTGCCAATACACCAACGAAAGTTGTCCATTTGCAGGACAACTTGCCGGTCGACCCCATGGCGAGGGGAGCTGCGACAGCGTATTCTTATAGAGAAATGAAAAGGTAAAATAGAGAAATGCTGAAAGATCAAGAGTACAGCATGAGAGCAAAAGAAGCCAGGCCTTCTCTGTTGCGCTCTCTAATTGATGAGTTGGAAATGATGGGACGGATGTCGTTGATGAAAGGTATTCGGGAATTGTGAGACGTCCAAAGTTCACAGCTGTCCCCTTGGTAGCTCCAGTTTGGGCTTAGCCTGAGCCTCCCAAGCTGTGGGTGGCAGGGGTAAGTCGGAGAAGCTCCGCCTAGGTGAATACTTCGAGGCAAAGAAAACGCTTTTGAGCATAACCCCAGCTGATGTCATCTACCCCGCCATGAGGGCGAAAGACCTGAGGTCCTGCAACCCATCCAGGTCCAGTTCGCCAGACACGTGTATCTTTGACGGGATAAACAGCATGCATGTTTCATTAGAATCCTGAAATCTTTCAAATTAGCTACTGAGTATTTATGCAAATTATACATCTCCAAAGCTCAGTATCTGGGCTATGAGTACTTTGTACATGACGCTGTATGCGTTATAGCGGTAATGGGTCTAAAAGAATAATATGTACAGTGGCAGCCGAATCAAGCCTCTTTAGTGCATTCGTACCTGACGCTGTACCGTCTCGGGTACCTCAGGAGGTGCACCTCACCTTATCAATCGACCTGGCCGAGGAAAAATAAACAGAAAACAACAAAGTCAACACTCCCACTACTGTATGCTAGACACCCTCAATTCCTCGTAAATCGAGACGAGCGAGACATTCCATTTACATTCCTCTCTTTAGAGTCCCACCCATTTGCCCTCTTTCACCCTTAAGGTATTGCATTGTTTATCCAACGGTCCCCCCTCTGGACCCTCCACCCATAGCTCGAAAGGTTGCTGAGCTGTCAATTTTAGGCGGTCTGCCACAGTGTCAAGCTTGCTTCACTGTACGCCTCAACTAGCTTAGCGCATCAGGCACCAATTGGAATCGAAGCACCATGGCTGCACCCGGACCCCACCAAACACCACAGGACGATGACCCCGCCTCGAAGCACAGGAAGCAGCAAAATAATGCAGACTCGGCCAGTAACAATGCAAGCACAAATGGCAACCCTTTCCCTGAATACGCCCGCCGTACTGCAGAAAAGCTGCCCCCACCTACTTTCATAATTCTGGCTCTCCTCTTCGGCTTGTACATAATTTTTTCGTCTAGCCAACAAAACCAGCGGTCAGCGGCAGACATTTCTTCTCCTGTTGTCCCCTCCGTTGTCACAACCACAATTTACCAACAACACATCCCTTCTCCCACCGAAGTCGTCGTTGATCAATCACCCAAAATGTCTACCGAGCAGACGTAAGTCTTTGATTTTTTTCTGTTTGCTCCCTCAGCTTCGCATCAGTTGGCTGCAATGCCGTGCTGCTTTGTCCCTCTGTCGCCTCTGATACCCTGAATTTACCCCGCCATCGTGCGAGGTTTCGGGCGGGCAAAGAGGGGCACACATCCTAACGTGAAGAAATTGAGCTGACCTCGAAATAGCTTCATTGCCATCAAGCCTGACGGCGTTCAGGTACGCTCCATCAATCTGGCACGCTGCCAATTGACAATGACAACAAGCTGACCTTGCTCTAGCGCGGCCTCATCGGCCCCATCGTCTCTCGCTTCGAGAGCCGTGGGTGAGTTTTACCCGACGATGCCCTACCAAGTCCTGAGTAGCCTTTGATTCTAACCGACTCTCTACAGCTTCAAGCTTGTTGCCATCAAGCTCGTCACCCCCGGCAAGGAGCACCTTGAGGCTCACTGTTAGTCCTCCTGGTCCCTCATGTCCCGTGTCACACTGCTAACTAGCTGCCAGACGCCGACCTCAAGGACAAGGCCTTCTTCCCCGGTCTGATCAACTGTGAGTATCGCCATCACGTATTTTCTATCGAACCAAGCTAACGCCCCTCTAGACATGCTTTCTGGCCCCATCTGCGCCATGATCTGGGAGGGCCGTGACGCCGTCAAGACCGGCCGTGGTAAGACCCCTTTTTAGAACGCCCATCTCCTTTACTCTCAAGCTGATTTTCTCTACCCAGTCATCCTCGGTGCCACCAACCCCCTTGCCTCTGCCCCCGGCACCATCCGTGGCGACTACGCCATCGACGTCGGCCGCAACGTCTGCCACGGCTCTGACTCCGTCGAGAACGCCAAGAAGGAGATTGCCCTCTGGTTCAAGGACGGTGAGGCCGTTCAGTGGAAGACTGCCCAGTTCGACTGGATCTACGAGAAGGCTTAGATTTCTTGTCCGCCTCTGCACAAACTCCCAAGTGTCTGATGTGCCATCCCTCTCGGGATGCACGAGACACATGTCGATAGGTTGATACAGAAAAGTCTTCAAAGTCAAAAATAAAAACAAACGGCGCAAAAAGCCACACCAAAACATGACTGTGCCAAAAGATGATGCTTATGTTAAAACAAAAAAGATTGAACTTCATCTACTTGATCTGAAGAAAGCTCTCGCCCTGCCCATCACACCAGCAAACCATGGCGTTCCCCACACGCTGACCAAAATCCGCGCGGGCAACAACGCCTTGGTGATGCCCCAAGCGATTGCAACCTCGACCACGACCTTATACTTCCCATCCTTCTGCCACCTCTCCAAAACATCTTGCGTGCTCCTCGCCGACTCCTCCGTAGGACCTGTCGTAGTATACTGGAAGCTCCCCGTGACAATCCCCTCCTCCTTTGCCCACTTCCTCTCCACCTCGCGTGTTTCGTACGGTCCGCTCGCGTCCAGCTCGCCCGTCATCGTGCCCCTATCCTCGGCCCCAAAGCCAAACCAGCCTTTTCGGCTAAAGTATCGCTCTGCCTTGCCCACGCCATCACGTACGTAGCCAGCCCAGTGGCCCGTCACGTATTCCAGCGGTAGGAAGTTGGTGTAATGGAACAGCCCGAAGAGGCCGAGCAGGGGGACGATGGCAGTGATTTCGTGGAGGATAAGAAAAGCGATAATGTGCGACAGCGGAGCTTTTCTCAAACCCGAGGTGTATCGCTGGAAGCGTGTAGGGACGCGGTCGAGGATGCGTTCGGCGGCGCGGTTGCTCGAGTTTGTGGAATTGCGGGCGATTGGAGTGCTTCGCGGGAGGGGTCTCCGTAAGCGAATGACCGGCCGAGCTTTGGCAAGAGCCCGGCTTGCGAACATTGTGGGCAAAAAGATCAATTGAGTTGCGTGATAGGTGCCAAGGCCACTGCGGCTTGTAGTTTGCCTCTGATCTGGTTTGCTTGGAGGTATGTGAAGCTTGGGCCTTGGGAAGGACTGGCGTTTGCTGCTGGTGGGTCCTTTGATTGTCTTTAGCTCCTCACCGAAATGACCGATGTTCACCGACCGGGCTGGCACGGGCCGAGAGGTTCAGGCTACATTCTCGGCCTCAACTCACGTTGCTCAGTCCAATGCAAGCGGTAGGTTCTTGTACTTGAAGGTTCTAATTGCGTGATTCATCAAACCTTGACAGATTCCAGGGAACATAATTTGAGCTTCAATTACTTCTTCTGGAAAGACTTCTCTGTCTGAGTGCTCTCAGAAGGAATTGCCACTGGGCAATGATCTGCAATCAGGTCGATTCTCGAAGCCAGTTAAACCTGAACTGAGCTTTTCATATCGTTAGTCTCAGTGCTGGGCTTTTTCCATTATACTTTGCGTCATTTTATATACGATTTCAAACCTTTTGAATTGGTGTTATAGATTTGACAATGACGCACACCTTTCCCTACTTTGCTTGCCTCGGTTGACTATCCATTACTTTAACAGAGGTCCTGAGACAATAAGTAACGAGGTAGGAAGAATCCAGCCTTTGAGGAATATTTTAATTTCTGTGGATAGTGAGTCAGGCGTAAAATGTCACTAACTCCCGAATGCTCAAACCTCTGACAGGAAAATTAAAGGGTTTCAACCAGGTCCTTCTGAGTGGCATTGATATTTAAGGAGCAGCTTGGCGTTCAACCTCTATATTTGACTTTACTTTTTCCCATTATTTCTCAGAGCATTGTGTTGCTTATACAAAGGGCAAGGCCTGAATTCGCGTGAATATTGAGTTTGAAAGTATGTTAAATTTCATGAAAGGGAATAGGAATGACGTGCTATCATTTACGCCGTTTCACCTAATTATTCTTCCAGTTCTGCCATTTTATTTAGGTTTGGGCTTTCTCTTTCACGTGTAATAAGCTTCCATCGCGTTGGGCCCTCCGTAGTATATGTCATTCAACTGCATCTGGTGCATTCTTTTCGCAGTCCCACGTGTTGATTCCAGTCATTTAATTCGATATCCTTAACGTCTAAGTACGATTTAACATGCGCAAGTGTTTGTGGAATCGCTCAAGAGCTCGAGATGAAAGCAGTCTCAGATTTAAAATCTAAACTCTTTAGAGTGCGGCTTGATAACATCTCTCTTACCAGCTGACTAAGTCCACATGTAAGGCACCTATACTCGCCACCCTTCACCCAATACAGACGTCTGGGCTGAGGTATGCCGTGGTTCGATATAGAGCGGGTTACCAAGATGTTCAACGCCAGCCACACTTTCAAAAACATCTCACACTTAGCTTCAAAGCAACTGACTCTTCTCGTCTTACTAAGGAGATCATCATTTGGACATGGCCATCGTTTTGGTGTGATTTATCAAGTGACGCGGAAACACTTTTTCGTCGATTTTTATGCCAGATATTGATAAATTTGGCCTTCCACTGCAGTTTTACTGAATCTTTACTGGACAATCTGCACTCGGAAGATGGCACCTAGTTAGCGAAAACGAAAACGACGCTCTTGCTAACGATCACCTGTCATCCCCTTGTCTTCATCTCTAGTGGGAAGGTGCAATTCCTTAAGAGTGAATTTCACGAATACTATTATATGGCCGCAAAGAATTAGCAATATTCGGTAATTAAGTTGAGTTTCTTAATGGGTCTCGCGGATCTGTCGGGAGGCAGTCATACGACGTCCCTTTTGAGTGACCAGCCCCACAGCTCTACATCTTTCTTGTAGTAGAGCCTTGGCTTGCTGGAGAAGCTTAAGTGACTAGCTACGATTATTTCCTCGAGAAGAGTTACGGGCTGTGTAATTCTACTTACGCCTGGTTATCTAAGTTGTATGGCATAGATTTCCCCAGCCAACCCAGCACGGGTTGAAACCAACAACATTCTACTCGCTGATCAAGAATGGAAATACCTGCGAAAGTGACGCGAAGGAGTACAAACTCCTTGGATGCCGTGACTCAAGCACAAGCATATGCTGAAAATCAGCAATGCAGTATCTGCTGCGGCCTTTTGTCTCGGGGCGTTAAAGTTTTAAGGAAATATCGATTACTTTACGCCGGGAAGGACGGGGAACAGCGAAATTTTAAGGATTGTCTATCCAGCTTCTTTAAATGAAACTGAAGAAAGCCCTAACACGATTAAGACAACATTCTTCATACCCGTCTAGGGTGCCCGCTCAGATCATTACGTGATCCATGGGTTTCGCCAGCCGCTCAATCTGGTAATGAAAGCATACAGACCTGCTAGTACAGGCGGTAAACTTTGCATCCGTAGCATAATGCAAAGCCCGCTACGACTTTTAAAGTTAAATTTGAGTTTACCTCGTATTAGTTGGTCTACGAAAAGTTGTAGAACCATCTTGTACGACTCGCAACTAGCAGGTGCCAAGACATCGTCAATTAATATTCATGACTCGCTGACGTGCGCCCTTGTTGATCGTAACAGCTATCGAGCGGCTCCAAATTGACAAATGTTGTCGTAATTACTTAAATAGCGGCGTCAAACCACTTACCAACTTCAGCTGCAACCAACTCTTACACTCTTTCAAACACTCCAGTTCTTTCAAGATACAAAAATCCACAAAACCAACATGAAGGCTTCTCTCATTCTTACGTCCGCAATTCTGTCCTTCTCGGGCATTGTCTCGGCAGTTGAACTACAATGCTGGGGCACGGGAGTCCCATCAGGAATCAGGCAAGGCGACCTTGAGTGGGCCCGCAAGAACCGCTCCGCAGAGCTGGGCATTCCTGGGAACACCAAGTATAACTTCAGATACAAGACTTGTATCGACCCGGACAACAATGGCCATCCTGTACTTGTGATCACCATACCCAGAGGTAAGTGTCCTGCGGCTTCCGCTTCTTTGGCGGATGTCTAGGATTCTCTTTTAAACTGAGCATACTATTCCCCACCCCCTTTGTAGAGATGAGACGAGCTTGTCATTTCGTCATCAAATTCTCGTGAGCTTTGCAAAGTATTGTTGCTAATTCCTGCCACAGTTACAAAGGACGGTTCAACTAGGTTGGCTTCTGGTACCATTGAATGCAGCAGCAGAGGCGGACCCCCTGATTCCACCTGTTAAGGAAGCTTCCGATTTCATTGGCGCATGTTATTAGAATAATATTTATAGCAAGTGCAACAGCCAGCACACATTATACTTGACGACATCATGCCTAGTTCAAAACTCTCGCAATCTGTCTCTGGCTGGCAAGTTTGTGACCACAGCTGGGTTATGCGACGCCCACGTTAGTTCCCGGGAGGTGTTTGAACAATTTTGGAAGCTGCAGCGTTGCGGCGCGGAGCGCCTTTTCTTTTTTGATCGATTCAAGGCTGTTCTTTAGGCAGCAGGTATCAGGCAGCAATAGAAGGCAGCCGATGGCCATGTATAAGCCTCCTACATCCACCTCAAATTGTGAAAGGTGCATTTCTAGTTTCCACAAGCTATTCCCAATTTCTTCAGTTGATGCAAAGTTCTGTCGGCCTCTTATTCAAATTCTTTTTTGGTTCACCAAATTCATAAAGTCAGCCTTCATACGAAGAACCGTTGTGGCGACCATGGATTATGTTACAGACCAGCGGGGAAATCTGTGTAGTCGCTGCAGCAGCATTCCACTAGAAGCATACTTCAGCAGTGACATCCAGACTGACAAATTAGAGCTGGGAAATTTCCAGAACATTATGTCTAGGCAGCTCGAGTGCCAATTTTGCTGTTTGGTCATTGAAGCTTTCCATGGTCATCTATACCCGAACTGGGAACCAGGCGTATACCCTAACCAGATGTGTTATCTGCGTGCCGTCGAGAAAAACACACAGTGGAAACAGCCAGAAGTGGAAGTATACTGCAATGTTACGACAGAAAACATGCCAAATAATATATTTGGGAGTCATCAGATAAGGGGCTTCATAGGTTTGGCCCCTGAGTCGAACGACGCTTGCAAGCTGCCTGTGATATCCAACAGGCCTCTAAACCATCAAAATGCTCGGTCCTGGATTCTGAACTGCGAAGTCAACCATAAAGAATGTCATCTGAATAACGAAGCGGCTAATAAGGACTACAAGCACATATGGCTGGTCGATGTTCAAGAAATGTGTCTTGTGGAAAGAGCTTGGAACTGCCGCTATGTCGCCCTAAGTTATGTTTGGGGCCAACACACTGCGTTCCGTACAGAGATGAGCACTGTTTCAGAGTTAAAATGTCCTAACTCTTTACAAGGCCTTCTTCACAAGATCCCACAAGTCGTGAAAGACGCCATCAGATTTGTGGGAAGCATTCAGGAGAGATACCTTTGGGTTGACTCATTATGCATTGTTCAAGACGATGAAGAGTTCAAGAAGAAGTATATACCGCGGATGCATAGGGTATATCAATCTGCTATCGTTACTCTAGTGGATTTGGCAGGAGAAGGTGCTAGTGCGGGATTAGCTGGAGTGTCAACCGAATGCAAAATCTCCAACATCCCTATCACCGTGGGTTCCCGAATACTGGAGGCAAGGTTACCAGCTCTTTCCACATTGGTAAACTGCTCAAAATGGACAAGAAGAGCTTGGACCTTCCAGGAAGAGATATTTTCTCGAAAGTGCATCTACTTCACTGATTACCAAGCCTACTGGGCATGTCAGTCCAGTTGTACACCTGAAAGCGGTCATAATGATACCTATGGAAAGCCAAAACTTTGGAGCTACAGCTCGTGGGGACGAATTGGTGATGAGGTGGAAACCCAGTTCCTCCTATATCAACAGCTCGTCAAAGGCTACTCTAACAGAGAATTAACCTTTCATGCTGATTCTCTGAACGCTTTTGAAGGGATTATCACGGAACTAAAGGACTCTTTCGGCTGGACATTTCTAAGTGCCCTTCCGGAAGATCTTTTTGGTTTCGCGTTACATTGGGTCCACCCATATGGTAGCCTGCTCCGTCCGAGACCGTCTTCGGATCAAAGCTCGACGGACCCTCTCTGTCGCTCGCCCACGTGGTGTTGGACAGCATGGAGGGGGTTTGTTTATTGGGATCCTTGGCATCTGAGTTCTTTCGTGGGAAAACAAATCAACCTGAAGTTTGAGATAGAGAGCTTTTGGTTTGCTGACAGCCCTGAGCCACGAAGGATCATGAACACCAACGGCGTTCGTTCCGGATCTGGAGCCTTGGAAGTACCGGCCCCCGAGCTCCGTTGTGATGATTCCGAACGACGCACCTTGAATAAAAGAACACCAAATAACGCCATTTTATTCAACGCAAAGGTAGTGCATGCAAAAGTGTTCGCGATATCTCCACCGAACTTTGAGCCAAGCTCTGCTTTTGCGTGTGACAAATCATATTCTCGTTACTTTCGGTGCCACCAGGGTCGCGCTGGTTGGATATACGACAAAGCCGGTCATCACTGTGGCACACTTCGTGGAATTGACTTTTGGATTTCTCAATATGACAAGGAGAACTGGGAGATTGTCCTGTTGTCTCGCAGTTTCCAGGACGAGGTGACGCAAGCTGACATTGATGCATACCCGCATTTGCCCCTGGAGTATCCTTCCAGGACAGAATATTACGAAGACATTTTCGATACAAGCTTCTTTAACTACAAGACGGGGTGGGCTCTGAATATTATGCTTGTGGATAGGAAAGGAGCGTGGGTTGAAAGACTTGCCATTGGTCAGATTCATGTTGATGCTTGGGAATCAGCTTCCGTGGATACATCTATGAAGATGGTCGTCTTGTGGTAAAGGACATGATATTTTGTTCATTAGTTAATGTTTTCTGCCACATAAGTTATGAACAAACAGTTTGTTTTCATAGCTGCATTCATTATATTTTGTTCTCCAGGGCCTCTATTGTCTCATGTAATCAGGAAACTACAGAAACCCTTTAAGAACGTAAACAGCGGAAATAATCAGCTCAAGACGCCTAAAGGGGAATCAATCATACTAATGAGGCTAAATGAGCCATTATCGAAGGCCGGGGGCGGAGAGTCAACCGCGCACCAGACCCAAGATTAGGGCGTTATAATCTTGGCATGAGGTAATTCGGCGAAGTTGATGGCATTGAGGTTCTTGCTATCAATGTAACGAATAACTATTATTTAAATGGTAAATAATAAGCGATTAAAAGGCCCTCTGATAAGAAGCTATAAGCATTTACATTCGGGAAAACTTATCTGTTATCTGCAATTTCTGGACCTTTCCTGAGGTTTCATAGAGAGCATGATCATGCAAGAAGCTGGGCCCCTGCCTGAATGTCTTGGAACCAACCATAGTGTGAGATCCAGACCATGCAACTTCACCACAACAGCTTCATGTAAATCATTGAGGGACCGAGTACTCGGACTCAATCATGCGAATGATAGGATTGCGTTGAAGATCTTATTCATCACACCAAATTGTGGTCTAATTTAAACAGTTACAAAGGACGGTTCAACTTGGTTGGCTTCTGGTACCATTGAATGCAGCAGCAGAGGCGGACCCCCTGATTCCACCTGCTAAGGAAGCTTCCGATTTCATTGGCGCATGTTATTAGAATAATATTTATAGCAAGTGCAACAGCCAGCACACAATATACTTCACGACATTACAGGTTTCTTTGACATCCCACATAGTAGTTCTCAAATAGGCAATGGACAGTGTGCATCACACAGGCAGATACATTACAGGATGAGTGGCGACTATATTCAAACCTACAGTCTATCCAATCCCGCCAAGTGCTTGTTTACTTAAGCTTGATAACGCTTCGCGACCCCTTTTGCGCTGTCACGATATGTTCAAGGAGGTGAGCGGTGGTTTTGTGGACAATGAATGGCGATGAGCCAGCCTTCATCCAGCTCTTTGGTATCTTCCCCAACGGTGTGGGAAGCCTTTTGCCGTACTCAATCTGAGCAGCACCAACTCGAATAAAATCGCCAGAGACCTTTTCTTTGGAAACCATAACCGCAAAAACTGCCAAATTAGTGGCGAAAAGCGGCACCATACAGACACCTTGGTTTTCAATCAAACTGGTTATCTCTCCTTTAGACCCTTCTAAGTCTAAGTGAGATCCGCTTGCATCCATATCATCGGTGATACGGATGCCAGCTATTTCAAACTCAGCGATTGTATCCCCTGCCCACTTGACGGAGTTCAGGATTAAAGGAACACATTCCAACTCGAGTTGGCCTCGAGCTTGAAAAGCTGAAGTCCCTACCTCGCCAGGCGTCGGGTACTTCAAGACCTTAGCGAAATGTGCGATCGCGGCCTCCGTGGCAGAAGGGAAAAATATTTCCCCATCAACCGCCATCCAGGACCAGCTGGGAGCTCGGTGGGACGTGTGACTTGATGGCCATTTTTCGCTGTCGGTGCCGGCACGGTACCAGCCAAGATCGTAGATTAATGTGCTTTTCCAACTCCCAGCGATATACTCGTCAGTTATACATGCTTCAACCATCTTGGCAACGCCACTGAAGGCTATAAGCTTATCATCTTTATTTGTTAGCTCGCACACAGAGTACTTGCCCACAAGGAAGCTCCATGCCTCACGGAGGTGAAGATAATCAAACGTGCCCTGTGATTGGTCTTGGATAAGTGTTGCCAAAATCTCAGATTTGGATTGAGGTAGAAGAACCGAAGGCAACCCAGCAGGGAACATCTCAAGTGCTGTGAGTTGATTGCATTCCCATGCCAACTGTCGTTGCCCAAAGTGCAACACTCTTGACGCTAGGAAGCGTTCTTGAAAAACCCATGCTCTTTGTATCAGTGGGGCTGCCTCGACCTCATCATTCCAGATATCGCCGTCGATGAGCCAGTAGGCTTTCTTTCGTCTGTCAATTTCCATAATGACTTTCGTGGGGCGAAAAACATCCCATGGCCGCGGGCGATGGAGTGCTTGATTTCCGGTTACATCGATATGAGATGCAGAGAGATTGAGCAGAGAATGTGAATACACCTTTTGCATAAGCAAAGCTTCTTTTTTCCAGTCGGACAGGTCAGGGTCTTGTTTTATACAAAGAGAATCGATCCAGAGATAGTGTATCCCAAGTCGCCAGGCAAGTGCAATGGAGTTTTGAAAGACCTGGGGAAGTTTGGATATGTCTATACACAATTGAAATCGTTCTATGGTGTCTGAAGTAAGTTTGTCGTATTGTACATCTCCCCAACGATGACTAAGTGTAATGTAAGGATGAACAGGCGGTTCATCTTTGGTTAAGATCAGCTTCACACTTTGGCCTCCATTGCTTATTTGAAGTAAGCGGGTAGGAAACCAGGTTTCGTGGCTTTGGTTTTGACACTGCGGGTGGTTCTGCGTGCAGTTGCTAATCCAATTTCCAAGAAGCCCAAGATCGCCAAGTTGCCTTGTGTAACGAGGTGCAGCCATGCTGCTAGGCTCCGAATAGTCTGGAACTCAAGTCAGTCGTTTTGAACTTCAAGCAAAGGCCAATTACATGTACGAAACATACGAACCTTTACAATCGAGGAAGTCGACTTCAATCAAACAACCATATGAATTTTGGATATTGTGTGGATGAATGCTGACGCAGAGAGCCCGTGGATCCAGGAAATTTTGCGCATCTCGGGTGTATGCGCAATTGACGAGGGAAAATCGAATTTTGAGAGGTCCTCGTTGCCACAGATCAAAAGTTGTATGATGATCCAACTGCAGCCATTGCGAAAACTTGTAGCAAACCCAGCATGTTTCAGCAGATGATGAACTGTAAGGTGGATAAACGCTGATGCTAAGCTTTCGAGGCTTGGCTCCAGGACGCAGCCAGCGAATGGAGTCTTTGCAGAGAGTGCAGATAGCCATATGAGTCTTGCATCAGTGTCAACCCCAATATGTGAATTGGACGACTTTGTTTTGACACCTGGAATGAACAAAAAGGACAACAGAATTGTGAAAGATTTAGACAGTCAGGGGTTAGCCAAGGCTTTTTGACCAACCAGTTAATCTAATCTTTGGGTACTTCTGTTGGTTGCCTACATGTTCTGGCTATGGTAAAGTACTGCTATCGTATCTGCGTTGTGAAAACGCAACTCCACATTGGCTGGCACCCTTGCCTGGTCCTCTCCTCTGTGATTCTGAGTTCTCAATGACCCAAATAAACCTCAAAAGTTCTTCATGATATCGCGATGCTTACCCATCTGTAGAAGTGTTAACTTGCTTGGTGAATAAGGTTGGGAACACGTCGGAGTGAACGATGTACCGTTATGCATCTCTCTTATGGAGCCTAGTGACAATGTACCTGTTCCCAGGCAGCACTTGGTAGGATCTGAATTGCTCGTGAGGCAAAAAAAAAGGCCCTATCTGAATGTCTCGGAACCAACCGATGTGCTGGATGTGAACCTTGCAACGTCACCCCAACAGCTTCTTGTAAATTCGTAAGGGGCCGAGCACTCGGGCTTCATCTTGCAAATAATAGTATCATGTTAAAGTTGCTATTCACAACGTCAAGCCGTTGTCTAATTTTAACCTCAGGCAGAAGAGTTTATGAATGGGCCTAGAAAACAGCCAATCAGAGCGATTCAGAGCCACTCTCGAAAATGTTCAACAAACACAACCCCAAATTTTGGAACTCGATCGGTTCCAACCACACCACAACGTTTTGTCGAGCGATGCCTCGATGGCCATGCGCCTGGTTCGACCAAATTACCGACTCTGCTTGTCAGCCCACCGATTGACCTTGCGCCTATTCACCACGAAGTCATCTTCCTCCTTCACATTCCAGAATGCGAGTCCGACCCCCACCGAGCCGAAGAGATTGCGATGCACCGAGGTGGATGAAAATGGCGTCGTAACAGTGCGGTTCATCTCTGCCAAAAAGACCGAGTTGACAACGCGTTACGGACTGGTTCCGCGCGACATTCGCAAGATTGAGGCGTCGACCCTCTCCCATATCGGCATCCGACCGTCGACGGTGCTCCTGCACCTCTTCCACCTCAAGGTGCTGGTTCAGCGGGATCGCGCCCTCGTTTTCGACGATGCGACGAGTCCAGCGTCCCGCTCCGCTTTCCTGCGCGAAATCCAAGAGGGAATTCGACAGCGAGATACCGCAGTAGCTAAAGCAGCAGCCGGACAACGGGAGGATGAAAGCTACGGCCAACCGCAGCCCACTTTTGAATTCCTTGCGTTGGAAGCTGTCCTTAGTTCTGTCGTATCGGAACTAGAGGGCGAGCTCGATGCCGTCCGGCGCCCCGTTGAGCGTGTTTTGAAGTCATTGGAAGATGACGTAGACCGCCGTGCGCTGCTGGCTCTCCTCAACATCTCCGGCAGAGCCACCCGGCTTGCGGCGCAGGCGGAGCTCGTCCTGACAGCTGTTGAAGATGTGCTTGATTGGGACGACAGCCTTGCTGCTCTGTATTTGAGTGCAAAGGCGGCGGATAAGGACGGGCGAGGCAAGACGGCGGATGACGACCTCACTGTGGCGGAAGCGCTGCTGGGGTCCTACTACGTTGCATATAACGAGATTGTGCAGGAAACGCAAAGCTTAGTGTCCAGCATCCGGAACACCCAAGAAAGGTTTGTGTCTTGCGCCATGACCCCCTAATTTTTCCGAATTTTCCTCTGACTCTGTCCTTCCACTTGGGCGGCTTCCAGCGCCAGTGCAATTCTTGATGCCAATCGCAATAGCCTAATGTTATTGGACCTGAAGTTCCGCATGGGAACTCTAGGTCTTGCCACCGGCGCATTCTTTTCCGCATTTTACGGCATGAATATCTCCAACTATATTCTGGAGTTTACCTGGGCTTTCCCAGGCGTCTGCGGAGTTTCGGCTATTCTTGCTGTGGCCACTAGCTACTATGGGCTCACCGTGCTGCGGAAGATTATGAGGGTAAAGATGGAGGGCCATAAGGAACCTCGATCCCTCGGCTCCAGTCGATGGAGCAGAACTCAGAAACGATAAACTGAGTGTAACAATAGAGCCGTCTCGGCATCATCAATACCTACCTATTGATGAATGTAGTATAAGATAATGTGTAATATAGCTTAGTAAGGCAGGAAAAACAGGCATTCCTTCCATTACCAAAGTCTCCAAGGGTCCAAGCAAGCAGATCAGCGTCAGATCAGAATGTGCAATCACGTCTTTTGCGAATGGCGGGCTTGCCGGAGGTCTCGGACATTGGCCATTGCAACAGCAGCAATAAATGCACAGCTGCCCCCTATATTCGATGCATTGGGGTCCACAAAGACTCCAATTGTTAGGAGCCCCAGCTCTTTGGCGACCAATCTTTACACTTCGCTGCATGCCTTCACACGGGATTGCCCACATATCCGGGTCTTGCCGATGGAGAGCAGGCCGGCTCATGATGGGGAAAAATGTGGCTGCAAGACACTCGACTCGCAAGGAGTTGTCGTTGAACCTTGGTTCTGGAATTTGACTCAAGTTCCGGATGCTATGCTCATACTTGGCACCAGTGTTTGCTCAAGACGTGCGGATGCAACATTTGCGGTGACGATCCCTACCAACAACATCCAGATTGCGGGCTATAAAGCGTAGAATTATTGGATGGCAACAGGGGATGCCCTGCATATTGGCTGCCAAGTACGTATGCTTAAGCAAGAAGGTTATGCCATGGTCACGTCCTTTGAAGCGATGTCTTTCGCACCTTTTACAACCACTGTGCTTTGGTTACCGTAGCTAAGAAAACATCCACAAGTCTGCTCCGAAGGCGCAATCAAACAAGTACACCATCTTGTTTACCTGCTTTGACTTATGCATGATTGTTTCTATCACAGTGACCATTCTGTTGCTCAAACCGCTTGCGAGGCTTTTCGGTTTATTGAAAGTTGTTGCTCTTAACGCATGGGTAACATACGAGCGCTTAATTAGTGGATGGCAAATTTGGTCTTGTGGTTTTGCGAAGTAACCATGTTGTCATTCAATGCCACTAGTTGAAAATGAATGACCTTCTGAATCAACAGTTGGAGTTATACTAGGAGTTATGGGCTGAGAGAATGGTCCGTCGCCTGGCTGAACTTACGAGAAAGAGCCCAGTAAGTCGTTCATGTCACCGAGAGTCATCCACAATCCACAGAGTAGTATAGTGGAGTAAAGAGGCAATCGATGAATCAGGGACTCCACTGTCGTTGATGTGCGCTAGGTCTGTTTGTCGCTGACTAGATGCCAAGGCTTCTTCTCCAGTCTAGAACAAGCTAAAATAGCGGCGGCAATCCGGCATAGATCAGAAGTCAAATTGACGGACGGCCTTCCCCGGTGCTGTTAATTTATTAAATTTACGAAAAAAGCACTCTAAGGGGGTCAGAAGTAGTGAGTTTTCAGGAGCCAAACAATAAACACAATCAAACCAGCATTGAATGGGGCTCAATCTCTGCGCATATTATGGCCAAGGAAGCCCTGTTTTCAATAAGCCGATGTGAATGACGAGGGCGAAGAGCCTAGACTAAGGGTGCAGGTGGAGATGTAGGCTGAGCCGCTGATCACTAACCGGGTCGGATGCCATTTTTTCACTATGTTTACCCAATTGGAAACCGGTCAGTGACGGCAACAAAAGGCGTCTTGGCTGGAAGAATACGAGGTCCACGGAGGCAAGCAAGCAACGTCATGCAGAATACTCGTGTCGATCGGTTACTATTTTTGTTTTGTACGAAAAGAGGCGTACGTTAAATATTCGAATATGGCCCAACAGAGAGTACGATGTCCAGACAGCTTCAATCAGACTTCCAGAGGCTCTCCTTTATTCCTCTTAATCAATTATTGTATCCTTTTAATTCCTTCAATATGTATTTCAGAGCCGCTCTTACAGCCAGCTTGGCTACCACTGCCTTGGCTCAAGTTCGCCAGGGCTTTAACTACGGTGCTACCAACGAAGATGGCTCCTGTAGAGGCTATGAAGACTTCGTCGGCTACTTCAACACCGCAAAGAGCTTGGCTGGCACTTCCGGATTCACCTCTGCGCGGCTCTACACCTCCATTCAATGCGGCACTGTGAACGATCCGATCTCGGCATACCAGGCCGCCATCGACACGGACACGTCGATCCTTGTTGGCTTGTGGGCCAGTGCCGGCAGGGGTATCTACGAGAACGAGCTTAATTCCCTGCTCCGTGCCGCTGAGCAGTACGGCACTGCTTTCACGGATCGTATTGTCGGCATCAGCGTCGGATCTGAGGACCTGTACCGGAGCAGCCCCGACGGCGTCGCCTCCAATGCCGGTGTCGGAGCTACCGGCGCCGAGATTGAGGGCTACATTGGGTGGTTGAGAGATTGGATCCGCGGCACTGCACTCGAGGGCAAGCCTATCGGCCATGTCGACACATGGACTGCCTGGGTTAGACCCGAGAATGCCGGCGTTGCTGCCTCTGTCGATTGGCTTGGCCACAACTCCTTCCCCTACTTCGAGTCCACAAAGCCCAACTCCATTGAGCAAGGCCCCGAGAACTTTTGGTCTGCCGTGGGCAACACCGAGAGCGTAGCAGGAGGCAAGCCTGTATTCATCACTGAGACTGGCTGGCCACACAGTAAGTTGAAAACCTCTCCTTTGCTTATTTTTCTTGATCAGGCGGCTAACGTAACTTTTAGGGGGTCCTCAACAGGGCGCTGCTGTCGCCTCTGTCGACAACGCTCGTACTTACTGGTCTCAAGTTGGCTGTGCTCTGTTTGGTCAGCGCAATGTGTGGTGGTACACCCTGACCGATGCAAACACCGCGCAGACCGACATCTCCTTCGGAGTAACGCCGCCAGGCAGCTCTGTACCTGTTTTCGATCTGAACTGCTAAATCTGCAGAGGTTACTCGAAATGATAGGGTCGCATTAGAAAACATTACACAATAATGTTAATTTTACAGCACTTACGCATGCATCATCTACAACTTATTGTGACTATTGTTTGGTATCATGAACTACTCAGTGCCTAGATTCTTCAGCCAGTTGAATCAAATTACCTAGCCTACGGTTGTTTTCAATTAATGCATAAAACTGGCCGTGAAATGATTGATGATGGTAACGAAAGGTTGAAGACTCGGGCATGGTGTGAGAGACCAAAGTCTCACGTCAGCACCAGGCCATTCTAAGTAGTACTTAGTTATCATAACAGTCTTACGCAATGTAACGAAGACTTCCCACTGAGCTGCCTATCTGATTTGAGTTGTCAAATCAGCTCGCTTAGTTTAATCATGTATCGAAACGAATGCGCACAAAAAGAGCGTTACCCCGCGCCCAGTTTTACCATCTCTCTTGCACAGTCTGATCAAACTAACCACTAAAAAGTTGACGAACAGACCCCGAAACTCATTATTCTTGACCAAAGACAGACCATGGAAGTCATTGCGGCGGGTATAGCCTGGGCGCTGAACAAGACGATATCTCCGCAGCAAGTCCTAAGCCGCCTCGGCTTTGCTTCACTTGTTTCTCAAAATATCACGAGCTCTTGGCCAGACCTTTCGTCACAACTGTCGCCTCGTGCATCAATAGTATTTCCTAATGAGGTCTCATTTGGTGATTCCGTAAGCAGATGGCGAGAATGGCACGCACCGGAGGTTAGCGTTGTTGTGAACGCCTTCACGGAGAGCGACGTCCAGGCAACGGTGAGTAGTCTGATGCTCAGGACATATACATGAGAAATGAAACCGGTAGCACACGAGCATGTAACTGACCACTGGAGATTTAGATCAGGTATGCGAATGAGCATGGATTGCCCTTTCTTGCTAGGTCTGGCGGCCACGGCGCGACTGAAGCTTTGGGGACTGCCAGGAATGCTATCGCGATTGATCTTCGCAGCTGGGATAATGTTGATATAGCCGAAGATGGAAAATCAGCAACAATTGGTGGTGGTGCAAGTGTCAAAAAAGTTGTCAACACGTTATGGACGGCTGGTAAACAAACCGGTAAGTCATACAACTAACGACAATTTCGGTCACTACTAACAAAGAGGAGTTACTGGTATCTGCGAGTGTGTCGGTATCTCAGCACCAGTTCTTGGGGGCGGCCATGGCTGGCTTCAAGGGCAGCATGGCTTGGCTTCGGACCAAGTCATCTCAGCACGGGTTGTGCTTCCTAACGGCGAAGCTGTGACTGCATCCAAAGAGACTAACCCTGACCTCTTTTGGGCGCTACAAGGGGCCGGACACAACTTCGGCATCGTTACCGAGTGGCATTACCGCATTCACGACGTAAAGAATAAGGAGTGGGGTTATGAAATATTGATATATTTAGGTGACAAGCTGGAAGAAGTATTAGAGCTTACGAACAAGATGATGCTAAATCAACCACCCGAGATTACACACTGGATGTATTTCGTTAACATCCCAGAGATCGATCCTACACGGGTAAGTCTAACTCGTTCAAGACCACTGAGCAAGAACTGATGACGGTAGCCAATTATATGGTATGCCATCATACACGATGGACATGTCAACAAAACAACAGAATATGCCAAGCCGCTCCATGACATCGAACATGTTACTGTCGAGACTGGTTCTGTTCCCATGCCCAATTTAGCGGAGAAGACTTTTATGGGCACCGAAACCATTGGGTGTGCCAAGGGCTATACAGGCTTGCGGTACCCAATCGGCCTCAAAAAGTATGATTTGGCTGCCACCCGGAAAGTGTTTGATGATATTACCGATATGTCAAACCGCATCCCCGAATTTGCTGGGTCGTTCTTCTTGTTGGAGGGTTATTCAACTCACGGGGTGAAGGCTGTTAACGACAAAGATTCGGCTTTCCCACATCGTGATGACGAAATCCTGGTTACATCGTACATCATGTACAAGCCAAACTCCTCGCTCGATGCTCTGGCACAGGAATATGGGGAAAGGCTGAGAGGTCATCTGCTTCGGGCGAGCGAGGATCCAGAACGATTGCGAGCATACGTGAACTACGCCCACGGAATCGAACCTGTAGAGTCAATCTACGGATGGGATGAATGGAGGCTGAAAAAGTTGAGAACTTTGAAAAAGAAGTGGGATCCTGAGAACCGGATGAGGTTATACAACCCCCTTGTGTAGCCCCCTCGCTGTTGGAAGCACCCTCATCGCAACGCAATGCTTCTAATGAGGATGCATGAGATTGATTCTGCGGCATGTGCAGCCGCTGTTTTCCTGAGACTCGTGTAGCAGTCTCGAGATGCAAGCAACTCGTAGCGTACGTCTACGTAGAGTTGAACATGCTACTCCTTTATCAGACTGGAGTTCCGGCCCGTAATCCCTCTAGAAGACCCATATCTTGGCAGGATTGAGGCGATGCGTTTCAAAATTTACCGAAGATTAACCACTTCAACATGGTTTCTACCTGGTATGTGTGGGGCGCCATTCGTGGCAGCGAGTTGGTTGCTTGCTCAGGAATAGCACGACTAAATAATTTACGTATGCATGCTAGATCATACCTGAGATGCTAAAACAGCCTCAACAATGTTGTCGGCATCACCAAGAAACAATCTTGAATGAGTTCTAATTGTCTACCAACACAAACAGAGACCTGCCCAAGGCTACAGTTTACCTGCTGGCATCGCGTTCCCAGCTTTCAAGTTTTAGAAAACCTTGTCGGTTTAAAGTCCGCGCGGTCCGGGGAACGCCATTGACATAGCCTCAACCGTCCGACATTCCCCGGCCGGCTTTCCCAAAATGGCAATAATCTGCCGGACTGCTCTCCGCACCGTAGAGGTTGATATGACTCGTAGCCATACGTCCTAGCTGCCCGATGACTCGGTATTTGCGTCGGCATTGATAGATATCACCGACTCTTTATATGAGTATACTTCAATCTCAATTCGCTCACGAGTATATGCACTTAGGTACTGTTCCATTCGAAAAGAGATGCAGAGTGTAGATTCGGCAGACTTCAACTGGTGCCAAAGACTCGCTAGGCTTCTACACGCCTCTTGGTAGTGCAAAGGAGTCTCGCGTTGAATAGCTTCTAGTTGAAACACCAGGACTGGTGGTAGCCACGTGGCCACCTATATGTATTTACAGATCGGAAATATACTAGCTATCGATCTATATTTGCGGGCCTAAATGATTATCCCGAGGGTAAAGAGATCGGCCTGTAACTGGAGCCAACATGAACAGACGCCAAGGAGCAAGCCTATCTTTTTCATCTAGTACGTCCGTACAGTCTTGGTCGGTGGATTGTTATTGATCTCGTGCGCAGTCCGATACTCCGCGACCTGTCTATCGAAATGCCCCAGACTGATCCATGTTGAACGGACCAGCTTCCCCACGGGGCGCTTGCAACTCCCTAACAACGGTTAGTATCATATTATGCCAGGAATGATTTCTTGGCTCGACTGTTAAGTTTATAAGTCCATGGCTGCCGAAACATAACTTGCCATCGACGCCGGTTAGATTCGTCACACCAGTTCACTTTCACTGTCGCCTACGGCGAACTCGGGTTGCACTCAATGATACCGCCTTCTTAATTGTTGCTGCAATTCCCTCTGAAAAATGTTCGGAAAGTCGAAGAAGGCTTCCAATCAAAGCCGCGGCATCAGCCAAGAGCTGGAAGCTGTTCTTCCTAATGACGGCGTACCGTGGTACAAACAGCGGCACCTAGTTTGGCTAAACTTCTACTGCATCTTCCTCGGCCTCCTTTGCGCGGCAAACGGATACGATGGCTCAATGATGAATGGCCTGCTGGCCCTGCCCCAATGGTTCGAGTTCATGGACCACCCCAAGGGTGCCTGGTTGGGTTTCATCAATGCCGTTCAATCGCTGTCAACCATGCTCGCATACCCCGCCGTTGCCTATTTCGCCAATCGCTGGGGACGCAAAAAGGGTCTCTTCGTTGGCTACACCTTTCTTTTCCTCGGATCTTTGCTCCAGGCTTTCTCCCCAAATAAGACAGGTTTCATCCTTGGTCGACTTTTCATCGGCCAACCCAGTGCTTGGTGGGGTGGCCTGGCACCTCTTCTCATCACCGAGTTGGCGTATCCAACGCACCGAGGAATTCTCACAGCGTAAGTAGTCCAACTGGCTTCCTGGCATCATGACTAAGTTTGATTCTTGATCCCAGGCTCTACAACTGTGGTTGGTTTGTGGGCTCGAGTCTTGCAGCCTGGGTGACATACGGAACACGAAACTTCCAAAGCACTTGGGCTTGGCGTATACCTTCCCTTTTACAGATTGCGATTCCGATCATAGTTCTTCCCGCCGCCCTTATGGTTCCAGAGTCGCCCAGATTTCTTATATCCAAAGGGAAAATGGCCGAAGCTCGCAGCATTCTCACGAAATATCATGCCGGTGGCAATCAGAACTCGATCCTCGTTGATTTTGAGATGACGGAGATCGAGCGAGCGATTGAGGACGACAAGGCTGCGGGTGAGACTTCATCTTGGATGGAGATGTTCAAAACACCAGGAAACAGACATAGAGCCTTCATCTCCGTTACCCTCGGTCTCTATGCTCAATGGAACGGAAATAACCTGGTCAGTTACTACTTGGCTGAGATCCTCAAGAGCGTGGGTGTCACTTCCGTCACCGACCAAACGCTCATAAGCGGCTGCCTCCAAGTCTGGAACCTCATCATGGCTGTCTCAGCTGCCGTTTCAGTTGAACGAGTCGGCCGTCGTGCGCTATTTCTCACCAGTTGCTGTGGCATGCTCGTCAGCTACGTAGTGATATCCGGTTTATCGGGCGGCTTTGCCAACACGGGCAACCCGTCTGTCGGCGTGGCTGTCGTGCCTTTCTTGTATATATACTACAGTTTCTACGACATTGCATTGTAAGTCAATCATCTCCCCCAAGAGCTGAGGAAACCTGGCAGAATTTGACACTGACCTTTTTTTCCGACAGTACACCCCTTATCGTATCCTACCCTGCAGAAATCTGGCCGTACCAGCTGCGTGCTCGTGGAACAGCATTGACACAGATGTCAACATACTTTGGCATTTTCTTCAACGTCTTCGTTAACCCGATTGCCATGGACGCGATGGGTTGGAAATACTATCTCATTTTCGTGGTGATTTTGATCATTGGAACCATCATCATCTACTTCTTCTACCCCGAAACTAGAGGTCACACTCTTGAGGAAATGGCAGTCATCTTTGACGGGGACTCTGCAAGGGTTGTTGATGTTGCGGTTGAAGGCAACATCAAGAAGGAAGCTCTCTCGCAGCACCACGAAACTGCATGAGCGAGTTTCACCATACTGTACAAATGTCGGAAGATTATACACCTTGAACGAATTTATGGGTTCAGAATCGGCTTTAGACTAAGGTGTGTTATGAAATAAATACAATTCAATTCAGTTGCATCCAAGTGATTTGCAACTCTTGCACGATCTATTCAACAAGCTTGGTCTTCGGTGGCCCCAAGTAAGTTTCTGGAACAGTACCACCCACAGCCAAGACGATCTTCTCTAGGTAAACCTCAGGCGAGTTGGTCTGCCAACGCAATGTATGCTTCCCTTTGCTCAACTTGGGCAACGTAACGGTCTTCTTCCATACATGGTCGGCAACATAGGCGGTCCATTCAGGGGGCGTATCACCAGCCTTGGCGGGATCACCAAGAACCCGGGTGAAATTTGCTGCAGTGCCAGCCTCGCCCGCCAACGATAAGGAGAATTCCATCGGAAGACCTGGGTCCGTATCGAGACCACCGTTGATATACACGGACGCATTGACATCTTTGGTGACATTGCTGAAGACGTAAATGTCATATTCAACCCAGGCTGCCTTGGCAGCGTCTTTGGACTGTCTTGCCGCGGTAAAAGGCCGCAACGCGATGGACCCAGACTCTGAGCGAGAGCCGAGACCTTTAATGTGAGCAAAGGCGACGTCTTCTGACGAGGAACGTTGGAAGTCGGGGCCTTCGATGGAAATCAGGCCAGCCGTCTCTGGAAACCCTACGAAACCTTCTGGAGTTCGGACATTCTTGATAGGAATTCGGACGTAGTCGAAATACGGAGCCGGCTCCCAGTTGACCCGAACCCGAACCGTCTCGTCAAAGCCGTCGGGAACGGACGCCCAATCAATCGATACCTCGATAGGGATGTCCGACTCATCTTTGGTGACTGTTCCTGAAGTCTGCGAGACGCGCACCCAGGAATGGGGAACCTCAATGGACCAGCTAACATCTCTGCGGTAATCGCCACGGTGGAAGAGCACGAAAACTCGTGAATCCGGCCCTTGAGGCTGCATGACCGGCAACAGGGGAGAAAAGCTACCATCCGTCGGCAAAGCCGGGTTGATGGACCCGCAGATGCGGCCCTGGGTGTACGCACTCCGCGAGTGTTCGGCGTAGATGCCCAGATCGCCGAAACCCCAGTCAAAGTCCTGACGCAACTGGACGTACGAGAGGTTAGAAACCACATCGCGCGACGCGGGTCTCCAGTCGCCAACGTCCATGTCGTATTTCGGCGTCGACAAGATGCCTTTCCACTTCCCATTCTCCATGGTGTCGTACTCTTTGGTGAGGTCGTAGTCTTCGTCGAAATGTTCGAGAATTTGCTGCGCGAGAGCGTTGGCGGAGTTGCGTCTTTCGAACGTGTACTGCCTGTTTTTTCCTGCGCCGACGGTGATGAAGTGGTTGTGGTATCCGATAATGGCGGGGTACGTCAGGAGATGGAACAGTGCGGTGCGACGGTCTTCTGGAACGGCGTCTTGGAGGGCTTTGGCTTTGTCTGCCAGGTCTTTCCAGGCATTGATGATACGGTCTGCCTCATGGTAGTTCAGAACCGAGTACGTCGCAGGTTGAACCAGCTCAAACTTGCGGATTCCGACAAGGTGGCTGTAGGTCATGAGTGCTGATGCAATTTCTTTAGCATGTTCGGGGCCAAATTCTCGCGTAGCAAGCGCTTCGAGGTACGAGGGGATTTTGTCAAAGTCGAAGCGGCTGACGTTCCAGGCAAGGTCCATGGAGAAGACGAGTGGGAGCTCGTTGGGTTTGATGTCACCAACGTTCATCACCCAGATTCTGTCTGCCCCTCTTTCGTATGCCTGAGAGAGCTCCTTGTAAACCTTGGGCTAATGGGATATGTCAGATGGAAACACAAAGCTAGACAAGATGAGAGAAAAGCTTACGAAGTTGTTGGTGTTTTGAGACTTCCAGCTCTTCGGCCGACCGACATATTGGAAGTGGAAGTATAGCTGAGAGAGTGTTAGTTATGAGTTGCATGATTTCAGATAGGGCTACGCTGAATTTACCCCTATGCCTCCGGGCCTCTTTGCCTCTTCTTCGGTAGGCAGGCGTTGCACGTTGCCCCAGTTGTCGTCGGTGAACATCAAAGTCACGTCCTCGGGAGGAACCAAACCAGCGGCGTAGTATGTTGCGACCTCTTTGTAAATGGTCCAAACCTCTGGAGAAGTGCTCGCTTAGTAGATGGCTTCAAAAATCGCAAGGAGAGAGATGGGCTTACGGTTCGCAGCTGTCTCATTTCCATGATACTTTGCCAAAATCTCCCTTTCCGTAGCAAAGACGTCCTTCAGAACAGAAATCGGATCATCTGCTTGAATGGGTCCGTCATTAGGTCCTCGCATGCCCAGAGTGAAATACGACTCGTTCTTTCCAGCTCGTCGAACTCCCTCTTCCATGAATGGAACCACGTTCTCTTTGTTGTTAACCCAATCCCACTCTCCCTTAGGATCCTTTGACCACTCGTTGCTGGCCCTTTGCATGGGCTCATGATGACTAGTAGACACGACAATGCCGTAATCGTCGGCGAGTTGTTGGTTTCGAGGGTCGTCAGTGAAAAAGATCCTTCCGGGTTTGGGAACGAAGCTTGCCCACATGGCAGGCCAGATGAAGTTAGCCTTGAGTCTGACGAGCAAATCAAAGACGTGTTCGTAGAACTCGGAGTCAAGGGTGAAATCGGTATTGTTGGTTTTCCTTCCCCACCACCCGACGAGGGCTGGTGCTTCATCGTTGATGAACAGACCTCTGTACTTGACGCTGGGTTCGCCGTGGGTGGTGATCTTGTTCAGAGCGTAGATCTTGTCGTGCTTTGTTGCTGGGACATCCGCCCACCAATGAAGCCTGTTTCGAAGTGTCTGTTTAAGCATAAAATCGGAAAGGAATCTTCACGGAACGCCAACTTACGGCGATTGTCCACTCTGCTCTGCCAAAGTATAAAGCCCAAACATGACGCCTCGCTTGTCACTGCCAACAATGACAAGAGCCTTGGAAAATTGTGGAAGAGGCTTATCTACCAACAATGTCCTGAAAGTCTCCCATTTCCCACGGATATCATTTACCTCAACTTTGGCGCTTTCTTCCAGTTGGCGGACTAACGGTGAGTCAACGGTGGCAGCGATGACGGCAATCTTGGGACTGATCGTCGAGTTCGTCCCGGGAAGCCTGGCGGTGCTGTTGCTTCCCGACCCGACCCAGGTTTGTACTGGCGGCTTGGTTCCTGTAATTTGTTCCCAGTCATTGGCTAAGCTGTTAATCGCGATTCTGACGCCGACTGGGTCACTGTAATCGTAGAGCAGGACCCCATTTTGCAGCTCGATAGACCCCTCAGACTGGTCAAAAGCAACGAAGGGCTCTTCAAGCAGTGCTGATGCGAAGCTGAACAGTGGCAATAGCCAGAGAAAATGGACAAGCTTGAACATGTTTGCAGGTACCGTCCTGATGGCGACCCGGCGGGCTCGACTCTAAAGATATGACTACAGCCCTCTTATATGGAATCCGTGTTGCATGGCATTGGCATTTGAACCAAGGTTATGGTAAGACGAGCTAACGGTATAAGGACGAACCATCGTGAACAACATGGTTAAATCTGCGAGATGTCGTCAACTTGAACAGGCTACCACCTCGCACTTAGTTCCACCGAAGTGCATGGAGCACATGGAACTTAGTTATTATGGCACTATAGGAACCTGGAAATTAAAGCTCAAACAATTATGATTTTCGCCCTGGGTTCCACAAGCAATACGAGTCTACGCGAATGAAGCAACGCTCATCTGCCACCCTAGACTAAGAGCAGCGCGAGTGGTCTTGGCTTAGCGCGGGGTTGCGGGGTTGACGAGGAGTTGGAAGAAACATTGCGCCAGGTCATTATCCCGGGGTAGCACAGGCGGACGAATCACTTGATCCTTGGCGGGGATTTTGGGTGATTTTCGACCTGCCTACGGAGCATATTTATCCGGAAGGGTGGTAACGGGTATATCCAGGGCTCCGATCGGAATAGCCCGAGATCCGGCTAGGACAATAGTTGGCTGTAACGATATTGGAAGACCATTGACACGGAATCAAACACATGGTCATTCGTCGTTGAAGTATCCATTCCTCTCTCTACAGCTGCAGCTGCAAGATTAGATGATTTGGGGGGAGTTTGCTTGGTGATACGGACGAAAGGTTTGTTTATGGCGTTGTGCAAAGGTGGGAAAGCAATCATCTTTACCGATATCAGGTATCCTTGAGCGCCCTCATGCTTAAGAGAAATGAACAGGGTTTATGCTCCAACTTTAAAATCCATCGCTGCTGAATTTGCGTCTTGTATGAGGATGCTGTTTCGCGCCTACATCATTTAACCCAACGCCCGCTTCATTTGAAATGAAAATTCAGATAACCTCCAGTCTTTCTTCTACTTCGTTCAGTCATCATTGTTGGTATCCGAATAGTAATCGAAAGAGGCCGGAAGTGGTGCATCCTTGCTGTTAGGACCATCCGGATCAGCCTCATCAACCAGATCCTTCTTCACCTCTTTAGCAATCTCGCGAGTCTCTACGGGAAGCACGCCGTGCGCTGGCCAAAACGACGACTGCTCTGAACGCAGCATTGTAGTCATCCATTTGGCCCATTCCCATGGTCTTTCTTTACCCCCGGGCAAGCTGTTGAAGTACTCCCAGCCCATAACTCCTCCGAACCGCTCGTAACGACCCCGGAGTGTTAGAAGCACAGATCCGAGCATCTCCCACGGCACCCAGCCGGAGCCGTTCTCCGGGTTCGTGACTAAGCCAATAACGACCTTTTCGGGAGGCCAGCCCTTGGCCAGGAGCATTTCGTACATGACAGGGTTGCTGCAGTCACCCCATCCACAGTAGAACTGGGTATTGTACCATGCGATCTCTCTTCCCCGCATGACCTCTAGGGCTTCGTAGTCGAAGCCGCTCAGATTCTTCAAAGGGTCGAGCAATGCCATGGCAACTGGCGCCATGGTGATTAAGAAATCCTTGCCAAAGTCCTGACGAATTCTATCGATGAGGCGTATGACGCCGCCCAAGCTCATTTCTTCCTCGACGTCCAGATCGATGCCGTCGAGACCGTGCTGGCGGACCATGTCGCGCAATGGTATATAGTATTTCTCGAACTGTGCCTCGTCGCCGTCAAGTCTCTCATATGATCCTCGAGCAGCGCCGCCGAGCATACCCAGCACCTTCACGCCGCTGGCTTGCAACACACGCAGCTCGGCCCATAGTGTCAGGAACCGCGGGTCGCTAGGGTGGTGGTCGTTGAGGGTAAGGGCCTCAGGGTCGTCGTTAATATGTATCGCCGCGAGGATCACGTGTGTTACACTAATGCCAGGCTGCGTCACAAGCGGGAGGATCGAGATCGGCTTGCCATCGTGTGTATGGTGTGTCTGGTAGTAGGTGATGACGCGGGGTAGGGGTTGATTGGGCGGTAGTGGCGGCATTTGAGGTAGAGACAGGTGGCCTTGGGAGGCACAGGAATCAGGAATGAGTCGTATTAGTATTGAAATACGTCGCGTTACTCGATCGAGGTCGGTCAGATCGTTCGGCTGCAGAGATGATGGGCTGGCGCGTCGGAAAGTCAGTTTGTCGCCTAGTTGCAGCTGGATCGCCAGTTACCTTTTGGTCGTGGGGCGCGGGGCGGTTAGAATGAGTGGAGCACGTTTGACAATGGGTCTTTACAGGTACTGCCAACAACTGTTAGTGACGTAGCTCTCTGTTTAGCGACTATCAATTTTAGTACAACGGAACGATAATAATGCTCTTGTTCAACGTTTATCGACACAACAAGGGAATAAAAAATTTGCTATAACTATTGAAAAAAAAAAGGCTAATTTCGAGAGAGTCAACTTTTGACTCGACGTGGATTTAAGCAGATATCTAGCACTTGCGAGTTAGAAACAATACCTCAAAGAAAAGGGACTTTGGTTGTTTGGAATAGGAGAAAAATCTTCCGAAACTGTCCACTGTACTGTTGGTGGCATGTCCTTATCTCAAGGCCTAGGATACGTGGTTGGACAAAGCTCCTCCCCCCTGTAATGTGCTGAATGTAGTTCTGGGAAGCGAACAGGCACCATTTCGCGCTCTTTATTGATGAATTTCGAAATATTTCCAGGCTTTCGTCCCTCATGTAGAACCCCTTTCAGTTTCTGCTTTAGTTACCCTCTAAAAACATACTATGAGCAATTAAGTTTATTTCTGTAAACTGTCGCCCATGTCCTGTCCGTTCTTCAACGACCGGGCTTTCGGGCCGCAAGTCCACTCAGGCTGTCGGTCTTTTGACTTCACTCTGCAGTTTGAAGATATCATCATGACATGTTTACCCGCTAAATTGTTGATACTGCTCGTGCCATCGAAAATTTAACTCCTTACATATCATCCTGTAATTTTCTCTGTTCGACCCAAGCTTCTGGTACGTTGCTCCGTAGATATGGCGCCGGTAGTTAGCCGCGATAGCTCTTCCACTAGGTTTAGACAAGGAGCTCGATAATAAAGCATGGTCGGCTGATCAAAATCAGCTTCCGTGTGTGGCTAGGGCCATGGTAAGATAGTCTAAGTCATTGGTCTTGGATGAGACCATGACCAGGTAGGCCTTGACCAAGTTGGTCTATGTGTCCTGCTAACATTACGTACCTAATGTAATCAGCGACACTGAGTCGGTCACACAGGATATCGTCGACAGTGAGTTTCGCAACTGTACTATACTCGCTATCCTGCATAAGCTTAGACACGTCACGCGCTATGACTTGATAGGACTTCTGTGTGATTGGTAACTTTTGGAGGTTGGAGGATCGTCATCTTTAATTGCTTGAAAGATCCGGTTTGTTGAGCTCTACAGGATGGACGCAAACTCATCAGGCAACCAGCTTGTTCATCAAGTCATTTATGATTTGGTAAAGAGTACTATGGGACAACGGCAATATAAGACAAAAGTTCCATGTCTATCTCCGATACTAGACAGTAATGTACAAAACTGACAAACTTTTCCTCAAGGGAAATGTAGCTTGATACCCTCCCACATGTTTTCCTGTTTGCAATTCTGCCGGTGTTCGTTCCGCTCCGCATCTTTATCCTACCTTAGCCAGACAAGAGAAGCTCCGGTCTACCTCAGACCTCTCACCAAATTGGTGCTCCCTTTCCAGTTTTGTCCAGGTTTTTGTTCTTTGCCGGGTACTGCGCTACAACAAAATAACACCCAATGGAGTAAGCAGTAAGAATGCATCCGACGACGTAGTAAACTTGGCGGTCGAAAATTTCCGGAAGAGTCAGGACGAAGAAGCTGAAGGGAGTGAAAGTCCAAATCGTTCCAATAATATTGACAACGCAAAACCCGAGAGAAAGACCATGTCTAGAACCCGCTCTGAGATAGTGATGTGTCGGACCCAGGACGATGAGGACGTTTGTAAAGCAGAACCATTGCATGACGCAACCCTCGCCCATGAACTCAATAGCAAGAAGAACGACTGAGTACATCCCTAACTGGAGAGCAACCGCGTATGACAGAGCAGCTGCTGTTGTCGGCTTACTTCCTAAAACAGATGAGAAGTTTGCCTCGCGCTCTTTAGTGACTGCTCTGTGAATGCACCACAATTCTAGTGTTGTCCACACGAAAAGGGCAGTCGAAGTTCCTCTCAGGAACCAATGTTCTCCGTACTGGGAAGCTGCCTTGCCCAGAATGTAGGACCATGTCGAGTCGTGGGCCAAGTAAAATGAATGCATCCAGAAGGGCATCGGGCTTTTCCCTTCTCGAAGGGTAAGCCGAATAACATATGTGTACTGAAGATACCCAACTATGTAGCTGACGGCGGAAGCAAACAAAAGGGGCTTATTGTCCAAAGTGTACACCTCTGTTAGGCGTTGGTAGAAGTCGATGTTGGCCATGATGCAGTTGTGTTAAGCGTTTCTCGAGTCGTTATGCGTAAAGACAACAAGTGTGATAGGAAAGGATTACAATAGCCCAATTCCTAAATGGAAAGTGACACGAAGAAGAGGATCTTATCAAGCGAATTTTGTATCCTTTAACATTGCCCACCTGCGAACCCTTTTTATATGCCGAGGGTAAGTAGGGCAAGACAGCTAAAAGTTCAAGGCTTCGGCTCCGACTTTCCTAGTCGAGCCTGTCAGTGCTCAATGTGGCGCCACACCGCGATGACAATTTTAACTTGGTCTTCACAGGGGCCTGCCTGGCACAGACATGCCTTGAAGTAAATCAAGCCAAAGCACTTTTGCCATGTGTTCAGTCATCATAAAAAGCCCGAAGGCGAGGAAACCTAGCTGGGCATACATGGTGAACGCTCAGCCACCCCACTAATACTAAAGGCACTTCATACAGCCGCTCGCGGAGATCAAAGGATCATTGGGAAAAGACATGAAAATAAGCGGGGCAAAGTTTCTGTCAGCTAAATGAAAGCTCAAAGCAACGGTAATGTTCAGTTGTGAGACTGAATGCCTGGGTAAAATGATCATAGGATGGAAAGGTGATCAGATTATGTTGAGTCAGTGAAGATCGTTTACTAAAGTCACATTGGCAGATTTATTCATAAGCTTAGTTAGTTTTTCATGTTGTATTGACAAGTTTTAGCATCAAGACAGCATGCGAGTGTATGGTTATGTAGCCTCCTCATACTGATTAATCAGTCTCTGAGGCACAAGTCCACGCAGCACGACAACACCCGCGTGAACGATGCCCCATCGCACCGTAGTCAAAATATCTGCCATAATCCAGACCAGGCCATTTGTCCTCCTTCTCTCATTTCTCAGCGCAACATCGTTCCGGTCCGCCCGTTCCGACATACTGGCTACCAAAGCGTCCATCTCGGCTTGTGGGTCCCAAACCATTTCATCATCCTCCCCATCTTCATCGTTGTCGAAATCACCCATCGCGTCATATTGCCTCCGCGAGAGAGAACCGTAGCTGCGATTAGGGCGCGCATGATGATATGCCCAGCAAGTCAATGTCGCCAAGTAAAGACACCAAGGTACGTGGAATAGGTTCATGGCCTCAATGCCACTAAGCTTCTTCTTTGTCTCCCGCAATATTTGTGCTGCGTGCCATGCCGCTACTGATGCGAATGGCTTTTGTAGCTCGCCTCGGGTACTGGAAGTCCCCGCCGAGGGTTCCCGCTCACGTTGGATATTTGTAACCTGAGCTTGCGCGTCTCTCGGCATGTTGATCGCAGCCGCGGCCCATCTCTTGACTACTTGCGCTGAGCGAAGGTAATCCTTCTGCTGGACTGGTCTGCCGAGTATATGCCGTGCTCCAGCGTAGATCTGAACATCCAAAAAGTCCATGTTTAGCAACGATTGTGCTGAGTGGTACAAGGTCTTGTATGCTGTTGTAAAAGATTCGAACTCCATCTTGCGGGCGTCATCATCGGCTGACGGGGGTGCTCTAGGCATTTGGGCGAAGAAGTTATCGCAATACCAGTCGAAATCACTCCTCCACGCATCGTAGGCTGAACTCAGAGTGGTGCGCCAGCCTGTCCCTGGATTATCTCCCGAGACGACTCCGAGAGCTGTTTGATCACGACGTCCCATATCCCATGCAATTGACATGAGGCCGTGAAGTACCAAAATACGAGAAAATCCACTGAGACCATGAGTTCTTGGACCTGACGGCATTAGGTAAGCTTTGAGTACGGGGAGATAGAAAGTTCTCTGGTCATTAATGCTCGATCTCCATGCAGATGCCCACGATGTAGCATCTTGTGCTTCCCAGATGCTCTGATTACACGGAAGCTCCAGACGTAGTTCAAAAGCAGACATGCAAAGGCTCTGGCAAAAGAGAACCGCATGTTGGGTATCCCACATGAAGCAAAGCAAGGCAAGTCTGCAAAAGTCAAGTTAGTAAGGTATTTCCGCCTTCGAGAAGAGCTTTACAAGAATTGAATCACCTTTTCTTTTGTTCGGCCTCTGCCCATTTCCTCCACGTTTTCTCGAGAGCAGTAGGACTATCATCACCACCCACTGGCGGTGGCCCAGGCGGTCTTACTGATTGACAGTCCGATCGCCTTATTAAGTTGATCAATAGGCCGTGGAACAAATGGCTCATGTCGTGTTGCTTTTGCCCTGCCCGAGACTTCCCGAAACACTCAACCAGTAAGATCGTCTGAAGCGTCCAAAGCTCTGGACGAGGAGAAAACCCAGGGTGGGCAAATATACTCGGCCGAATGACATCGTGTATGCACACAGCCAACTGGTGGCAATCTTTACTTGAATAAGTTGCACCAAGTAAGATGATTGACAGCAGCAACAGAGGCTCCGTCTCCGCACAGTTAAATGTTTCCAGGTGAATGAGAGGGTAGGCGGTGTTAAAGCGTTTGAAAAATAAATCTAGGTATGATTGGAGCGATTCAAGGGAGAGCAATGGATGTTCCCAGAGAGTGTATCGCTGATCCGGTAGAGAAGGCTTGGCTGCTTCAACTGTATTAAGGAGCCCTTCCCGTACATTCTCACTCAGTGCTGGGATGTTGAGGGAATTCTTAAGGAAGGATAACGGCCGCTCTGGTTCTAAGATCGGGGGAGGCCGGCTAACAGTTGTGCGACGTTTGCGTGCTGGCGCTTGTGCTTCAACAGGCCTTCGCAAAGCCGCAGGTTCTGAGTTTCTTTCTCCTGAATTGCGTGTAGCCAGTCGTCTTGGGGGCTCTTGCGGTGCGGACTGGACAATAGTATTGTAGCTGGGTGGTTTATCTTGCCCATCTGGTTCACGAGGAGCTGTATCCATTGGTTCAGTCCAAAGTTGAGCGCTTTTCATTGACTCTGGCGTGATTGCGACGTTGGTATGGGTTCTGGGGACTGATGGGGCGCCTGTTGGATGGAAATCGTAGTTTTGATTTGCAGTTTTTGAGGCGATCATAGGCGAAGAAGTCTCTTGCATGTTAAAAAGCCAGTTGTAATCTAGGGCAGTGGTATATGGCATGTTAAAAGAGCTTGCTGTGTCCGGCTGGAAAATTTGTTCGTAGTCCAGCAGGTCACTGGCGAAGGGATCGCCCCAGCTGCCTGGCTGGCTTTCGTCAACACTGAAGTGATTGTTCGCCGAGAGGTAATCTTGTATTTGCAGAGAAGGAGGAAAGCCGGTGAAGTCGTTGACAGATTCAGAGGTAAAGATAGTCCCACGATCAAAATGATAGGATTGAGTAGTAGTATCAAAACTCTCGTGCCGCAAATCTGGGGGATGCTGTCTCTGGTTATCCGGTGAGATACTGCCAACTGAGAAATCGTGATCTCCAGTCCCGTCTAAGGATCCGTGGCTATGTTCCACGTCGGTGCATTCAGGCTCTGGTGAAGGGACTTGTGTTGTTTGTGGGCGTGCGCGTCCTAGGGGCCTACCGCGGCCTAGAGTGTTTGTACAAGGCCGCTTTTCGACAACTGTGCCGTCAGGGGCTTTCCAAGATCGTTTTCTCGTATCCAAAACACCGCAACCGGGTCCGCCAGCTTCAAAATCCTTTTGGCGGTGCCGGTCCATATGCCGTTCTAGGTAGGTTAGTTGAATTCAAGCCACAATGAATAGCAACATTGGGGTGTAACATATTAAGCACGTGGTCTGACTTACTCAAGAGGTCAGGGCGTTTGAAATGAGCGCGACAGATATCGCATGCTAAACCACCTGGCATATGGTTGAGCGCATGTCGTTGCATATGCTCAGCTCTAGTGAAGCGCTTGTCACACCCAGGATGAGAGCAAGTGAATGTCTTCTCTTCACCGAGAAATCCATCTGAGCTAACAGAGTTGTGACGATGGTTCTGGCCAGTCATTGTACTTTGGGAGTCGCTCATTGTGTGTATGATGGGTCCCCTTAATCCACTTCCGAGAACGTAAATTAACCCTTGCGAATGGGGAGAAAGGTTGGAAAGTCACTAAGACCAGGAACACTGTTGAAACTGCGTATGAGGTGCTCAGAAGTGTGGATTTTCCTCTCGATATCACCAGAGATGGGGGAAATGGGAAGGACATATGCCTCGCCCGTATCATTTGGCCCCTCTTCCCCGCATTCTGGATCCTTGCGGAGGAGTCGCGGTATCTTGCATAGTGTTGCAGCCGATAACAGGACAAGTACCGGGATGCTGATAGGGAAGAGGAGGTCCGTGAAGGACAAGGGAGGAGATGCCTGTAAGCCTGATGATGCCGGTCTGTCATTCCCCCACTTCTGCCACTCTTGATAAGCCGCATTTCCCGCGATACAACCCCAAAGATATGAGTGGGGTAACACGACTTCAACACCCTTGTGATCAAATCACACTGAGGCGAACTTTATCATTACTGAACCAGGCATCTAATGGAGGACGTACTGTTCAGCAGGATGAATGGGGTTGAGGGGATGGCTAACAGCGAGAGGGGTAGCACACAGAAATGGCGTCGGCAATCACCTCACCCTATGGGCAACATCCAATCCATTCTAAATAGGAATTGGTATCCATCATGTAATCTTCCCACTTCTTGTAGCCCGATATCTTGAACCGTGTCTTCCTCGATCATGATATGTTGATCATTTACGCCGAATGTAAAAGTTGCATTTACTTTTGAGCCTTCGACGAATCTATTGGGGCGAAGAAGGGAACCAAATATTAAATAACCTTTTCAATCTACAAGCTGCGATATTTATAGAATCTTTTGTTTGCTCGTCATTGAGCGAGTAGCACATAGGTTAACACCTGACTGAGACCGTTCCGAGTGATCTGGACAACTCCTTCACAACATGTTGGGAAACTATTTTGTTCAAGAAAAGATACAGAGAGGCCCTAATGACAGATTGAATGTGAGTATAAGTAGGATGTGAATTTTGTTTTTAACAACAAACGATGGTATTTTAGCGCGGGGAATCACGTTAGCTAACTATGTTAATAGGTCATTATCGTGGGAGCTGGCCTCGGTGGTCTTGGAGCCGCTATTGGAATATTGCTGGCCGGCCATAACGTAACCGTGCTAGAAGCCGCTCCTGATATCGGAGAAGTTGGTGCAGGAATCCAGGTCTTGCCCAATGCTGCACGAGTGTTGTTCTCGTGGGGCCTGGAGAAGAAGCTGGAGAAGTATGCAACGAAGCCTCAGAAATGCAATTTCATCGGCTGGAAAGGAAACTTTCTAGGCGATATGAACTACCACCAGTATGCAGCAGCTGCAGGAGGGTTTCCCTTCTGGGACTTCCACCGATCTGATCTGCACCGATGCTTGCTCGAACGCGCCGTGGAACTCGGCGCGAAACTCATTACGAATGCGAAAGTTGATACCTTCACTGTATCCCAAGATCAAACTACCTCAACTGTTGTCCTCGGTGACGGACGTACCATGACAGCAGACCTCCTTGTCGGTGCAGACGGTATTTCTTCCAAGCTGAGAGAACAATTCCTTGGCAGGCCTGATCCACCACAGCTTACGGGTGACCTGGCATATCGACTCCTTCTAAACACGGCAGACATGCTGAAAGACCCGGAGCTACGACACTTTGTCGAGAACCCTCAAGTAAACTACTGGATTGGTCCCGACAAGCACGCTGTAAACTATGTTCTCAAAGGTGGTAAGCTGTTCAACATGGTTCTCTTGGTACCGGACGACATGCCCATTGATGGCAGAAACACACTTCAGGGCAACATTGAGGAGATGCGAGCCCACTATGACGGATGGGATCCTCGAATCAGCAAGATGTTGCTCATGTGCGATGAGGTTCTGAAATGGAGACTTTGTATCAGACCCGGTCTTGAGCCTACTTGGTCACATCCGTCTGGCACTTTCACTATGCTTGGCGATGCCGTCCATGCGACCTTGCCATACCTTGCCAGTGGAGCCGGCATGGCTCTGGAGGACGGAGGCGTTCTTGGTCTCTGTCTTGCTCGATTGACAGATAAGTCCGTCTCATCAAGGAAGAAGGCTCTCAAAATATACGAGGACTGTCGTCGAGAGAGAACCGAGCGTGTTGTGCGCCGCGGTACATACAACCAATGGATTTACCACCTCCATGATGGCGCAGAGCAGGTTGAGCGCGATGCCAAGTTTCAACAATTCGGAAACATGGACAGCGAGTGGCTAAGCGGTGAATCACCTGTATTGCCCGTATCCCAGGAGACAGGAGATGACCCGTTTCCATGGAGGTATCATGGAGTCGGCAGGTGGCTTTTGACTTACGATATGTGGGCTGATATTGAGGATAAATGGCCATCAGTTAAAGGAGTTGCTACAGCTGAGAGTAACAAGACGCCTAGAGCGAGCCTATGATTTGGAGTTGTTTTTACTACAGAACGACATACTGGAAGGCTCGCACCATTGGAATATAAGTAACAAATACATAGCGTACGATCAGTTCATGGACCAAGATGAGTGGTTTAAAACAATGCATTTAATTGATAGTTACCTCGGAATTTGAATAGTTATGTGACTAGCTATTTGACTATTATCTAACACGTGTTACTCCATTATGATTGTGTTTTTCTTTTTTTTTTACGCACACTCGCTAGTTCTTACATACCTACTAATGTGATGTGAAGGGAATTCAAGGAATACGAGGTATAGTTTGAAAGCTATGTAGAAAAGGGGCCTTGAGATCCAAAGTGAGAAGCCAGGTATGAATGCAGTCACTTTAGGACCCTTAGCTGAACTCTTCAATCTGTAATGCTCAGTGTCTGGCCCTCGTTTGCGATTGGTGGTCACAAGTTGGTCTTTAAAGATAAAGCTGCCGTGCTTCAATATTCCATGAGCGAAGAAACATTTGTTCGCTTTGGTAATTTAACTCCAAGCACAACACGTGTGTTAATGTGGAAATATGAAGATTGGTGGCTCTTAGTATTACACCAACCAAGCAAAAAAAGTCACAGATGGGATTTACTATCGGACTGAATCTTATTTTCTCTTGTAAGGTTCTATTGTGTTGTAATCGACGAGACTGTTCAACATTCCCTATTGATGCCGTTCCTTAACAGCTCTATGCATGCGCCGTAATCTCCGAATTGTCAACCTTGTAAAACTCATAATCGTTATAGCCCTTCTCTGGAGGGCTTGCGCCGTAGAAGGTAGACCGATCATATGGATTCAACGGCCAGCCGTTTTTCAACCGTTCCACAAGATCGGGGTTGGCGATAAAGTGCCGCCCAAAGACGATAGCGTCGGCCTCTCCATTCTTCAACTTGGTCAGAGCATTATCTCTGTTGAAGTTGCCCGCAGCAAAGAATCGTATGCCTGCAGGCTTGAGAATCTCTTGGAACTGAGTAAGATTGTTGCTCTGCTTTCCCAGTGACGCCAGCTTTTGCTCCTCGTCGAGAACCTCGTCAAAGCGTGGCTCAATCCTATAAGGAATGTCAACAATCGCAACTCAATGCTGAAATCATCAAAATCAGTCAACTCACATGTGGACATAAACAGGCCTTTGGTTCTCTGGCAGGCCTGCAAGACGCTCTGAGATGTATGCCCAGTGCTTGTTGGGGTTGCTGTCCTTGGTGCCCTGGAAGTAGTTGTAAGGCGATAGACGAAGGCCAACTTTTTCGGACCCGATAGCGGCAGCTACGGCTGACACGACCTCAAAGAGAAATCTCGACCTGTTTTCGATGGAGCCACCGTACGAGTCTGTGCGAGTGTTGATGTTGTCGTGAAGGAACTGTTCAAGAAGATAACCGTTCGCACCTAGGGGTGAATTAGATAAGAAGTCATGTGGATTTATGCCGTCACGTACCATGAATCTCAACGCCATCGAATCCAGCCACCTCAACCGCTCGCTTAGATGCAGCGGCCCATTCGGTGGTCAGGTCGTGGATTTCATCAACCGTCATTGCTCGTGGAGGACCATCCTTGCATTCAGTGCCATCAAGATATTTCCCGTCCATAGGTTGGCTTCCTGACGAGATTGGTGCCTTTCCACCACGCATACCTCCTGAGGAGGCTCTGCCAGTATGCCAAAGTTGGACAAAGATGAAGCCGCCTTTAGCATGGACGGCATCCGTCACCTTACGCCAGCCTTGCAACTGGGAGTCGGTGAAGACGCCAGCTACGCCGGGGTAGGCGCTTGCGTCGAGACAAATGTCAGTGGCCTCTGTGATTTGAAGCCCTCCTTCGCTGGCACGCTCGCCATAATATTTGACAACACGAGCACCTGGAACATGTACACCGCGCGACTCAAACTCACTACGCATCCGAGTAGTGGGAGCCTGTAGAAACAGTTAGTACATGATATTCAGACACCATGACTCCTTACTGGTGCACAAGAACACCAGAAAAGAATCAACTAATGTTGCTTTCATGTTTGAAGACGAACCTGGACAATGCGATGCTGAAGACTCAGGCTACCCAGCTTCAATGGGGTGAAGAGGACCGTGTCCTTGAGAGCGGCATAGACCGGAGGAGGCGTTGTGGCTTTAGGCATATTGAGAAGTGATTGAAATAGATTTGATACAAAACTTGAACGGTGACTGTTTCTTCCGATTCCAGTTAGATATCCTAGATGGGTTGTGTCGCTCTGAACCAGTGAAGTCCGTTGGGCATGACGGGTTTTGAACAGTTTAGCTGAGGGTTAGATAATAGTTGTAAAGCCGTGTCTCCCCACAAAAGACAACATTTGCCATGTCTACAAGATCAACACATTGTTCATTGCGTGCGAATGCTCGAACCCCATCCTTGAGAGTGGAAGTGGAGGAAACCCCAAAGTGGCATTGGACCAGGATGTGGACCGGTCTCGAGAGTGGGGGATAGCCGAACCCCTTACCAGACCTGGCCTGACCCTAACCTTTGACCCGACAGACACCCTATCTTGATTACCCCATAAGCTAAGTCCACTCTTGTTTGATAGCAGAATGCCATTTGAAAGAAGGTGGCATGTAATACCCAATAGGCTCGCTCAATGACTATCTTGGGATGAGAGCTGCAAGTAATTCTCCGAGCCCCGCGTTTCCCGTGAATTTACAAGGTATGTATGCTAGGCACCCCGCCCAACGGCAATTCTAGATCGTCGATAGACGTAAGAAAGGAAACTCGAAGAATACCGGTTTTCTAGTACGTACTTGTGCTGGGATCTTGCGATAGCTTAGTTCAGCTGCTCCTAGTCTCTTTGTTGTGGCGTAGCGCACAGTGTTGAACACATTATTGTAATATGATACAAGTTGAAATTGAACTTTGCTTCGTTTATATTGCTTTGTAGGCAAAGAAATTGAATGGCGTAGTTGTCGTCCATTAAGATAGTTCGGACATGTCTCTTAGCCTTTTGAGTGCCAGCCTAAGCTCGCTAAGTCGTTGAGATCAGAGAAGACACTTTGAACAGCCAAAGGATCAGAGTGCTAAGAATTCATCATGGGCATTCTTTTCTACCCATAGCATGAGAGCAACTGGATATCTTTCTTGAAGCCAAGGGTTTTGAAAAATTCGACTTTTGAAATGCAGTGCTCTAACTGGTCTGATGCTTAATTCTTTACATGGCAAAGTCCACACTTTTTAAGCAAACCGATACATGTCAATAGTTTGAGCAGGAAGGTTCTGGTAGTACTATCCTAGTTGATGGCGTACAAATGTTGCTCGATTTCACATGCAAATCTTGATACAAACCGCATAGTTTCCATCCAATGGTATCCACCTTAGAGAGCAGCCACTCAGAACACAAAATCATGCCTTTAGCAAAATACAGGGTTATCACTCATCGCTCTGATTAGGTACTCATTATCCCAACTTAAAGTGAGGCACGCCCATGCGTCTCGTACGGCAATCCAAAGCAAAACGCGCCCACTAAGACCCACAGTGCCGCACTGGCGTATATTGGCACGACCGTGTATCCAGCATAGGTAGAGACGAATGATGCTACGAGACCACCTATTCGGAGAAGCGTAGAAGCAATGCCCGTTCCAGTTCCACGGACCGGGCCCGGGAATGATTCAGGCGTAAATGCGTACATCACGGCATATTCTGTGCACTGATCAGCGGAATGTATCGGAATCGAACTACACCGACATCAACTTACCAAAGTTTCCCAAAATTGCGGTCGCACATTGGAACCCAATATCTGCAGCTTCAGTGCCCACACTTGTGTAAGCAAAGAGGAAAGCTCCGGTGAGGACGGCGGATGCAGCCATCATCCACCGGCGGCCAAATCGTGTTTCCACGAGGAAGCCAGCAGCAATGGGTCCAACGACTCCCGCAGAAGAAACGATACAGTATACCATGTAGGTGTGGTCCAAAGACGTGTTCGTTGAATACGTAGCCTTGGTTTCGAGGTACGAGGGGATGAAAGCGAAGTATAACGGATAAGCAACGCCCACGGTAAGCCAGATGAGAAAGGTAACTGATGTGTGCTGAGCCATCTTTCTGCCAGCAAAGAGCTTTTTGTAGTTGTCAGCATTGTAGTCCTGGAAGCTTTCCTTCAAGATTTCCATGTAGGACAACTTGGATGTGGTGGGTACCACATCGGGGTCAACAGGCATAGTGGCGTCCGTTTCCGATACACCATTGCAGCGTCTGTCGACTTCCTGGAGCATATCGAGAGTCAAGGTCTCTGGGCGACCGTTGTATCTCGCAATGTAGTTTACGGCCTCGACTGCCTCGGCATCTCTACCTTTAGAGATGAGAAAGCGGGGCGATTCGGGAATCTTGAAGAGAAGAATTCGAATCAAACCAAAAGCAATAGCGATTCCGCCAAGGGTGATCATAAGATAGCGCCTATAATAAGTTGTGTTGAAGAGTAAGAAGCTGCCCTGCTCACAATTATGCGGATGTTTGACTTACCAGCCCATGTTGTCTTGCATCCGGCAAGGGGCCTCGGACGAGGGGCACGCAAAATGTGCCAAAAGACCCAAGCCAAGAGCGAAACAATGACCTGTCCCAAGTTCCACCACGCTGATAATGTTACAAGCATCCATTGGTGGCTCTGAGGCACAAATTCCAGAAACACGACGCTGTCCACAGGGACGTTGCCGCCAGCAGCCGTGCCAATAATGGACCACAGGGCGCAAAAAGCGGTAAAGTTCTGTGTTCCAGCTACGGCGCAGGCAAAAACACCACCGTAGAGAATTGTAGCATTGAAGGCAGGTTTGCGACCGATCAGGTCTGCCGTGGTGCCCCAGAAGGATGCGCCCACAATGAGACCGACGTAGTAAGCGACCGAACTAAAGCTGAGGCGGGCGATGTCTGTAAACTCGTTGCCAATGGGAGGCCGAATCGCCGTAATGCCCTGGGACCAGAAATTGTCGACAATCCAGCCGAAGCCGTTGACGACGAAGAGAATCCATTGGAACCTGGAAAAGTGCGACAATTGCCGCCACGGTTAGCTTTTGACTCGGTTGAAGGTGCTGGTGGCATTGCTAGAGTTGCAAACTCACTTTCCCATGCCAATCTCCCCAAGATGGTGAGCGACGATTTCGGATTTCAAACGGTACTGCTCATTGACGGCTCCCGTGTAGAAATCACGGGTAGTTGAGTCGCCGACCGAGACCGCCTCACCATCGTGGACAGAGTTCGAGGGAGACTGTGTCAAGCCCTGCTCCGTACCACCCTTGCCTCCGCTTTTCTCACTTGTTGAAGACATGGTAAAGAACGTTAACAATACAGAACGAAGATTGAAGAATCCGGCTCTGTTTTTCGTAGACAAAGACGAGAAACTTTGAACCTGGATTAATGTCGGAAAGTTCTTCGAAGCGACGGAGAGACCCTCAGCTTTATTGGAAGACGATGGGGCCATAGGACGTATGAACGCCAAGATTAAGAGGTACAACCCAGGGGGGTCAACTCTCACTTGACATTGGACATGTCGACGTCAATTTTGACAGCCTTTGCTAGGGTTGGAAAACAATTACAGGGGTCTTCACCGTTGCTCCCAAGGTATCGTGACCAGAGGTTCACCTTGAAGGGGGAGAGATAAAGCTGAGCTATCTGCCTCTGCCCTGTAGATATCAACCTCGTGGGCTCTGCGATAACCCCAGATTGGCCTGGGATAGTACCACACATCCAATCGAAGCTCTAGGATTACGCCTGAAAGTTTACGGGTCCCCACCCCCACTTTAGGTGGGCACAGGCGTTCCAAAACTTGTTGCTGCCTCCATTTATGCTGGGATGTTCAGCCCATTACTCCAATCAACTAGACTAGTTGATGGGTTTTGACTTTAACGAGCAGGGAAAGTCCTGAAACCCTACGCAAAAGTTGCATGTACCAATGAATCATGCCGGTCCGGCTTACTGCATTCCGGGGGACGAGCTTGGAGAAAACTGGAGTTGAGTGATGACGTAGGGAACTTTGAAAAGCTCTTTGAACCGTGCCACGGACGTTAGTTGGCTGGAAGTCTCTGCGTATGGAGGCATAACCGGGGCGTCGTCTTGCACAAAACGGGTCATGTTCCATGTTTAATCAAATTACATAAAGCTCCATGCAAGTACAGAGTTCCTCTCGCCCCCCTATTGACCAATTCAGGGTCTTTTCAGGGTCCAAAGACGATCGCGAAGAGTCAGTAGCCACCGAGATTTCAAGCACGTGCTTTTGATCTACGGAAATCTCTGTTTGTAACTGCGGTATTATGGTAATCTGCGCCGCAAATACCATTACAAAAAATACCACCAGGGGTTTCTTACGCCGCCCTAGCCGCGGTACCAAATGTTGCAAAGAAATTTCAGACTGAGGCCCCCGTAACTTGCAGGAATCCACTAAAATAGTCGTCGAGCCATTGGGCTGCTGAATGTCCTGCTGTGGGTTCTGTTGTCTTCCATAGGCCAATTGAACCGACGTATCCATCGGGTCTCACAATAATGATGGCAGCTTCGTCTGTTCCAAGTCCACCGAGCCATTTGTCTGTGCATGTCCGACCTTGTGTGTCCAGAGGTGCTACGTCATCCAGGTAGATGGTCCAGCCACTTCGGGCAAATAATTCCGGTAAAGAGGATATTTCAAACTCATTCTTGTCCGTAGATGCTATCAAAACATGTCAGTATGGAGGCTATTTCAAAGCTGTTAGGCTTTAGATTATGCGTCAACTTACTGATGAGAGCAAAAGTGCTAATCTCACTGACTGTAGTGTATCTTTCAGGGCGCACATGGATATCATCATTTCTTCTAGCTCGCGGCTTCTTCTCGTACGACTTAGCTGCCGCCTTTGACAAGAGAGTGAACAGAGAAGATTCCGATGCCACCGAGTCGCTGAAACCAGCAAGGAACCTGGCTGCTGGTGTATCGCAAACGTTGCTCATAAAGGCATAAACTCGGAATTGGCCAAGTATGGGAATGTCGAGTTGAACATCAACCGGACATGCGTCGATATATCGGGTAGCCTTTGCGGGAGGTAGGTTACAACCAGGTCTAGCGGCACCCTTCAATACACCTGACTGTCCGCGGTTCAATTCATTCTCGCCGTACTCGACTCCGGCGCCGGAGATGAATCGCGTGTTGGTCTTGAAGTTGTCAGCTAAACGTTTGGCATCGCCGCGAGCGATCTCGTTGGCGTGTTCGAAGTCGAAGTTGATGAGGTCATGTGCGATCTTTTTGCGCTCCTGCTCGTAGGTTCCCAGCAGGATATCATTCTTTGCAAGGCCTCGCAGGGCAAAGTTGAGCTTCCAGCCGAGATTCCAGGAGTCGTGGACGCTCGTGTTCATTCCTTGAGCAGCTTTGGGACTGTGAGTGTGGCTGGCATCTCCGGCGATAAACGCTTTTCGGGCCGGGTCTGAGAAGCGGGCAGCAACGCGCTGGGCAACCTGATAGTTGCCAAACCACTCAACAGAGCGCCACTTCACGCTGTAAGGAGCCAGGATCAACTTGGCCTGCTCCATGACAAAGTCCTCGCCGAGCTGCTTGGCTGATGTTGAAGACTTCATCTCGATGTAAAAGCGCGTCATGTTGCGTTCTCGCGGAATGATGAGGATGGATCCATGCTCTTCCGAGAACACAACCGTTTTGCTCCAAATGTCGGGAAAATCGGTCTCTAGTTCACCGTCAAGAACACCCCAAACTGAAGTATGCGGCGTCCCCTGAGCGTACGTGTCTGGGATACTTCCTCGTACGCGAGAACGGGCTCCATCGCATCCAACAAGATACTCAGAATGCAATGTAGTCGGCCCCTTTTCATGCTGTTCACATTCGATCTGTAGTGATCCATCTTCCAAGGCTCTGTATGTTTGAAAGCTGTGGCTTCGCTTTACTTCCACACCACTCTTCCGGAGATCATCGATAAAAATTACCTCAATCATACCCTGATGGCACAAAAGGATATATGGCTGAAGCAGGTCTACGACAGAGGCCGGATAGTGGATCGATCGGCTCAGTCTGCGCAAGTCGGCTTCACTTGAGCTCTGCCACATGCAGATGTCATGCACTTTGACTCCCGTACGAAGCAACTCGTCGCCTATCCGGAGCATCTGAAAAGTCTCAATGGACTTGGGCTGGATTCCGTCAGCTCGGCCAACTGTCGTCTGGTCGGGCCTTTCATCTATGAGTTCGACATTCTGACCAAATCTTGCAAGCAGAGATCTATGTCAAACAGTCAGCAAGGCGCCAAGCTTTGGGGCTGGTGAAAACACATACCCAAGCATTAGACCCGCAGGCCCAGCACCAACAACACATACATCGACCTTCTCATCATGATAACCGTTTGAACGTTGGGTGGAATTTCCATTTGTAAAGCCATTGACCGGCGGTGCGGCAGGTGTTGTTGCACTTGTTGTCATTTTGTTCTGTGTAAAAAAGTGAAAGGATAGAAACCCTTTCGTAACTTAGGCAAGCCAATGTGAAGCGTATCAAATGTGATTTAGGAGTTATGAGGTCATAAGTTGTGGTGTTGTAGACAAGGGATTCAGTCTGATCAAAGTAGAATAGACTGCTGCCTTTCTGAGTATAAGAACACTCAACATGCCCAAATGTGATTCCTGGATGAAAATTTACTCTGAAGGGCTCATCACCTCATTTCACCCGAATGGCTCGATGTTCGACCGATGATGTGAAAAAATGGTGCTTCATTCCCACAGAGAATGGGTCGACATCCGATTCCTCGTGAACCGTGAGTCCACTCGTTGAAATTCTATGCAAACTCCCACTCTCACCCACTTTCTGATGTTCCCGTCTCATGTCTAGGCAAGACGCTTCCCCCACTCTTGGTATCGTTCGTGCCTTGTTTGGTAACTAACATGGGTGGGATGGATTGGAGAAGGGGACATAATCTGCGGGGAAGCGGGCAGATAGGCCCCTCACGATCGCTGTCTCCACGTACAAGTCCACTTCGGCAGGTTACCGACTAAACTCCGGCCGGTAGCGGAGCTCTTCAGTTGCAGTATTCCCGCCAGACTCTGTTATCTGCTCAAAGGATACTCGGCATGCCGAACCAACTTTGGATCCACCTCTTGGTAGAAACCGACTAGAGGTTATGCTGTGGCGATGTGATAGCTATCATACGGAAACTCGCCCTTTTCTATTGCATATCCAGCCGTTTTGTTTCTCCAGTGCATCCTCTCTTACCTAACCCTTGTCATCGCGATGACGCAAACAACGACTTCTAAGCCTTCACACACTTGGCAAGAGGTGGTTGCAAAGAAAAGGCTACTTCAAGCAGAGTCACTTTCAGTAGCTGCCCTGCAAGCAACAATCGATAACAATGACGACATAGGCAATGCTGTCGAGATTACTACCATCCACGATGCTGAAATTCTGGTGTCAATGATTTCTCGCCGCAAGGTGACGGCTGAGACTGTCATCAAATCGTATATCAAAAAGTGCAGTTCAATACCATCTCTATATTAAAACTGGCCACACTAGTGATGTTTCAACCGCCGAAGTATGCTAACTATTGATGTTTAAATGAAGGGCAATAGACGCACATGCAAAGGTATGTCAAAGCTGTCAATTCTCTTTAACCAACTTCTTACTGAGACGTGCTGGCTTTATTAACGCACAATGGTAGACTAATTGGTATGTAACACGTTTCTGGTTGGAATGATGATCTTCAGACTTCACTGCCGTCCCTAAATCAAGTCTTCAGTTAACAGGTGCGTCTTAGCTTGACTGAAATCCTTTTTGAGGATGCATTACAACGTTCTAGAGAACTTGATGCCCATCTTGAGAGTACTGGAACACTTGTGGGGCCTTTGCACGGAGTTCCCGTCACAATGAAAGATCAATTCAACGTCAAAGGCTTCGATTCAACTTTGGGTTATGTTGGTAGATCGTTTTTTCCAGCATCGGATGATGCAGTTGTTGTTACGATGCTGAAATCGCTCGGCGCGGTGGTTGTCGCGAAGACCAACCTTCCCCAAAGTATCATGGTAGGTCTCAGTATCTAATCAACCTGACAGCCTTGAAGAATGAAAATTGAGACTAACTGGAATGATGTTTGTCCAGTGGTGCGAAACTGATAACCCTCTCTGGGGCCTAACTACAAACCCTATGAGCAAAGATTACACTCCTGGTGGCTCCACTGGCGGGGAGGCGGTTCTTCTGACAACCGAAGCCTCGATGCTCGGATGGGGAACCGATATTGGCGGAAGCATCCGTATTCCATCACACATGAATGGGATCTATGGTTTTAAACCAAGCGTGAGTGTCTATCTGGAATATTCAGACACCATTGCTCTCTTTGGGCATAAGATCCGAACCCCAGCTAACATATGCAATCAAGAGTGGACGGCTTCCATACCGGGGTGTTCCAGTCTCTACCGAGGGCCAGGAGCATGTTCCATCCTCCATTGGCCCCATGGCTCGCAGCCTGAGCACCATCCAAACTACCATGAAACATTTGATTAATGACAAACCTTGGGAACAAGATGCTCGATGCGTTCCAATACCATGGCGGGAAGACGTTTACCAGGAACTCTTGTCTCGTCCCTTAACGATCGGGGTGTTACTCGATGACAACATCGTCCGACCCCACCCGCCTTTGACCCGTGTTCTTCACTCCGCTACAAAGTCTTTAAAGGCAGCAGGCCATGAGATTCTGGAATGGAATGCCCAATTGCACGAGGAATGCATCAAAGTTATGGTAAGCTGACGCTACCATTTTTCTCAACTCTCCAGTTGCACCTGCTAAAGCTGAAATACAAAGGATCTTTATTACACAGCTGATGGCTGTGAGGACATTCGTAATGATGTTTTGGCGGGGGGTGAACCTTTCATTCCCCATGTTGAGCGCCTCATCAGCCGTGGGAAAGCTATTTCCGTATATGAGTACTGGCAGCTAAACAAACGCAAGTGGGAATTGCAGCAGGCATACATGGAGAAATGGAATTCTATCCGGTCCCCAACGACTGGTCGGCCTGTGGATATTGTGCTCATGCCACCAATGCCCCATAGTGCGGTCCCTCACGGAGGATGTCGCTGGGTTGGGTATACAAAAGTCTGGAACTTCCTCGACTATCCCGCACTGGTGATTCCGGGAGGACGCGTTTCCCAGGAAGACCTTGACATACCTTGGACAGGCCAGGCCAGAGGTGTTGAAGACGAATGGAACAAGAAGCTCTGGGATGATAATGGAAAGGAGATGGCACGTCTCGAATTGCCAGTAGGTCTGCAGATAGTCGGGCGCAAGTTGGAGGAAGAGGCTGTGCTAGCTGCAGGAAAGATTATTGATGATCTCCTGCATAATAAGAAAGTATAAACCCATTCATTACAACGGCATTTGGCTCATGCGTGTACAACGAGCTTCAATAATCTAATAAATTCTATTTTATTACTCATTTGAAAGATTTATGATATCGTGTTTCCCGGCAAGGCTGCCGACCTCCACGGAGTAACCCGGTGCGCCTGCTTCACCACACTCACCGATGTCCCCAAGTGTCAAGGTGCTTCTTACATAGGAATATTTTTATCCAAAGATGGAGTCTTCGAAAACAGGTATTTCAATTTCAAATAATTAGTAATACGACACTGAGATTTACTGCGGTCCACTCTTGGTGCTGCAGACTTAGTTGTGAGATCATGGGCCGTATCAAACATAATTGTGTCGGTATTTAAGCCTAATAATTCGCAACTGCATCTTAGCTCATTTACTATGCCTGTGACTTCTTCCATTCCTCGTATTTCTTCATGACCTCTTCCTTGCTAGCCGGCAACCTTGCACCTTCTGGAACAGCGTTATTTGACTTGAAATCATCACTGATCTTATCAGGAAGTTAGATCGAGTTTTCAGTGAGTTTTGCGCGTTTGATAAACTCACCTCCCCCATGGTGACCCACTCAACACCCTCATGCTTGTTAATGTACTCGATTATGCGTTCGTGCATGAGAATAACATGAGGTTTTCCTGAAACGTCTGGGTGAATGGTCATTGGGAAAATGAATTCATCTGTACTCTAATCAGTCTGGTACTGCAAAGTGTGTCACCACAAGTGAATCTTACCGTGTTCTCTGTAAAGGTAATCAAACTGATCTTTCCAGACAGCCTCAATATCCCTACAGAAGTCAGTAGGTTCCCGATACAAAAAACGACATATGGCGAAATGCAGAGCATGTGTATGTGATATGTCCCCGTGAGACTGAAGCGTGAAGCGCACCCGCCAAACACTGAACACTGAACCCAATCTGGTGTGTACTTAATCACAGACGTGTGGCCATGGGTCGATCACTGACCCGAAGCTATCGCGACGCAAGGACCACAAAGAACGGCTTACCTTGGATTCACCCAGCCGTGAGAGTTGGCAGAGTTCTTGATGAATTGCATTGGAGGTAGATCATCGCGATCCCAGGAACCAAAAATCTCAACGAGGCCAGTCTCTTTTCCTCGTACAAGAGGCTTCATCCATTCTTCGGCCGTTTTGGTGTAGTCAATCTTGGTCCAGGCGTCACCAGTCCGCAGCCAGTAGGCTTGATAATCATGGTGTGACATGGAGTGATCATACTCGATACCATAACTCAAAAGGAGCTCGGTACCCTCCTCACTAGTTTCCCACCAAGGCGCAACGCTACCTTTTGGTGGCTTTCCGCCACAGAAGTCTGTTAGCATCTTCCATGTTTTGTCCAGGACATCTCGTTGTTGCTCAAACGTCATATCAACAGGGTTTTCGTGGCTGTAGCCATGGAGACCAATTTCATGACCGGCATCGCGGACCATGGCGCACTCCTCTGGAAACGTCTCCAGGGTGTGGCCCGGAATGAACCATGAGGCTTTGATGTTGTATTTCTCAAATAGAGAAAGAAGACGCCGTGTGCCGATAGTTCCCGCCCAGATGCCTAACAATGGCGAAAGAACCCGTCAGCCACCGAACACTTCTCTTGAAAATACAGAAACATGGGTAGCGGTGGTAGAGCAGATCCTACCTCGACTAATGTCGTTAGTGCTGTCTTCACCCCCGTATGAGCCTAGCCAGCCGGCGACGGCATCGATATCCACACCGTAACTTTGAAGATCCGGTTAGTCATTTCACTCTATCTGATTGAATTGACTGTGTTGCCTCACCAGACGAGAACCTTTTTCTTGCCCATTTCGTCAAAGTACGAATATGTATGTGAATGTGTACAGACAAGTGATTAGTAATGAAGAGGTAGTGGCTTACATGCAGGATAACGTCTGTCACAGTGGCTTCACTATCATGTTTTATGTTAGGACATGAAATGCTATCACCAGTCTTAATTCTACAATCTGGGGACCATCCTCTAAGGATTGCTCTGATAGGGGAAACATTCTACGGATACAACAACATTGATCGAGCTGCCCCACAGGTTTCCGCTTGTTCAAAAGTGGTGTCCCACAGAGTCCATGCCTTATCTTCAATCTATTACCATTCTGTAACTGATTCTTTGGTGCATACCTAGCCGGGTTTGGACCTACTGAGCCTATGAAAACCAAGCTACACCTTTGACGAGATGTGTCTCCATCAGTTGTTTGGTTGGTTTACCCGGGATCTACAAACAAATGTTGTTGGTTATCCAGACCCACCCCCATTCTTGTTCTCTAGTGAACCCCCTCACCCCACTCTTGGCTGGAAGGGAACCACCCACTCCTGTACGCAATCACTCTACGATAGGGCATACCCCAGTCGAGAAATCGTCTGAACTGTTTTGCCGCGGAGTACAAGCGATTAGCCGGGATCCGACCGGAAACCGTCTTCCACCTACGCGACTGGATACCCCACTCGTTTTGTTGCAGTAGGTGGATGCCATAGGCAGCGATCAAGGATGAGTTGACTCTTGGGGTGTGGAGTTTTCGACATATTGGACGACAGGTAGCATCACTACAGTGCTGGTGGGTTACTGCAAACGGGATGCAGCATAGGTGGGATGGAATATGTAGAAGTTAACTGGACTAGAGGCTCCCGGCAATTCCTCACAATCATGTTATTAAGTAATCTTTCTGGCTGTCTTCTCTGAATACCAACAAAGCAAGCATATGCATCCATCTATCTCCTTGGCCTAGTGAGCACCTTTGGCTGGTCGTCGTCATCGTTTCCATTATCGCACTACTTGCATGTTTGTCGCAAAGCACAACCGCATCAACCTTGCAGCTTTGTTCAACGACGCAGCGATACACCCTCACCATCTGTTCCGAGAGTATCTCGATACAACATAAACAAAATGTCCAAGGTACGCTAACTAAGCAAACCCTACCTGACGCTGGCAGGGTTTTTACCCTATGCATAGCTCGGGACAGCTCAAGGCTAATGAACGCAGTTTTCTCTCAAAGGTCGTGTTGCAGTTGTCACTGGTGCCGGAAGGGGTTGTGGATTTGCTTTCGCGCAAGGGCTTGCAGAGGCCGGTGCTGACGTTGCTATCTTTGATGTGATTGACCCTGAGCCTTCTGCATTCGAGCAGTTGTCATCTGCAAATGGAATCAAGGCAAAGGCTTATGTCGTTGACGTAACATCCCTCTCGAGCCTTGAAAAAGGGTTCTCGGCAGTTGCTTCCGACTTTGATGGGAAATTGGACATTTTTGTGGCTTGTGCAGGTGTGAATAAGAACATTGAGTTCCTTGATACAGAAGAGGCGGACTTTGACCGGCTGTACGGAGTCAACTGCAAGGGGCTCTACTTCTCGGCTAAGCTTGCCGCGAAGGCAATGATAGCCAATGGTACGAAGTGTGGTAGCATCATCTTTGTTGCCAGCATTGCGTCCTATATGGCGATTCGGTCTCAGCGGTCAACAGCATACTGCGGAACAAAGGGTGCCGTCAGAGCCATGGTCGCCCCCATTGCTGCAGAGCTGGATGCCTATGGTATTCGAGTCAACTCCATCAGTCCTGGGTATGTAAGAACAGAGATGACGACGCCTTTCCCTCACTTGCTTGAGGGATGGAAAGATGAGATTATGAATCATCGTGTTGCTGAACCAGACGACATCAAGGGAGCTTGTGTCTTCTTGGCCAGCGACGCTAGCAGGTATGCTATTGACTTCCACCACTTTAATGCTTAGAAAGAAGAGCAGGCACTGACATTATCTCTTACAGGTACTGCCAAGGCAGTGATATTCTCGTTGATGGGGGTGTGACTAAGTGGTAGTCTAGCAGTTCAATTCTTCAATAGAGATAACTATTTTATGTCGGTCAATTTCAGTGAATGAAAAGCTAAACCTTCCTGGCGAATACGTCCTATTAAGTGCCTGAGACCCTTTGTGCCTTTTGCTGGACAGACATAGATGGAATTCGTCCATGAATACATATTGTAAAGGCTTTATTTGTATCTTGACTAGGTTCATGTAATAGATTACAGATTCTTCCTGTCTCCGACTGTGCAGGCTTCTGTTTGACAAGACAAGAGTCAAAGCATTGTCTCATTTTAATGAGACTTATGGTAAACCAAAACTTCGAAGTAAGTTCAGACAAAAAATCGCCATCGAGGATCTTTTTCACCCTCTGACAGATCCCTTGTCTCTACATCTTCGGCTCTCAGGGTGATGCCCTGGTCTTTGTTTCTTCTGGCATTTTCTCGTCTCATAGAAATTCCAAGCCACAGAGTAAAAACAATGCACACCACATTACATCCAGCTGTGGCTATCAGCGTAGGAGCATAACGGGGAGCGTAAGTGGTCCGAAATGTAGCAGCAGACAGAATACCGCCCAAATTTCCAAGACCTACCAGTAGGCCCGTCGTCGCAGCCCGTGAGTTCTCACTGAGATTGTTGTTATTATGCCAGCTATGAACCTAGCAACATATTAGCCGAATGACCTGGGAGTTCAGAGTGCGCCAAGATTCTCACCAAGCAAGACGGAATGTATGCTCCTGAAGTGAGCAGAAATGTCGCAAAGTAGGCGACACCAATGTGAGATCTGGCATCGATAACAACCAATATGATGAGGCCTATCAAGCTGAGAGTGAGACTCCCCACGATGTGGAATGTTCTCTCTCGATTTCGGTCTGAGCTGTAAGTCACTGCCAGTAGAACCAGAAATCCCACCACATTGGGTGGCACTGTGAGAAGGTTCGTTGTAACCGTGTTGTATCCCAAACGCCGGATGACCAACGGGAGAAAGTTGGCGGTGGTTGCGAATGCAACAGGATAGGTTAGGCTGACAATGCACCAAATGGGAAATTTCCAGTCGCTCCAAGTGCGGAAACACTCTTTAAAACTGAATTCCTCTTCAACACCGCGCGTTCCATCGCGAAGTGATCTTAGAGTGGCGACTTCTCGCTCTGCGTCGTTCAAAAACCAGGCTGTTTGAGCATTCGCCGGTAACCACCAGAAAGCGATGATTCCAAACACCACAGTCAAAGCCCCTAACGAAAGTTAACGAATTGGCTTTTTTGTAAGTTTAGCAGGGGTGTCTTGTACCTTCGATGATAAATAGCCACATCCAACCATGAACATGTGGGTGTTGAATCCGGAACACCCCGAAGGAGATCAAACCAGAAAATGCACTCGCCAACAGAGCACTCCCAAAGAAGAGTGCAATTCGAAAGCCCAGTTCACCCCTAGTGTAAAATAGAGTCAGGTAGAATACTGCCCCAGCAAAGAATCCTGCTTCAAATGCACTGTTCACAAATTTAGCTTCCGTAAAGTACATTACTCATAGCGTGGCCGTACCCTAACAGGAGACGAATGGCCAACATGCCACCGAAGTTTTTGCAAGCAGCCTGCAGAAGCGCCATGGCACCCCATCCGACCATCAAAGCCGGGAGCATGATGCGACCTGAGAACTTCTTCGTCAAGAGGTTGAGCGGGAGATCGCAAAGGCCATTTGGTATGTAGAAAAGTAAAATCAACAGAGAGTACTGCTCTCCCACAAAATTCAGATCTTTGCTCATTCCGTCTGTTTCAGCATTTCCAAGGTTGCTCTGGTAAGGGAATCTTAGTAGCTAGAAACATAGCGCTCTGATATATCGACTCACTCTGTCAACAGCGTTGAAGAAATACATGATGCTCATGAATGGAAGTAACCAGTAGTCCATCTTACGAACTATTACAAAAGCATAGTCAGAAGAGGATTTCGGATAAGGCGGAGAGAATACATACCATAGGCCGCCTCGGTAGCGGTGCTAATGGAAATCTGTGTACCAGATTCTTGGTCTCTAAGTTGAGAGGCGCTAGCCGGCTTGAAGGCCTGGATTTCCTTTGTAGACTTCATGATGACAGTATGAACTATAAGGTTTGTAGGGTTGAGTTGGGTTCCATGAATTGGAGACAACCACATCCATGCTCTGCTTTTATATTAATGGGCTCGACTGGAGGACTCCTCCAGTGACCGTATTATCTTTGTAGCAGTGGCCGTTTCGAATCAAGGCAAGATTGCAGGCTGCTATAGTCAAGCTGGACCAGCTATCACAAGCGGCAGCGGCATTACGGTATCCTGAGGACATGTTCTGCTAGACAAAGCATTATGTTTCATGCGGTACATTTTCTCCGATGCTGTAACAGCACGACATCATTGGCTTGCCTCACTGATAACGATATCACTTGGGGGGGAGAGACGAGAGTGGGGTGGTGGGAATTGGAGCATGCCACAACAGCAGGGGTCTCGGCCCCCATTACTGATCTTTCCGTATTATACCGGAGCTTCTAAAGGAAAATGTGCGTCGTAAATTCCACTATGATATTTGACAGTCTGATACACCACTACAATGAAGTATTACGCTACAGCAATCTGAGCCGGCTGAGACGGTTGCTGTGTTTGCAGCTTATTGGCTGTGGCCTTTTCCAAGCCCTGCTTATACAACTGGGCTCTTCCATAAGACTCCGCGTAGGACGCCGAGACAGCCTGCTCGACGGTAACAGGCCCAAATTTGGCGGGTTGAGTGGCGGATTTGCAAGTGGGGATGCACTCAACTAAGTAATCAGGGTTGCCAGAGATAAAGACAGGGATGGAGTAGCGCTCTTTTCCTGACTTGTTGATAACTCGATGGATGTTGCTCTTGTATTTCTCGTTGGTCCAGCGAGCCATGAGGTTGCCCAGGTTCACAACGAAAGCACCTTTGGTGGGTTGAACCTAATGCAGAGTGGTAAGCACAATGGACGAGTGAAAGCTTGTCTATCCTACTTACATCAATCCAAGCCTCGTTCTTCTGATCCCAGACTTGGAGGCCGTCTACCTCGTCCTGAAGGAGCATTGTTATTGCACCAAAGTCCGTGTGTGCTCCAATGCCGCGGGTGAGCTTTTCGTCCGCGTCTTTGGGCTGGGAAGGGTAGTGCAGCAATCTCATAGTAGCCACAGCGCCATCCATGAACTTGTTGAAGTAGCTCTCTTGCAAGTCCAACGAGAGAGCAAGTACCTTCATCAAGTCCGAAGCCAGAGATAGAGCCGAAGAGTAATAGTTCATTGATGCCGTTCTGAAGCTCTCCAGGTCACTGCCCAAGCCTTCCGGCCACTGGTTGGGTCCGCTGTTCAACTTCTTGTTGATGAAGTAGGGATGAGTTTCGGGGATTTCAGCGCCGATATAGAAGCCTTCTTTGAGCTCTGGCTGCGTGCCCTCCTCGAGAATCTGAGACCTTAACATTTCGTAGCCGCGGTTCCAGGTGTTGTTTTCCTTGGCCACTTTTTGCTTCTCCTCATCAGGTAGAGCAAAGAACTTCTTGGCACTCTGCATGACGGCGCTTTGCTGCTGCAGGGGTACGGAGTGTCCAATTATCTGGAAGAAACCATTGTACAGACAACTTTCACGGACCTGGTCCACAACTTTCTGCTTCTCGGCTGGGTCTTCGGAGTAGAACCCTGCATAGCGATCAATAAGAAAAGGTGCTGAAGTTGGAGCTATTCGCACTCTTCACTTACCTGAAAAGTCGATGATGGGGATCTCGGGAGGCGCCATTTTTCTTGAGTAAATCTTTGGTGGGAGCTGTTGAGGGCGGTATTGATCGTGTTGGAGGTATGGAGAAATAGCTAAAAAGCTTCTCTCTGCTGCTTTACTTTGAAGATGATCGTCCGAAAGCACGCAATATCTGTAATGTCATGAACCCTCCAAAATATAGTCGAAAAAGGTATCATGATATTCTCAAGTCTTCCATACGTAAGGCACCGCTCGCCTTCTTGCGGGTCTACTCGGCATTCCGAAGAAGCCTCTCCCTCGCGTTCGATGAAGTCGTGAAGAGTGGGGTAGTTGATAGCATCCATCGCGAATGGTACCCACCGTTCCCGAATATTACCAAAAAGAACCTAGATATCATGCAAGGGTGGACGTTGTCTGTTCACGTTGTTTCCCCAAAATATCCACTTTCCCCTCACCAGCGAGAGATAGGTCCGCCCCATGATAAGGATGTGACACCAAGCTTCAAGATTGGCGGCTCAGTAGTCTGTACACCTACCTGATTAACACACATGTGCGGGGAAATGGATGGAATTTGGGAGCATAGTTGAATCCCTGTTTCCTGGCACCACCTCGTAAGTTGGGGTTCCATAGAGGGTGGGAAACCCCCTTGACCTATCGTTCGTATCGCTTTTCAGATCGAGTCTCCTGGCCGTTGTACATGGTGCACTTAACTCCAAGCAAGTTACGTCACTAATTTATGACATTTGTTCGGTTTTTGTTGGTTGGTTCGCCATTTTCTGTTTTCATTTTAGTAGCAGCCTTAACTAGGAAGTTGCTAGAGTCACAATCATGGTAAGACTCAGGGCTACCGACTGAAGCCGCTCCGTGGAATGGCAACGTCAGCTGCCAGAACCTTTTTGTCAAACGCTCTTTTTCCCACATCAACTCATATTGGTAGTAAATAAGAAATAATTTAATCATCAATAAGCCAGAAAATATATTAAATACTACAAGAAAGCTTTGGTCTTCTGTGGATGAGGAATCAATTATGCTCGAAATCATAGGCTAGTGAACCTGTTGCTGGACAATGCCTGATGCAATTTGTGGATAATGTTGGCTTAGGTGTCTTCTACCAAGCAAGCTCCTGTCGCAACCCACAGCTTGCTCTTTCAAGCTCCGAGCAGAAAGTCTCCTCTTCAGTTAACTTTTTTGTGTTCATTTCTCCAACGAGCTTTGGGGTGGCGGGCCAAATCTCATGACCGCCCTGGTTCAACTCTTTCATGCGATGCGCCATGACTTCTTGCCGAACGGTGTTCTGAAAGTGTATGGGGCCCTAGATATTTGGTCAGTAGCCATATCATCATGAGAAATGGTGGAATGTGTCTTACCTTTTCTTTTTCGGGGTGAAGTTCGCCGTTTATGAATACCCCCGCATTGAGATTCTCTTGTGCCCTGATACAAAGCTCCCTGTCTTCTTCTAGTACTTGTTTGTAGAAGGCATTGATGGCGGCAAAATCTTCGTCGCCGGCGCTATGGTGTCGATAAACCTCATTCTCTATTCTGGTTTTCGTGGCGCTGACGGGGATCATGCGCTGAATGTAAAAGAAGTTTTGTCTTTAATAGTTTTAGTTAATTTAACAATATGTGAGACTACCGTCATATACGGTAAATTGACTTACGTGATTGTTACCGATGTCGAGGGAAAGAAAAAGGTAATGGATCTACGGAACTCGTCTTCCTCTTCTTCCGACTTTTTGTTAATAATCTGATGCTCCAAGCATCCGCCGCTCGGCTCAACCCTGTACTTTGTGAGGTCCGACACCCCCGCGATCAAAGGGTGAGAGGTCGCACAATGGTAGCATTCATTGTAGTTTTCAATCACTGTCTTCCAGTTGGCATCGAGCTCCATTTCCCAGACGTGGTCGTATTTGTACCCGCCGGAAAAGTCGAAGTTCTGCATCCGTGGCTTCTCGTACACGCCGCCAAATTCATCCTCCCACTTGACATCCGGCTCCCCTGCCTGGAGGTTGACCCATATAAAGCCTGCAGGATCCACGCGGACGTGAATTGGAAGCAGTCCATGCTGGTTCTTATCAAATCCCCTGACAGTGTCGAACCTCGGTGCCTTGGCGAGATTTCCCTTGAACCCATAAGACCAGCCATGGTATTTGCAGCTGAGAATACTGGCCTTTCCGGCGCGGTTATCGACTACTGGATATGCGCGATGTCTACACGCATTGTGAAAGCCATTGATGTTGCCTTCTCGATCTTGGACCAGAAAGAAAGGAAAGTCGGCGTAAACGAAGGATACATAGTCCCCAGCTTGCTTGAATCTAAGAGAATGGGTGACTAAGATTCATTTCCTGGAGATAATAGACCTTCTCTCAAGCTGGTGGAGTTCTGGGGATCTGTACCAGGAGGCTGGAAGACTTCGAGGTGGCTCAGACTTGGTATTGTCCGTTGCTGACGAGAACCCCAAAAAGCGCCACATGTTATTGCTAATGTCGTTGAAGAAAGGTACAAACTTCTAAGGTTCCCCAAAGATTTTATCAATGCTGTTGTTTGATTGGAGTGAAACTAATGGATACACAACGTTCATTCTGTTTGCTAACCGGGCCCTGAGCCCCTTGAGCAGCTCCTTTCTTAAGTCTGAAAACACGGGATCTGAGCCCGTAGAGTGTACCTATCTTGAGTGGGGAATATACAGCGACGGCTGCGGTGATAATGAGAAAATGGGGGTGGGGGTTGATGATTCCCATGGAGCCTGGACCATGAGCCCTACTTACCGATAAGCCAGGACCGAAGCTGATACTGCTGAGCCTCAGTGGATATTGGACTTCACGTCTAATCTAGATGCTTTATCATAGTAATGTTATTTTAAGTTGCTGCTTTACGAGTTATTGAAGGAAATAACACGGTCGTAATCAGTCCCAACTTCCAAACGATTGATAAGGCTGGTGCTGGTAATGGTGGGTGCGATAAGGAAAGCAAGCGTACACTGAATCCGATAAGATGGGCATTAATATCTCGGAGAGATTTCGGATTGGTCCTAAAAGAGGGGGATTCGTAAGCTAGGCATGGCTCGCAAGTGGTCAACTCAAGCCTTCAAACGCTCAGGCATCTCTTCATTTGCGGCCATCAAGGCGCTCCCACAAACTCGAAGCGGAATTCGGCATGTTATCAATAACTGAGTTTTCGATCCTTCGGGAAGACCATTCATTGCGGATGTCCGGAGAATCACTACTTCGGAATAAACTGGACTTTTCTCAGCATAAACGATTTATATTTTCACCCAGAGTATCGTAAGCCATGTGAGTTGTGATTACATGCAGGCGATAAATAAACCAACCAACACCAACTATCGGTATTTATAATTACATGTTACGTAGGCCGCTAGGGGAATATGTTGTCCCTGGTACTTGCAAACGAGCGGCTTTACATTCTGAGTTCATAGCCAGTCAGTTGGCTTTCTGCATCTCCAAAACCTACTTCATTTCAGACATGAATTCTGAAGAGATTATATTGCTTTGATATATGAATTGTTTTCTTCCCAGCTAAGTTTACGATGATACATTTTCGACATCTCGTTTTCACATGGTACGGCCCCCAAAATCAAACACGTGCCGCAAGGCAGATGCGGGCTGTGTGGACTAGGATAGTCATTTCTGATGGTTTGGTTTCGCTGGTCACCCATTTTGGCATTTTAGTGTTTAGAAAATGGTGAGAGAGCAATAATTGGAGTGATTTTATGTGGCGTCAGGCAATCAGTCTGCCAAGTTGGGCAGCCAGGCGTTGGTAGTTCGCCATCAGCGTAAGCGGAAACTGATTCGTCCATGCCAACCGCTCCGTTCGTGGGAAGCAGGTCTAACTCACAGTCAGATCAGCCAGGTGGCTTTATATCAGAAATCTTCAGTAATATGACCAGTCTCATCCAGGATCATATGGCATGCAGTAGATGCATTGACTGGCTTATGTGGAAATGGACTTGGGACGCCCGTGGTAAATGAGGCGTAACGAACCAGGCAGCAGGCTGTGCGTCAATAACGCACTGCGAATTCCGATTTGCAGCCTATTCTGCGACTTATACATTGGTGCGTCCAATATGTCGAGGTGCATTTGAGAACTAATGGCGGTTGTGATTTAATTGGACAATTCAATTTCGGTGCGTCTAGTCACGTCCTTTGTTGCGTGTTCGAGTGCATAGCTGCCTTACGTAGAGTGAGGCGGCCTCACATATGCCATGCTCTAGTTTAGCTGCTTATGATGCAGCCTGACCATCCAGCTGTGGACGTGATAGGCGGCACAAAAGTGGTTTGAGGCTTTTAAGCCGAAGATTTCCACAGACACTCCCGCAGTTTTGAAGGTATAACCCTTTTACAACAATGTGTTTTACAGATTAGCACGAAGAACGACTACTGAAATCTGCGCAAGCATCTCTTCTTCCACTCTAGGTAGTTGTGGGACAAGGAAGACGCCAAACGTCAACTTTCTCACAAACTATACTTAAAGATGATGCAACAATACAATCATCAAAGAAACTTTCCGAACCCAGATACTCGACAAGCCGTGGTCTTGAGGGCTGCGCTCCCACAGCAGCCGCCACCACCTCATATACAGGCAAGGCCAAATGTAACGGCAATCCAGCGATATCCTGTGCCCGTTGCAGGTCCGTGGTCGGCATGGACTCTTGATGACGAAGGGAGGGGGTTTTACTTTAGAAATCGAATAGGCTTCTCAGGTTGGCATCCCCAATTGATTCTCTAGTTTATGGCTTATCGGCTGACGAGGCTTGTTTCCTAGGCGAAATGGAATGGGATTTTTCCCCGCCGCAGTCTTCTCATTGCTATCAAGCCTCTCAAGCAGTTGTACCAGTGCCTCGCGGTTGGCATCGTTCATCTCTTGATACCAGAATACAGCCGGGCTACCATCATTCTTCTCGGCATCCAGGCATTGCAGCCCAGAGCAGGTACAATGTTGATAGTAGAGCAATCATGACCCAGAACGCAGGCTACCCAGATTGTACGAAACCAAGGACATCGGGCCCCAGGATTCCTGCCATTATCGATGTGAACTCACAGAGTATCAAGGTCAAGCTGCCGAACCATAAGTCAGGCGGCACGACTTTGATATGGGATCGCAAGCCCGGGCGTTCCCGCAAGTCGAAGAGCACCCCAAACTCAAGGGTGGTGGAATGGTTACAGAGTGATTTTGGCGGTTCATAAGGTAATGTCTAGATAGCCACATATACATAACATACACATGAGTAATTTAGTGCTGGACGAAATCCCCGACAGTTAATGACATGACAAGAAGCAGCCTATGTCTCTTGCATGAGTCTCAGATAGTTGACGTAAGAGTACGCGCCTATTGTCTGGAGAATGGAATAAGGCGTTATGTAAGTACAATGGAAGACAATTAGCAGCGGATGATATTTATTAATTTGCTTGTAAACCTGATCGTCTTGCTATATCTTTCCTTTCTTATGGATGGCGAGCCCACTCCAGGTCATCTGTCAATGCGATGACGCAACCGCGTGGATGTATGTTGGAACAGCAGGTTGATAAGTGACCAGGTTATTTCAAAAATAACGCAAGGGTTGCGCGCTGTCTTTTAAACAAAGTTTCGACTTTACGCATTAATTAGTGTTGAGTCTTACTGCAATATACCTTTTGAAAAGATGGCCCCTGAGTGCTTGCACACCTATGACTTCAACACCTGGCTTAGCGTGAATAATATGGAAAAACGGCATTTCGAGGAAAGCTTCTACGTTTGGGTTTATTTGGCCGTCATGGGCCCCCTGCAACGGAGTGTTTCGATGCTTTCCAGTATTGGTTTCAATCGGACGCGGTTGGTTGTTACCTGCCATTGTGGAGTCCACTTAATTTATCTCGAGGCTTCTCGGGGGTGCGTAGCAAGGGCATGATGCCAAACTATCTATTCCCATTATCCGATTGCTGTCAATATGAAGCTGGTATTGCCGGAGCTATTTAAGAGCCCCGGGTCTGGTTGCTTTCCAGGCCTTATTAGTTCGGACGGTCCTGTCACACGAACCTTTTGATTTACGGCTTTCCCTCTTTCATTCATTCGAAAATGGTTTGGTTCAACCGAGCAGCCCTCCTATTCAGCAGTGCGCTGCTGGTGGCCGATGTGGCCCCAGTCAGCGGCGTCCAGACCATCATTCCAAAGACAAGCTTTGACTCGCAGTCGACCTTTGACACATACTGGAAACCCTACTATCCTTGGGGAACCGACCACAATGGCTCGGCGCGTATGAACAAGACGAATATTCAGGTCAGCAACGGCGTGCTCACATTGACTGCTAAAAAGGTCACTGGACAGCCGCCAGCGTCACATGGCGGCAAGAAGATCGCAATCAACTACTTCAGCGGTGCAGTCTACGCCAAGCATCCCTTTAACGTCACGAGCGGCGGCGGCTACGACTATAGTGCTGAACTGAAGGCAACGACTACTAGGGGCACATGGCCCGCTTTCTGGCTGACAGCCGTCCATGGCTGGCCTCCCGAGATCGATATGGCTGAGTGGAAGGGTAGCGGAAAGATCAGCTTCAACACATTCAACACGAGCTCCGTGGTTGCCGCGAAGGATGTTGATTACCCAGACCCAGGCAGCTTCCATAAGATCAATGTTCAAACAAGAGATCTGAACGGAAAGGACGTCCAGATCAAATTCTACATGGACGGCAAGCTGGTCGCCACTCAGACCGGTGCCGGTTATACCGGAAAGCCAATGTGGCTGTGAGTTAATGCCTTATCCCCACTCAGCTAAACACATTACTGACCTTACTCAAAGTATCATTAATCTGCAAATGGAAGGTTCTTCCGGCGCTCCCGGTCCTAGTGGAAGTATGAATGATAAGCCTGCCTCAACTCTATTGCCAGCGTTGCTAACGAACGATAGATACTGAATACCAGGTGCGCAACCTCGAGGTCATCAGCCACAACACTGAGTACGACGGATGATCGGGTTGTGGTGATTTCATGTTTATATGTTCATCTCATGTTGTATTTACAATAATCTGGCCACTACGTCCTGTGTACATACACCACCCTATGATTAGTAAATGACCAAAGGGACAATATTATCATTCTGAAAGTCTATGACCTCTTGCCTTCCCTGTTGTTTTCTGTTATTCGCTGTAAGTGATTTGATTGTTAATCTTGTATGCCTATTCACGACATTCTCACGCTTAAACAATGGAACCATGGGTACTTTGTGGTTGTCTAACAAGATTGACGCTGAGCAACGCACTTAGAACGTTTCTGTTGTATTTAAAAAAAAAAAAAAAAAAAAAAAAAAAAAAAAAAAAAAAAAACCTATTTTCTTGAACAATCATAGAATAAGGCACTCTAACAACGGCAGATTCTCTTGCGCAAAAGTCCATGTTAATCAGAAGCAAATGGCTGACGAAATCAGTAAACAAGCAACATTTGTATTGATTCCAGGGACTTTGCCCACAATCCAAAATACTTATCTAGGTAAAGTTTCTTAATTACTATTTTTGATTAATGGAATTTTAATATCCAGTTGATGGAACCTAAAACGTCGGGGCATTGTGCACCTGATGTCTCACTTATGGTGAATGACAAGGTGCATAATAAGGTGCACATTATTATGCTGTACATAAGAGTGGATCCATGTGAGCCATTAAAGTCATGTGACTTGGTGTCTGGATCGCGTCGTGACGATTCCGCTTGATTGCGAAGGCTTAAGCCTCCCCACCCACTTTACACCATTCACAGTCTCATCTCGCGTCACTCACCTTCCCCTGGATGATGATGCGCGACGACAATGACGCGATCAAAGAGTCTGGCAGAGGCTGAGAAAAAGGCCCTTGAAGGAGAAAATGATTCTCAAGACAGCCAGTTCATTCTGGACCAATACAAGACTTTGTATGGGATCGGCGTGGTACGTATGGCATTTTTGCTTTTTCCTGTGGCGTTACTCCAAGTGGAGGCGCTTTCTGCCTGCCCTGGACGTGTTTGGGGCATTGCTGGCAGTGGGATTAATTGCAACATTTAGCACTGCGACGATACAGGCCATGTTGCGACCGACGCTAACTCATTTGGGCTTCAACATAGACAAGCAGCTCGCCCCCGAGGCCACTCTCAACATCGTCAAAGCAGACTCATCGAGGCAGCAAAAGGCGTCGCGATCCGCCCTCAACTGTCCACTCTGATCCTTCCAGCCACGCTGCCAGTCAGCTTATTCCCCAGCCGATACCAAGCACCGCGCCGTCAGCCACAGGCACCGGAAACGTGGTTGGTGATACCCCCACTTTGATAACAGGGATCAGTCACCAGGATGGCACTGACCTAATCGTTTACCCCAGCAGGACTTTGTTCGCGACGGCCTATCGGTCGCGTTACCAGCTGTTGCCGCTACGGATACCACAGGCCAAGATCATCGCGACCCAGATCCCCAGATAACATCTGCATCCTCAGTGCCGATTGATCCCTCTGACGAAACAAATTTTCTCGAGCCGCCGCTGGCACCGAACCTCGATGGCGACGCGATAGACCCTCTGCCCGCCTCCATCCCCGCATCATGCTCCGTCGACGAAATCTCTGGGCCTCTCGAGAAAGTCAATGTCCCGCCTCGACCTTCGCGACCTTTGTCCCGCAAGAAGGTCACAATGGACGTGTCGCAGCAATCGCCTACTCAAGATAATGACGATCGAGACTACGAAAACTACTATGATGGTCCTTCCTTCGTTCAGACGAGTCCCATCTCTCAAGATCCGGCGACCGAGCACAATACCATCCCTGTTGACGATTCGGGCGTTGTTAACTTCGGCAACCTCAGCCACCTGATTCAAGATGACACTCAGGTTGACGAAGAGCCCTCCTCGATTCCGGACGATGCCGCTCCAGCAACTGGCAGAGGCCACTGGCGCAGGTCTAGCTCTCAGCAGCACTCTTCTCTACAACGTCAGGATGGCGAGCCGCTCCTTCCACCCACAGCACCCCCGCCACAAACCCCAGCGCAGCCCCAGAATCCCTTTGCCGGCATGCAGAAACTTGGTGATCCTGCATTGGTAGGGTCTCAGCTGTTTGGGCAGACCCAGTTCTCGTCAGCTGTCAAGCGCTTCAGCCCAACATCCTCAAGACCATCGCCACACGTGTACGCCCATAACTCTATTTCACCCAATATTGTCGAGACGTCCCCGCTTAAGAACCGGTACAACGTCACTTCCCCTCTGGTCTCGTCTAGCCCACGGGCAATGAGGGTCGAACCGACTAGTCGTGATAACAGGGATTGCAGCCCGAGCAATAGCGGACCGCAGGATGATGGTACGGTGCCTGAGTCACCAGAGTTTGCCCCTGTCAAAGCAAGAGCAAGAGCAGAGCCTATGGACAAATACGAAAATATGGTTGATTCACAAAAAAGAAAACTCACCAGTACTGAGAGCGATGGTATGTTATCCGGGGAAGACTCCGACGACATGGCCGTTGCCATGAGGCGAAGGAGACTCGCGGCATCGAAGCAGGAGGCCGCAGCGAAGCAGCTGACAAGCATTGGCGTTGGACGGCGCAATGCGCGTCGGTCGTTCGATGCCCCTTCAGCAACAAGGAAGCCTAAGACTCCACCAAAGCGTTATGATACGCAAAGAATCGAAGACGACTCAGCTGCATCTGACAATGATGTCAACGAATTCACCGTCGCGGATTCTCAGGGCCAGACGGCGGCACAACAGCCCTACACAACACTATCGCCCGATCTTGCTGAGCCAGGTGGCAGGGCGAAACCGGGACTAGTATCTAGCAACGAGGCGGTCCCTGACAGCACTGGCGCTACCCAGAAGTCTGTTCCTTTTACCGTCGTGCCAGACGCTGAGAGTTCGGGCAATAGCTCACGGGCAAAGGACCTAATTCCAGAAACTAGCCCTAATAACACCCAGTCTCGTCCCGCAGCAAGGGCTAGAGCCTCTTCAGACGAGCCGTTGATGTTACCTAGTTCTGAAGCCGTCAAAAATACTACCCCTTCTCCGAGTGCCGCTGATAAGATGAAGGAAATCCGCGTGGAAGAATCTCCCAACCCGGATGTTATCAAATCTGCTCTACCACAACCCTCACGCAGATCCAGCCGCAAACCACGGCCAACCCTCAAGGCTCAGTCGTTGAACAACGCTGCCAGCGCTAATACTTCCTCCATGCCGACCCGAGCCGAGGAAGCAGGCACTACTATCACGAATGAAGTGCCAACTGAAACTCCCACCGCAAGGGGCCCGATCTTGATACAATCGGCGCCAGTCCCTGCGGACTCTTCTGCTCCAGAAAATGCTCCTGTTACGGAGGAGGAACCCCCACTTCCGTCTTCGCCTCCAATACTGCAGCCTCGAGCCAAGAGCAGACAGACTTCGGTAATCGTGGGCCAGGAGGTGGAAGAGAACAAGAACCCATCAACACCATATGTTCCCGGCTCACCTACTGTCGAGCCCCCCGGCTCAACATCAACGCTGAGCGTGCTTACGACCACACCCGTACCATCAGACAAGATGTCGCCAGCGACTCAAGAATCGGTTGAACTTCCACCGCTTTCCCCCGGCAGCTCGACAAGAGGACGTCGGACCACAAAGACTTTGAGAACAGTCACAAATGGGTCACGAGTGGCAAAACCTGGAACAAGAAGACAAGTCCGCAGGAACACACGTCTCGATTCAGCATCCACCGACGAGCTGACTCGATCGCCATCTGTCACCGGATTCGAAAACAGTATGATCCAACCTCCAAGACATACCGCGCGAGGAAGCCGACTCTCAATGTTGTCGCATACTTCCAGAGATAGTACCGGTGCCAAAATTTTCTCTGGCATGGTTTTTGCGATTTCTTTTCAGTCCAAAAAGGAAGGTGAAAAGACTGACCAATACGAACACCGCCTGGGACAGAGTCGCGATATCGAACGAATGATAGTTCAGGCTGGCGGGCACCTTCTAGACAATGGCTTCGATGAGCTATTCGAGCCAACAGCACTGAAGAGCAGGTCAACCAGTCCGGCGTCAGATACTGCAGAGGAGAGCCCATTGACATTGACGCCTTGGGCACAGACCTTGGGCTTCACTGCCTTGATCGCCGACGGTCATTCTCGCAAAGTTAAATATATGCAAGCACTTGCACTGGGGCTGCCTTGCATCTCAGACCGATGGGTAGCTACTTGTGTCGCCAAAGGAGCCGTGGTGGACTGGCTTCCTTATTTGTTATGTGCAGGGCAGTCCACCTTTCTCCGTGATGCGATCCGGTCTCGCTATTTAGCACCCTATCCCGCCACAGAGGCAAGGCTTGTTGATGTTGTCGAGCGTAGACCAAAGATGTTGGAGGGGAGCAAGATTCTGCTTGTGATGAAGAAGTCCCGGGCTGAGGACAAGAAGATGCCGTACGTCTTCCTCGCACATGTTTTGGGTGCTACACTCTCACGGGCCTATAGTCTTGAGGAAGCCAGAGATATGCTGAAGAATCGCGAACTTTTGAGCGAACCCTTTGATTGGGTTTACGTTGATGAGCACACTGGAAACGAAGAGAAACTGTTTATTACCGCTACCTCAGAGCCAGTGCCATCAAAGAAGAGAAAGAGGGTTGCGGCGTTCGTGCAAGATGATGCAGCGCCACCGCCAAAGAAGATCAGAACTCTCAGCAACGAGCTGGTTATACAGAGTCTGATCCTGGGCCGGATGATTGAAGAGGGCGAACTGGAGGCATGAGTTATGTCACATTGCAACTGTATTACTAAATGAGTTTTTAAAAAAGAGCCGACAGGGAGCGGGATTTTCATGGCGTTGGTTGGTGGAGGAAACATTGGAATGATACCATTCGCGCGGTGGGACGGTTTTGTCGTCAAGTTGGTTTGGAGGCATGTGTAACGTACGAATGGATCAAGAAGGGCAAAAGCTCACAGTTTTAAACGCACACAAACTAATCACATGGCACAAATTGTAGACACGGACGATGTTTGAAGCAAGTGACCAGACTTTCCATTTTAACACTCCTAATCTGTTTGCATCACCAGACATTATGCATCTTTGTCTAAGCTTCGAGTTTCAAACCCTCCAGGGCTTACTTGCCCTCTAACATATTCGAGGCAAGTAACCAGACTTTCCATTCCGCTCCGAGTCTGTTTGCATTACTTGCCTTCAGGACAGTTGGTTTTGCCCTCCCATATGAAAAATAAAAAAAGTGACCAGACTTTACATTTCGCTTTCGCGATCCCAGTCTGTTTGCATCACTTTGAGTCAACCATGTTCGAAGGAGCGACCAGACTTTCCATTTGACTCCGAGTCTGTTTGCATCAACTGCCTTTAGAACTTTACTGCGAAATGATCTCCACCCAGCGATCCGTTACTTCCGTCAGCTCAGTCTTCAAGTCGATGTCGTCGTTGTAAATGTTCTCGATTTGGTAGTTCAGTCTGCCGTCCAGGAGGAGCTCGGCAAAGACCTTGAGATCCGTGAATCCCAAGGCGGCGATGCCATAGCCCGCGACCCACATCTTGTCGTCCTTGTGTAGAGAGTCGAGGGCGACGCAGATTTCAGAGAAGAAGTAACCTTCGCGGTCCTCTTCTGCAATCCCCATGGCGAGAGCGCGGGCTTTGTTGTTGTAGTTGTAGTTGGTGCCGCGTGCCACGCAGAGGGCCAGGACTTCTGTGGCGAAGCGCTGGAGTTGTTCGTCTGCTCTGGGGTTGCCGTTTTTCTTGCCGAAGCCGAATGCCTTTGCGAGAGCCGTCTTACGGGCGTCTGCGAGGTGGATTGGGAGCCCAAAGGCGAAACCGGGCAGGGAACGGAGGGAAGACTCGAAGAGCTCTTCCGTCGTTGTTTGGTTGTTGTTGTGGTAGTGGTTGTGTTCCCGGGTTTCTGTTAGAGTTGGGCTTGGGGTGAAACTCGCGAGAGTCCTAGCTTTTCCAGCTTGGAGTCTCGGTTTTTTTTGTTTTTTCTGGTTGGTCGGCTCAGCCTTCGTCTCAATCTCGACCTTGGACTCTATGGAGGGTACAAGGGGTGGCGTGAGGAGACGATAGGGGGCCTGTGGAGTGGGTGCTGCCATCACGCCAAGGGGCATGAAGCCGCAGCTGACCAAGTTGTTCTTGGTCGTGGTTGTTCCGCGCATGAGTTTAGCCGTCATGGTCAGCTTGCTCTTCTTTTGCTTGGAAATCTTCGCAGTCTGAGGAGAAAGCGGAGAGGTTTTTTTGGTGGTGAGTTTCTTGACCCCGGCGGCAATGGGCTTGGGTGTGGTGGTGGTGGTCTGCTTCTGGTTGATAGCAGGGCTGGTCTTCTTGGGAACAATCTCGATGCGAATGTTCTTGGAAGAAACAGCGGTGGGCTTGAGGATAGGCATTTTGACTGATGACTGAGAACTTTGTGGTGTTGGATTGGGTCGATTGAATTGGGTGTGGTTTGACAACGAGTCGATGAATGATTGAGCTGTATGGTTGGATTGGGTCTGGTTTGATAATGATTCGATGAATACTTGAGCTGGTGACGAAAGACAGAAAGCTGTGTACGATGAGAGATGAGAGAAAAAAGACTGGAGAGAAAGGTTCTGCGGGATATGGGGACGTATTTATATCGTCTTCCTTTACAATCTCCGAAACAAGGCTCCTCATCGTGATAGTTCCTGAGTCTTTTGGTTTAAGGGTTGTCAACCGTTGGACCCTTGAAAGCTTATTCTATCGGAGAAACCTCTACCCAACAGATTCAGCACCGCTGTAGGCTCAAGGAGCTTAATTGGACTACCCAGGTAGACCGCAATCCAGGGTTCTCCGGGGCTCTGACCCTCCAGGTACTCCCTTCCAACTGTCTGATAGCATTGCCATCATATGGTGCTTGCTTTGGCTGAGATGATGAAATTGCTTGACTGTAATGCCATTGAGCAACCTGCGAGGGTTGATCCCCATCAAATAAAGTTGTCATTTCGAATGATCACTCGGTGAACACTCAGCGAGGTTCACAGTACATGTAATTATTGTATTATGGCATAACGAAAATCACAATACGATTATGATCTCCTGCCATTCAGAATGTTCCATCAAATCCAACCAATTTTAGTAGTTTTGCTTTCTTTCTAATCACAGATGTCATAGTATCTCGGGCATGGTAAGGCTTGTAATGTGTGGACATATTCTCAGCGTAGAAATGAAGATGGAACTTCATAACTGATAAAGATTGATTGAAAAGGGCGATTGATTTGAATTAAGCGAGGGTGTCATGTATTTTGATAACATCATTATCAAAACCTGTCCAATTTCGTAACTTTACCAGATAGTCAAGTTAAACTAGCATTGCTCTAGGGCGAGTCGTCAAGGCAGTAGATTTCTCATAAGTAGACTGTTTATGGCTTTTAGGCAGACTGACCTTTCAGGTAAAGCGCCTAACAAGCACAGCGAACCATTACATCAACATCATGCCTATCTTTAACATAAGATCATCACACAACTACACAATATGACGAGCAATGTGTAGTGAAATGAATAAATGCATGTTACGACTGTTTAAACAGCCTTCTGGACCCAACCCTTACCAAAAAGGCTACAGGCATGATGAAATAAATTACTGTACCCAGATGATGGATTGTAGCTAAAAGGAAGCCACGTCTATCACCTGGTCCTTGGAATTGTTAGGCAGGTTGCATGCTCTTAATAAGGAGCAAGAAAATGGGCACCAACTACAGTAGCAACGGTTTACCGAGATGCAGTTTATTCTTTCAGAGAAGACGTGACCTTTCTTCGATCGGACGAGGACTTGCAGGACTTCTCTGCTTTCGCCTCAGCAATGAAGAGAGGACAGTCCTTACATGAAATACCTTATAAGCTATTCCCATGCCAACTTGAGGCCCTGTCCCCGGCAGAGAAGATGAAAACTTCGGACACTAAACACTGTCGCAGGAGGAAAATTGCTGAATACGGAATGTCGTGTAGATGAAATCTCAAATCGGAGGATTATCAGATCGTAGCCTGACAAAGCTCACGGGCGGCTCTGAGCACTAAACCCGATCGAAATGCTCAGATTGTTAAGGCACCCGGCGCCACTTCCATCTGATGCAATTGGTTCTCGACCAATCAATTATGACACTTCTTGAGACACGCATATACGAGCTGACATGCAGGCACAATCGACCTGCATTGAAGGAGTCGAAAGTATGAACGGAATGAAAATCCTTTGCCGCTATGCGGAGAAAAGGACGGAGGAGAGTCGCACTTGGTCGAAGGTTGTGCGGTTCTCTGCAGCCATCGGGTGAGTAGTTGTCACCCACTCAGCTGATGGATACTTAGTTTCTTGGCGTTGGTCGCAGATCTTGCGTGTTTATGATAGCATAGTAAGCCTGCATGTCAACCTAGACGCCGAGATTTGAATGGCGGAATATAAAAGGATTGGTTGTTCGGTGGATTGGTTTCACTTCAGCCAGGCTTACTGGGACTTGATTCAGCGTTGACCCAAAGCTTCTCTGAACGTCAAAATGCACATTGGTGTCGCTTTCATTCTGCAAGCCTCCCTGGTCCTCTCGGCGCCAAACCTTGAGGACCTCAAAGCCTGCCTTCGGACCGCCTCCGTCCCCATCGCCTCTTCACTTCCAACCGCTTACAACCTCCGTCTTCCTTACAAACCCCTCGTCGTCGCCATCCCTACCACAGTCTCACAAATCTCTTCTGCAGTAACCTGCGGCGCCAAAAATGGCGTCAGTGTGAGTGCCAAGAGTGGTGGTCACAGTTACACTGCCTCTAGTTTCGGTAGTGAAGATGGCCAATTGGTGATCAACCTAGACCGAATGTATGCGGTCACTGTCGCAAGTGATGGAACTGCCAAAGTTCAAGCTGGTGCGCGTTTAGGGCATGTTGCGACGCAATTATATGCTCAAGGCAAAAGGGCTATTTCTCATGGCACTTGTCCAGCGTAAGTACCTTCTTGTTTGCATTCATCATGATCAAGCGATACATGGCTAAATCTGCCGCAGTGTGGGTGTCGGTGGCCACGCTCTGCATGGAGGACATGGCATGGTATCTCGAAAATACGGCCTTGCCACGGACTGGATCAGAGGCGCAACTGTTGTGCTTGCAAATGGTACCATCACGCGCTGCTCAGCAACTGAGCGACCCAACCTTTTCTGGTCGATTCGCGGAGCAGGTTCATCGATGGTAATCGTAGCCGAATTCGAGTTCAACACGTTTGCCGCCCCTGAGAAAATGACCTATTTCGACATTGACCTAACCTGGGATGCCAAAAAAGCGCCTCAGGTTCTGTTGGATGCCCAAGAATTCGCAAAGAGCATGCCAGCGGAGTTGACCATGGCAGTCACATTCAACAATGACGGGTATTATCTGAACGGAGCTTACGTCGGTGAAGACGCAGCATTTCGAACGGCTATCCAACCTCTTCTTACCAAATTAGGCGTGAAGGTTTCAAGCTCGAAGACGGTTGGGTGGATTGACTTCATCAAGCACTACGCGGGTGTTGCGGAGATTGACATTACTACTCCGACTTACAACGAGGTAATCAGATCAATAGCAGCTCCAAGAAAGACAGCACAACTAACGGACCTAGCACGAAAACTTTTACGCCTCAAGCATCGCCACGCCTGCCCTCACCAAAGCCCACTTTGAATCACTCGTCGCAGCAGTGGCCAAGACTGGATTCAGTACGACACGGTCCTGGTTCATGCACATGAACTTACATGGAGGAAGTGACTCGGCCATCACACGCCCGAAGCCTGCCGACACTGCCTACGTCCACAGGGACAAGATGCTTCTATTCCAGCTCAAGGACAGCGTCTCGCAAAGCCAGCAGTATCCCAAAGATGGGTTTTCGTTGCTTCAGGGCTTTAGGCAAAGCATCAGCAAAAGTCTGGGTAGCAACGCGTGGGGAATGTATGTGAATTATCCCGATTCTGAGATCAGTGGCACTGATGCACCAAACCTATACTGGGGAAGTAATTTGAATAGGTTGGAGTGGGTCAAAGAAGACTATGATCCAAACAATTTGTTTAGGAACACCCAGTCTATTAAACCTGCAGAGTAGTAAGGTAGACTTCTAAAAAGAAATATGCAGTCATCAATAGATGTACTGTAAACAGCCCTTTTGAGTACTTGATGTAATACAAAACCATCAGAACAAGTAGGCAATGGGTTTGAATACTGCGTAGGGAAATTCGCTCTACCTGGTCAACATGTTGTGAAGTGTTTTTCGGCTACAAAAAGGCATTGTTCGTTATTGAATCCACTAGTCTTGATTGTCAACGGGTTCCCTTAACATCGCATGTGTTTTGGGTCTGTCAGTAATGCCACAATAAACACATTTAATTACAGCTCAGGTAAACTGTTCCAGGTTATTGCTTAGGATATTGCACATCTCAATGTTGTTCTAGCACATGAACGATCCAATCCATAGCCTCCTTACTCTCTTTCAACCCATACTTGAACGCTAGAGGAAAGCAATGCATTTGACCATTCCATGACAGCCACTCTCCAGTAACACCGTTCTCTTTGCACTTGTCCCTGAATACAACGGCTTCCGGCTCCAATACATCATATGAACCCGTCAGCCCGTGGACGCTCACACCGTGTTGCACGAGGTAACTGAGGTCTGCTTGGATAGGAGAAACGCGGGGATCTTCAAAGCTCCACTCAACTCCTTGTGCTTTCGACTCGGCTCCATCGCTAGTTGGCATGTCAACAGAGCCGGGACACCAGGTTTTTGCAGTATCGTTGATACATTCACTTGTATGAAGAGGATCGAACTTATCCACCTGCTTGATCGTTTCAAGTTCATGGCGGAGATCTGTAGTGGGACTGATAACGAGAAGAGCCACAGGTGGTTTCGTTGTCTCATGCTCCTGATGTTTCAATGACCAAAGAACCACACAAAGCGCAATGTTCCCCCCGGAACTATCTCCAGCGACGATGACGTTCTCTCCTTCTTCCGTTGATTCCGCCAAAATCTTCTTGTATGTATTTTCAATACGTGGGAATGCTACTGAGACGGGATTTTTCGGTGCCAGGGGACAAGACACAATGGTGACTCTTGTGCCGTCTAAACGGCGGACTAGTTCGGTACAGAAAGCCCAGTGCTGAGTTGCTGGCAGCATTTGCCAACTACCACCGGCGAAATAGACGATCCTTCGGCGACGCTGCCCATTCGAAAGACATTGCGTCTCGAGTGGCTTCTTTAATGCTAGGTCGTAAATCCAGACCCCGTCGATTTCCACTTCGGTGACGGTGCACAACTTTTGCGTTTTCTTTGGTGCCTTTAATCGCGCAACCTCGGGGGCCACTTTTTTAGGTCTTGTCAGCGACGGCTTGAAAGGCCTCAAAGCAATGTGAAGTAGCTTTGTCATTAAATGGCGCTCATGTCGTTCGTGGATTCTGAGTCCGCGTGCAACTGTCGCATTTTCTGGGCTGCCATGGCTAACGGACGTTTGATCCGGTGGCGATATCTCCATTTGGCGTCTGGAAATGGGGGTGGAGGGGCAGGGAATAGAATGCAGTCAAGTTACGGGGTAATTCGAACGGAATCTAAACGATATTCGGTTCTGACTACCTCACCCACTGCTCTGATAGTAAGAAAAACATGATTACTTTGATGCCTCAAAATATCATAGTGGGATGTAGTGGGATAGGTTCGTTTTGGTGAAGTTATGCTTGGCCATAGTCAACGACGTCATTAGCTCTCGGCGCTTAGACCTAATCATGGAGACCTTTGCCAACGCCTGATGTATTGATGATGATTCTCGTCATCTCGGCGTTTTGAAATTTTATGTTGCAATGGGAGTTTGCTCGTTATCCAGCAAACAGACTACATTCTTCATCTGCGGCGTCAAATTGTCGAGTGGTTTCTAAATGGATTAGACTTATTCCCTTGGTGTTGTGATCTGGGGAGGGAGCTGCTAATGGGATTAGGAATGGAGAAGATCGACATTTTCCTTCCTGGCTTAAGCCACACTGCACGCTCAAACTCCCAGCAGGAACTTCGACAGGTGTGGGTTATCACTTTTAGAGTAACTGAGTTGGCCCACATGCTTAGGTAGGATCGAGACGAACAGGTTGACTCTTTACTTCAAGTCGCAGACCAATCAAGTCTAACGGAGACCCTTTCACCAGTCCTGTATAGTATTTTCGGCTGCATCCGAAGTCTATGTCATTAAGATCTTGTCTCAAATTCATCTACCTTTGAATTGATGTGTTGTTAATTGGGAGAAATATGAAGAGCTATTTGTATCCTGGCAAACAATTCTGCATGCCTCACAAAGAGGAGATTCGCCTATCAGGAAAAGACTTGAGTTGTTTTCTGTCTCCGACAGGAGCCCAGACTCTGTAGGCAAAAAGGGGGTGATGTGCATAAATCAGACTTGTTGGGATAATTTTCTCTAGGGCCGGGATCGGGCCGGGCGGCCCCGCAACCGTGTGGAATTGAAGCGGCAGTTGAGCGAGGATTCCGGAGGGTTAAACATGAGGCGACGGTGCTGTCTTCATTTTCCAAGTATAAATATAGTTGCGCAATCTCCATTACGGGTGATTAGTACTAGTATTACTGGGCCGGCTTGTAATTAGCTTGCGTTTTCGAAATTGGCACGCATAAACTTGGCTCTGCAACCCTGGAAGTTGCTACAACAGCCAAGGACTATTTAGACATGCTTGGAAACGCGATATCCCTTATTGTGGGAGATTCACAGATTGAAGATCGCCAATACTTTACGTCACATTTGGATGAGCGTCTATTTTGCTGTTGGAAGTTGTGGGCGGCATATAAAACTTCAATTAATGCTAGCACACAGAAAAATAAGACAAAAAAAGGCTGCGGCATCGCATCCTTGAAGGTGCTTCGCCAACGACCAGACAATCCCTGTTCCAAAAAAGTCATCTGGCCACGATGGCAGGTGGATGCACATTATTTTGTCTAAAAACTAAGTTTTCTGATGCGTTGGTCGTAGTGAATCCCCTACTTCAACCCGGCTTTCGCAGTTATGACGAAAAATATCGTAACAGTGGGATAATTCCCACGTTGCGCCACAGGCCATCACCATTGGTCCCATGCTGGTAATCCTTCATCCCTGACCATTCAACTGAATCCCCACCAACTCATCTGCCACACAACCCATGAATTATTATGCACATCGTCCAAGAAATGTCACCGTCCAATCTTTTCGCCGCCTTCCTTCACGCTTGCTCCTGCCCTATGAGTTGTCCTGTTCAATAACCCTGCTCGCCACAACCTGCCACCCTTTCGGTTAATACTTCCCTGCGGGATTTCGCAATGCTGGCTGGGCGGCGTGTTCGCCACGGGCGAATACAAAATACGTCAATTTCGCGCGTGACTGATTCCCTTAACTGTTCGCGTCGCGTTTTTCTTCTTCTCGACTGTATTATTATTGACTTTCAAAAAGAGTTGAGAATGATTGCTAGAGCGTATCTTTCCGTGGCCGTTGCGGCTTTGGCTGCCGTGAGCGATGCTGCACCTCATGACATTAGGAGTTTCAACTACAAGTCGCTTAGCTTGAGAGAAGTGGGAGCTCGAAACACCGAGGTATGATGGAACTCGAAATCAACCTTTTGCCGTTTGCTCACAATCTACTTTTTCTATTTTCAGGATTGGCGCATGTGGCTGGAAAAAGATGGTGATCCCATCTCATTTTGGAACGATGTCCCCACCTGGCCCGACGAGAACGACAAGCAGATTGTGAATTTGGTTGTCGAAGTCCCTCGCTGGCAAGATGCGAAAACTGAGCTGGCCAGAGACGAGCCGTTGAGTAGGCTCACCCAGAAAATGGTATATCTGTGATATCGGGCTAACGCATTTGATTCTAAAGACCCCATGCATCACGACTCTCACAATGGCGCTCCTCGATTTGTCGAGAGCGTCTGGCCTCACAAGTCATATCCGTTTCCATACGGTTCTATCCCTCAAACATGGGAGAGCCCCAACTACAAGCACAACTTCACTGGTCTTGTGGGAGATAATGACCCTGTTGATCTCTTCGACATTGGACAAGAGTAATGCTCCGATCGCTGGTGAAGTTGTCAATTTACTAACTCACTAATAGTCCTGGTTACGTTGGTCAGGTGAAACAAGTCAAGATTCTTGGTGGTCTGGCTTTGGCTGATGTAGGCTGCTGCACCATCAAACACGATCTAGTTCTAGAGTTTATGACTAATGACCCGTAGGGAAACGAAACGGACTGGAAGGTTGTGGGCATCGATATTAAGGACCCCCTTGTCTCTCTTGTCAATTGTGAGCGACACTGAACCATTCGGTAAAGAGAGTTGAGCTGACAATATCATAGCATGGGAAGATGTCGAGAAATACCGCCCAGGAACTCTTGAGACTTTCAAAGACTGGTGGATAGTAAGCTTGCTCCGCTAATCTGCACTGTTCCATAGTCTGACTTTGCCCGCAGCACTACAAGGTCGCCCGAGGCGATGTGCCGATAGATATTGTCGGCGACACATATCAGAACGTCACTTTCATGAAGAGCGTGTTGGAAGATAGTCATCAAATGTGGCAAGAACTGATTAAAGGCAAGGTTGACTCCAACGAGATCAACTACAACCAAACTTCACACCCTGATATCTCGAAAAGCTTTATCAAGAAAAAGAAAACGACCAAGGCATTCAAACTGCCTCGAAAGAGTCGGATTGAGCCGGCTGCTGAAAAGCCCGAGGCATACAAAGGCTGGTGGTATCTTGACAGCAGCAAGTCTTTGGTCCACGTTTCAAGCCTTCAAGATTCTGTCTTCAACCGACAACCTGCCTGAATTTTGGGATTTGCAAGACGCATATCATTTAGCGCCTGAAGGAGTTTCAATGCTTTGTGGCATTACTTGAGGAAATTTGATACCCTTTATGTCCTTCATTTCCCTGCGTCCTCAGTACATTAGTCAGTCATTTAGCAAAGCATGGTCGGTTTAGAACTTTGTATGATGTCATGATAACAACGAATATACATGAAATTCTTCATTGCTATACCAATATTTCAGTTATTATAGCACATAAATAAGGCCTTGGAAGGACATTCACATCAGTTTCTCGTACGGGAAAATGCTAGCGAGCCGCCATTGTCTCCGTTGCCGAGTTCACCTCGCGGCCATTGTCTCCGTTGCCGAGTTCACCTCGCGGCTTTGGGGCGACATGCCGGCCTTGGCCCCACAAATCCACAGCCCTACCCGCAAGCTTAATTCTGACTTTTTTCCGATGGTAGCTGAAACATTCCATGTGTGCCAACCTGTCAACGTCGGCTTCCATTCGCTACCACCCTGCCACTATAGTAAGCAGCCTTCTATGTTTGCTCACTTGGCGTGTATCATCGCTTCTGGTTCGACTGCGGCGGGCGACAGGCGTGCCCGTCCTTACAATCTGGCTTGCTAACGGTGCGCGTAAGGCCAAACCCTTGCTCCTCTTTGGTCCCAGAACGTCGACGTACCGTTGAGGGAGCTGATTACACATCTTGCCAAGCCTCAAAAGTGCTCAGAGGACCAGGTGATAAGAGTATTCGTGATGGCCGTATCAGCCGTCGATCTGGATGATTTCCAGATGCGCATAGACGATGGTCAAACCCAGCTTAACACACATCCCTTGCCACCTTTGGCCGAAGAAGTCACAGTTAATACCGGCGCTTCATCACCTAACACATCTAAAGGGCATCTATCTTCACCAGATTTAACATCAAGGGATTCACTCGGACAGACCAGCAGACAAGATCGTCACAATGACTGCAAAGTCCGATGGTTCACTCATGAGAAGACCAAACATACCAGGAGTTCCATGACACCGACTAAAGCATCACCGAACGGTATAGAGAAGAGGAAGTCTAGCGGGAAAAGGAAAACGAAAGCCACCGATGCCAGACTTTCCTCAGAACTCGACCGCCTTCTCGTCGGTGACGGCCCGTCCGCCTCGCCACAACAGGACCGCTCCCTACACCGCATCCAACATCCCCTCCGTGCCGTACTCCACAGCCTTCCCGGGTTTATGTTTGATGAAGAGCTTGATAACATCAAATTCCGCAAGCATCAGCGTGTGCTGGTTGGCGTGGAGGGTCTGATGATGGATGGAGGAAAAGACGCCGCGAAGGAATGGCTGGAGAAATTCCTCCTGTTGATCTTTGAGACAAAGGCCGAGGTGCTTAAGCGTTACCCAATGTGCAGAGAGCTGGACGATGTCCCTTTGGGATTTATTACTTTGGCGAAGGATGTTGAGACGATTATCAACAACCTGCCTTACGACCCCGCACTCAAGATTCGGCGAACCATGGAGCGGCGCCTTTGCCAGAGCTACGATATGCGCAGGCTTGTTGAATGGACTATTAGAGCGCGCTGGCGCTTCCTGCAATCTAAGCCCAAAATCGTGCCTGGATTTGGAGCTTTTGGGCAGAAGAGCAGTTGCGAGGGGACAGAGTTAGAGAAACGTCTTTGGGCAGCAGTCGATGCTAGAGGGAACAACACGGCTAAAACGCATAATGATTAAGAGGTCAGACGACGCTATGAACCGATGGATGCACATTGAGACCAAGACGTTGGTTGCGGTACATGATATTAAGATTTGCTAGGCGATTGGAGTACGAAGGATAAAAATAGAAATCAGCTTGCGTTCCTCCTTTACCCTTCTACTTCTGAACAGAATCGTGACTATGGGTTCGCGACTTCTCGACGTCCCCGAGGTTGCCTGAAACCTTCTTGGCCACGCATCTGCCAGGGTGCCACACCGCGAACAGCATCACCGCCAACACCACCGGCGCGAACTCCAGGACACCAAAGAAGACCTCGTTCGTGTAAAGGTGACCGCCTAGACCCTCGGCAGTCTCTGCAAGCCGGAAACAAGTACGCAGGTAGACAAGCAGAGTGGCCGCCGAAAAGGCAGCAACAAATGTCGTCAGTCTGTGCTCCTTGATAACGTTCCTAGCCCTAAAGATGAATACCGCCGTCGTGATAACGAAACACCCAATAGCAAAGACCTGATACGCCAAACCTCCCAACAGGATATTATTCGCCGTCGTCGGATCCTCGCGCTTCGACTGCTTCACGCCAATCAATGCGGCACCCGAGACCTGGGTAATAGTTGCGATGACATCGGAGGTAATGAAGAACCATAAGACAAACTTAGGGGGCAACGGTGAGAACTGGCGGCCGAGGCGGTGGATGAGAGCGGAAAGAATCGTGTAGATGCCTGCGGCAAGAAAGACGGGGGCCGTGACGATGAAAAAGTAGTTGAGGATGAAGTAGATGAGATTATAAGGATTCTTTTTCGCAGACAGCGAACGCGCAACATAACCGACAATTTCGAAGAGGAGGCCGACGGGGAAGGTGACGAAGTACCAGCTGCGGTAGCGAGTGACCTGCCATGTATGGATGACAAGCAGGATGAAAAAGAGTGCGGCGGCCAGGGCAGCGAGGGCGATGGACGGAGTGTAGCCGTAGATGATGACTGGCGTGTCCCATCTACCTGTTGGTGGGGGAAAGTTCGGGTCGGTATGACCGAAACTGCCTGTTGAACTGTTAGCAAACATAATAAACCTTGGTGTAAAAAGTCCTGCCTACCTCTTTGTGAGCTCATCTTCACTGATTATGGTTCCCGCCTAAAAGCGCTTGTTCTTTTTTGGTGATGGCAACAAAAGGTGAGACCAAGTGGTCTTGAACATGTGGTCAAGGCTTTGATATATAGACGATGTCGTAAGCTGCTAAATTAGTAGGGAGGGAATGTGTTTAGTTGCTCGGTTAGAGACCAGGGTCTGCCACATGCTTGATGAGACAATGATGAACGATCTTCCCAGGGCGGGTACTAAAACGCAGATCGAAAATAGAGTGACAGCCCAACCCAACCCTGTGGCTGTTCATCCCTTAACTGCATTAGTGGACACCACACGTTTCCCATCAGGTACGTCTACTCAGGGAGGGTCCATTCACTGATGAAGCTGCAACTTAATACGGACCACGACCTTCAGGCCTCCTCTCGCGAGTCCTAGCCTGCAATCCACAGGGGGGATATCAAGCATTGCAGAAGCATCATACCTAATTCCCTCAAGAAGCTGAGATTTTGAGGTTACTACATCCATCCGACGGCTGAAGTCTATGATTCATCATCCAGGTGCCTTGGTAACGACTTCAAGCCACCGAACTTGTTTAGACATGCCTGCAGAGCAGCGCCATCCCCCTTTGGGCCAAACGGGCTTCGATGGTGCCACAACTCCCCCAGAGATTTGTATGATCGTAAGAAAGGAGGTCAAGAACACCTTTCGGCCGAGACCGGACTACAGAATAAGGACTTCCTATTCGCTGAAAATACAACCTGCTTTCCAAATTGTCGCGATATCAATGTGCAAGACTAACGACAAGAGGCTTCTTGACAGACATCGCGAGTCTCATGGCAACAATAATAAGAACAATGAAGTTTTGAAATCTCTGGCTGGGTCTACTGGGTACTCTCCTTGCTGGTCGGCCGAGTTCCTTACCGTTTGCGTATGCTTCTCCGGCATTGAGGCTCGCACCTCGGCATTGCCAAGAAGTCCGAGGCCCGGGTTTTTGTGGAGCGGTCATCCGAATTGCCTACGGAACTGTCGATGTCAGGCAGAGTCTCGATTTACCTGTAATTTCACCAAGGCTCCCCTAGCTTCGTCATCGAACATGTATTTTAGAAATTTGATGTGTTTTTTGCCTCGTGAAAGTTGAGTTCTTGCGGTCTTTGAACAATAGGTTCGAGACCCAGTTAAGAAGCCCGGGGTCGTTATTGGGACAAGACGTGGGTAAATGGCATCGACTGAACCCCATTAGGTTGAACAGATTCAGAACTTAAAGGCTGAAAATTCTTCTTTTGAAGATGCCTATTCGATCCTATGGGCAAGTTCGAATGATTAGACCCAGTCAAAGTGGCATGGCAGTGGTTCTCCTAAATTCGAGTCACTGGAGATGGTACCACAGTCAGGTATCATCAGTCAGCTCACATACTAAAATCTCATCACCTCCTTAAAATTTTAGGCCTTCTCAGCCTTTGTGTTGCATTTTGGGTGGCCTACTACTTGCTGCAAGAAATCTTGTAGAAAACAATGGGGCCTTCACGGCCGAATCTCTGCTTATGTGGGTGGGCTACTGACGGCATATCTCTCACATTTAATATACTTCATAGGTAGAAACAGTGTCAATACGTCTGAACTACTGCTGCAGAAGGTCTTCCCGATTCAATTTCTCCTTAGGGGCGGGGGTCGATAATGTAGTATGCTTAGCCAAACCAGGCAATGGTCATCAAGCCTAGCGTAGGTTTCTAAATTCAGTGAAGCATGATTTCCATTTTTCCTTCATAGTGTGAATGTGGCCCTGAAGCCTCTTTTTCATAGGCGTTGTTGTAATTGTCCGCGTGTGATTATCAATTGATAGAGTAGGCTGTAGGACAGTCTTGCCAACTGGCAGCCTTCTTATGGCCATGCGGCCATTTTTGCTGGGCGGTATAGGAATACTCAGGCCTTAAAATGAGGCACATAAAAGTGAAGTTGTGTCTTTTATTACACTTTTCTTCGACCTCTAATTTATCATGGCCACCAATGTAAGCGTGAGTGGATTCATAATTCGCGGTCTCGTTGGCTTTGACTGTCAACATCTGACTATTTCATATGTGGTCGTCTCCGAGACAGCTTCCTTCGTATCAAGGAGAAAGCAAATCTGCTTGCTTGTGTGTTATATGTCATGACAACATTCGCCACATCGTCCAACATATCCTGCCTACCTAAATGAACGCCGAGTATGCTAACCTCGATGCTAAACTTTGGCTTGTTTACAGTTCTATCAACGTATTCATGGGCATTTTGGTCTACTTCTACATCCCTGAGTTGAAGGATATGACAATGGGAGAAAGGCGCCACGCTTTTCGTGGTCTGCCAACCAAGAAATTTGCGGACCTTCAAACGTGTAACGCGATTAAACTCTGGGAGAAAAGTCGCACAATAAGATTCGGGCAATGGCCTATAAAGCTAGCTTTTTTCTGTTGTTAAACCAATGTGACATTATCGTATCAAAGGCTTTGTAACACTATTTGTAGTACAGGAGTGATTCCACGAAGACAAGGTACACATCTTCTATTCCAACAGAATATACCATGCCAGCTCAAAGTACAATCAAGCTTTTCGCTTGTAAACCCAAAAACCTTTTGACGAGACAGCTAAAACAGTGTGCTGAAACGCAAAGAGTATTGATGGCGGGCAACTCCGAGTTTTCGAACCACCTGATTCGAATTGTTACATTATATAGCTACGAAATAATAATAGTATGAACGGTCGACGCCCATCACCTTTCGCCCCGTAGAGCTTTCTGCGTTATACTACATCCCTTGAAACAAGCCATAAAGTATGATTACAGTGGGGGCAAAGTTAAACTCGCTGGTCTCAATGAGCATGTTGAATATAATGCTCCGCCCAATTCAAGTGGCAACGATTGCTGCTTACCAAAGGACCAATCCTCCTTTATGAGGATTGAAGACGAAGAGACGGCGCTCGAGTAAATCCCATGATAGAAAAAAGGGATGGGCGAAGGTTTCTGGCAAACTCACAGACTTTGCAAGTCTTTGCATGGTCAGACGAACACACCTGTCTGCCAAATGACTTGGATTGTGTTTTAAAGGGATCAGCTTGGTAACCCTGAGATGATAAGTATCCTGACTTGCCAGAGTTGTGCACAACAGTAGTTTCATCGGGATTTAACGATGTCCGAAAAGCCCCTGGGACACAAAACAACGTAAGGATGGATTGCAGCGACATTGAAATGCATCGAGTTACACGGCTTGAAAAGTACAAATGGATCGTACGTCTCTTGGCAAAAGTGATTTTTCTCGATGTACAAGTCTCTCCTCGCACATTCTCAGTTCCTATTTTCGATCTAAGAGACCGTTTCTCCTTTTGCTTTTCCCTAAGACGCCTTATTCAGGAACCCCTGTCAAAACTCGTCAAAATGCAGCTCGCATCAATCGTTTGTGCTTTCATCCTGATGACACAGGGCATTAACGCGGCCTGCGGCCCGACAATCACCTACTGCCAGGGCGCCTGCATTTGCAAACCCGCTGGCATTCAGGCATCCTTAGATGATCAATGCAAGCAGCAGGGTAAAAAGTCAAATGGGCCTCATGAGGCAAAGAGTGGTGATGTATGCGACCCGTGATTCTTGCGCCGTAGTGAATATTAGACTAACATAGAGACCCTAGAACACGATCTGCACCCACCAGTGCTGCTAAGGACAAACTGTATAAACAAGTGCTATGGATGGGTAGCATATTGTAGAATACATAACATGCTCGGGCATCATCTGGATGATTGCTTAGGACTAACTGTACAATAAGTCATCGCGGCACAGCTTGCATCTGATACACCGTCTTATTAGCCGGCTATAGCTTTGCCTAATACAGAGACACTTGGGCTTACACAAAACAAAGACGAGCTTGCTATCGCAGCCATAGCGAGTCTTTCATATTACTGTTTTCATTCAAACTATCTTTTGTTTCTTCAACAGACTCCCTACTCATTGCCATTTACAATCTTATGTGTATGCCTGTTTTCTCCCGATCAAAAAGTGCTTTGAATCCCACAATGGCGAAAAGAACTTCGTGCTCCAATGACTAATAGACCTTGCGATTTAATCGCCATCTTTGTCGCCTTTTTCAACCCTTTTTACAGGTCCACTTAGTCCGGATCTCGACATTCGCTGCTCCAGATGATGACAACCTCGGATGCCAGACCTTCTGTAGGTCACTAGGTGGGGATTCTCCCTGAAACTTACACACTTGGCCTAGAACATCGCTGCCGCCGGAAGGGTTTCCTCCAGCGTTTTTGCATGTTTGCTGCGCCCATTTCACGAAGCTGGCATCATAGCGACTTTCAAAACGTTGCTGAGGTTCGGCTATGCAGCTACCGGCAATGACGCTGCTAGGTCCGAAGAGTAGTATCCCGAGAATCAAGGTATTCTGCACTGGGAGCAAGTCAGATAGTGTCACAGTCATCAAAATCATACATACTATTAAGAATATTTGGTCACGTATAGCCAGCAGACCTATGATATGTACAAAAGAGTCACGCTGGTGGCTTGTAGATCAAAGCCTACATGTTGGGGAAGGAAGAGACCTAGGCCTTTTATCTTCAATCACGAGCAACTGAACTAGGTGTATTACATGGGGTCAAATGCTTAACCTCTAGCACTACAGAGGTAACTTTCCGACTTGGCCCCCTTCAACTGCCACTCCAACCAATAAGCTGTAATTCGTCCGAAAGGGGCAATTGTTTGCCAAACCTACTGTGCAATCGATTACGTGCTTCTCCTATTCTGGTTTAGCTAGGCTGAAATACGAGTTGTACGATTCGCTGAGATTTTCGGTATCGCACTTGACTCCGAGACCTCCGAGGCTATTGAGGTAAGCTTATGGCCTTGATATTGGGTTCTAACGGATACTTTCTTTTGATCTAATAGCCATCAATTAGAAATGGCAACGAGCAGCATACGTGACAGAGCAACAGGGGTGGGTGATGTCGTGTTACGGAAGCTTCGGAACTTGGAAGAAAGTATCAGAGCCTTAAACAAGAGGTGGAGATGCAAATAAAGAGGTTATCGAAATTGACAGTGTAGAATCTGCATTGAAATCGGTGGTGTCGAACTTGAAAGTAAGGGAGCAGGGACAAAAGATGGGATGTGTCTTTCCTTTCCATACCTCTCCCGAGGATTTCGCTTGTACTTCACCGAACCTGTGTCCTGCAACTGATGTCAGTTCAGCCAGTGCACATTCACAACTACATGTATGTGGACTGGAACCAAGGTCTTCGGCCTGACGACATAGATGTGCTTGTAATTTTTGACGCTCTCTTTGGGATTGATTTGCATAGTCGGAATGACCGAACGCGTCCACATACGGCACGGTAGTCTTGTTGGCAGTTCTTCTGCTTCCTTCTAGCTGCGTGGTCCGAACACCTCCAGCATCTGAATAGACGAGCAGTTTAGAATGAAGTTGAGACTTGAACGAAGCCATGCCTCCTCATGTATTCGATCTCGAAAAATATTACCGACTGGTCCAGGCCCGCTTTGAACTCTTTATCCTATTCATCCCATTCAATAGCCAGTTCTCCTCCATACTTCGAACAGTACATGTATGTTACGTTAAGGGCCCGGTTATGATCCTTGCTGCTACGATCTAGTTTGACGTATCAATGAAGATTACTGACAACTTTGACATGCCTTGTAGAATAGAGAGCAGGTACAAGTTGAAAATCAGCACACAATTTGATAAGACCAGCGAATATAGAAGTTTTGATAGTTTTGCCCCGGTTTTTTTTGGCGAAAATGAGTTACCAACAGCACTTGGTGATGTATGAAGTCATCTTCCACGTACCAGAGGGACTAATAGGCGGCTAAACAACATGGCAGTGCTAACAACTCATTATACAAGCTAGCAAGAGGAGATATCCCTAGTGTATGGCAATTGTAATCTGTTATCAATGCCACGTAACTGCCTCTACTTCTGTCCATACGCGCCAGGTGGATCTTTACGCTGCCCTCGCTCCTATGCGAAATTCCGTGCAGTAGCCAAGGTATAAGACCAAGAAGTTTTAGCTCTAGGGTTATGTAATTCCGTCTAGGGCACTTCTGACATCTGTGTTGTTGGAGGTCATAGCACGGGCCCTAGTAGTTACTAGTAGGGTAGGCCTGTGCTACATGGTTGGTATGGGCGCCTGTCAGTCGGGAGGGTAATCGCTAAAGCATAGTGACATACGGGAGAACGATGTGACGTGTCTGCCAAGCACATTTTTGGTCTAGCGGGGGTCATCTGGCAGCAGCGCTCTACATGGAGCTAAACCACCGGTTCATCCTTCGTTCTAAGCCAACACACCAACACGTCACATGCAGCAGGCCACATACTTCTTCAATATGATCATCTGTCTCAGGCCGGCCCGAAGAAAGAAAAAAAAAATCAGCTAAATCATGCGAACTACAGGAGTGAGTCTGTGTCTCACTTTGAGGGATTCCTCCATGTTTGTGGAACTGTCAGTTCCACGGCGAACGATATAGGAAGAGCGGTGTGCTCTCGGTGTCCCCCCATATCTAGCGGCCCGTCCCGTCCCCTGTGGTTCAACCCTTGAACTCTCTCCATTATACCCGACAACGTCTTTGTGGACAACCAAGTGCAAAATGCATCTCGCCATCATTTACATTTTTCTATTAGTTGGAGTTCTTTGCCAGCATGACCAACATTTATATGATTTGCCCCCAATGTCCTACGTGGGCTGCGTCATTCCGACAACCCTGTCTGACTTAGAAGGGGCCCTGGAGAGCAAGTTCAACGGACCCGAGGGGTGCCAGAAAGCATGTCTCTCGAGAAACAGAGAATACGCATTGCTCAACAACAGGGATTGTTTCTGTTCGAGAAGAAACGTCGAAGTTCTTTTTCGTGGCCGTAACGAGGCCGCCTGCGACTTCGTATGCGCCGAACCACCTCCATCCGGCCTCCCCCATGCAAGATGTGGTGGGTATGTCGGCACTGTTCGGTATTTCAGCGCTTACCGATGGCAAGTCGTACAAAACACACCGTAGGGCTGCCGCTGAAAACAGGTGTCTTTTGGTTTTGAACTAACGTGCTTTGATTTCCAGGCGCCCACATTCATCTTCAAGACAACTTCACGCCCAGGTCACTGTTCTCGGCCTTGCCGTAGCTTTCTGTTTAACCGCCCAGCTTTTCTTCTAGTGTTGTTGTAACGTCATATCTGGGAGGATTCTCCAGGCTTTGATCCTGTTCCGACTTGTTTTTATAACCATTGTCAATCATCACCAGCGACTGCCAAGAAGAACACAGCCCCGATTCACCTGAACAGTATGCCTGGCCATTTCATTCTCTTATTCATGAACGCCACGTCGCGTACTACCATTATACCCATACACTCAACGAAATTTCAAGGTCTGTAGTGCCAGAATGTATCTGGAGTTTTAGTTATCGCTTAGATTGTTCAGTTGTCCCCGACTAAGAAAAGAGACATAGATTTACAAGAAAATTCCTTTCATTCATGTTGATATCGATCTAATCAATGTCATTGTTAGTGATTATAGTTTAACGTCACAGGGCGAAAAGCCGAGACACATGGAAATTTATTCTACTTTCTGTATGGCAGTGCGATCTTTATAGTGCTCGTTTGCAAATCATGACAATGTCTTCCGCACTGTTCGCATTACATCGATTACGCACCAAGTGTTCGTAATTCTTGGTTTTGTTTCATTTAGGTTGGTTGTAAGATTAAGCGTAATAATGTAACTGTGCTAGGTTTCTCATGAATATCTCTTTCCAGATTCGTCTAGTCTATTGACTGGTAACCTTCAAAAACTAAGAAACACTCTAATCTATTACCCTATAACGTACAAATGAAATGATAATCTAGTTTCTGTAGGTGTCTTTTAACAAAGAAAAACCGAGCCTATGCCTACCAATGCTTCGCTACAAAGAATCATACAATACAATCTAAAAGAATCTACTGTCCCAAGCTGGAAACAACATGCTCACGCCAGTAAAAGAATCCGGAAAGTGCAGCAGCAGGTCCGACAAGGACGCTGCCAGCAGCAGAAGCCAGGGCCGCAGTCAAAGACTGCTTGTTGGTAACGAAACCACGAACGCGCATATCATATGCGAGATACGAAGAGAGTGTGGCAGAGGCCAAGCCAAACATTGCAGTGCTTCCAGAAAACAAGCTGGCCGATCCTGTTGCGGAGGGTGACTCGAAGGTTGTGTAGATCAAGCCCGCAATGTGAGCAACGGCACAGACCGTGGCGGTAACGGAGTAGGTGAGTTTGAGCGGCGCCACGTCCGTCTTCTTGTACATGTCGAGGAACTCTTCCGACTCGTGCTGCTCAATCTTCACGTCTGCCTTTGGCGGGTTGATGGCGTTCTTGACGGTTTTAATGGCCGAGGGCAACAGCTTCAGCAAGGCCGCAGACAGCAACGGGGCAGCGCTGGCGACGACGTTGACGGTTTGGCGGAGCTGAGGGTTCTGGATAGGCAAAGATGCCAAAAGAGTAGGGATACCGTAGCCCAAGATGACCGCAGGCAAGACAGACTTTGCGGTGTTGGTTGGCACGTGGCGACCAGGAATGTCGTTAGACGCCGTCAGGACATTTGTGAGGCACAAAGACGGCATTACGGCGTTGGGTCCGAGAAAAGAGTAAGCAGCGACAGCAGCTGTCGGCCTGTGAAGAGTTTTAGTACCAGATGTCTTAAGCATTTCCTATGAGTTGGGGCAAACAAACCATGCTGGAATAGCAAGAAGATTGCCACGACGGCTTCCCTCGACGAACCAAAGCGTGAGGGCCGAAAGAAGGTTGGTGCGGAGTTGGATGGTCTGCACTGGGTTTTCAGCAACCGCTGCCCCAAGCAATCCAAGGAATTGTGTAGAAAGGTTGAAAACGTTTGATGCACCAGGTAGAACCGTTTGGAGAGCCGCAAACGAGCGCGCTACGGCCGAGATTCCCACTGGTTGGGCGGTCTGGTACAACAACGATCCCAAAGCTCCGACCGACAAGATCCAAGACGCCCAAGAGCCCACATTGCTCTTAATGGGCTTAGCCGGCAGCTCATCATCGTACGGGACTAATCTGGGCCTATATGGAACAGGAAGCCTCTCGATATGATGGCTAGCTGCGGAGATGGGAATAGCCATCTTGAGGAAGCTCTCCTCTCCCAGGATCGGCATAAGAACGTGGATAACGAATTTGGAAATGGGAGATTTCCCCATCAGAATCATTTGCAGATCGTGGGCTTGCTGCACGAGACCCTTGGCTCTTGCATGTCGCACCTCGTGAACGTATGCCAATGCCTTGGTGATTTCTGCTTCCGATGGACTGTCGGGGTTCTTCTCCAGCATATTTGTGAGTGAGTTTACCAGCAGTGCTGCAGCTTCGATGGCGCCGTTGCCTCCTTGGCCTGAAAGAGGATCGATCTATCTCTGTTAGCTTCGCGTTGTTGCCTTGTAGATCTTCGTTATCCCTACCTTGTGGCTGGCATCGCCAATCGTAATAATCCTCCGGTAATGCCACTTGTCGAAAACGTACTCCTCTAGGGGGACCAGAGTTGACATAATGCGGTTCTTGTAAATGGCTCCAAACGTCACGTCATCGTAAATCTTGTCGTCCAGGTGCTCTTTGGCCAAGTCTTCCAGGTCCTGCTTAGTGTATCGGGGGATCTCCTTTCCGCGCAAGGTCTTGTCGATGCCCTTGAACAAGAACCAGTATGTCCTGTTACCAGGCGCGTGAACGATGAGGTAACTTCGCCCAGCGTGTTGCACCATTTGTTGGGTGAGGGGCGGAAGCCCACTGGGGCGTTTGGAGATACCGAAAATGCATTTTGTGTCGACGGGAACCCCTTGGGAAGCATTAGACAGACCAAGGGAAAGTTCAAGGGGGACTTCTTACGGGAATGTTCGTCAGGAGGAAAGTAGCCCGGGCTTTCTTTATGTCCTATACGCCACATCTCCTCCCTTACGGTGCTATGGATACCATCAGCACCGACGATAATGTCTCCTTCAAAGAGAGAGCCATCTTCCGTATGGACTTGGACTCCCCCCTTGACAATGTCAATTCGAGACACTCTTTTCTTCGTGAGAACTCTATCTTTGTGTTGGAGATTGTCGTAGAGGACCTGGAGGAGCATTTGTCTGTCGATGAAGATTGAAGGGTAACCAAGTCTTTCTTGACGTCAGTATCATCTTTTTCTTTTTTTTTTCTTTTTTTTTTTTTTTTTTTTGCGCAAGGTCATCCTACCGTTCTTCCGTGTGTTGAACTGTGGCTTCAGAGTTCTTTGCTTTAAGCTCGCCATTCGATCCTCGAATTGTGGCTTTCAGGTAGAATTCATTTGAAATATTGCGAATGGGTTCGTAACAGCCAATTTGGTCGAGAATTCGAAACCCATTGGGTAACAAGCCAATACTTGCGCCAACCTGGGGTGCGACTTCAGGATACGCCTCCAAGAGCACGTAGTCTATGTTGAACTTCTCCAGCATGTTCGCCAGAGACAGGCCTGACACGCTGCCTCCGGCGATTATAACCTTGAAGCCCATGTTGAATTCGAATGCAGTTGCGATGCAAGTGTTTGGTGATGTGGAAAGAATGTATAGCGAATGTGACTATTCAGAGAATACATCCATCTTGAGAGTTGGAGGGCATTGCAGCATATTAATATCGCGAGACTTAACGTGTCGGCAAATCACGAAGCAAGGACGGCGAATCCAATAAAAGTCCGGATGCCCACCACCGCTATCCGTGCTGATAATTCGGGTCTAAGATGATGCCCGAGCCGACCCAGTTCGGTGGGCAGAACATAAGACGGTGCGGCATCCATCTCCGCATTTCGCAGCCATGGCTCGGCGGCTGCTGGTCTTAAAACCCGATGACAAGGAGGTCAAGATTTAAGCTCAGTCCCATTGGGGAAATGGGACCCGAGGTTGTCTCCACTTAAAATCCCGAGGCTACGGCACATAGAACCCCTATTTTCCTTTGCCATTGGTTTTGTCTCTGAACGGCGTGCGGATTGCCGACTGCCGACATTGGACGGCGAGACGAGATCGCCTGATGACAGCATGGGATGTGGGCGTGTTCATCCCGATAAGCACCCTGGATGAAAAATCAGAGTGAACTGGCGTGCCCTGCATGATTCATGGTTGTGGCGATACGCCAGTCAAGCTTTGGCGCGCTAATCTGCCAACGATGTCGCAAAAACAAATTCGCCCGTTGTCCGCCACATACAGTTTCTTATGGCTAGGTTTACCGTCCGAGAATAGGCGGTATTTGCGGTATTTGGATACCACGGAACAATGAGCATGCCGTCTATAACATACATTCACAGCAATAGGAGCTACATGACATGTACATAGGTCGACACGTCATCAGCTTTTATTTGAATGCGGATCTCAGCTCATATGAAGATATGTCTCATCCGTGAAGATGCAAAATATAAACAAATTTCAGGACTTCTCTTCCGTTGTGATGCTGTTATTGCCGAGTCCATCAAAACTCCATCTACTCTCTTTAAATACATTATATTAACTAACATTCTGACACTAGAAAAGTTTCATTGTGAGAGCACCAAGTTCACTAAAAAGTATGTGCCTATTACTAGTCGCCTGCATGGTGAAGAAGTGAAGAAGTGGTAGCGTTGCGTCATTTCAGCCAACGGGTCTCGGGTGCCCCAACGCAACCATGACTCCACAGTCTAATCGAGCACACCACTCTGTTACCCACGTAAAGGTGCCTCAACTAATAAATCGGGTAAGCGTAGCTGCTTCGATTAAGTAAGTTAACATCTGACAAAAAATCTGGGGTACCTTGCTTAGAATCGGTCGGGAGCTGTTTAGAAACCCGGCATTGCGGGGATGGAGTAATTTTAGATCTTGAAAAAGATCGTCATGAACCATGTGTACCTGAAGAACACATAATTGATACTCCAGCAAGGCTTCGACTGTTGTATTTATTTGTTGGTCTAACCTTTGCAATACTGACAGTAATGTTTATGTGTAGTTCAAGATTACACCACGGACTTGAGCACTCACCCCCACCGTCTTCTCAAAGACCAGCTCATTTACTGCGCTATTGATATTCAATGGTCATTTGTCCCTGCTTTTTATGTAGTGCCAACGTTTATCATCCCACGTCCAATAATTCTCCGCCGCCGTTTAACAGAGTCATAACATAAGCCAGTAATCCTACTTCACGGAAGCTCAACCTCAATCAGGCTCTCAACACCCTTACCTGCGCCCCAAATTTTGACAATCTTTAGCCCAGCAATCTTCTCCAGGAGATTGTACCAATCGCCCTCCGTACGCTCCTTGGAGCAGAAAAGCGTCAGCATAACCATGTCAAGCGCCGATGTCTCCCACCAAGCTCCCGTCGACGGTATCACGTTCTCGTTGATAAGTAGCTTGCTGTAGCCCGGCTTCATGGCCGCCTTGATTTGTGCCAGAATCTTTTCGCAGACATCATCCGGCCAATCATGCAGGCATGAGTGCATGTAGTAGACTCGCGCTCCCTTGACGGGCTGCTCTGTCAGGAAGTCATAACCCATGGGGGTGATGGCCGGTGTCAACTCTTGGATCTGGCCAATTACAACTGGCAGGTCTTGTAAGATGAGTTTACCAGGCACATTGGGGTGGTAGTGGTGAAACTCGGCCAGGTCGTGGCCGATACTGCCTCCAATGTCCACCAAAAAGGGCGCGTCAGCATCCGTGTCGGCACCGTCGATCAGCCTCTCCTTAACAGGGAAAAAGCCAGGGGCCATCCAGGGTGTGCGGCCTTGGCGGTAGCCAGACATGTGATTGTTGAAGTGTGTGCCATCTGTCTCTTCTATTAGCAGGTTTGTGAATCCATGGGTGCAGTTTACATACAACCCAGATCTTGTTGCCACGCAAACATGTCCTTGTCAGTCCCATAGGCGTACATCATAGATGTATCTTTAGCGTCGGTGGGATTCTTGAAGCCTCTTTTGCGAGAGTACTCATGAAACCTCAGGGGACCAGCGCCGGTACAAGAAGTCCTAAAGCATCATCGTTTAGCCGATAAATAAGTAAACATTTTAAGGCTATCATCATCCATAAATACAGACTGTTGGGCCCGTAAAAAGATAGACTCACATGGCAATATATCCATCTCCGATGATGGGGATGCTTAAAGACTTGGAGAAGTTGGTTGGCTGATACTCATCGAGGCCAGTCTCCTTAATATAACCCATAGCACCGAGATGGCGCATAAGGCGACCTGTTTATAGAGCGTGAGTTGAAAGCTAGAAGAGGGCTTTGCCTTTGTTAACTTACTCAGCAGCGCTGCGTCAACACCGAGAGATCCAGCCAGCTCATCCACCTTTTGGGTTCTGTCGCCGTTCTGAGCCATAAGCTTCCATAGGCCCGAGTCAACGCCAAAGTTGATACCGGCCAAGGCACCAGTCTTTGAGATGAATTAGCCACACGGGTACCATATGCTGCTGCTCTTGGGGATAAGGGCCTACCTGTGCCCAGCAGTGCTTGATCATCGTCTCTCTGGGAGCTTCGAGAGCTTGAACTAACGAGCGAGCCTTGAGCAAGAGATCATGGCGAACTTCGTCACCACCGTTGGACAAAGACCCAATGCCGGCATTGAGTTCTTTCAGAAGGCCAGGTACAGCCTCAAGATTGTTCGGGCTTGTAGCGATCGCCAAGTCAACGGCGTGGACGCCATTAGTACCGTTGGTGCCGTTGGTGCCGTTGGTACCGTTTGTACCGTTTGTAGCGGCCATGATGAGTGTGACTCTTGATGAAGTATGAACTGAGAAGAAGAGCAGTTGAGTTCTTCGAGGCAGACTTGCCTGGCATTACCGTGGCGAGTAATTATATCCCACCGTCTAGGCAGTCTAGTGGACGTTTTTCGGAAGTCGGAGGAGTTAAGATACCCTCCGTCTGCACAACTACCCACGCTCCACAAACTCATCTCCTGAACTCCTCACTACTGCGAGACTGTAGGGGTAGAAACTAGTCATAGCAGCGGAACAGGCGGCTATCCAAAAATCATTCAATGAAAAGTTGAGTGAACAGATCTTGAATGTAAAAGCTGAATAATTTGCCTATTCAAGACATTTCAGAACTCCATCGGTCGATGGGTCCATCAACCCGAGCGTTGCGAAACACTCGAGTATTTTTCTCGCTAGGGCCATGATATTAGAGTATCTCCGTGCAGCGCGCACACTGAGCTGTCTACAACCGTTGTACAATCCCACAGCCCCAGAATATGCGTTCTTGAGATATGACATTTAGATATTATAAGTGGCTCCCCCCGGCTCATCCTAGTGATACCAAGACAAAAACTCGCATGAGCGCAAAGTACCAAGCGGTACTATAGGTAGCAATAATAAGTATGCTGGTGAAGAGCAATATTAGGTGTTGGTCCGAAAGGGCTTCTATCAGTTAAAACATAACGCTGACTCGCGTTCAACGCAGTTTTACCCACTCCCTCAGGCCATTATGCATGGCTATACAGGCATTTCTAGGTACTGAAGAATTCCAAGTGCCGCCCTGCACACGCCGTGCTCCGGGTTTTGATGGCAAGGGACCCGGGTCACCGGCCCCATTCCGACGACTTCCGGACTAGGTGCGTGCCAGGGGTTTGTTGTTGGTTACCTCAGTACCAACAGGCGAACATGGCTTATTGCGGAAAAGATCGATCTCAATCGATACGGACCGCTCCTCGTCTAACACTCACCTATACTTTTGATCAAGCAGAGGGTCAACGCCGATTGGCCAGCGGACCACGGTTGGCTCATTCTTTTCTCCAAACCCATATTGTTGGAGCAAAAGATGATGAACCCGGCTCTGTTGAGCCATGATTCAGTCAGAATGCTGTTGGCTAAGCCTTGGCCTTTCACACTCGACAAGGACCCTTGGAGGGCAAGACAGTTCGGCACCTACGAACGGCCTTATGGCTCGTCTATGAGCTCAGCCCACTCGCTTCCTAAATAGGTCAATATAGTCGCCAGTTTGCTTCCAACATGATGGAGATAGCCTCGTTCGCTAGGCTGTCTGCCTGTCATTTCCGGGGCCCTTGGTGTGGTTTCATTGGGACTCTCCACTAGGTTTCGTAATCATGCTCAAAAGCGTCTGATATACTCTGATATGGTATCATGTTGCATTTATCACCATCTCATGTCATTAATTCCGAGCTCTTTTCGATGAGACTGTGGAAGGTTCACACATGTGCATCCTCCACCCTTGCCCATCACATTGTAACATTTCACGTAGTGAATCTCCACCGCCTTTGGATCTTCTGTCATTGGGTCGCTCCTTTGACTGCCCTTCATTTCAATGGTGCCAGGATCCTCGGATACGGGAATGTTTGTGTTTCTTGTGGAGGCTGTGATGCTACGAATGGCAAGGGATGGCCACCAGCCTTGCCAGTTTGCTGTTGAATGGAAAGGGGAGCCTCGTAAGGGAACTCTTTGACATCCTGTCAACATTATGAGTTATGAGAGCCCCTGAAGACCTGAAATCCGGGTTTGAAGAACGTACTCAATTGATATCCGTATACTTTTGGGATTTGCTTGATTGGCACTGGAAAATTCGTTACCCAGTATGTTTTACTTTGCATATATCCATGTTCTCGACAGCCTGCCCCACGCCTGAATCCCTCTCCTTTGCCTGAAATGCGGCCAAATGCGTGAAAAGGCATCACTAGTTTCATTTCTGCAAACTCAAGATGCCGACTCCGCCGGTGGGATCGGATGAGTGGAAGGCTCAAGACAAAGGGCCGGCCATTATTATCATTTGCTGGGTCGTCACCGCCATCAGCACTTGTTTCGTTCTTGGTCGAGCCTACGTGAGAGGCAAGATAATGAGAAAGTTCTACAGTGATGACTAGTTTATAATTTTGGGATTGGTATGTGTTCTTCGACATCAACGTTCTTGTAACGAACAGAAGCGCCTCTATTCCGTCTTACCAGCGGTTCAAGCTAACCTTATGTGTGCTCCAGTTTTGCGGCTACATCTCGACAGCGTTATCGACAATCGCGGTATCCTACGGAAATGGCAAGCACATGACGCTGCTCTCTGTCGAGCAGCAACAGGGCGCCATTCTCTGGACTACGGCCGCATTCTGCCCCGGCATCATGTCCTTTGGCCTTCCGAAGCTAGCTGTCGTCTCTCTTTTGACGCGTCTTATGAATCCCGGAAAGTACCACAAGTGGTTTTTGTGGTGGATGGCAATATGGTGCCAGTTGACGCTGTTTGTGACGGCTGGGCTTCTACTCGGGCGTTGCATGCCGGCCAGGTCGCTGTGGGACTTCTCCATCGAGGGCACATGCTTCGATGTTAGTATTTTGGTGGCGTATTGTATTTACGCTGGAGGTAAGAAAAATATGTAACCCTTTACGACTGTTTAGCTTGTCTCTGAAGTTGTTTGTGCCATAGCATTTTCGGCGTTTGTCGACGTTTATCTGGCTGTGTATCCGGCTATAGTGCTCTTCCGTCTTCAGATGGCTACCAAGAAAAAAGTTGCCTTATCTTGCGCGCTAGGGATCGGTTCAATGTACGAGTTGCCCCTGTTGCTGAGATACTTGGAATGACTGGTCGTGGATCTAATGTCTAATCTGTAGCTCGGGTATTGTCGCTATTTACAAGACAACACGTATCCCATCTCTTGGAAGCAAAGACTTCTCATGTAAGTCCGCTTGTGGACTTCTTTTCTTTTCCATTGTGTCAATGTTGACGCACTCTTCCTACGCAGATGATACCTCGGATCTAGTTATTTGGACAGTGTAAGACCAGTTTCCCCTAAAGCTATTCCGCTAATTGGCCCGGCGACAACGTCAAGGACTTGTGCCAATTGATGCTGACTTAAGAACTCGGTAGCGTCGAGGGCAGCACCATCATCATTGCAAGCTCAATTCCCGTTATGCAACCGCTCCTGGAGCTCATTCTGCGACGCAATCCCTTCAGCTCTGCCAAAGGCTCTAAGCAGACTCCACAATACTACGAGGACTACGGGTCCCAGAGCAAGTCCAAGTCGCGAGGCGGGGGCAATATCGAACTCGGCCAACGCAAGCCCAAGTCCAAGCCAAAGGACGACCTCGGTCTGACCATTGTCGAGAGTGACAGCCAGGAGAACATCCTCACGCCACCAATAAACCAGAACCACCAGACATCAGTGTCGTTGGGTGCCCCAACCTTTCGTTCAAACCGCAGCGACTCGAGCCAGCACTCTGCAGACGGTAAAATTATCCGAACAGATTTGGTGAGCATTACGTATGAGGAGCAGGGGCAAGTTCACAATACTTCTACGTCTAACGGATGGAAGGCCGTTTGAAGATTTGATTTCCATCTCAAACATGCCGAGAGGTGTAAATTGGAATTATGCAGAAAGCTCTGCGGTTGATTGCTCAAGTATGGTGGTTTTGCTCAGCAAACGAAAGAAATTATTCAATCTTATGGTTTATCATTGCAGAAGGTCACAATAGAAGGCCTTAGTAGGATGCCCATAGCTGGATGTACTAAACATGATCAGTTGTTACTATAGTTCTAATTCAACAATAAGCACCTGCTGCGGAAAGTTGCCTTTTTCGTACCTAGAGACTTTGATTCCGGTCTTTAGAGTACTCATACTTCTAAGAGGCATGGCGGCCCCTACTGTGATTCGAGTTTGAGATGCTAAAATAAACACTCAACTTACATTTGACACTGCACTAGCAAACTTCTCACTCTGACTGAATCAATGAGTAAATAACGAGACACCTAGGAAAAATACCTTGAGGTTTGTCTACATAAGAAGCGAAAGGGCCAAACTTGGCCCACCTACACGAAAGGCAGGACCAATTTCAGAGTATAAAGGTTTACTGAATATATTGAAGCATTATAGAGACTTAATCATCACGATTTGTCTTCAGGTGAGATGTACAATAACATATTGAAAGAATTCAAGTTCCGTGGTAATGTGACCTGTGAACACCTGACAAGCGAAACATGAGCATTGATACTGGTGTGTTATAAAGCTATATGAGATTAATCAATCCCTATGTGACAATATTTAACAATTTTACAAATATAGCCACAAAGATATTATTTCACATGGTACCTGTGTAAGAAAAGGCAAGTCTCACAAGCCAAAGCAAGGCACCCTTCATGGTGATGAAGTGGGTCTGGCTGCTGTAAGTGGCTCTGCGGCCTGTGAGGCCAATCTCTCCCCACCACCGGGGCCGGAAAAACCTCTCCCCAGCTATCTCCCAAAGCGCGGCCTCACTTTTTATCCTTCACCACCAGGACTCCGACCCGCGCGATCGCGACAAGCTGCCTAGCCGACCCTCCTCCCAACCCACCCCCACGATAGCTCAAGCAACGCAACCCGAAAGACGCAACAATGACTTCCACAATTGGTATCCCCATTAAGCTCCTCAACGAGGCTCAGGTTCGTTATACCCCTCTCGTTTCCACTAGAATGCCAGCGAAGCTAACAAATGCGCGAAACAGGGTCACATCGTCACCCTCGAAATCACCTCTGGCCAGACCTACCGTGGCAAGCTTCTTGAAGGTATATTTCTCCGTTCACCAGTCATATCTCCCTACCTCCAAACAGCGCACACTATCCCAGAACACCCGCTAACATGCCCAACCAACAGCCGAGGACAACATGAACGTCCAGCTTAAGGACATCACCGTCACCGCCCGCGACGGCCGCGTCTCCCATCTCGACCAGGTCTACATCCGCGGTTCGCACGTGCGTTTCTTCATCGTCCCCGATATGCTTCGCAACGCCCCCATGTTCCGCTCCCGCAACGTCCGCGGCCGCGGTGTCGGTATGGCTCGTGGCCGTGCCACCGTCAGCAGGGCCCGCGCCAGCGGTCGCGGAGGCCGGTAAAGTGGTGCCGAGCAACGCAATCACCCCCCCTCCCGAAACCGACCAATCCCACCCGGCAGTGATAGCGGCAGCCGCGACGAAGGGAACAAACGAAGCAAAGTTCCATCTGGCTGGGGCATTTTAAAATGCGGCAAAACGTTATTGCGATCGATAGAGGCAGAGAAATGAGAGCAAGATGTGTTTATTGATTTGGGGACTGGAGCAGCAGCAGCAGCAGCAGCAGTCTAGGCTGCCGATGACTTTTTTCAAAAGAAAGATCCCCTGGCGTTTTACGGTTCTGAAAGGGCGATAAAAAAAGAGAGAAGAAACTTGAAGGGGGGGGAGGGCTTCTCATGACGTCAAGGAGGCACGAATACCCATCCTAGAGCGCTCTGCCGCGGGGATTCCGGGGCGGTTGATATAAGAAGAGTTTTGGATACGGCGGTTTGCTAAAGGGGTAGGCCTCACTTCATGAGCCGTTTCACCACTCAGCTGCAAAATAAGGTCCGCTGACACGCCAGCTGAGAAGAAACCGATACCGCAAATAGAAGGCACAAAAGCCAACTCTCGGCGCCCAAACTACTCGCCCATGTTTTTCTTGTTACAATTTTTTTTTTCTTTTTCCTTGTTTTTGATTTCGAGTGTTTCGTCGTATCTATGGTGACTCTCTTTATACATTATACAATGATGGTACAACGTGACTGTGGGTAGGATAAGGGGGAGGGGAGCTATCTACTTCAACCGTTGAAGGGCATCCTCGGCCTTCTCTACGAGTTCCCTTGCCCTGCGGAGCTCCTCGGCGCCCTCGACCGGCGTGTCCTGGTCCCGAGGGGCGTCCAACGCGTTGGCGACGCTCTGCTCGACTCCTCTCACGGCCTTGCGGCCCTCCTCGCGCACCTCGCCCTCCCAGTATGTCCGGGCCGTCTCCCACTTCTTCTGCATGTTGCGTAGACTCCAGACGATACCGAGAGCCGCCACGGCGCCCGCCTCGTAGATTGTTGATGCGTACTGCGAGACGTATAGCAGCCCCGCGAGTCCCGTTGTTACTGCCGATGTGGTAGAGGCCTGAAGGACTAGCTTCTGCGCGAGGGCCTGGAGCGCAGGAACCGTCTCCTCATGGAGATAACGTCGGGTAAATGAGATATGCGTAGGCCACTTTGGTTTCTGACTCGTGATACTGGTTACCGTCTTCGTTTCCACAACTGGTTGCAGCGTTGACGTAGGCTGTGAGTAGCTAGGAGACTCGACGGCAGCGGGAACAACGCCAGACTCGGCGATGCGGCCAGCGAGGTAGACAAGCTCCCGCTCTGCCCCCGGGAGGAAGCGCTGGCTGAGCATGTCCGTCGTAAGAGACCCGACGTCGTCGACGCGCCAGAATAGCTTCCACCAGCCCAGCTTCCGCCATCGCTTGCCTGCGAACGCGAGATCCAGCTGCTGCTGGAGCTCCTCGTGCGCGAACTGCGACCACTCCGCCAGTCTCTCGTTCATGAGTGCAACTTTAGGCGAAGCAACTTCCGCTGAGAATTGGCCAGACAGCAGACGCGCCTCCTCGGCCTCAATCTCCGCTAACGTGTTGCGCAAAAAGGATGCAATGTGAAGTCGAACCACGGGCTTGGTGACCTTATTCTCGTCGTTTTTCACACCAGCCTTGAGCCATTGGACAACGGAAGGCACATTGCTCTTGTACCAGGATCGCTCGTACTCCATCGCATTGCCAATGTTCTCGCGGATGCGGTCGAGTCCCTTGCTGCCGACTTCCACATCAATGGGCTGAAAGGTAAGCTGCTCGCCTTCTTCAACGGGGTATTTAGGCAAGTTGACGGCAGCGAAGACCGTATCGCGATACTCGGTCAACGGCAGCGACGCAACCGACGCAGCGCCCATGATACCCTCCGAGACAACCAACGCCTTGTGCACCGGAGTCGTCACCGGCGTGTACCGTCCCGTATTGGAGGGAATGTCAACCGTAGGCACCAAAACCGACTCCTCGAGATCCTGCATAACCGGCTCCCCGGACCCGGGAGAGAACGGGTTCACCTCCATCAGCAACAGCTCGATGCCGTGCCCGTTAAGCGAGGGCGATGAGATATCCAGCTCGTGAAGCAGGTTCGTCTTGGATATGTTCAGCGTCGTGCCCTGCTCCGCGGCATTCTCCTGTGCGATTCTCACGACGAGCGGCTGCTTGGTGTCGTGCTGCGCCAATTGCCTCTCCCACTCCGCCTCGTCGCTCAAAGGGTCTGCCAGGAGCAGCCTCAGCAGCTCCCTCGCTGTCTTTCCGGGTTCCGCACCGTCAGCGAGCGCAAGGATAGCGACTCGCACATGCTCCTGGCCGGGTTCCTGTCGCAGACCCTGAAGGGCGAGCTGCAGTCGAGAGAGATTGACGTGATTTACGGCATGCTTTTGCAACTCGAGCAGGGTATCAATAAGTTCGGATCTCGGGTTCCCCGAAGACGCGGGCTCCAGCGGCGCTGAAGAATGGATTGCATGCGTAGAAGATTGAAAGTGACGGCGCTGCTTGGCGACTTCTCTCCTGGCGGCTGTGCGACGGGTCGTTCGCGAGGGATTCGAGGTTGTAGAAAGGGAGCAAAACAAGCACACCTCTCGCGCTGATATCGTCGATTGTTTGCCCAGGGTCAACGAGGCGGCGCGGCCGGCGATTGGCCTTAACGGGAGTCGTGGCGGCATTGTGCGGGAGGCATTGGGGGATTGCCTCTATATGTATAATTAATTTCCGCAGCGGCGACAACAAAAGGTCGCGATGCGGACTCTCTCTCTTCTCTCTCTCTCGAGATTGATGAGAGGGAAGCGAACGGGGTGTGAGTTCGACTAGGGTGGACAGAGCTTCCCTCCAAAAATGTTGCTCAAAGCTCCGATATGTACATCACTTTCGGGCAGAGGGGCAAAACTTCGGGGAATTCGGGGAGAGCCACAGGCGCCACTTTAAAAAGCGTCTCCACCCCCGCCAACCTCCCATCCCAGTGCCGACGCACCGACAGTCGCTTCATGATAACAGCGGTGCAGCTTTGTGTAAGTCGACGGTGTCTTTAACAACAAAACACCACTTGTGTCAGTCTAGACCACTCTCTTTCAAACTACTCAAATTCCTCGCCTCATCGCGACATCAATACCCTATCCCGAAACTCCCGCGACTGCGTATATCCTCCCCCCCCACCATGGCCCAGTCAACCGCCCACCGCCGCCTCCTCCAGGAGTATCGCGCCTTGACGAACAATCCCCCAGAGGGCATCACCGCTGGTCCCGTGTCCGAAGATGACCTCTTGCAGTGGGAGGCCCTCATCCAGGGTCCCGAGGGAACTCCCTTCGAGGGCGGCGTCTTCCCCGCCGAGCTCAAGTTTCCCAAGGACTACCCACTCGCGCCACCCACCATGAAGTTCCTCGTCGACATGTGGCACCCCAATAGTAAGCCCTGTTCCCCATCCGCCACTCCAGGGTATCGAAATTTGTACTGTATAGTAGCACCGGAAAACTAACAAATGACAGTCTACCCCAGCGGCCTCGTCTGCATCTCCATCCTCCACCCCCCCGGTGACGACCCGAACCACTACGAGCACGCCTCCGAGCGCTGGTCCCCAATCCAGTCCGTCGAGAAGATCCTCATCTCCGTGATGAGCATGCTCGCCGAGCCCAACGACGAGAGTCCCGCCAATGTCGAGGCCGCCAAGATGTGGCGCGAGCGCCGCAACGAGTACGAGCAAAAGGTCCGCGACGGCGTCAGGCGCTCTCTGGGTCTGTAGTCGAGGACGAGTACAAACTGTCGATATCACAACGGGGGAAATGGGGGACAGATATCCGTGTAATGGCCGTTCTTACAGGCTGGTGTGAGACGAACGGCGGCGGACGACTGCACGCCCTGTAGAGAGACATATAGAATTGGTGGTAGAACAGACTTTGCATAGCATGGCGTTTATGGGGAATCGAATATTGATTTGTTCAACTTTCTCTACAAATACTTTCTCATCGCGTCAGGACCTCTCGACGCCCTTGTGCCCGCTTTTTAAATGTGACGCTATAACATAACCATGCAAAAACACACGAGGTCCATTATAGTCCGTTTTCGGCCTTGAACTTGTCCCAGCTCTCGTTCAACGTGGCGAACACCGTCGCAGCGATGAGCCTTACCTCCGTGCTGGCGTCCTGGGGGAGCTGAAGAGATATGTTAGTCCAAAATTTCTTCGTCCAAGAGTTCTTCCGTCTCCAACCGAAAGACGGGGGAAAATAATCGTACATACCTTGTCGGGGTGACACTTGGCAATGGCCTTCATGTAGTTGATCTTGACCTTGTTGGCCATGACGAGCTCGTGCAATCCGACCTTCTTCCAGCCGCTTCCCTCCCAGAGGACCTGGTCCAAGCTGCCGATGAGCGCACGCAGGTTGTCCCTCTTCCCGTCTCTCCAAGCCGCAATCTTGGCATCCACCTTCTCTGACAGCGCAAACTTCTCGTCGTCTTCCGCCGCCGACGCGAGGTTCTGCTTGCGCAGACGTTCGACCGCTTCGGAGCTCTTGGCAGGCGCCGCAGCGGCGCGAGGCCGAGCAGGAGCAGCCGGCCTGGGCTTCGGCTTCGGTTTCGGTGCCAGGGCGTTCTGGCAACGCTGGCGACCGGAAATAGCTGTGGAACCTCCGACACCGTTCTTGACGCATGTCGACCAGACGGCGTGGGCATCGCCCCAACGTTCCATTTGTTCAAGTGCCTCGGCTTTACGGCTGAGCGCCTTGCCGTACAGGTCGCGCATGTCGCGCTTCTCGTCGCCGCCGTTGTCACCCACGACAGTCACATGCTCGCCCTGTCCACCAGCGGGCCCGATGATTTTGAGGGCGGCGTCGGCATCCTCAACAGCTTGCTTAGGCTCGCCAGTCTTGAGGGCCGTCAACGCGCGGTTGGTCAGAATAACGATGGCCAGAGGATGAGATTCCGGAACGGAGGACAAGGAGGATGAGTACGAAGACTGTGCTGCCGCGTAGTCGCCCCGCTTGAAATGCGCTGTTCCTTCAAGGCGGTGCTTCGTAGACTGCTGTATCGCGGCGGGTGTGATTGAGGGAATCTGGCGCGCTGGTCTAGGAGCCGGCCTGGGGGCAGGCGGAGAGGGACGTCTAGCAGGCTGAGCTGGCTGCGAAGGCTGCGAAGGTTGAGCAGGTCGAGAAGATTGGGCGGGCCGTTGTGGTAGCGACTGAGACGGTTTGGGTGCCTGAGAGTTGAAGAGCAGATCCGGCTCCTCCTGCTTTGGCGGTGCCTCTTCAGGCTGAGGCGTCGCCTTCTTTCTCCTGTGAGGGCTAACATATGAGGCCCCACTGTCATCTGTCATGGCTAGCTTGCTCGCGCGTGTCCTTGAATCAGGTACCGCTGGGCCAGCTTGTTGTTGCCATCTCGGAACCGGTGTGCCTCTTCCACTCGGGGGTGCTGATGACGCCGAGGGGAAGTCTCTTGGAGATGCAGTTCTGCGAGGCGCATCCGGTCGGGGCGACTGTGAAGACTGTCCAGCCCTCCTGGGAGGTGGTCCACCAGATTCCAACATCATGGCCTCGTCTGTGGCTTCCGGACGCCGTTTCTCGGGGGCATGCATACGGTCTTGCTGGGCGGTGCGCATCCATTTGGGCTGATTTGGGTCTCCTCCTTCCTGGTTGAAGTCCGCGACAGCCTGCTGGACCTGCTTCTTGCTAGTCTTCCAGAGAGAGTTCGCCGTCTTGAAGAGACTGTTTCCCATGGCCGCAGCAGTCTTTGAGAAGTCCGCCTCACCACCCGCAGGCGATCTTGTGTCAGCTCTCCGCTGGCCATCATGTCGTCCGTCTTCGCGTCCTCTCCTTGAGGCTGAAGCAGGGTCCTTGCCTTGTGCCTTCGCCTTGGCCTGACGGTGGGCATCATCCAAAAGCCAGTTTGCTGCCGCCTGCACATTCAACCCCGCACCGCTCTCCGTCAGACCCCGCCTGGCATTCTCGGGTGTAAAGCCATAATCCACAAGCTGGGCGACAGCCTTGTCAAACTCGGCCATCTCGCCCCGCGGAGCAGGCTGCTCGTCGTCGGAGCTGGATTCCAACGCTTCAATGGGCTTTCCAGGTTCAGGCTGCTTAGGCTGCGGGGTTGGCTGCTTGCGCCGGACCTCCTCGACGGGGCGTCCTAGGTCACCGAGGAAGTCATCATCGTCAATCGTCGGCTGAGGCGGCGCAGGAGACGATGACTTGGGCTTCATTTGGTTTAAACCGAATGGGTCATCGTCATCCCCGAATCCACCATTGTTTGTAGAGCTCGTGGGCTTGTTCCACGCACTGGGGTTGGTAAGGTCAAGAGCCGGTGTATGCGCGGGGGAGGGGCCCTTTTGGGGCGGAGGAGGGTAGTGGCTCGCGTTATCGACCTTCGTCTCGGATTTAAATGCGGCAAATAGATCATCGTCGTCGCTGGCCTTCTTGCCTGTCGACGAGCCAGGAGACAGGACGCTTGGAGACGCCGTCCGCGAGACGTTGCCCGAGCCAAGCGAATCCAAGAAGCCCCCACCGAATTGCGCCTGTGCCTGTTTCCGTCTTTCCTCCTCCTTCTTCCACTTCTCTGCCTCGAGTCGCTGTTGCTGCTCGCGCAAGCTCAGGTTCGCGGTCGACTTGGGTGCGCCAGCGAAGTTCATTAAGTTGCTGAAGCTATCGGCGGCCGGCTTCGCAGCGGGTGGTTTGCCAGCGACGGACCCCGAACCCTGAGCGGACAAAGGCGTGTTGCGGCCAGAAGGGAACGGCGATGGCGTCGAATTCGACTGCGGCATTGAACCAAAGTAATTGGCGCCTGAGGGGTTCATGGGCGGTGGTTTGTTGCCCGGCTTGCTGGCCGACGACGACCAGTTGAGTCCCGAGAGATCATCCATCTTGTCGTACTGGGAAACCTCAAGGTACAATCGTTCATATCATCAATTTCGTGAGGTCGTGAGGGCGTCAAATAGAGCTCAATGCATCGTTTTCGGATCGTTCTAGATTCCACTTGTCTCAACTCCTGGATCGGGCTGGCTGATTGCGGCGTCGTACGGGACGTAGGTGGCATGTGGCATTGTGGCTGAAGCTGACGTCTTGTGGCTGGAGAGATGCCTTACAAGTAGGTGCCCACGTGAGGCATCCAGAAGAAGGACCTCAGAGGGTAAGTCTTCGGCGATAAGCCATTTGTCACTGCACGGACCAGTCGATTTGACGGTTGGCGCCGAAAGTAAAAAAAGGGGGAAACAATCTCGCCTTGGGGGATGATCGCAGTTTGTTCCATCTCGATTACTCAAATTGCCTCGCCCACTCCGATGCCATTTTGGGGTATGACTTTCACGGGGATTCCTGTGCAATGAGCGAGGTCATGAGCCCCATCGCATGAATTCATCATCTTCAGCTCTCCGTAGCTAAGCCATTGTGGGCTGTGTTAGTGGTTTCTGTTATTCCACCAGCGAATTGAGGGTACTATGTACACTCTGATGATCAAGTAATACGTGTCTACTTGGACTTTCTTGTTGATTGCTGCGATGTTCTTCTCGGAATACTCATGCCGGTCTATGCCATACAACCCCAGGTGGAACTATCTGAGACTAACAGCCGTCAGGAGGGTTGAAGATGCAATTCAACTGCTTCAAAATCCCGGTCTTCAGACAATTGATCAACCGCCTGAACATAATCAATCAATACGTCCTGTAGGAATTTGGGTCACCATCAGGATTCATCTCTTAAACGTATTGTCCTTGGTACCCAGGAACCACTTGCTTGCTGCCGCCGGTCCACACAATGGTTCAAGTTGGCAAAGGCCAATGATGGGAAATTAGGTGACGGTAAGTCAAACCACTAATGATCGCACATCCCTTGCCAGATGAGAGGCCCAAAAGACCAGCCGTCATGGCAACCAACTGCGGAGTACGGAGCACCTGGCTCAGGTTGTGTCAACGTGTTTGATGAACCGTGCGACGCAGCATAGGTGTGATTGGGGACGCGGAGAGAACATGGTTTCACTTTCAACAAACATCATATCTCATGACATATCTTCAGGTCGATTTGTTCAGGGCGGCACTTATGAGTAGAGCGAGCGAGAGACCTCGGACAACAGGTCAGTTGTGGACAAAGTTAGAGCTGAAGGCGCAAGGCAAGAGCAGAATGTCCTAGCCCCAATGGGGATATATCAAACAGCAGTTATAAGATGGCTAGAATGGCTCCAGGACTTTGCTTGGCTTCCATCCGATGCATAGCCGCAAACACTGTTTCTGTGGCTGCAAAACAAGCACATCCTCTAAGGTTAACAATTGACTCCCAGGAACCTGCAGTTCAGACGAAGAGGTGCAGCCGGCAACATGAACAGCCTAAAAAGTCACACGAGGCAAGTAAGATGCATTGAAATCCATCAGACGACAGGCCTTGGCCAATGTGGCGGTTTACGAAGAGCTCGGATGATTGGTGCATTGCCTCTGTTAGTGAAAGGCTGAAACTCGTTTCGAATATCGACACCTGGGGTCCTCCCTGAGGGAAGCCGATCAGGGGAAAGGCTAAGCGGAGCTAAAGATCTGTCTCCTGAATCGCGGAATGCTGCTGAAAACTGCAGTATCCGCATCAGTATGGAACTTGGTCAAACTGAACCCTGATATAGTAGATAATGGTAATCTTAACCGCGACTCGCGGTTGACCAACGGCGGCGGCAGCGGCAACGTTATCCGTGATGGACGACAAGATTAAAAATCTTCAAGTGTTTGTCGCATGTAGTAAGACATGCTGATCGTATAAGCCAACGCATAAGGCCATCGAGATAAGCTGGGGCCGCTAGTATGGCGGTCTGGTAATCTGCCGAGACTGCCGACCGTTAAGATGGCAAGACGAAGAAGCAACGGTCGGAATGGGGGAGTCTTATGGCGTCGTTGTTCATCGTGGCACGGCTGTAAGGTTTGCTTTTTCTCGTGCGATTCTCAACACGCTATCCTGTTACAGAGGGGCACAAAGCACGGTCTCACAAGACGCCAAGTGACAGTCGTTGCCTCGAGTAAGATGACAGGAGAGGCGTATCCAAAGCTCAAGCAGGACCGAAGCTGTCGTGCGAAGGAGGAGCTTGAGCTGCGGGGTTTTCACGATACGATGAGACCTATGATTCCTGGGTCTCACGAAGACAGCCAACGGCGCAAGAGGCACCCAGCCAAGCGCCCGTCGCTGAAGCAGCAAGTTGGAGCAGCTATGTCTGTATGCTGTATCTCCCCGTCACAGACATCGACGGAGATGGAAATCGTTTAACTGGTGGCACATTGGACGGTGGGAAAGGGCCCGAAAGATTGTTTCTCCGGAGAATGCAGATGACGCTTGGCCTCTCTGCGGTCTCTCCTCGGTCCTACCCTGACGGCTTGAATTAGGTACTATGGTTGGTATATCCGCGGGGATTTTGTCTCTTTGTGCCTTGCAAGGCCTGGCAAGAAAGTTGATCTGACATTTCTGTGGAATGATCCTCGGCAGGCGGCAAGGGGAAAACAAGTCAGTCGGCACGGTTGCCCATTGTTTCTGCCCGGTGCAATTTGAAGGTTGATTGCTGGTTGGGCCAAGCGCATCCAGCGCATCTCTTTTTACGCCAATGGCGATGGCCATACCACGGGTGTTATGGATTGATTCGCCATCCATTTAAAAGAGGGCCAAGAGAACCAAGAGGGTCATTATGATCCGGGGTTCGCGACCCAATGTATGGAAGAGGAGATAGAATGAGTACATAGTAGAGGTGGATGGGATATTTTGATGCCCCCGGCGCAAATGAAGTCACCACTGGGGCCTTCGGAGCCGGCGTCTAGTGGACAAGCACAGCAGTACTCCGTACTATGTAGTGCTGTGTAAATATGGAGCACACATCAGCGCAGTTGGTGCTGGTGCAGGCCGCTGGAATTTGCAGATGCCTAACATTAGCGCAGATCCCAGCCGCCTATCCGTTCTAATTGTGCATGATATAGCCGAAAGCCCACTTCTTCGTCTGTCGGGAAGTGACAGTCCATTGGTTGCAGAGGTCAGGGGTAGGAGGTGCCCAATCAATCTATCCAATCAAATCACTACAGGTCGCCCCTGCCTACCCCTCTTGAACCCGTTCCTTCCAAAGGGGGCGCCCACCCGCATACCTTGGATGCTTGGTTCCTGTGTCTTGGGAAGGAGGGGAGGGGAATGCGACTGACCATTCAGCGCCACTCTTTTCCCCCCTCTTGTCCTTTTTTTTTTTTTGCGCTCTGCGTCGCTCCTCCCACACCGGAAAGGGGTATCCCACAGTGTCATTGGCCGCAGATCCTCGGGCAGTAAAAAAGAAGGGGCGTTGCACTTGGGGTCCTCCTCTTTTCGTCTTGGCTTACCCTTTTTTTTTCGCTCCATTTTCGTAGACAGCTGCTACATAGTATGGGAAAGGCTCCGAAGGCCCCCAACAGCCATTCGATTGTGGGTACAGAATGTGGTACCTGCATGGTCGCGTGTGTCACTCTGAAGCCACCCGCGGCATTTCCTAAATGACATGGAAGGGCCCCTCTCCTTCTCTCTGTCTCTCTCTTTCTCTGCACTCTCACTCGCTCACTCCCTCACATCTTTCTGCAGGTCCATCTCATTGTGCGCCGGTACACCCCGAAAACTCGGACACCACACCGTTCCCTTCAGATTTTGCGCCAAACCGTTGGTGCTAGCTGCTAGAGGGGGCCATGTGCCAAGATGCCGCCCGTTTCCCCCAATTTCCGTGGTCAGACAGACTAAGAAGGGGTGGAAGGGGGTGACCTCTTTCACTTTCTCCAGCTCATAAGGCAGACGAAGCAACTTGAAGCAGCCACAATTAACTGCCACAAGTCACTTTTCTCTATCCTTATCCTTACGCAGTACTATGCAGTAGATCAGATCGGTGGCCCAGGCTGAGATACTCGGCATATCTCAGCATATTCGTTCGGTCTGCATCTAAACCATTGTTACCATGTCCTCGTCCCCGCGCCCACAGCTCACATCTCATCCCATCTCATCTCGCCTCGCATTGCCGACTAACCTTACACCAGCACAGCGCGCAATCTGTCATGTCCAGGGCCTACGTATACATTTTGTTAATGGATGCTCCGTGCTTTATCTCCTCTTTCGCTTCTTTACGCTTTTTTTCTTGTCTGTTGACTTTGCCTCTCGCTTGTTTTCGCTTCTATTCCCCACCGATTTTATACGGGTATGTGGTTCTCATGCGTCCGTGTCTGCCATTTCTGGAGTACAAACGCAAACCGTCGTTTGGTGTTCTATCGTGTAAGGGGGCCAATTCACCAAAAAGGGGGCCAGCGGCAAAAGACTCCAAACCCAAGCGCTGGACTGATGAAAGGGTACTTCGTACTTTTGGCTTGTACCAGGTTGGCCCCAGTTGGTGGCACAGCCAGTAGGATCCTGGTCCCGTCGCGCTGGCCCGGCCCCTTGAAGCATCATCTTAATCTATTCTAACCCACATCAAGAGCGATCCCTCCAACGCACTTCGACTGACCGCTACCCTGGGGCACCTCGCGGTAAGATGCCGTAGACAGGGTAGTGTAGTAGCGTAGCAGTGGCTGCACGTCGGAGACAGGAGGCTGCTGTCGCCCGCTGTCACTGTCAGAGCAGTAACTGTTGATCCTGCCTCAAACACCATCAAACAGAAGCAGAGAAGCAATGATCCGAACACTTAACACTGTAATTGATTGTGGGTAGTTCCCACGATCGCCAGGAAACAGATTATGGATAAGCAAGGAACATCGCTGTTTGATGCTGAACATTATTAGAATGACCCAGTCTAAACTCCCGGATCCCCGTCACGACCAGAGGGGGAAAGAAAGGCTGAGCATCCTAAGAGTGCGCCATTTGTCTGCCCTGGTCCCGGGCTCATTCGACATAGCAAATGACCAAGTAGAAACCGCACCAAATCAAACTAGCCAACGCTCTCCCATCACAGGCACTCCCGCCCGCCTCCCGTTGTCGCTCGCTCCCCCCGGTGGCTAAGAACGGAGATCAATGGGGATTCAGACATATGGAGATGGTTGTCGAAGGGTGTAAGTCCACACCCCCTGTCTTTTCCCTGGAGTGTTTGACCGTCGCCCCCAGTCCTCAAGGGGTGTGGGAAGGCTGTCCGCCCCGGCCCCCCAATCCCTCCAGCAGAAATGTGAATTGCCATATCCTTAAGCCATGTCTCTCCACCTGTCGCCCGTTTCCTTCTCTCAGATTGCCCTTTTTGCATCGTCTTCATTCCTGTCCCTCATCTCCCCTCCGTCACCACCCCCTCCTTCCGTCACTTCACGGGGTCTCTGACTGTCACTCACTCACTCACTCGCTCGCTTTTTTACACACTCCTTTTTGTTATCTTGTCTCTCTTGACGGCTTGCTCTTCTGCTCGTCGTACTCAGCCCTTCATTTTTCCCCTCCCAAAAATATTTCCCGAACCGCGGATCTCACTCATTTTCGGCTTCCTGCTCCTCCAAGCCCTGGACACTCTTTTCTCCGAGACCCTGTTGTGTGTGTGTGTGTTGATCGCATTCGATTCTTGACTCGACTTTGGAAAAGACATAGCCGTTGGGTGATCGAAGAAAACGACATTACCGTCCTGTGGCATTATCTTCCCCGATTTTCCCAGCCTCCAGATCCTTGCGCATCGTCTTACACGACCCGACAACGTCATATCGCAACCGTTGCGTGCCAGTCTCTCGATATCAACATCAACCACGTAACCCGTTCAGTCGCATTAGGTGTAAACTGTAAAAAGAGGAGGATTCATTGAATTCGTAACCTGCTAGATCTGCCGCTCCACGACGAAGACGACGACCTCGACGACTTATCGACGTACTGTTCCCTCGCACGAAAAAGAAGTAACGGGCTTGCTCTCATTACGACCTTACTTTGAATCTGCCTGTGGTGCTGGACATCGGACGCTGGAATCTCGTTTGGTAGTGTGTTGCAACACCAAAGTTACATTGCAAAGTATTCCATCTGGGACAAAAACATCTCAGTCAAAACTCATCGCCAACTAGCCAGGGAAGGAAATTGCAACTTGCAAGTAACCAGAAAAGGAAGCCATCTCAAACTCAAAGGCTCTCTTATTCTCGGCTGTCAAAGGACTTTAAGCACAGTTTCGGTGTTGAACTCGACCCGTTGTGGAAATTTCCCAAAAAGGAAGGACTCGGTGAATCATCTCGCTCCCACCTCCTTCCATCCACAGCATCACCAGTGTCGGTCAACTCACCCGTTCCTGCCTCGCCGAGATTTACGCTCCTTCTATCACTTCCTCGCGCCTACCTCGTGACTACCAACACTTTACGGTCTACCTCACAATTCGGAATTCTCTCCTCCTTCACACCACACAAACAACAACAACAACCATCGTCCAACCTCCACCAAAAAATCACCAATATCCTTTGCGCGCTGTACTTACCTCGAGATCGCCTCCTTCAGTCAAAATCCATCAGGACTTTGAAATCTTCTTCTGGAACCTCTTTCAATATCATTCATATTGTCTAGGAACCTTTGGTTGCTCGGGTAGCGTTTTGAGTCTTTCCAACCGGCAATTCTCACATCGACTACTTTCCTTTTGGACCGTATCGACTTTGTTACCAGTCACGCACACATCGTACATTGATACCCAGCTTTTGTATCATTTTTTACTGTAAGTCAACCATTCATCTGACTCCTTTTATCTTGTTTGTTCCCTCAACTGACAGCTTCTCAAAGTTCTCAAGTCTGAAATCAGCCAAGATGAAGACTTTCACCAACATCGCCGCTGTCACCAGCTTCCTCGCCGTTGGCGCTGACGCCTTCTGGCGTATGGAATGCCAGGGCCGCGTTGGTCTCGCTCGCGTTGACCCTCTCATGACCTTCGGCAAGGCTGCTCCTCACGTTCACGCCATTCACGGCTCCAACGGTAAGTTTCTGATAAGAATTCTGTTCTTTCTTCTGAGAAAGAACAAAAAATCACGCCTTGGAATCGCGACTGACACTCTCACAGGAATCTCGCCCACCGCCGAGTTCAGCGACCTGGTTGCCGGCGACTGTACCTCTTGCCGTGTCAAGCAGGACATGTCTGCCTACTGGACTCCCGCTCTTTACTTCCAGGACTCGGCCACTGGCGAGTTCGAGGTTGTTGAGCAAGTCGGAGGAATGCTTGCGTAAGACCTTCAGTTCGTTTCTCTTCCAGTTTGATGCTAATCTTCTTAGGTACTATCTTCTTAATGGAAAGAATATCAAGGCATTCCCCCCCGGCTTCCGCATGATTGCCGGTGACACTGACCGCCGCAACTACACCGCCGGCGACCCCTCCAAGCCCGACCCTCAGAAGTCCGACTGGGTCACCTTGGGCCAAACCAAGCAGTCCGTCCTCGAGCAGCGCGCTGTTGGATTCAACTGTCTCAACTATGAACGTGCTCCTGAGGGCACTCTCTACCGCCACTTCCTTCCCGACAAGGATTACCTTGATGCCAACTGTGCCAACGGTGTCCGCTTCGAGATGATGTTCCCCTCCTGCTGGAATGGTAAGGATAAAGATTCTCCGGACCACAAGTCCCACATGGCCTACCCTGACCTTGTCATCGATGGTACCTGCCCTGAGGGATTCGAGACCTCTGTCCCCAACCTTCTCTACGAGACCATCTGGAACACCTACGCCTTCAAGAACCGTGCCGGCCGCTTCGTCATCTCCAACGGCGACACCCAGGGCTACGGATATCACGGCGACTTCATGTCCGGCTGGGATGAGGACTTCCTCCAGAGTGCTGTTGACACTTGCACCAACATGTCTGGCAGAATTGAGGATTGCCCTGTTTTCTCCCTTCAGAGCGAGAGCCAGGTCAAGCAGTGCTCGATGAAGATCCCTGACATTCTCTCCACCGAGGACGTCATCGGCCCTGACACGGTTCTGCCTGGTAACGTCCGCATTACCTTTGGCGATGGTTCTTCCGAGGGTGGTGCCGCTCCTGTCAGCTCTTCCACCATTGTTGCCCCTACCATCCCTACACTCACCTACAAGCCTGGCAAGACGGCTACGGCCAACCCCCTTCCCGGCCAGGTCTTCCACGAGAGCGGCAAGGCTAGCTATGGCTACGGCAGCACTTCGTCCACTGCCCCGGTTGTTGCCCAGGCTGCTTCTTCCGCTGCTCCTGAGCCCTCGACCCCCGAGCCCACCCCTACCCCGATCTTCGAACCCGTTACCACTGCCCCTCCTACCTCGACACCCAAGTTCGTGTCTACGCAGACGATCACGGACGGTAACACCGTGTCGATCATCCTCTGGGAGGAGGTGATTGTGTACGTGACCGAGTACGAGGACATCACCACGACTCAGACGGTCAGTGCCACGCCGACGCCCGCCGCCCTGCGCGCGCGTCACCTTCACCACCACCGTCGTCACCACTTTTAAGTGACCTCGAGTCTTTTATCAATTTTCTTTTTAGGAGGCTTTTCTCCATTTCGGAAAAGGGTTGCGAAAATTAGGGTTTGGGATTCGTCTGTCTGTACAGGACACGCATCAGGATGTGAAGTCCTTTTTTCTTTAGCAATGGAACCCTTTCTATGGAAAATGATTTGGCTTCGCATTGGTTTTTTCCCCATATCTTGCTCATGGAAACCTTTTGTTGTCTGGACAGTTCTGAGCAGACATGCTTTTTTCTTGAGGTAGCTAGCAAGTTATGGGCCTGGCATGGCGTGTCGTCATGAGATATGGTGATCATTAGGCGGCAAATCATGAAAGTCAAGTCGGTTCTTGCACGTCGTTTTCATGTGGATATTGAGTGAGCTGCCGAGTGTAGTTTGGAGGTTGCATGTTGTTGTAGGCATCGGTTGTGGTGTTACGGTTGCGAGTGCTTTCGTATGTTTTCGTAACCACTGAGTTCAAGTCCATTACCGTAGGCGTTGGATATTGAGAGATACCTTTGCTCATTATTGTTTAAAGTTATTATCATTTTGGATATGCTTGTGGTTATTACCACCTTGAGCCTACGTAGAGACCCGCTTGCAAGGCAACAAAGTGTATCCCTACACCCACCACAACCCGATCGATCCCGCCTCAAATCAACTGATTAACGTGGTCCGACTTTGACGAGCCGTTCAGGGTTCCCCGCACTTGGTTGCTTGCCCTCCCGCCATTCCGACAACCGACGTTGTCAAAGCAGAAACACAGAGGTTAGCGCACATATTCCGCTACTTTTCCGCCAAACGGCCTCTAGTAGCTCTAGACCGCATCCGGATACACCCGCTTGGATGGCCACAACGTTGACCTGCATACGCAGCAATGTTGAAGGGCTGGTCGAATCATGTAACGACATTCCCGACGCCACGGAAGCAAAGCCATGTGGTTTCCTTGTCTTAACGTCAGTCAACCTTTCTGTAGCTCATCCTTCGGCCTTGAACTCCCCCGTCACTCCGCCGTTATATTGTGTGGGCAGCCAAAGGAGCTACCCGAAGGCAGAAAATTCCAAGTCAGTCGTCTGTTGAATCTTCCATGATGACTGACATGCAGCAGTAACCTTTTTCTTTTCTTCCAAGCGACCCCTCACCGTCCCAAATCCCCCATGCGGCTCCATCTTTCTTCGGACGGTGACCTTCCGCACGTCTAGGCTTCGCCGCTCATGGGGTTGCATTTCTCCTGGACTGCAACGCTGCTGCCACCAACAATTGACGTTTACTTTTTATTTTTCGTCGGGGAGAGCTTATTTGCTTCTCCTCATCTGATGAATTGACCCCTCATCGTCCGAACCCCTCACTGCAGCGTTTTGTTTTTGGGAACGACCTGCGTAGAAAAGGGCCTTGGCTTTCCAGAACCCCTGGTCCAGAACGACTGATTGCGACGCTGCGGGCTTCCTCCAACGACGTCGACCCCCCCAGAGCGGAGGCGGATAACGATGGCTCGAGAATGGAAAAGATCCATCATCGGCGTCGCCTTGTTCCTGTTCATTGCGGGGATAGTAGCCCAGCAGTGGGCCTGGGATGGCCTTGGGGTATGTTGCATCTCGTTTCCCTGGTCCGGATGCTACTGAGGGGACCGCTTCGTTAATGTATGGAGATGAATTGTGTGTGTGTGTGTGTGTGTGTGTGTGTGTGTGTGTATGTGTGGTATAAGCTTGCGTATATGAATACCTTCCTTCCCAGTCCCCATCTCATGTTCCCCTCGTCCTACCGGGTCAGCCTTTTCTCGGCCGTCGTCAAGTACACCCTCGCGAGGCTAGAGTGAATTGGTTGATTAAATCAAACGCAAACCCAGACTTGCCATAACCCGCGGCCCCTCGACATCTTCAAAATGCGCTCCGCCGTTCTCCCCGTCACCGCCGGCCTGGCTTCCGTGGCTTCGGCGCTTGTGAGCCGTGACGGAACAGGACGCCTGCCGGCCTTGGGATGGAACTCGTGGAACGAGTACGGGTGCGACATCAACGAGACCGTGTTCCTCAACGTCGCCAAGCTCATGGTCGACCTGGGTCTCAAGGACCTCGGATATGAGTACGTTAACATTGACGACTGCTGGAGCGACAAGGAGCTGCGGAGAGACAACGTCACGAAGGAGATCATCGTCGACTTGAAGAAGTTCCCTCAGGGGATCAAACATACTGTTGATTTGATTCACCAGATGGGGTTGAAGGTTGGCATCTACAGCGACGCGGGTGAGTTTAATTTACTGGGGATAAGTTTAGAGTGTGTCAACGCGTAATGCGAACGCGTGGGAAGAAGTTTTCACTGTTTGCAGCGCCTGCGTGAAGCTTCGGGGAATGCTACGATGACCTAGTGTTTGGCGATGCGACAGTCTGTCTGACTGACACTCCTTACAGGAACATCCACGTGCGGTGGCTTTGAGGGATCACTCGGCTACGAGGAAATCGACGCCGCGACCTTTGCTAAATGGGGTATCGATTGTGAGTTCTTCGTATTTATCCCTCACTTCGCTTCTCTCCCTCTTCTCCCTCTATACTACTCACTTACTACCTGTGCTGGGGGAACCCCCACAATGTCTTGGATTCCAAGTTGGTATGAATTGCTAATATACCTTCGCCACAGACTTGAAGTACGACAACTGCAACGTACCCAAGGAATGGTTCGACGACTGGAAATACGTCCCCGAGCTCTGGCTCGGCGGCCCTCCCAATGAAAACCAGGACAATGGCGACCCCGTCAACTCCAAGACAGGCAAGCCTGCGCCCGCCGGCTACGACTGGTCGACCTCGGTCACGGCCGACCGCTACCGCCGCATGCGCGATGCGCTGCTCGACCAGGACCGCACGATCCAGTACTCCCTCTGCGCCTGGGGCCACGCCCACGTCGAGGCCTGGGGCAACGAGACGGGCCACAGCTGGCGCATGTGGGGTGACATTTACCCTGAGTGGTACGGCCAGCACCAGTGGTCATGGGGCCTCATGCCCATCCTCAACCACGCCGCCTTCTGGTCCGGCCCGGACGTCAACGGCTTCTGGGGCCACGGCGACTGGGACATGCTCGAGGTCGGCAACGGCAACCTGACTTACGAGGAGAGCAGGAGTCACTTCGCCTTCTGGGCGGCCCTCAAGAGCCCGCTCATCATCGGCACCAAGCTCGACGGCATCAAGCCCGAGATCCTCGAGATTCTCGCCAACAAGGAGCTCGTCAAGTTCAACCAGGACCCGGAGTACGGCGCCGCGGCCCAGCCGTACAAGTGGGGCGTCAACCCCGACGGCGCATGGAACCTTACTCACCCTGCCGAGTTCTGGTCCGGCAAGAGCGTCGACGGCACGCACGTCTTCGTTCTCAACACTCTCTCTGGCACCGAGAAGAAGACGGTCGCGTTCAAGGACGTGCCGGGGTTGGCGACGGCCAAGAGGTACGTCGTCCACGACATGTGGACGGGCGAGGACCTGGGTGTGTTTGAGAACGAGGTCACGGTCGAGCTGGCGAGCCACGACACGGCGGCGCTGAGGATCAGCGAGTACAAGTGTGTCAAGAAGAAGTCTGCGGGTTTATGAACGTCGTTGTGGTGTCTGGGTGAAGGGGACTTTATCTGGACGCAAGGGAGTCAGAAGGTGATGATTAGTTAAGTCACACACGACGAGGTCAAACGCGAAAGGGAAATACACAGGAAACAAAGTAGTTTATTTACTTCCTTCCCTTTTTTTTTTTTCTTTCTATTAAGCAGTTCTCCCTAAAAAAGAATGGATTGTTTTATTTCCCGCCAACATGCAACTCATCTTACATTAATGAGCATTGCTGATGTTCATCAAACCCGCCGCGTGCCAGAATCCAGCGAAGCTATTCCCAAAACTTGACCGCGCCACCCAGCCAAGGGCGCGAATTTATATTACATCACGTTCCCACTTCCCACCTGAGAGAAAGTCACTCGGAACGTTTGTCTGCAGGCTAACCTCCGCGAGGCTCGTGGAAACGCCGCTGCGTCGGAAGTCTTCCCCCCTCCCCACCGCGAGGAATGTATTCCCCGTGACAACGCAACGAGAATGCATTCCCGAGGCCTGATTAGACTGAGACCAAGTTTTCCTAAAACGCACCACACCACCCACCAGTCGTCATGAACGAGCAGGTTGGCAACAAAGGTTTTCGTTTCCAATATGCGCCAGCCATTCTCATTTCCTGGGCTTATTTGCCTGTAGAAGGAAAAAGAGACCTCCGGAGGCAAACTTTTTACAGCTGCAAAGACCCTGTTTATTTTTTTTTTCCTTTTGCTTTCCCTCTCTTTTCCACTTCGGTCACTGATCTTCCCCATTCCCAAAACACTTCGTGCCATTCTTGCGTTGTTTACTCACACCACCAAACTGAGAGTTCCTCGCATTGCTACCTCATCATATTCTCTCCGATTCGTGCTAGCCTATACACCGTTTTCCCTTTCCTCCGATTCCATCACAGGAAGATACACACACACACACACACACACACACACACACACACACACACAAGTGAGGGCAAACGAAAGGTGGGAAAAGAGGAGAAACCTATACCGCTTCCGCATCATGAGGCTTCAGCATCGTGGTGTCATCATCGTCTTTTCCACGTCCGCCCGTGCCACGACGCTGTCTGGATCCCTACTCTTGTAGTGAGCGAGGCTCTCGCACGTCACCACCCACATCAAGAAAAAGAAAAAAAAAAACACACACACACACACACACATAGAAGCAAAAGCGCCTTGGGGTTCCGAAAACACTTCGCTCACCACCATGTCGTCCTCGCCTCTCGTCGGCCGTGAAGACTCGGCAATCATCGAGGGGACCGGCGGCATGACTCTCCCCGTTCTCCTCGCCATCGCCATAGGAGGTGGGCTCCTCCTCTTCATCTGTCTCGCCTTCCTCCTCGTCGCCCTCGCCAGCCGTCGTCACCGTACAAAGACACTCTCCCCACGATGTATGTCGGGGGAAGACGACGAGGTCGCCTCGGACGGCGGCCCGCCTCACACTTCCAGCTCCAGCCCTCGCCCCCGCCGCCTCACCAAGACGCAGCCGAGACACGGCGGCCACCAGACGTACATGGACATGGTGGAGATCCACGAGCAGCAGCCGCACCGCTCCCTGGCGTCCATCATGAGCGTGCCGCGGAGCAAGACGTTCGACGTATTTGGCGCGCCGGCCGAGGCCGCCGAGGGCCAGCAGAGGGGCGGACACATGAGGAGGAACCACAGCTGGATCGATGAGGACGCGATCCACGGCCCAAAGGTGCAGAGGGACGAGAGGCGGCTGAGCATCCGCGACAGCTTCATCTTGAGGACGCCGACGCTGCCTGATATGGCGGGGTTCAAGGAGGAAGAGGCCTTCGCGGACAGCCGGTTCCACGGCGATGACCATCAGCAGCACCCTTACATCATCCAGCAGCCCCGGCCGGTGAGTCTGCCTCCGCAGCGGAGCCAGCAGCCGAGGATAACGATCCAGACGGCCGCGTCGTCGTATGAGCACGCGGAGAAGATGGCTGCCGCGGCGAGGTGTAGTGCTCCGCCCGGTCCGCAGGTGCAGAGGGTGGGATCTTTGCAACGGCTGCGGCACAAGACGACCGAGTCCGACCTCGCTGAGATTCTCCGGTCCACGGAGGAGAGGTTGCAAAGCGTCACGCCGATGAATAGTAGACCTGCCACGCGCCAGAGAGCGAACTCTGCTTCGGCCGGTTCGAGCGTGCTGACTCCGCGAGGATCCCCGACCAAGTCACAGTCACCTGTCAAGATTAGCTCACCGGTTAAAGCGCCGCCCGGCTCGCCGACTAAACCTCACTCTCCGATAAAGTTCGACTCCCCGGTGAAGCGCGATATGGTGGTAGACCAGGTTGGGTTTGCCATGGGCGCGTTTACACAGCAGCAGCAGCAACAACAACCTCAGCAGCGCATGCGCACACCTAGTCCCCAAAAGAGACTATCGGTGGTATCAGCGCACACGCCTGACCCCCGTCACAAGCGTAATATCTCACAAATATCGATTACTTCCGACGGAGACAGTTTGTTCGGCGAGACGACGCCGGAGATTGAAAATATCCTCTCCATGGGGCTGACGAGCCCAAGTAGGCGGTCCAATGACAACTCCCCAGCGAATGAGGCCAAGCCCGAGGACAGGTGTATGTCGATTGGGTCGCTCGGAAGCAACGCCTCGTCTTCGTTGTCGACGTTGTATAGCGTCAACGAACCGGAGGACGACAGCAAGACTGGCGGAGGGGTACACGGCGAGGGCACCGTCCGCGGCCGGAAACCAAAGGGCCTCGTCATCGACACGCAAATATGCGATCCCTTCATCACACCGCCGGATGTACCACCCCGAAGCCCTAAACGTCTGTCGGCAAGCTTACCCCCGCTCCGCCGGGTCACGCCGCCAGAGGAGAAGACACCGGTCGACTGCAAATCAGCGAGCAACTCCCCGCATCCGAAGCGAGGCAGCACGGCGGAAAAGAACCAGCCGCGACTGTCTATCCTAATGCACGCGCCCAGCCTACCCCCGTCACCAGATACAATACGTCCCAAGAGCGTGACGTCGATGAAGCCCGTCGTCCTCGTCTCCAGCACTACTGTAGTCAGCATGAAAGCCAGCCCAGGGACGTCACCAGAAGGCAACGCCCAGCCGGAGACGCCAACGAATAAACCAAATACGGGCCAGAAGACCAACGTCTTCCCGCCTCCAATGAACCTACACCCGGCTCTCGAGTCACCGACCCGCGAAGTATCGGTGATGGAGAGCCCAGAGGGCAACATATCTTTGCTTGGGGGAAGCATCTCCCCCAAGATCCGCCCTGCAAGGAACTCCCTCCACGGATCCGGTCCCGCGTCGTCCCCTCCGCGTCTGCCGCTTCCCAACCCGGAGCTCCACCGCGAACCGAGAAACGGCTCGCCAACGCCGGGAAGACATAAACGCCGCGGCATGCGCAGTCCCGCTCTCGGACGCACGCTCTCCCGCCAATCATCCACCTCCAGAGACCACCGCGCCGATTACCCTTCCATCATCCTCAACCCGTCAGGCTCGCCGAAGCGGAACTCGTTCCATAGAGATTTCGCAGTAATGGGCTTACAATCGACGGTCGCGCAGCTCCGACGGATGAACAGCCAGATGAGCACCCTCAGCGGCGGATCCTCCGTCTCGGACCCGGAGAGCCCCACTTTACCTAATATGCGCGGCGGCGGGTTCAGCCCCGATAGGAGTAATAGCCGCGTGAGCAAGATCGGGCGACAGAATTACCTGGCGCTTGGCAACCCGAAAGCAAAGCGGAACACGCGGTCGTCTATCAAGGGGGCGCGGAACTCTATTGCCGTGATCAAAGGCCGACCTGGTGCGAACGCGAGGTTGGAGACGCTGAGGGCGGCGGTGGAGGAACAGGAGAACGAGGCGAGGGTGGTCGGGGTGGTGAGGGGCCCTAGGCCGCTTGAACCGTCGCCGAGGTCGCAGAGAACGATAACGCGTGAAACAGGGAGCCCTGAGAAGAGCCCGGGGAGGTCGCTGGGGGAGACGTATGGGGGCGTGAGTGGGTTAGAGTCAGAGACGGAGGCGTCACCGAGCAAGCTGTCACCGTCGCGTGGTGGTCTGATGGCGGACGCCATCGGGATTGTCCGGTTTTGAGGCTTCGAGTTAGCCTCGTGGGGTTTTCATTTGTCTTGGAAAAAATAATCATAATGATCGGTCTTATCCGGTTTTATAGCGGGGGGGTTTTAAGCGAGTATTTTGTGGTGTTGAATGTCTCACGCAGAGCACGACGTCCATGTATTGTCTAGGGAGCATTAGCAGATATCATAGTCACCCAATTTCACACGAACCAAAGTCAACACATCGTCAGACGCAGGCGGCATGTCTCGTGCCGAGAGACTCCATTATCAGGGAAAAAATCAGGCGTGAGTTTGAGAGAGAAATGGTATCCCTACCTCGCTTTATTGAGTCCGGGCCCCTAACCATGGTATCATGTCGTTCCTCGTCACACTGTCCCCCCACCCACTCAGTCTACTGCTCATCGACACGCGGCCGCTTGTTCTCTGAGTCCTCATGTCCGTTCACCCCGTCGTTGACCTCGTCGCGGGCCCTGACTCTACCTGCACCCTCGCCAAGTTCGCCCGCGTTCTCGCCATCCTCGCCCTCCTCGCCGTTCTGTCCACCAATCCAGTTTCCATCGGCGTCAAAATGCAAATGTACGTTCTCCGCCGTGATCCATCCGCCGCTGCCGGGGAATGCAGGGGGCAGACCCCCGTCGGCAGCGCCGTGCAAGACGCCAGTGTATCCCTCTACGGGTTCGTGGTCGCCCTCGAAGATGATCCTGCCGTCTTCGTCCTCGTCGTCCTCATCGGCGGGGTCAGGGTGGAGATCGGAGCACGCAGAGATGGCATCGTAGAGCTTCTGCACATCGGCCTGTGCGCCAGCCGTCACCGCGGGTACAAGGGTCAGATCGATCGTGTTGAAATCGTCGTCGCCGTCGCCGCCGTCCGCGAGCTCCAATTGCATCCAGATAGCCTGGAGCGGTGTCGCATCCCCAATGGTACCGACTTGCTTGACTGCGTGGATCGAGATTGACGGGTAGGGAATCAAGACGCCAGCTCCGGCGGCCGTTGAGAAGATTGTAAAGTTTCTGCCATCCAAGTTAGCCCCCAGCCATTGAAAACACCCCGCGTCCAAGAGGTGTACATACTCTGAGTTAACAAAGACGGAAACCTGCTGCTCCGTGAGCTCCTCTCCCAGTTCCCTCAACGTCGTGCCCTCAGGCGCCGTCGCAGTCGTAGAAGCATCGGCGGGAAACACAGCCAGGCTGCCCTTCTGCGACGCGGGGATCCATGCCTTGGCACCCTCGAGGTGGTAATGCAGCACAGGTTTGCCGCCGAAGAAGGTCTCGGGAGTCTGGGACTGATGCTCCTCGATCGGGATGTAGTCTCCCACGGCAGGGGGGGAACGAATTGTTGTCGGCAACATGGTGATTATGTGTGAAAGGTCCTTGAGCGGACTCTGCTTTGGTTCTGCTGTGAGACCCTTCATGGTGGGGGCTGAAGTTGCTGGCTGTGGAAGCTGGATGTAAGTGGACAAGCTCTTATCATTATCACCACGTGATTCAGGAGTATGATGATGTAATCATGGGGAAGGTGAAAAGAGGGAAGGCGGTGAAGATCATTGCTGAGGAATACGTACCCGGCTCCACAATGGGGAGGGGGTCTGAGCTCTCCACACCGATGTCGTTCCGCCTGTCGTAATTAACCCTTTTGCTAGAGTTGGTCGCGGGGACGACAGAGCTTCGCATTGACTGGGCTTAGAGGCAACCAACACCTCACACATCCCTCTACGGCTTTTTCTTGCGAGGAGTTTCGAGCAGTTGACACGCTGCAGACTGACCTCATGCACTTCTCCCTGAGCTGATCCGTCTTCCAAAACGGCATTTATCCCCATCAAATAGTATCGATCCGAGATCAGGCCGCCCATAATGTATAGCAACCGTAAGTAACCCTCCCCCTTCATTCCTCGCCTCTTTTTACAGATTCAAAATGCTCACAGATGACAAGGCTCCCACCCGCTCCTAGAGCAGGTCCCATTGACCGTCTCCCCCTTCATCTCCCTTCCGGCGGCCACGACCTTGTCCTATAACTACAAGGCGATGCCCTCTGCCCTGCCGCCCTCAGCGACGGGCGTCCCGGCTGCCGTGACCGACGAGGCCGCCGCCTCAACAGACCCCTCGGCGAACAAGCCCAAGTATGTCATCTCGCAATCTGGTCACGCCGCACACCCGGACGACATCATTGCCTCGTGCCGCGCACTACAGGCGCATATTACAAAGATGCAGGAGGACGCTGAGCGCGACCTGCGGGAGCTCGAGGAGCGTATTCAGGCGCGCGAGTTGGCTGAGAAGAGACGGGTTGCCCCAGGCTGGCTGGACAGTGACGCGAGGCTTCTCGAGCCCGAGAGGCCTGCCGGGTCCACAGAACCCGATGCGCAGACCGCGGCGGAACACGCAGGCACGAGCGAGATGCCGGCAAACGACCAGGGAGCGGAGCTGGATAGGGTTTTTGGGGGTTTGAGCATGAAATGAGAGGTCATCCCGGGCCCTCTGAGAGAGAGAGAGAGAGAGAGAGAGAGAGAGAGAGAGAGAGAGAGAGAGAGAGAATGAGGGACAGGGAGTGAGAGAACGTGCACGATGTGCGCTGCCTTCGTGTGTTGGTATATGCCTTCATCCAGCGGGCGACCATTTTATCATGACGTGATGGGTATGGCGTTATTCATGGCATTGGGGCCCCATTATTATTATGTATTTATTTTTGTTTGTGTTTTGGGTCTTGGGCTTCGGCTCTCGGCGGACAACTGATATCACGCTTTATCATCCGGCTGGAGAAACCGGCTTGGAACATGAGTCTCGCTAGTATTTGTTTTTATTGACAGTCAACCACGCAACTGTTTTCTTCTTCTTCTTTCAGGCTTCGGCTATCTTTGACCGGCGGCCGCTGATTTTGTTAAAACGTGGTTAGCTCGCACGAAGCGCTAGTGAGGAAACTGCGACCATAAACCTTGTCCTTCCACGAGGTCCCATCAAATTTTTCGTGAGACATTTTGCCCAGGTTATTGATTTACTATTGGATCCAACGTGTTGGTGCCGAAAGTCTGTTTCTAGAACGCGCGGGAAACGCCGTAGTAGCGTGCGACAATGGTCATGGCGCTGTCGATCACGTAGACGGTATGTGTTTGTTGTGTGGCTGAATGGCTCATTATCAACAGCTTGCCTATGTGGTGTTATCAAAAGGACAGTTACGACAAGGCTCGAGACATGGTGAAGAATCCAGGACATCATATCGGTGAATTGATAATTATGATTGTAACTTTGTACAAGAAACTGTCTATACGAATCTAGACGAATGGTCCTGAGGATACGAAATCCTCACCAACCGCCTACGCAAGCTCAAAGTCAAACTTGGTCTCCTCCAAGCTCTTCTTGCTCCATTGGTGCACCAACCGGTCTCCAGAGCGCTTCTTCTCCCGGAATAACGCCTCAGTAAGGTACTTGTACAGCCAGATGCTGGCTCCGTTGTACACGATGCTGTGGTCGCTGTCGGTGAAGGTCAGCCAGTTCATCTTGGTGTTGGGCACTCCCGCGCTGACGAGGAGGTCGATGAGCGCGGCGGCGTTCTGGTAGTGCACGTTGTCGTCGCCGGTGCCGTGCAGGATAGTGAACTCGCCGGCAATATTCTTGAAGCCGTCGGCCTTGCGCACGGCCGTCTCATTGTAGCCCTCCTCGTTCGCGTCTAGGGTCTTCATGTAGCGCTCGGTGTAGAGCGAGTCGTAGAAGCGCCAGTCGCTCACGGGAGCGACGATGAGTGCGGAGGAGAAAACTCCAGAGTCCTGCTCGACAACCTTGGCGGCGAGGTATCCGCCGTAGGACCAGCCAAAGATGCCAATCTTCTCGGCGTCAATAAAGGATTTCTTGGAGGACAGCTCCTCGGCAGCCCAGATCTGGTCGACGGGCTCGAGGCGGCCGAGATGGCCAGCGACGGTGGAACGGAAAGCGCGGCCCTTGTAGCCTGTGCCGCGGTTGTCCACCGTGTAAGTGATATACTCGAGCTCGGGGTTCGAGGCGATGAAAGCACGCCAGTTGATGGACTGGTATCGCTTCGTGACCTCTTGGGCACCAGGACCTCCATAGGGTGTGAAGAGGGCAGGGTACTTCTTGGACGGGTCAAAGTTGGCGGGCAGACGCTGCATAACGTTCAGGCTGTAACCGTCAGGGTGTGCGAGCTCAAGGTAGGTGATGTTGGGGAGCTTGTACTCCTGCAGGCGGGCGACGAGGGCCTCGTTGCTGGTGATGGTTCGGAGAGGCTCGGTGGAGTTGACAGAGTAGAGCTCTTGGTAGGGGACGTTGGGGCCCTGGTAGGTGAGGATGTAGTAGCCTCCAGAGGCGGAGAATGAGGCGCTCCAGTAGCCGGCGACGGTGTCGTCAACCAGGGCCTTCTTGGTGCCCGAGGGATAAGACACAGAGTAGAGATGGCGCTCCGTGCTGTGATGCTCCGTGGAGAGGTAGTAGATGAGGCGGCGCTCGGTGTCGATCTTGAGAACGGCGGTGACCTCCCACTCGCCGCTGGTCAAGGCAATAGCATTGCCACCGTTGACGGGGTAGAGGTAGAGGTGGTTCCAGCCGGAGACGTCAGAGAGGTCGAGGTAGTACGCTTCAGTGGTGTTTTGGAGGGGGCCGAGGTACTCAATGCCCTGGTTGTTGTCGAGCCAGCCGTCGGAGCCATCGCGTTCGCGAATGGTCTTTGAGGCAACACCCTCAACATCGACGCGGACAATCTTCTCCTGATCCTGGACGCGGTTGAAAGCGCGGTAGACGAAGCTGGCGTGCTTGTCGGTAACCCATTTCAGCTCGCCAACGACGAGATCATCAATGGGGAAAGCATCAATGGCAACTGGAGTGATGTCCTCAGTCTCGACGTCCAAAAGAGTCAGCTGGACGGTCGGGTTCTTGCTGCCGACCTTGGGGTAACGCAGATCCAGCTCAACGGGGTAGGGAGGAGCGATCTTGTTGCCACCCATAAAGTAGGGGATAGTGAAGGTCTCGACACCAGTCTCGTTGAAGCTGAGATAGGCGACATATTTGCCGTCTGGGGAGAACCAAAAGGTGCTGCGGCTGCCGAAGATTTCCTCCTCGTACACCCAGTCAGGAACACCATGGAAAAGATCGGGACCGCCGTCCTTTGTGATCTGGGAGATTGTGCCATTCTTGCTCAGGTAGAGGTTGTTGCCTCGGACAAACGCCTAGAGTAAATGCCGGGGTTAGCTGTGGTCCCTAGAAGCCCGAGCTCCCAGGAAAAAGAAACAACTCACAATGGCATCGCCGACCGGCGAAAATTCAGCGTACTGAATGTCGCCCACCTGATCGTCCACCAGCGGCACAGTAACGCCGGACTCGACATCAAGGATGGAGTAATCGGCAAAGTACGAGTGGCGGTACTGCTTGGTTGTGTTGGTGGCGAAAAGAACCTTCTTCTGGTCGGGGCGGATCCAGTAGTCGGCGTAGCCCTCTGGAGCCTTGTCGGCGGAAACGAAAGTCTCGTTGGCGCCAGTAACGATGTCCTCAATGATGAAATCCTCAGCATCGGAAAGGTAGATGAAGCGGCCATCCTCGGCACCTGAGAGCCAGCTGACGGAGCGGGAGCTGGCACCGAAGCGGGGCGATACGACGGTCTCGTTCCAGGTAACAATATGATCACCACCTCCGACAGGCTGGTGAGGCTCACGGTCGATAGCGGAAGCGGAACCCAGAAGGAGGGCGCTAGCAGCGACGGCTTTCAAGAGACGCGCCATTGTGTTGTCGGATTGCGTCCTCTGTGTAGTTCTTCGTCTCCTGCTACTGCCGACAACTTCGTCTGAACGAGGAGTAGACGAAGAGAAGCAAGAGCCAAAAGAGAGCGGGGAAAAGGTCCCGTCCGGAGTGCCCCCAAGTTTTTATAGCTTCTCCCCAACCCAAGACATGCATTGACCGAATGACATTGAATGGAGACGATGCAATGGCTTATCGGGCAGGTCGATGTCAATTGGGTTGCAGCGCGGGCTCCACGATATGGCGAGGCCCCGTTGATCGTTCATTCGGTCTGTGGAACGGCCCACTGGAAGCGATGGTCGTTGGGCAGGTTACATGTCGTGCTCGTGGTGCCAAGACAGCATCATATGGAGCTCTGAGAGCTACCATGTATATACCGGCGGGTGTTGGTCTCGGCAATGAGCTCTGAGTGGCCAGGTTTAGTCTGGCGAGACTTTGGAGCGTGGTGTTGTTGTTTGTTGGTGGACAAAAGATCCTGGGGCCATGAATATGGACCTGCCAAAGTCGGCCTAAGTTCCCATGTTCCAAGACTTTTGGAAAGAAAAAAACAAAAGACGTTGGAGAATGGGTCACTCGCGTACGCTACCGGTATTTAATAACGTGTATTGGCTTTGAGCGGCTTGTTTCTGGTTGAAATAATGAAAGCGTTGTGAGCACGCGAAAAGAGCCAAGACTTGAATTAGAGTAGGTGGTGGCCCAGGTCGATGCCTGTTCGGGAAGGTTACACTTGGACTGGAGTGGCTGGTGTACTACCAGTATTGGAAGTAGTACAGTATGAATACATAGTATGGATATACATACCTTGTGTATACACAACGGGTGGGGGGTGGACCTGGGACAAGAGAGACAGTGTCTGGAGGGGGATGAAGAGAAGAGAGGGAATAAAAAAAGATTAAAAAAAAAAAAAGGAAAAAGAAAAAAAAGATAGTAACGGCAATGTCGCTGCCAATTGCCAATGCCGATAAATGTTCTCCATGCATCCATAATGTGATCCCCTTTCAGTGCGGGCAGCCCCAGCCTCCCCACCACATCACCCACCACACCACTACTGCTACTAATACTACCACCACTACCACCACCACCACCAAGCGATCGAATCCTGCTTGCTACACTGCCGACGGTATATATTCTTTTACGTACATCAACACTGCGATCACAGCATGCAGGGCATCTTTGCCTCATTCCTTGGTAGTGACGGGGCCCCGTCTACTATGTAACCGCGCCCATGCAGGACATGTGTACTGAGCGGCAGCTTCTCATTTCGAGCGATGCTTTTAAGACTAAAATGACTAATCACATTATGATATGAGAGAATGTGACCCCTTTTTTGAAATCCGATTCCGGAACCAATGAAGAAAAGGTCGCATTATGCGATGGTCTGGCCTGATCAACCACATTTGTGAGAAGATAGTGAGAGAGAAAAAAAAAAAAAAAAAAAGGTGGTGTGTGGGTGTGTGTCTCACTGCTGACCGTGTCTAAGCGTCCCCGCCTAGGCGGAAGCCTAACGGAAGCTCCCCGGACAGCCATTAGAGGTTCCTGTCCCCCGCTAATAGTGCCCGTGCGCTGCCTCTGATCGACGGGTGTTCGGCGGGCTTTAAGCCGCCGAAGTCTTATCCGACAGCGATTGGACGCCTACTGCCTTTAAGCTAGAGCAGAGCAACTCACCTTCGGTGTGGGGGGACATCAGAGACACACCACACATATCCAGCCCTTCTTTGTCATTGTCAGCCAGCATCTTCCCTCCATCCTCGTCTCGCCGACCATCTGTGGTTTGTCCTCTCCTATCAAGGGACCATTCTAGATCAGGCTGACCGCTCCCTCGTCCACAGCATAGAATCCTCATTATCTGCGTACTATGTACAAATTAACTGAGACAGGGCTAAGCCTCCTCCACCCCTCCCCCTCAACGTTGTGTGTTCAGCTTTTAACCAGGGACCATCACATAAGAGACAAGGGACATTCCGCAAAAGCAACTCTGCTCGAGCGGAAGCGCCTCCGCGGCACAGATCAATAAATATGAACCCATGCATTTTCCTTCTCCAATGACGACCTTCTGCCCACGGCCCCTCCATGTCCCCCGCCTGACCAAGAATTCGAGCTCACCACCGACTCACCTTACTCACCTGAATTCCCCCATCAGGAGTCCTCTCAATACTCTCCGGGATAGACATCTATCGCCTATAGCGGCCCTGTTGTCTCATTGTCGTGTCTTACGTCACATCTTCGCCAAATGCCATGAAATGGGACGAGATGTGACTTGTAGACGACCACGGCTAAGCTCGTCCGGGGATGGACGAGCCTATCGACAGCATTAATCCCGATCTCAGCCTGCATGTCACCCTTACCCTCTTTCGACCCTTCGACGCACACACTCACACACACACTAACACTCCTCGTCTCTGCCAACGGGCTCAGGATCCAAGCAAACCCATAGATCATGATCCCGCTAAGGGCCGTAGCTCCCGCATCTGTCAGTTATCGAATGTGACTGACGGGACGAGACGACGCGCCTTGCCAGGAGCACCCCCGCCATGCCACCAATCATCACCCGCCTAGTGTCATGCATCCTGTCCATGAACGGATTCGGTCGATTTTCAAGTGATGATGGCGTCCGTGATATCATCTTACGCCCGCCTCACTTCTGGGGGAACTCGGTCCTATGGTCGGAGAAGGCGCGAGGTGAGACAGTCGACGACGACAATCACAGCCAAAGAGGGGGGAGAGGGAAGAGGGCCCGAGCAATTTGGGGGTGGTTTGATTATACCAAAGACCGTCTTAGGACTTCTTCGCGAAGGTCTGGTCTCACTCGGTGGGAAGGGGGTTACTCACCGGCACCCCTGAACCCCAGAATCCCATCATGTCAACTATCAGATGCATACAATGACCCAAGTCCCGCACACCTGGTTAATTATCCTCCAGGCATTCGCTGACCTATCCCAAACCTGCACCTTGCCTGTCCAAAAAAAATAAATCAGTCCATTGAGAGGAAAAAGAATCTTGAGAATCTCTTGAACCATGATCCCATCAGATGTGATGGAGACACCCACTGTTCCCAGTCAAAGCTGACGCCAATCACTACCGCTGCTTGCCAGAACAAAGCAGGTGGTTCACTGTCGGACTCTTACATCCGGGGGGTGGTCACTAACTCACTCTTCTGACCCAGACCTCTCAACACAGTGAACCACACATCAACCATTCCAGAAGGACTATTTGAGAAGCTGGCGATCGCTAACGACCAGGAACAATCTCCCCTCGACGCCAAACAACATAAGAAAACCATAAGAACATTGACAACCCTGAACAATAAGATCCAATGAAACTCAACACAGCAGCACAGCGACCTACAAGACTCACCATGGCTATGACTACCAAGTCCCCTATTAGGGAGGACTACGTCCGCCAGCTCACCCCCTACATTACTTTCCTGTCAGCTCTCAGCAGTGCCGGCTCTTCCGCGAGTTTCAAACTCGTCAACTTCTCCGACCTCGAGAGCGTCCGTAACCTTCCCGGCAAGACTGGCGCTAGAATCGTCAGCCTGAAGTCGTCGTTCGACCTCCCCAGTGGCCCCTCACGCTTCGTCTTCAAAGGCATCGACTATGAGCGGTACAAGAAGGACGGCCGGGATTTTAGAGAACACCAAGAAAAGACGCTCCTCCACGAGATCCGCATCCTCTGCACCGTGCCGCCGCACCCAAACATCATGCCCCGCCCCAAGATCCTCGTCGTAGTCCAAGACCACGACGAAAAGGACCACATCTGCGGCTTCATGCAGCCCGTCATGTCAAAGGACTCTGTGGACGAACAGGTCATGCGCGCCAACCACAAGGGAGCGCGCCTGCCCCTCGCTCTAAAGGCCAAGTGGTGTTACCAGATGGCTCTCGCAATTCTACACACCCATCGGGTCGGCAAAAGCTACCACATGGATTTGAAACCCGGCAACATAGTCGTCGACGACGAAGACAACCTGAGACTCGTCGACTGGGAACAGAGCGGCGTGTCAATGTTCACGCACCCGCCCGAGGTCACCATCGATCAGGAGGCCGAAGAGTCTTCCACGGTGTTCAGCAAGCCGGGCAGGCGCAGGATCATCTACACGCCTCACGTCGGCGCCCCGCGCAAGAACCAGAAGTGGGGGTTCCCCGACTGGAACGTGTTCCCGGAATGGAAGCGTACGTGCCCGCGCGCGGCGGAGTTGGCCGAGGTCTTTAGCCTGGGTCGGACGATGTGGATGCTGCTAGAGCAAGTCGAGCAGTCCGCCGACCCGACGGTGTGGACGGCGGCGTCCAAGGACATCCCGAGGAAGTGGAAGGTGATGGTCATGCGGTGCATCGAGAGGGACCCGAACGACCGGCCCGAGTTGGACGAGGTGGTGGATTTTTGGCGGAAGCAGATGTGACATTTTCGCTGGGTACAAGGGAGGCATACACTCGTTTGGGGAGTTGTGATAAAAACCTCCCCCCCGCATGTACAATATTATTAAAACATTCATAGAGGCCAAGCGGTGATTTTCTGAGTTAGTTAGTACAGTTACACAAAGTACTCTCAACGCGCGCGTCTCTTTTGTGCATGTCTAAAGTCTAAAGTTGGGACATTCAAGCTGCATTTCACTGTTTAACATGATTCTAACAACCAACTTGAAATCTTTCAATTTCCAAAGTAAGACGTCTCTTGAAGAGCTTCCAGAAAAGTCAAGTCAACTGCAGAGGTGTTATCACGCCATCTGACCTCGGAGTCAAATCAGATTCTCTCAAAGAACACTCCCATCACTTACAACCTATTGCAACAGCACAAATCAGCACCACTCAACAAGAAGCGCCATACTCAGACATCCCCATACCACATTTCCAAGCCCAGCACCATCATCATTGGGCCGATCTCTTTCCCAAACCCCAACAAGCCCGCATGGCCACTTGGACCAGGAAATCCAAATCCGGTGCCCATTTCATAACGGCCGTGAGGAAAAAAAGGTCGAATAAACATATGCCCCAAAGGGAAAGTGAAACTCGCAGAAATCCCAGCGGGCCTAACGTAATTCGCCACCGGGCCAAGCTCCAGCTAAGGGAGATGCGGGTTTCACTATATGGAGTTCTGGACTCTTTCCTTGTATCCCAAGGGATCCTTGTCATCCGCCCCGCCATGAACTATCCTCCCCGAAAAAAAAAAGGTCGGCAGTTTATCGACTGATTGCGCGAACCTTGTCGCCCCCGGCAGGCCATGGTGTTGCTGATTTTCTGCAGTCGCGGACTACTATTGCCTAGTTCGTGGCAATCCCGAGTGAGACTCTAGGGCGACGAGGTCCGTTATAGGCCTAGGGCGGCCGTTGGAAGTGGGATGTCTGAGGTTTTTAAGGAGGGTAGCTAAACCTGTCTTGATTGTAAAGAATGGGAGAGCGTGGGATTGATGTATCCGAAATTTTTACTTTTTTCTTTCTTTCTTCTCTAGTCTTGTTTAGACTGGGTTGCCTCTGCATTCTATGCTATGCGTGAATAGCGTCAACTAAAGCTAAGCTTCCGAATGGTTGTAACCCACCCGGACCGTTCCGTGGCATTTCGTCCGTCGAAAAGCACTTCCTAATTTGATTTCTGCGATGTTGCATTCTCGAGAAATGTCTTGGTCAAGCTGTGGATTTAACGCAGGGTAATAATGTATGTCGTCTACTTTGGAAATATGCATCCTGGCCGCATGTCCGAGACCGGCACGTGTTCCCCGCGACACTTTTCAGAGAGAGAGGAATGCGTTCTGGACCTGCTCTTGATTCAGAACAAACAAAGTTCAACTCCTTTCCGTGCCTGCTCAACGAAACTGACGATGTGGTGCAAGTTGCGTCAAGGCTTGCTCGGTAGACTTGGGGCGTTCAAAACGGCTACGCCTCGGACGATCTTTCTGAGACTCTCCTTTCTGTTTTGTGCTTGTGGCTGGCTAGGTCACGTTACGAATGACCCCCAAAGTAGGGTTGATATAGCTTGACTATTGCATGCAGGATACCAAGGTTATCCCGGATTCCGGTCATCACAAGCTAGTTCAAGGCTAGAAGGAAAAGGGTAAATGCGAACCAATTTAAGGCTGACTGAATTACCGACTTTTGACATCTCGATCGTGATGGTCATGTCCACTCCCACATACACGCCATGCCGTGGGATGTGGCCGTTATCGTGCCCCACGCCGCAACGGCAAAGCAAAATATGCACGATGGTTTTCGAAGGGATAGTGTGCATCTCTGAGACCCGTATCCAACACGTCCTGGAAAGGGTTAGATAAGAGAACAAGTAGAATGGAGGCGACGACCCTCAGGAACAACCACAGGGGCACCTGGAGGCCACAGGACATTTGCAACAAGACACGAGAATGGGAGAGTCACATCGGCTTGGACGAACTGGGAACAAGTCACGCTACAAAGAACCAATCAGGATGTAGTTGACAGAGTCGATGGACGACTATGGGGACTCTCGAGACTAACCAATCAGGAAAGAGTCGATGAAGTCGATGACAGACTTTTTTTTGGCTTCTGAACTAAGCAACATGATAGGACAGCCAGGGAAACGGGGCTTGTACATAAATTAGGACTCGAGTCTAGGATTCGAGGGCTTTCTATAGCCTCTTAGCATTCAACTTTTTGATTGTCTCCGAGTTACTTCTAGCTTAAGTATCATAGTAGTATGATATCAATTGTTATTTTGTTACCTAGTATGAGACTGATCATCTTACCCTGACCCTAGATCTGAGAGTACCCCTTATGCCAACGACCTGCGCTCTTGTTAGTCTCTCTACCTTAGCTTTTATTAGCAGAACCTACCGTCACCCAAGCTGGCTGTAACTGTGCAGGCCTCGTTGACTACGCTGGTCAACTTCGCTTGACTGCGGATTCAGGAAGTAAGGTCTCGCAGCCTGGAGGAAGTTACAGGCGCTCCGGTAGTTCCGCTAAAGCTGCCTACTTTAATCATACTTCAGCTCCGACTTGTCTTGCACTCATTTGATCTGTGTAAGAACAGAGGCTATTCTTTGAATTTTGCCTACTAACAATCGGTTGGCGGCTACTCAGTAATTGTATACAAAATTGTTCCGTACAGAGTGCATGCGGCGTACTACCAGTTTTCATACCAAATTCCCATGACCGGGTTCATTTAACGCGTCGATAGCACCGGTATACAAGCTTTTTGCGTGAGACTTTAACATGTGTGTTAGCATCAGTAGGATATTTTCAGGTTGTGAAGTCTCTTACATTGATTTGAAGCGATAGTGATAGCTCAGCTGTGTCCCGGGACAGATTTAAAATGGGCAGTGCCAGCCATCGTTATTCAAGTACAAGGGGTCTTCGCAGGCGAGGTACCCTCCCTTGAGTTTAGTTCCGCCACGCTCCGTTGTTCTAGCCGAAGTACTGACTCTAGCGCAAGGCTGCTGGTTGTTCCCAACACGGCATGACCCAGTGATCCAAGAATACTTTGCGCCTCCTGCGATACCCAACTCGCCTATGCGGCCGTTTTTAGCAGTGAGGGCCCAGTCAATATCACCTCTTGTGATCCCTTTGGGATCGTTGATAGAGCAGCAGTAAAAGGTGAAGTCGGCAACCGCCGCCGAGGCAAGGGAAGCGACAATGAGAGGGGTGTAACGCATTTTTAAAGCTGGTGTAGTGACTGAAGCGACAGACTGGTAGTGATAGACTTAAGGAATGTTGGGAGCGAGAAGTTGATGAATAGTAATCTTTATATACCTACACTTGACCTAGTTTTCAAGTCGAGTGACTTAATCTCTCTCTAGGTTTTGATAAAACCTTTTTTGAGTAGTTCGAAAGCTTTGTACTAAACCACTTAGTATAAAGCTTTGAATTGATGGCAAGCTTTCACTTGTTCAATCTAGCATGCTCTAGTAGACATACTAGTCAACAAAGTTCAAAGGAACTCAGTTAAAAAGCGAGTTTTCGCAACTGAGAGTTATTCTTTCTAGGCTACTGGCTCAAATGTGATAAGGAAATGATAAAGTGACAAATAATGAGCCAGGGTGTAGGCGAAGTTATCACGAGGGGACCTGAAGACACTGGAGGCCCACTAATGTGGAGGCTCGGGGCAGAGCGTGAAAGGTTGTCACATCAAGCAATTCGTAGCACCTTCCAAGAGACATTATCATCGGCATTTTAGACACTCATTTTAGAAGGTAAGTGATTGAAAAAAGACGGCTTGCAAGACTTTTTGTTCGTTTTATTTTTACTTTTTATCCGGCTCTCCGAATTATAGCATCCATCGAAAGACACCGTTGTCTTTGTTCCAGGGCAGATGGTTGCAGACCAGCAATCCGCCTCCCGTAAGTCCTACTCTTGAATTGGGTGGTTTGTATAGATTGGGTGTGTTGATGTGTATAGACTATCACAGGTCCCGTACTAAGTTCAAAAACAGTGCTGGTTGAATACTATGGTGGTCAAAAAATATAATATATCAATGCTTGACCTAACTCAAACCGACGACTCGGAACTTATAGAACCCCGAAACTTTAATACTCATGTGACAATTTCATTGTCCATCAGGAAGCCAAAACAACTTATTTGGCTTTACTTAGCTATACTCTCGATGCAATTATATTAGAAAGATAGGGGCTGAGTTTATATTTTTGAGGTAAAAAGACAGGCAGAAAATTATTCTATTGCTTAGATGATGGCTTCAGGCGACATTAAGCAAGGTAAGCTACCTTCATGGTTACTTTTGGGCGATTGCTATCCAAGACTAACTTGGCAGCATTTTTAATTCTTTAAGAAAAGACAATCTGATAGACTCTTCTCTATTAACTAGAATGAGCAATATACGCCGAGCAGTGCCCCTAGCGCTGTTATACTCGTTGATTTCCATTTATGAATATGAAGCCGGTTCGGAGCCGCCGGAGACAATCAACCTTAGTAAAAAGTAGACTCCTTATCAACATACGTCAGTCGGGCGTCGCAGAGCTGGGTGGAGCTAGGCTTGAACTTTCATAATGCTACCTTTGACAGTTGCCTAACACCAAAGTTCCCCATGTCGGTGTTCTCCAAATTACCCCTAGTTTGATATACGATGGAGTTCAATTCCCCAAAACCTAAATAGACATTTGTCTGCACCAGTTTAATTATAAACACGAAAAGCTCCAATTCTCCAATCCAATGCACAGAACAAGGTTCCCCGGAGTGTCATATTAAACCATGTAATTATTGGCCCAAAGAGTAAGTAGCTAATCTGACAGACTTTGCTGAATGCAAAGCTTGGGCTCGTCAGTGATAACCTAATCTAGTAGCCCCTAACAGATATCTGTGCCGAGAACTGGGATGGCCGGGTCCAAAGATATACAGCGGACCATCGGGTCTCTCGTCGGTAACACTATAGTGGGCAGACTGGCCCTGAGAGTGGTCGCCAGTGTGGCAGGATCAACAGCCAGGTAGCTAGTGCAGTTAAGTGAGGGCGGACACTACTTCTTCGTTTTTAGAGGATTCGAAGGTTCAAATTGTCTGTATTATTATCCAATGCTTCGTACTTTTACATTAGGCTGAGACGAGGTTCGTCACTACTCAACAAACGGCAGATTGAAACTAGTTGTGTCTTCCAGTTGTTAGTGCTGTTGCTCTTCTGACCTCATTCACTTCTGACAAACAAAGTGGCTGCAATGAGACGAACAGATAAGACACGCAGTGTTGGAGGAAGCTTCAGTGAAACAGGTGCTTGCATTTAATCCTTGGGCGCTGGAGCAGCCTCCGGGTCATTGGCTAACAAAGCCTCAACCTCTGCGCCCCTTCTGCGCCTCTCCTCCAGTGAGACCTCCTTCTCTGGCGACGTGGACCAGCCGAGGCCCAGTTCGGGGTACTGCAGCGGAATATCGCCGTCGCGTGGCAGACCATCCAGATAAATAGGCCATGGTGTGCCCATCCATGCGTTGCTGGACTCATGGTCTCGGCGTTGTTGTGAAGTCAGGGGATGCACAAGGATACTAAGGCGTTGTTAGACAAGAGGCGCTTCACTTCAGCCACAGGCTTTCCCGCTAGTCGGAAAAGCCATAACGTCCGTAGACATGTGCCGGCGAGGTGGAACTTCATTGGATACGTTGTAGGAGGTGTAACTCACCTCAGATTACCTCGGTTGGAAGCCAGGTAGAAAAAGACATCAGAGAACGAGGAGTCAGGGACCCAAACTACACGATGAAAGTGAATCAGACTTTGCTTGAGTAGAAGAAATGTCTCATGTAATGGCTTCACTGGGCAGAATTCTTTGACTTGTTGCAACTCACTCTCGTACGACCCAGCCGGGTGAGGGCCGACAGGATACTCGTTGACTCTGTACAAGGGCACAGCGACGAATGCGCCTATTAGCATAAGTCAGTGAACACACGGCACAACTACGATTGACCTAGAATTGTAAGTTACCATCGCGTCGTAGCCTCAGAATGGCATCGCGAAGAGCCAGCGCGCGGGCGGTCTCGGTGGGCGACTGCAGAAGGAAGTAGATGTGGAAATGCCACTCTCGGGTCCGAGCCTCGACAACCGTTTTCAAGTCCTCCTGGGGAGCTGCTGAGTGGGTAACCATGGTCATTTTCCTGGGAAGATAAAAACTCAGGCGCCGACAATTGGATATCCTTTTGTTGCGACCTTGTGGGGTGGTGATCTGCAGCGAGGTTGTGGTTCAATGTTTCTGAGACTGAGCGTTGAAGTTGGGTGCGGAGCAACTGCTGACAGAGCACGCAATCTCAATGGCTTTTGCGTGCGTAGGGGAAAGTGTAGCCCTCGGCTACGACCGGAATGGTTAAAAGCCGACGGAATCCGAGTCATTCAACTGGGTTCGTTGGCACCTTTGATATAGATTTTAAGTCTAATTGCGTTATAATGCGCCAGGTTGATTCTTGGGCCAATTCGATTAAATGAGGATGTTGCGCTCAGGTTATAGTAAGCGCCAAGAGTGCGTTCAAAAGCCAAAGAGCACCCTGTAAGTGTTAAAGTCCAGCAAAACAGCCAAATGGCAACTGATGTATGACAGCTCGGTTGGAAAACCCTAAGTAGACATATTGTGAATTGAGATTTATGGTACGCACTTCTAGAGGCCGTTTCAAACTTATTTCGTATCATAGTTATGGAGGAGTTTGACCACTCAATTTCAACAGAGCCGATTGAGTTGCACGATACCCCGCCTCCACAGTCTTCGAACATGCGTAATACCATGCTACATCTACCGTCTTTCACAAATCATTAAGCTGTTGTGATATCAATTAATTAAGAGAATCATCCACCGTGATTACAGCTTTCGAGATAACGGCAAACAAGCATTGGAGAAATAGCAGTTTTACTCGATTAAAACATTACTTTATGCCGTATATGTCTAAACTAAAACGGCTTCTAGTTATCAATTAGACAAAAATTGTGCCGTAGCCAGACTCCTCACCACGCAAGACATCAACCTCAAAAGGCGCCTCATAAGGAGCCCCGGAGCTGAAAGAACCAACAAGGGCTTCATAAGGAAGTTCCTTCCAAGTCTGCTGGATGCTACGCGCACTCTTGAGGAACCGGCTGCGGACGTCGGCATAGTCGGGAGCAACAAGCTTGCGGTCCTTCTTGACAAACTTTCCATCGACGATGACGTGCTCGACGTCGCCGACGCTGGCGTGGAGGATGACGGCGGCAACAGGGTCAACCCAGCCGAGCAGCGCAGGGCTGTCGCCATCCCAGACGACAACATCGGCCTTTGCGCCCTTGGCGATGACGCCCAGGTCGGGACGGCGGAGCGCGAGACCACCGTTGCGGGTTGCCATGAGGAAGGCCTGGTTGGCGGTCATGGGGGTGGAAGTAGGGACGTTCCAGTGATCCAAGACCTGCTGGTAAAGCTGGCGACGGGTGCTCTGGAGCCAGAGACGAGCCTGGGTGAGGATGTCGGTGGAGAAGGTGAAGTGGGTGTCGACGCCCAGGGAGCCTTGGTCCTGGATCAGATGGCTGTGAGGGTGCGTGTGACCGTAGTGCATCTCAGACTCGGGCGTGACGGAGATGTGCTGGTTGGTAGAGCGCAGGAGGGACGCGCCGCGGTAGGTAAGGAAGGAGGCGTGGGAGAAGACGACGGGGATGCTCATGTTCAGGGCTCCGACGGCGTGAAGGTCCTCGGGACTGTTGGTGACTGTGACTGCGGTTAGCGGAAATGCACCTCATATGGAGAGGAAGTTGCTTACAGCCCCACGGTCCCTGAAGGCTGTGAGTCGTGATGACAGAGACATTGAACTCCCTGTGAATGGTAAGTGTCTATCTTTTTGATCATTCAAACAGGAAAACTCACTTGGCAAGATCAATGACAGCGTTAACATCAGCAAGGACAGGGTCGGGTCCGAAGAAGTCGCAGGCAATGCCAAGGCTGGTGGTAGAGCCCTGGAAGCTGGCCTTGGTGGCGATATCTCTAAAGTTTGCAAGCTGCTCAGAGACGGTGTAGTTGGTTACGTTGTGGAAGGCGTAGGACCAGAAGACTCTTGCTCCGCTGTCAATGCTACCGTTGAGACCAGCTTCAGACGTCTCGTTAGACCATGTGTGGTGGGCATGGTCAAGGGTCGTGGTAACACCCGCATTGAGAGCTTCGTAGAGGCCGGTAATCTGGCCGATGTAGACATCCTCGGGGCTGAGGAGGCCTGCAGCAGAATACTCGCCATAACGAGTAAAATACTCGGCTAGAGACGTGTTGGAAGCGATGGTCTTGAAACCAGTCTGCCAGCCGTGACGGTGGGTGTCGATGAAGCCGGGGGTGATGATTTTGTTGGTGGCGTTGACGACTTGCGTGTCATTACGGGAAAAGTTCTGGCTCTGGGCCTCCTCGGCGGTATAGATGGCCGAGATACGATCATCCGTAATAAGGAGGGAGCCGTCGCGGATGACATTAAGAGAGTCTGTCTGCGCGTCAAATCCGACGATAGTGCCACCCTGCAGGAGGATGGACGATGCGCCAGCCAGGCCGACGGTGGCCGTCAGGGCTGCAGCCAAATTCAAAGAATACATAATGAGTGTAAGTCGCTGCTATTGCTGCTGCAAGAAATCCCTTGACTGTCCGACTTCGAATCTGGCCCAGGACGACCGCGCATGTTTATATATATGCCTAGAGTCACATCGTGTTTCTTAGTTCCATGCTGAGGTGAGTATTATGAACATGAACAATCTGACTTGGCACTCTATTCAGTGGGCACTAAGCGTGGATATCCGAGCAAACCAATCCTGGAATACCGGATCACCCATAAAAAGGGGACTCGGTGTGTGGTGAGATTCGTCACCAAAAGACCACTAGTCCCCGCTCATCGTGGAGTGAGCTTGGTCAAATGTAGTGGAACCGAGCTCTTTCATCCGCGTGACTAGTAGCTGAAAGAGCTGACGATGTCGTCATTGAAAAGTTGGAAGACAGTACTACACTAGCCCATGGAAATCTTTTGTGGGTGCTGGATATCGTATCCGCCTCAATCTTGGTAGTGTGGTTAAAAAGTCAAAGCTGGTCGCTGAACAGTGGGGCTTGCCAGCTAGAGCAGCTAACCTTGAGTCGGGATTCGTTACCTACAATGCTTAAAAGAGTTTTGAATGTGTCTATTGGCTAACGACAGCACAAAACCTCAGTTATAGGTGGGACTCGCTCCTTAATGATCAGTGATCACAAAAGTACTTTTGTACTTCTGTTTTCCTCTCACATGATGTTCCTTTTTCATCTTTGTGTTTATAAACCTTTCGGAGAGCTCGGATAGGTTCTACACCTCTTCCTTGGCAGTCTTGTATTCTTGGGTGAAATATTTGCGTGCCCCACTATCGTCAGCGCTGACTGAGGGTGGTTCCTCGCATTCGGCTGACTACAATCTACATCATAATGACCCAGTGGGCAAAGCGTAGTATTAGCGTGGATGGTGATGGAACCCGATCGGTAGGTCCACTTCGGCAGTTCATAGGCCCACGACGGAACCCGGGCCGGCTTATGCTTTGGAGTGAGAAAATCACCAAAATTCATCTCTTAACTAGATAGAGATTATTGCAATGGACAAGACATGAGTTTCTCCAAGCACGAGATGCCCCATGATCCAAACTCCATGAAAGGCTCCAGTACTGTTCGTTGCCCAGTGGCCCAACTCTCTACTGTCAGTCGCCTGAAATAAACCTTTAAATAGGCGGTGCCCGCGGGGGCGAAGGTTACGGATCCATCCCCATCAAGTAAGATCGAAACTTTGTGAAAGTGCCAAGAGTTTTCAGATTTTTGATATTTTTTCCTTGGAGACATTTCTGGTGCTTATTACCAAGGGTAAGACCAGCCGCAAGATTGATTTCGAGGACGGTGCAGACGCAAAGAGGGAATAGGACCAGCTTCGCGAGTTCTCGCCCTCGCTGCTCGGCCTCGCTGTTCGGCCAAATCGCCCAGTACGCGGCCACCACTGCCTCCAACAACCTTGTCTAATTAGCGCTTCTATATCTACTATATTTACTAACTATTAAATAGCATATAGCTATATAGTAATCAATACGTTATAACGTATAATGTTGAATGGGCTCTCTGTACGATCGTACTGTCATAAATGTAGGGTGAACCAAAGATTCTATTTTCCGTGATTACCTTTCCTAACTAGATGTTGCCTTCCGTACGAACAGATATATCTCTGTCCATACCTAGACACGAGTCGTGCATGACAGGTAATAAACCATGATCCCTTCCTCAGACATTTAGGTGTTACAGGTGCTAGTCATGCCACCTATACACCCCTTTGCCTGTGACAGCCTTGTCGTACGGTCATGTGACTATCGTTATTCCAACAATATAAACTAATAAGTCGGTTTAGTTTATTATCTAACTATTCTATAATATAAGAAATCTCTTACTAGTTAAAAAGCTTAATTAAGGCTATAGATATAAAGTTATAAGTTTATTTAGGTACCTTCTTAGAAATACTTCTAGATTTAGTTAAGAAAAGAATTAAAAAAAAGTGGCTAAATAATTATTTTAAAACTATCAGAAAAGATTAAAGAGATATAAATTAAGTCTTAGAAGGCTAGATATAATATAATTTAGGACTTTTTACTTTTTATAAAGTTAGTCATTATTTGAATAATAAAATAATTAAGAAAACGCTTTTAATATTAAGAAAAATAAAAGCATGTCTATAGCCTGCACCTGACAAGAAGGATTGCCAAAATGAGGTCACAAGACCCAACTGCTAATAACTAGGAGCTTGATATCAGAACCAGCAAGTGCTTGATGTTGTGAAGTTTATACGCCACAAAGGAATCGTATACCGCAATTAAACCTTCTGATATCATGGTAACCTTGATAAGTACCCCCCTCCCCTTCTTCCTCCAATATCCAGTTTCACCTGAGACTGTCATCATGAAATCTGAACCTATCGCCAGAAATTGGTGACTAGGATTACAGAATAGCTTCAACGAAAGCAGTCTATAGACTTATTCGAACTTCGATGTGGTATTTAAACTAAGATGGGCAGTTGTCCGCTGCTCCCTTGTTCTGCTGTACAAAGAAGTCGTTGGTGCTATATACAGCTGATGTTGTATCGCCATGAACACAGTTGCAATCCGCCGCGAAATAGCCTGCGTGTAGAAAAGAGCTGTCAAACTGAGCAGGCCCAAACGTAACTTGAATGTTCTGCGGGCCTCCTTGGGCTGCGCAATTTTGCTGTATGAAGGAGGTAGCGGCTGTTTTTTGCATTGCGTTACAGAAGTTGACCCCCTGACCATTAACTTTGCAGTAGCCGTCGTAGCGGAGTGGTATGGGTGAGCCGTGCTTTCCATGAATAGGAAGTATGGGCCAGAGAAGGAGGATCTTGATGAGATGCACTTTTGGTACACTGTTAGTACAAAAAGCCAAAGAGGGGAGCGACTTGTCATTACTTGCAGGGGAACGCACAATAGACGTTCACTACTTGTTGTTTGAATCACGTAAGGTTATTCTAGACACATTGCACACAGTCCTCTGCTACGCTATCCACGCTTTTATACATCGAGAGGGCTGTTCCCAGTAGAGGAGCCCACCGCTTCTGAGTTGCCGGAGGACAGAAGGCCAGATACCGCAAGACAGGCAACATCCACGGAGTTCTTTGGTGACCGATATAATCGAAATGAGACATGCCGGCATCGGCACGGATGTACGGCTCCGAACTTGTTGTCAAAAATTGACTAGCCGAGAACAGTCTTTAAGAAAACTAGGCAAAACTTAATTTCATGTCCTGTAAAAACTACGTCTATCAAGAACTATTTCCTGACGGAGCAGGGTTGACTGATTTAAACGAGTCATTGATTAACTCATGCAACGACCTGTTGCAAACTCTAGTGGCTGGTGGCAAATGAATTGGGGAAAACCCTCAGCAGATAGTAACCGAGAAGCTACTGCCTGTTGTTGTACAGTATATCAGAATAGCGCATTAGTTAGCAATGTATGAGTCAGGCCAAAATGCATCCACTAGTAATGAAGGCAAGACACAAACTCTCTTGAGGACAAGCTTCTTGGAGGTTAGGTTAAAATGTTTTTGGCCGATGATCCGGTACCTAGGAAGAATCTAACTCTTATAGATTTGAGACGATACTCTGCAACAAAACCAACCCACCATGGTGCTCACTCGGGGGAGGTAGGGGGGTGGTTTATGCCCCTTTGTAAGCAGAAGAGCTAAGTCGCTGAAACTAGTTATTGTCTTCCCAGATGCCTTGAATGATATATGGGTCTCATAGAGCTGAGGGCTTCTACTCTGGGGCATACCGCAGTAGGAGCATTATTATCGGAAACCATCAGAAACTGAAACAGGATTGGATGTAGTTGCATCGATTAAATAAGAAAGAAACAAAGAGAGACGTCACTATTAGGTCGCAAGGACTAAGTAAAATACTTTGAATCATTTCCTTGTTGGATCGATTGCACAAGCTTTTTTTTTTTTTTTTAAATTGGTTGATTATGCATTAGTAATAAGAAGAGGAATTAGTACGTTATCGCCTATTCGCGAACCACACGCTATTTAGTATATATGGTGAAGTAGAGTGCTGAACGTAGGCATGTATTCAAAGTAGTAGATTGAGTGGCTTGTCTTCTCCTAACTATGGCATCATATGTTTTGTAGACGAAGCGTAGGAGGGAAATTCCGGCCGATCCAGCTAGGAATTAACTCCACAGGCGATAAGTGGGTCACGTGGCGCCGAGGTTGCGCACTTTGCCATGAAGCCATCACGGCAGCATCTCAGGCTTGGTGATGTAGCCCTATTTGTAGTATTCGAGTAAGACACTAGACTCTACTTATTCACACCAATGGTGTTGTCTCCAACCGCCAAATATTCACATGTGTTGATAGTACGCTACAAATACAACGACGAGTATTCTATCACAAAAAGGCAGATCTCTTTTGCGGGTTTCAGGAAAGTTTCAGAACAGGTGAAGACCATGTAGCAGCTCCGGGTCAACTTATCGTTAGGCACAAGGCATGTTGTGAAAAGACATCTTTGCTACAAAGAGGTCAGGACAACCAACTATGGTACAAAGCTAATGCTTCGGTAATGACTCCGGCATCATTATCTACTGTTCTACACAATATAGCTACGCCAGCCAGTTTCCAACTAGTTAGGTCGTAACAATCCTGAAGACTCTACTTCTACCCTCTTTTTGATACTTAGTTGCAAGCAGAACCTTGGCTGCCTGCGGCTTTGCAGGCGGCCAACCACTGATCACCTCCCATGGAGTTACTCGCAGAATGACACCAATCATTCGAGTAAACACCTAACATATTAGTTAAAATTCATCTAGCGGTAATATCATTAACAAAATTTAGATATACTCACAGTCGGAGCATTTATCCCAGCCAGTGCCAGGGGAGTTGCGATAGGCGTTGCACGCCGTTTGTGTATTTTGGTCGTTGATCCTCCAATGATTATACCTAAAATACCCCACCCGATCTTCACAAGTACACGTCCTGTGGGGGTTTCCAAAAGCCGATGCGGCTAGGATACTACAGAACGACTCAGCTTTGCCTTGACACAAGAGTTTGGGAGTCACTTACGAAAAGATAATGGGAAGTCGGAAATCAACCTGCATCGTGGGAGACAGCAGAAGGCTGAAGATTTGGGCGGCACTAAGGTTTAAAAAGGTGGAAACAAATTGCTAAAAAAGAAAGTTTAGAACTAAATATTTCATAGACTTTAACGCCTTTTATAATCATCTTGCGTACAGACGTGTTCAAGATATTTAATAATTCGCACTATCGTAAACTATAGCATAATAAAATAGCCTAAGACAAGGCACTTGACAAGCCACAAAAAGGAGGCAATCTATCATTGGTGCAGAAACTGTTATCTATGTATTGTAAAGTGATCATCTTACCTGACTTGCATTATAGCGGGCCTGAGAGCAGGGCGCTCATTGGAACTCAATCTATCTTCAATCTTCCATGGCTTTTCCTTCCTAGCCTTTTTTGAGAAGAACTTGAACTAGAAATAGAGCACCTCTTAAGTCTGTCTGATTTCAAATCAGTATGCGTAAGGGGTAGGGCTCAAACTTTCGAGAGGTTCCTTTGTCTAAGAATGTTGTTAGAGCGTTGAAGCGAACCTCCCCTTAACTGTAGCGCCGCCGCCTAGGTCAACCCATCTTTCCGCCAAGCGAAAAAGAACACTGAACTTTCGCTACAGCAAAATGACAGTTTGAGAGTTATGAAGATCCCATGTTCTGATTACTTGCCTGTATACCTGACTCATGTCAATGTTTCCTTCAACAAAGACGTGCGCCCATCATTCCTTCCAATCAAAGTCTCTTTTTACTTATGGTAAAGCGGGTGTAAATTGGGACATTTACTCACATAAGTGGTAGTAAACGGTAAGTCTGTTGATTCATCAATTCGACGTAAATAATCCTTACAATTTCACTGGGTGATATGCAAGGACGGTAAGATTGATAGCATGGGAGCGTGGACAGCCCAAAAAAAAAAGGGGGGGGGGGGGGGGGGAAGGGTAGTTGCGTGGGCATCTTTGCCACACCCTTTACCCTCTGCCATCCTTGCTGCCCTGACTCCTGACTGCTCTTGACATATGACAGTGTGTCCCACCAGACCGACTCTTTAGCTCTGGCGACTATGTGCCGATGAGCCGGGCGATTTGGGTCGGTGGACCCTAAGATGATGCTGTATAGGCTTAGACGAGGTTTGATTTACTTAAAATTTCCACGCACGAGTCCCCGTAAGCCAGCATATTAGGAGCCGTCAATCTTCAAAGGCTGACGTAATTTCCTTGTGGCATGGGTAAGGCGATATCTTGCTCATGCCCCTGAGCAGGAGTCTTGGACTAAAGTTAGCATTTGATTCATGGAATATTGTGAAGCTGCCTTTCTACGTGAACCGTGAGTTTTGAGATACTCCTTCGGCGGGACGTCTTGCCCAATTTATCCCAAAGTGCTACGTACGCATTAGTGATACCTCGCAGCATCGTCAGGTGAGAAGATCTCTGTGGATTGCCCAGCGCGAAGTTCTCATCCAGCCATCTGGGATCGAAGCTTGGTATGATTTGCATCTTCTCATGCAGAGAGCACATTACTAAGTCGTGAATCCTGCCTTATTACTTTTTTACTGGTCTGAACGCGCGCATTTTGTGTGAACACCGAGCAAGTGTCTCGAGAGGTCTAGATGACCTGTCATAACATGCTGTTGGTTTGGATCGTTGCCGTGCGGTAAGAGAAAGAAACCCATCCGGTCGCCTGAAATGCCTCGCGAAAGCTAGAAACAGCCGCGATGTGTTTTATTCAAACGCCCATCGATGACAATTCTTGGTTTCTGGGCAACCCGTAAAGCAGATGCTCGAAGATGGTGTGGGCGATCGCATCCGTTTGTGGCGCTGGGAGCCGTCCCATAAGTTGGTAAATATACGATTTGGCTTTACTTGTCATCCACCGAGGTGTGATTGGTATTCGAGCCTAGAAGAAAAATCGGGAAAAGCATCCACGACGGGATAGCACGGAAATTGGCCAGCACTTTAGGGACAGCAAGCGATAACGGAATGTATTTCAATTTTCGGCGGTGGACTTTGGCCGCTGAAAGCTCCGGTATCCCTTGCGGACTGAGAAAGAACATTTGTACGGATAATGGCCGTTCCGCCGACGCACTTGAACAAGGATCTGAGCGAACTCTTTAATTACTTATGTAGTAGTTTATGTAAGATTTCCGTTGTGATATCTGGGTCGACTACGGCATTACATACGGAATGATAAAAGAAAACTTTTGCTGTGCTTCGCCTTACGAATTAATGGGAACCATAGTCTAAACCTGCTGATCAACAGGGGCAATAGCATAAAAAAATCGGAAAGTCACTAAATGAAGCGGCACTCTGAGAACACGCGAGTTAAGCAAACCATAAAATAACAACAAAACCCACTCGGTTCAACTAAATCTCCTCGCCTAAAGCACTGGTTGACCAATCGCCGCCCAATTTACCAATCTCCCCCCGCACGTTAGGAAATCTATCCAAAAACGAAAAGGGTCCTATTTCTGGTAAGGTCTGGCGAAACCGGTCGTTCTATCCTGCTAACATAAATTTGGAGTTCAAAGTACCATGGTTCTGGAACGGCAAATGGCAGACCTGCTGCATTGACGATGCTATGCAGGCCGGGTGTCGCGACACCTTCACGTTCACGTACAACCATCCATACAACTGGGCTAGTAGGCGTTCGAGGGTTCAGAATGACGGGCAAACAGTAGATTTCACTTGCTACAAGATGGGTTGGCCCGTGAGATGCCAGCCGAAGAGAGGATAGGAAGACAGTAACTCGCAAAACCGTTTAGTCTCGTTGGAAAAGATACCATGCACAAGCAGCACTGCATCACACATGGAAAATGAGCATCGCATCTTCCCACAAAACTACGGAAGGATGTTTGCTTCGTAACAGGCTACTTGTCAGAGGCTTTATACGGTACGGAGTGACGGTGTTGCAACTATATAGAGTCCCCATCATAAAACCTGTTTTCTCAGAGTGTGATCCGTCTTCGCTGTTCTGAATCCTACGCGCCATTCCCGCGACGTGACACTGCTGACAGTGAAAATCCTTGTAATAGACCGTTGCGCCAGAAGGTCCGTGAGGGCTTGCGCTCTTGTAAGCCCCTGCTGTCAAGGCTGCTCATAATGTTTTGACGACACATCATCCCATCTAGGTCCTAGGTGTAGACAGGGTATTGTCCTGTTACAGCTTTCTTCGTGACCTTGGAAGAAAAAGAAAAACGGGCCGCTTTTCGACAAGCGAGTCATAACTTACAGCTACACCGCACAGTGACCAATCGCACCGGCCGTAACAGACATGAAGAACGGTTTTGGTACTGTACCAGACTTACGGTGCCATCGCTATACCTGACTTCCGCAGGCGCTTCGATTGTTTCTCTTAATTCGACTCCCAGCAATACTAAAGGAGTGTTACTTGCGGGTCAGGACACCCAACTGTGGCTCAAAGCAAAAGCTTTGGTGACGAAGAACCCTTTTTCTACACTGAATCTACGCTGCACAGTAGCCAAATGCGCCGGTCGTAACAATAAGCTAGCTGTATCTCGAGTGGGAAAAACTAGCTGCGACATACACAGATACATAGTCTAGTGTATTCAACTTAAAGCGTAATAGATTGTTTGAATTAGCCACGCCCCACTATGAAGTTTTCAGACGCTTTGCGTTCCGCTGTCAGCCGCGTCAGTAACAATCTAGATATGCGGCAGGTATATAAGTAAAGGTCGGCGCCTTCAAAAGCTTCCAGACGCTTAACAGTTTATTCGGTCATCATCGTTAAAGGAATCATTCGCGGTTTACGCCCAGAAGCGTTATAAAATGCAGTTCCCACTTACTACCATACTCTTATGCCTCTGTTCCGCGACTTCAATCTTAGGAGCTCCCCCTCAAGACTTCAGCGATGTTTCCCCCGCTAGAATCTTTGCCAGGGTAAGATTCTTGTCTGAAATGTTGATCGATCAATGCAGGAATAATCTAACTCTATAAAATTATAGAAGCACTGGTGCAGCGGTGGCGGTATCAAGTGCTTCAAGCCTGACGGAAGCTGCGAGTGGCATGACTGTTGGAGCTGCTCATGCCCGACATGGGCTACTCATGAGGGATGTTCTAATGACCCGAACGATCGGTGTGGGCAGTAGCCGGTAGAATCTTATCGTCAAGCATCAAACGATGGGCTTTTTGAAAGGTAATCAGAAGAGCTTCGACAATTAAACCATGATGAACTGAAAGTTAATAATGTTCGACCAGTCACTGAAGTTTATCTCTTTTGGGCGCCCGATGGTCTTCTTTTGGCCAAGGCTAGAAATACCCAATTTGTCATAGACTTTTGCTCCACACTACCACTGATCAAAACAAGCTTCAGAATCTATTATTCATTGTCAGAGAACAAAATGTTCTAGCTGTTGATGTTGTACCCTGGAACTCGGTTGTGATACACCATTTGGTGTCTTTACACCGCTTCTAGCTCATTGACACGTGTGTGTGGTCTCAAAACTCATTGCCTGTAGTCGCCTGGCTTTCTTCATATTCCGAGCTGACATAGCCATGACTAAATTCGCTTAGCGGTCCTTGATTCATATGAATTAATATATCGCAGGTTTCAATGGATGCTTCCTGCTGGAAGAGCATGATGTGAAACGGGGCCCTTCTCTTCCCCCTAGTTACGTAGCTGACATCACCGGTTTGATAAAGCAATAAACCGCTTTGAGCGTAATCCAGACTTGCAAATGTAGTAATTAATTGCGAAACTGTTTCTGGCTATCACGAAGAAAGGGCGATAGCGTCCAGCGAGCACTGCCAGTTAGCCTAGGCCTATCATGTCATCAAAAATGGGGGTTGCCAGACACACCGTTAACGCCATAGGGGCGTTCCTCGCTGTAGCGCATCATGAAAGAAAGGATTTCTCAGATATCGGTAGTATATGTCTTTCCCTCCCTGTTCCCCATCATACCCCGGGAATACAATCGGTATGGGAGATAGAGCACGGAAGTCAACCTAGCAGAATTTGACACTAAAGAGAGTTTACACTCAGGCAATCGTTCGGAAATGGTGCGGAGTGGATGAGGTTTGACCGGCTAACGCGGGAATTACTCGTTCACCACTATATGATGGAACGCTTTGTGCGACTCAGCTACTTTACATATCTGTATCCGCTCGTTCCGTTCTTAATCACGCCATAATAATAGTCTGTAAATCTCGTCATATGATTTTACTGCGGCATTTTATCCGTTATTCTTTTCCATTCAGAATCGCAGAATACATCTCACTCTGACTAATGCCTTTAGATTCGACGCCAAACAACTTTCAAGCGGTTCAAGGCCTGACGCCTTTACGTCGGCGACCATACCAGACCACCACTCCAAGCCTACCAGCATTATACGGTTCGATCAGCTGCCATGCAACAGGGTAATCCCTGATGGTCACCTCTCTTACTGACCTTACCCCTATTCTATGGCGCTAATCTAGTCGACGCACGTGAGAGAGAAGAGATGGAGACCACGTTAGTATGGCATATTAGTAACGAAATCATCTTAGTAATAAACCTAACCGATTACCACATTTGTAGGAACCCTTAAGGGCATTTACCGGAAGGCATAAAATAGACTAGAAGACATAGTCCCCGAATTTCACTAGTGTATTATGAGCTTGTTTTCAAATCATGTAGAGACCCGAGGCGGTATATAGCTGACCCTCCCCCCCCCCTGCTGTTACAAGCAGGTCAGGGCAACCAACTGTGGCACAAAGCAAAAGCTTCGGTAATGATGACTCTAGCATCATTATCCCCTGTTCTGCACTATATAGCTACGCCGGCCAGGTACTAACTGGTTGGGCCGTAACACGCACGGAGGCGAAGAGGTTATTAAAAAATAACATAATATACGGAAACCGGAAGGAAGGCAACTAGTATTATAACAGCCTGTTGTGTTAGCGTTAGAAGTCCGACTTTGCCGCTGGAGGTTTCGTCTTGTGCCGGACGGACTAGCCCGTACGTGCCATAGCCACCAAAGACAGTAGTCCGATTGGGCAAGAATCCAAACCTCGAAGCCAGTTGGCGTCGGCCTCGTCGGTGAAGTTATTGTCTCAAGTGACCAGCCCCAAGCCGGACCATGACCTCATCAATTGTTAGTTCCGAGCTGGGTATAGAATATTGATAAACGAGTCGGAAAAACAAGAGAGCTGTCCACCTCGGCAGAATGCTAAGCAAGCCGAGTGCAAATCATTAGTATTATATTGTTTGTGTATTCTAACAATTGATCACCAGAGGCATAAGTATTGCCTCCATCTACTCCCCGGTGTTGTCTTACTCTCTAATCACATACGTTGCAGTAGAACATAACTCATTGAAATGACTTGAATTTGACACGGTTAGAAAACCAGCTGGGGAAATTTGAATATATTACAAATCAACGACAACTAGCCACATCCCGGATAATGCGGCACACGCTGCCGAATAGCCGGCCAATACATTGTATAGAATTATTTCGACTATCTATACCTACTTATACCTACTTATTACTAGCTGAGGCACACCAGGGAAGACGATTAGGAGACGTCGTTTCTGTGCATAACACATCAATACTGCTAAAAGCCCCTATGACGGACTTATTAGACGTTAGTAATTAAAGATAAAGCCCTGCTATACAGCTTTAGCTCACTCGTTGGTTACAACAGAGGATGTTTACAAAACGCATGGGAATGTTACGACCCCTTGGACATAACAGGACAAGAGTGACCCCACAGTGTCACAAGTACTGCTGAATCCACCTGACTACGCTGTCGCTGAATGGTGGAAGGAAGATATCCGCCTGCTGAGCGCTAATTAGTGCAAGGAGGCCCGTCTACGGCGGCGAGTCATGTCGAATCGAAAGTCAAAAGGCACCAATCAATCATATGGCTAATATGGATAGCGGTAGTGATGCCTGAGTGAACCTCCAGAGATTAGCTTCCATTCCTCAGGGAGCGTTGAAGATCGTCTGCGATGCACGTTACCTCTCACATCGCTATACGTATAAAAACCCAGCCAGATACATGACGTCGACGTGGCCTAGTTACTGTTTTGTCGCAATTACTTTTTGACTGACTGTGTGTCTTTTGTAGCAATTCGCTAAGATGGCTCTTTCTTTAGCTACTATCCTAGGAATCGCATCTACGGCAATCCTTGCTTCGCCTACCGGATCTAAAGTCTCGTTTGACTGGCAAAAGACCGGCTATCTGTGAGTTTCTCATATCGCCTTGTTGAAGAGGATATACTGAGACGAATCGGGTTCTAGACTTGCCTTTGGGGATTCATACACATTTGTTCAGGGAACGTTAGGAGGATGCGTCGGTTGCAACTTCATCGGTTCACAGCTGAACATCTCTTTCACGCCAGAGCAGCTTCTCTCCGACCGCATTATCCCTGGTCAGAACACATCTTCAGCTGGGGGCACTAATTGGATTGAGGAATTGACAGGCTGCAAAGAGGGTCTGCCGCGGGACTGTGAGATCCAGTTGTGGGACTTCGCTTTCGGTGGTGCCGACGTCTCGACAAAGTTGTAAGTCGAGGATTCCCAACAACAGCTTTCCGGTCGCAATAGCTAACATCTTAACAGCGTTCCACTGCACCATAACAACACACTATCTTTTGAAAAGCAAATTTGGCAATGGGACACCTACGGAAAGTCCGTCATAAATGCGGACACAGGCTCGTCATTGGTAGCAGCTTTTATCGGAATAAATGATATCAGCGACACAGCAAATTTCAATTTCCCTATGCAGAACTTAACCAGCTTTGAAGATCTGTATACTGAAATAGTCAAGGAAGAGTTCGCCCATCTGGAGACTATTCATGCCGCTGGGTTCCGCACATACCTCTTCCTGAACTTGCCCCCTTTAGACAAGACGGTATATCACTTGGAGCTCGATGCTATTCCCATTATTAACTGTTAGACAGCCTGCTTCTCAAATCGACCCTAAGCGCAAGCCCGATACGAGTATGCTGCAGACGTACAACCGCATTCTTAACCAGACTGCGAGAGCCTTTACGGAACAACATCCAGGCACAACCGCCTTCGTCTTTGACACTTACGGTTGGCTAAATTACGTCTTTGACCACGCATCGTCTTTTGGAATAACTAACACCACGTCTTTCTGCCCCAAGTATAATGCATGGGATATTGCCACAAATTACAAGGCTTACGGATGCCAACCAATCGGTGAATACTTCTGGTACAACTCTGGCCACATAAGCTTCACTGTTTCTCAGCTTCTTGGTTCGAAGGTGAATAGTTTCTTATCACAGAAGAGTGGCCAATGTGGCGGAAAAAATGGACCTGACGGCTCCTGGGGAACCCGATGGGATAATGGGACAGCGAGTTGAGTAGTCGGTATTGAATAGAATTGAGGACTTTTCGGCACCGCGACCGCACCTACCGGGACGGGCTACCTTTCACGATTACGTAGAGATAAGTCAACAAGCGGGTAGATAGACAGCCATGCATAGATAGTGGAAGGGTGTCATGGTGGCTTGTGCTGCGAAATTTGTAGGAGCGTATAGAATTCCATTCTGTCAATGACCGCAAGCCCTCACTTAGACCCGGTTGAGATAAAGCTAGATGGGGCTTCGACGCCTACGAGGTTTATCAAGTTGGGGAGCGCTCACCAAGCAGTCTTATAAGGAAGCCCTTTCTTTCTGAAACGTCAGGAAACATGGACAGTAATAGATCAAATGGCCTCATATCATTAGACACCGTTAGTTATTCGCAATGAAATTCTCTGTTTCACGCCGTAACTCATAGTATCATCAGCCTCACCTTCTGCGCCAGCTTCCGCTTCATTTTTCTCGTCGGGCTTTTCCAGTTCACACACACACACACACACACAAACAATAACGCCCGGCGGCAAAGGCGAATAGGCTAATCAGGCTAGTTATATATACAATGCTTTCTACTATACAGTTATAGTAGTTAGGAAATTTTCGAGTAAATAGAATTAACGTATATGAAAAACGTATGAAATACGAACCTGCGATTATGTTAGATTTGCTGCGTTCGGCTAATATTCATCCGCAACAAACAATAGCGTCGCTTAGTACTAAATCTAGATTATAGCTTATCTTTCAAGCTATAATAAATAAGCCTAAATTAATCGCTTAGGCTATTATAAAGATGTATGTTTTTAACTATATTATACTAGGCTAACGAGTAAAGGAGAAAGAGTAAATGATCTTACCCCTCGCTTTGTTCGTGGCAACAGTGCGAGCAAGCGCTAAAGAGGCCAACAGCCTTGAATTCAGACAGTCAAAGTCATCCAGGCCAGCCGTCTACTGTCTCTTGAGAGTCTCACGGTGAAACAGTAGACCAGTCCAAACCTCGATGATTCGCTCGCCCTCGGCAAAATGAAGCCTCAGCATAACTTCAAGACCGTCCACAAGAAGGTCGATTGACGGTCCGTTCTCACCATGCTCCGCAGGTACAGCAGCAGGAACAAGTTTCAAGCCATTGAACTCCCTGAATCCCACCCTTGGTAACCCATCATCGCGCTTTTCCAACCTCCAGCCTTCTGACCATTCTCCAACCCACTCTTCCCATCTCGGGTCAACTTCTCGGCTAGGGTCTTTGACCGGAATCGATACTTCTTGCAACTGTTCCAGAGTCCCTATGTAAGGCCATCCCTTGGCATATGCAACGGCGTGGACAACTCTACAGGATACATCGGCTCCTTCCAAGCCGTTGGTCATGACTGCGACACCACATCCCTCAGCCAGGTCTTTTTCGTCAACTTTCCCTGTGGTGTTGGCGAAGCCAACAGCGTAGCACCTGAAGCAAGGAGAATTGCCACCGAAATGTCCAAAGACATTGCGCTTATTTTTCGATAAAAACCATGAGATTCCGACGTTCCCTTGGACGTGGGTCAACATCTCCTTGGCAACCTCTTGGGGGAGAAATCTCTTGTCGTCTGGAGTCTGTGGGTCGAGAGAAGTCTGGATGCCCCGAATCAACTTGAGAAGGTCTGTCGGCGTCGTCCACATTCCACCGGACGCGAACTCGGGGTGATGATACCACGGCGTGTTGTGAGGCTGATTGCCAGTCCACCAGGACCTCGCATAATTGCCGTCATCATCGTGCTCTGGCGTGTCGAAGCTCGAGTTCGACATGCCTAGGGGTTCGAAGACGAGCTCCTTCACTTGCTCCTGGATTGGCTTGCCAAAGATCTTTTCCAAGATTATTTGGAGCATCGCAAAACCCCCACCGCAATACGCATGCTTTTGTCCGGGAAACAAGGTCAATTTCTCTGCCACATTCTGCCCGCCGTTTCTGTCGAGCAAGGTATCGAGAGCAGTGGGCATGTTCCGGGCATACCCATGATATGACGAAGTTCTAAAACCGGCGGTGTGAGTAAGAAGATGCCTAAGAGTAATTTGCCGCAGAATGTCGGGGTTTCCAAGATTATTGAACAGCTCCTCTGGGAGGTGATGGAGGACTTTGTCGTCCAAAGACAGTTTTCCCTGACTCACTAGCCTCATGACGGCTGTGGCTGCTGTGGGCTTGGAGATACTGGCTGCTTGGAAGCGGGTTTCCTCATTGTCACCAAGGGTTGAAAAGCAACGTGCTTCAATGTTCCCTTTGTCTAGGACAGCGACTGAGACAGAGGGGGTACTGAGCGATGAGAGGAATTTCTGGGGCGTAGAGGGCGGAGAAGTTTGATTTGCAAAAATCTCGGCGAGTTTGTCAAAGAACGCCATGTTGTTGGTGATTCAATGTTGCTATTGCGGTTGTTTTGAAGATCAGATTGACAAGCCTTGCTTGAGATATCTTGCGATTTAGTTTCGACCCTCAGCAAAGGCTATATTTATTAGTACTTATACTAGTAAAAGTTTAATCTTGAGGGTTATAACATGTCCGAGGATCTGTGATGGCCAAAGAAGTACGCACCACACGCGTGTTAACTTGCGTGCGGGGTGACGCGCAGATGGGGAAGGCAAGTAAGCAACAGGGATTTGTTAAACGTCAGACGTTACGTTGCTTGTTTTTGGAGCTAAAATCCTACGATCCTGTCACAGCCTTCTCCATCAATCAAGATTGTGCGCTAATTTTCATAGGGATAAATCGCCGTCAGCAGACGTGTCCTTGCTTGGCGTGAAAATTTGCTCCTCTCCAATAACATCAGTTTCCAAGACCGCGTTGGGCTTGTGACTTCTCCACTGCAAGTCAAGCTCACCTCACTAGAGAACTCAACCACACTCAGTAGAAGTCTTGCTTATGCCACAATTACTATCTCGGCTAGAACCCAAGTCAACTTCGGCCGACTTAGGGTTCAAATACTGTAGGCTGGGATGGATTTGGTTCTTTATTCAGAACATCTATCTGCAAGGATGACTTGTTCCACAAATCGTATTCGTATCGATTTCTCACATTGCGAACGAATTTATTTTAAAATTTTATTACTGCGTCTTACCTCGAGGCATTCACAATGGTTTCTAACCTCACGATTGCTCTAGGCTGTTTTCTGAGCTCTGTATAGGTAAGCAACTGAAGAACTCTCATCATGTACCTTCATTTATAATATGGCATCTGTCACAGGGGTAACGGCCTGTGACAAACCTGAGGAAGCAAGACCATCCACGCTAGCCGATTCAGGAAGAAAAAGGCCAGAACAAGCGAGATATCTTCAAGCTGGCTTACTATAGGTGTTTAATGGGCAGTTCTCTAACAAGATAAAGTGGCGATTAAGTTGCTTTGTGCCGCCTTGATCCGGCGGACGCCACTTCAAGCTGGGCCGACGGTGGGGCTTAGACAGAAGCGCCACAAACTCCCGAGTGTTGGCTCCTGGAAAAGAACCCCTTCTGGTTCGTGCCGAGAAAAAGAAACGAATGCGAAAGTACTGAGCTCTCAGACGGTTCCCGGGAGACTGGCCATCCGTGCGTATGCTCCATTACAATCAATTTGTACCAACTTCAGCTGCACCACTAAAACTTCTAGACCTTCGGGGAAGTCCAGACATACTCAAGGCCAAACGCACCTAGTAACATGCAGTAATGAGGTTAAACACTAATGTACAACTACATTGAAGTATTTTTAAAAGTCAACATACTGGATTGCGGCGAGTCCGTTTGAGTTGATTGCATTGTCTGGAAGAAAACCCAAATCGAAAAGCTGCATGGTCAAGATACTGTTACTCGTATTTCAGACAGTGATCCAATTCATAGCTTCCCCGGACACAGACCCGCTGATTTGGTTAATCTCGTTAGCCTTCAACTCAAGCTTTTTATTTTCCATCCGCGCTTGTCTAAGTCCCACTGCCCCGCTCCCTCCTCCGCGTGAGACAAGATCTAGCCCACAGTCAGTGTCTTTGGCATAGGGACAATCTCTTGATAATGATTTTAGGATGGACACTGCATTCTTGATCTCATTGCTCCATCTTTCATACGATGATATGTGCGGTTTATAGGTGACCTAGCCACAACCTAATGACATTGGTGTTGTCCTGCAGTGGTTGAGCAATATGATGCCATTTAACACAATGCGGCATGAAATACATGAGGCGGTGGTAACTGCATGACAATAATAGAGTGAATCGTCCTTTGAAAAAAGTCTGTTCAAACTGTTAGCTTAGATGCATCACTAGTAAGCGAGCTATTTGAGCTGTGCTACATCGCCTACTACGCTTTTCACTCTTTACCATACGTCTTCTAAACATCTCCAAGTATCCCCCTCTTGTATCATTGCATATGAGTATTGTTTAGTGTTATCGAACTCGCACTGCGCAGCTGTAATTCGCCTTGATCGCTGGTGGTGATGGCGACTTTGTAGAAAATGGCTGGTCGAGAAGCTCAGTTCCAGAGAAACTGCTCTTCGTAAGCGACCTGTTCTTTTAGAATAAAGGAGAACAGCACACTTGGATGAAAGACATTAGTGTCGGGGTGAGTGGCTTGCCATTTTTTGGCATGACTCCCATGTGGTGGCGTTCGATAGCATCTCCAACTCAACAAAACCAAGTAGCCGCGCTAGCAGCACCCTAATCAGCATCGGGGTAGACGTCGGGTTTTTCCATCGTGCCTTAAGTAAGAAAATACATTTCTTTCATCAATCGCGCTATCCGAGTTGAACCGAGTTTAGAAACTCATTTCATTCAACTTGTAAGGTTAGATAGGCGTGCGCGGTTTGACCGGAGTTCCCTTCGCTGTTTTTTGTACACGAAGTTCACCATGCGTTTCCTCTTATATAATCTTCGTTCGGCTCCTCTTCTCTCACTTTTTCTTCTGCATCACATAAACACTCTTTTAAAACTCAAGTAAAATGACTCTCGTTCATTCAGTCATGCGGCTTATGCCGCTTTTCACTCTTTTATCCACCACAGCCTCTGCACTACCAAGCCGCCACTCTGCGAGAGATTTCACTTACACCACGCTGGGCTGCTTCACAGATCTTACAGATGGCAAGCGAGCTCTCAATGATATGCATTATGCTACCGACGACATGACCATTGAGAAGTGCGCTTCATTTTGCTCCAGTTTCGCGCTTTTCGGAGTCGAGTATGGCCGTGAGTGCTACTGTGGTAACTCGCGCAATCCCACTAGCACCCTGGCAGACTCGAAGGATTGCAGCTTTTCATGTTCCGGCGATTCTAACAGCAAGTGCGGCGCCGGAAACCGCATCAATATTTACAACAACGCAAAACCTAAAGTGCAGGCGCCTGCTACTCTATCCGGAGCTTCGTCCCTTGGATGCTTCGTCGAAGCTGCACACCGAGTGCTACCAAGCAAAGCCATCAGTGGAAGCGACATGACGGCAGCCAAATGTGCGACCAACTGCGCTGGTTTCGACTACTTTGGTACCCAATGGTCTTCTGAATGCTACTGCGGCAATACTCTCCCAACTGTCTCGGCGCCCGCATCTGAGTGCAATATGGCTTGCTCCGGCAAGGGGGACGAGGTATGTGGCGGCAACTTGCGGCTCAATGTTTACAAATTCGACCAAGCTTCCGTGACAGCCCCGGCCCCCGCGGCCGTTTCCGGCTTTGAGTACAAGGGCTGCTACGCCGACAATATTCCCCAGCGAGTCCTCAGTGGGAAGGTTACAAAGAGCGCTGCTATGACCCTGGAGATGTGTGCTGCTGCGTGTGGTGGCTCCGGGTATACCTGGTTCGGCGTTGAGTTTGGCTCGGAATGCTACTGTGGCACCCAGCTCGACGCTGCAAGCTCCCTTGCTTCCGAAAGGGAGTGCTCTATGAAATGCAGCGGTAGCGGCTCGCAGAACTGCGGCGGTTCCAACAGGCTCAATGTGTACAGGACAGATATCAGCGGCACAGCAAGCAGCAAAGAATCGATTGGCGGCTTCCACTACCAGTCATGTTGGACCGATAAGGTAGACGACCGTTCGCTCAAGGCTGTCGACTACCGTACCGATGATATGACGGTCGAAAAATGCGCGAAGCGATGCGAGGCTTATGCGTACTTTGGATTGGAGTACTCTCGGGAGTGTTTTTGCGGCAATGACCTAATTGGACAAGCGGCACCAGAGAAAGACTGCGGTATGCTATGCATGGGAGCGAGCTCTCAGTGGTGCGGAGGGCCAGACAGGTTGAACCTATACTCGAAGATGACATTGTCGACTCCTCAACTTTCCCCATCCTCGACTTCTCAATCTTCTTCATCGTCAGTTTCTCAATCCTCTTCATCGTCAGCTTCTCAATCCTCTTCATCGTCGACTTCTCAGCTCTCCTCATCGTCGACTTCACAACTCTCATCCTCGACTTCTAAAACCTCTTCATCTTCGACTTCTCAATTCTCTTCATCCTCGACTTCTCAATCCTCTTCGTCCTCAACTTCTCAAGCCTCTTCATCGTCAGCTTCTCAATCCTCTTCATCGTCGACTTCTCAACTCTCCTCATCGTCTTCTAAAACCTCTTCGTCAACTTCTCAATACTCCTCATCGTCGGCTATTTCAAAAACAGCCTCTTCAGCAGTGGCCTCACTGGTATCCGCGACTTCAGTTGCATCCACCACAGTCGGCGCTCCCATGATAACTATCACAGACTGCCCCTCGAAGTCTACGTATACTCCGGTCCCGGAGTCATGCTATGTGCCTGGATTCCTTCCCCAGGAATGCAACGTGCAACAGTTTTTCGTTAACGAACCGAGCCGTTTCTTACGCTGGTGTAACCAGGTCCTGTTGCAGTGGGGACTACCTTCGAACCCTCAAATAGAGGCGTGCTTGAGTTCTTCAAGTGATGAGGACTTTTTGGATTACGAGTCTCAATCATCACTCTTATCCAGCCGTACCGAATGTCTGAAAAAGCCTACTGCATCAGTCGTCTGCCCGTACAACACGAACACGAACACGAACACGAACTGTGTTACAAAGACGTACGAAGTTGGAGCGGTGCCAACGCCTAAACCGTCCGATTTACTTGGAGATAGCGGCTGGGAATCCGGCAATATTGGCGCTTGGAAGTCGGAAGTATACAATGCCCAGTATCTGAATCTACAAATCAACTCCAACAAACCTCGATCAGGAAGCTTCAGCCTTTCAGCGTTCTTCAACAATAAAGATAGCGCTTATGTGGACTACACTCGGCGTGTCAAGGTCGAAGCGGGGCGTCAGTATCGCTTCGAGCTATATTACTGGCAAACCAATCCAAAAGCCTTGACCTATCTGTACCCTCTTGTTTATCCCAACAACATCGTGCTGGACAGTGGAAACAATGGCCTTGTTGAAAAACCAGCGAATCAATGGGTGAAACTCTCAGGAACCTTCCAAAGTGTTACTTTTTTCGTGAACCTTCAGATCCGTCTTGGTATGAATAGGGGACTGGTTCCCGGAGCCACGGATGGCCAAAATCAGGTCTACATTGATGACATTACATTGGTCCAGCTTGATTAGAAATATTCACATTAGTTTACATTAACATATATATGTCCTGCCTCTGAAAGAAAATTGATTATTTCATCCTCATCTTTTGTTTAGATGGGTGCTGCCCCCCTGAACTATGAAAGAATAAGCAGAAGCATCGGACGTGGTGTTCAGCATCGTTATAGTTGTTAAAAAGAAGAGAAATTCCTACAATAGCCTACTTGCCAAAAGCCTTCCGTGCAACAGTCATTACAACGACCATCAAGATTGAAGACATCTTCAATTTGGTTCATTGGGCTTACAGGTATTCTCAGTTCAGAGGCCAAAGTGATTAACTTGGTTACATCAGCGGTCTGGTTTGTTTCAAAGGTGGTTGTTGAAGGAACCGCCCCCCCCCCCCCCCCCTTCCCCCAGTAAATAGTCAAATATCGCCTGACGATGAAAGACAGTGATGTGTTTGTCTAGGAGAGGCCTGCATTAGCCTATGCTTAAGTAGCTCTTCCCACTGTGCCTATCCTGTACTGAAGCCACTTTATGATTATTTTTGTCTCTGCAGATACCTTCAGAGTCTGGCTCTTTTGAAGATATGTTATGGACCTCCAGATATTCTGTGCATAGCGTCATTAAAATCATGAATGAGTCAGTTAGAGATGCCTGACTACCTTCTTAATTCAGTGTCACTGGACTGAGAGTGTTACGGCCAGCTAACTGACAGTGGGTTTGTGTTAACAGTAAGCCAGGGATTGAGAGTAGTAACAGTCGTTCCGTGGTCCTGGTCGAATAGATCGTAGATCTTCAAAGGTCTTGGTGATCAGTCAAGGCCTCAACAAGAGTCGTAGAGTAGTCGTCACTTAGGTATAGCTGAAAGTACCGGTTAGGGTAATCACAAAGTTGATTGCTGAAGAGCTATGGAAGTCTGTCCTCGAGCCCGGCTCGAGTCCATCCTATATACAAGTCCTGAACGGTCCTCCTTATCTTGGCTATGTTGGATATTTGACATATCCAACATATCCGGGGATCGGTTGGATATTTGACATATCCAACATATCCGGGGATCGGTTGGATATCTGACATATCCAACATATCCAGCCCGGGTTGTCCCTACCCCGCGTTATCCCCGAGGCCACGTGACTTGTCCATAGTTCTTCCGTTCCGAGGATCCCTGGTTACACCTGTCGGCTGGGTTACATATGCCCTGCGTTAGCCGCCGGGATCCAGGCGGGGTCGTGTTGGCGACCATGTCCAACGGGTCGTAACAGAGAGCATAGTATTTGACCATCATCATTTCACACAGACTTCTTTCTTCGAAAACCGCCTGGTTCCATGTCATAATTACATATTAGGTTATGAAATAGTCACCCTCACACCTTTACGACTTGCAGGCATAGCTACAGTCATACAATACTCGTAGGCAACTTCTTCCCGAGTAGTTTCAAACAGTTGCATTTGCGGGAACACCCGCAGAACCAAAGCCGACAGTGTAAGATACAATTCGCAATAAGCCAGACTGCCATGTATGTTAGTTTAAAAACAACAAAGTAGATATGATATCCAGACTTACCTGATCCCTAAGCATTGTCTTGACCCTTTGGAAAACGTCAACAAGCATCTCTCAAGATCCTTTCTCCGCTGACCATGTTCATCCAGCCACCGCTCAGGAATGAACTCATGGGAGTTTGGAAATACGTCCTCATCGTGATGCATAATGACGGAACTCATCCCAATTGCCCAGCCAGAAGGAACGACATAACTGATGTCAATCTGACTCGGTGCATCGTTAGGCGACCATTTACCCCGATACACCAGATCCTCATCTGTGGCGATTCGAGCAGATCTAAGTGAAACGCCGTAAGACAGCCGCAGACCCTCCAGTACCGTTGCACTGAGGTATGGCAATGTCTCCAACTTGGTCCAACTGGGCAATTGACATGGGTCGTCGACAATGGTACGCAACTCCTGTGCCAGGCGGTCCAGCACAAGCGGTTTGGACAAGATATAGAAGGTCAGCGCCGCCAGAGCGGTGCTTACAGTCTCGGTGCCAGCATAAACAAGGCTACTCCCCTCACCCGTGAGGCGGTATGTCGTCTTCTCCTCGGGCGGAAGATCAGAGTCGAATACAGCGGCAAAGATATTGGGGTTGTTGTCATTTAGGATGCCTGATTTCCTCTCTCGCTTGGCTTTTTCTATCATGTTGGGAACGGTCACCTGAAGTTAAAATGTTAGTTTACTAGTAATATTCGTTTGATCTCATAGGTATTTTTACATGGAATGTGTCAATCATGTAAGCCATATCCTGTGGCAGGAATCTCGAGAGCCTACATACCATCAGTAAATGCATTTGGTTGACTCACAGCACCAGGGCATCAGTACTCACCAAGGTCCCAAGAGCAACAAGTGCTTCATCAATGGAAAGAACCTGAACAAATAAGTCACATTTAATGCCCCAGCGGTTGGAGCTCGAAAGTTGGGCGTCCATCCTTCCTGATCAAGGAACCCAAAGGGCTCGCCAAAAGCGTATGTGGAGATGAAATCACCCGCTATGCAGCTGTACGCATCGGCAACATTTACTGGTCGGCCAGGAGCTTCTTTAAGAAGCCTGTCACACATCTTCTGGACCAGACTCTGTACCTTTGCCTCGAGGCGTAAAATTTGAGTCTTGGCGAAGAACTTGCTCATCGCTGCACGGCGTTTGCGGTGGAGGTCATGGTCGACGGTACCGAAATGAGACACAACTTGACTATAATGCAATTATGAGTAAGCTACTGCGTGATGGAGGTTTCAAAATGAAATCCCACGCTGGAGGGAAACCAGGCGGAAGTGAAGAGCCATTAGTTTACTCACGCCGACGGGACGTTCTTCGTCCCGTGTGGAGACTTATTTCTTTTCCTCCCACCTCCGGCATAGATCTCGTCTATAAAGTTTGGGTCATTGCAATGTAGTTCATCGGGATTGATCCGAATGATGGGGCCTTGACTTCCGATTAGCCTAAGCCAGATTACGTGGTTGTAGATGGGCAAGCTTCGACCATACCATAAATCCCATGCAATCTTTTGATCTCTCTGGTGTATCTGCCTGTTTTGACCATGTCGAACCAGAACTCATATGCATAAGAGCCAGCCGCGACTTTTGGGCCAGGGAATTTGTAAAGAGGGTGAAATGGAGAGACATTGTAAATGAAACCAAGGGCTTGATAAATTAACCAGCCAGCAATGATGGTGCCGATGGTCGTCCATGACAGAATCCCCAGAGGGATGCTGATATCGTATAGGGAACCCATGATTTCAAGAAATCGATAGCGAGCCCGCAGTAATTCTTTTTCAGTTGGCTTCCTTTATATGCTCACAGAATCTGGGCGCTTATTCTCCCGTGATAGAACCCCGCTTCATGACCCAAAAGAGTATATGCAAGATGCTTCAAACAGTGTAGCGGGAATTGGCTAAGATGTATAAAGGCGAACACCTAGCCGAAGAAGGACGGCTTGGTTGGTGAATCTGATAGGCTGCGAATTGGCAACACCATCAACATCAAGGCAAATGATTGGAAATGGAGTAAAACACATATCCTTTTTGGGCATGGTCACGGCGGTTAAACCTGCTCAAGAAGAAAAAGCAATAGTTGTAAAACTAAATTGGTCATGTGTCAGGTGGAGTGAACAACAGGTGAAATTGCGTTCAGCCTGCATGCAGCTGTGTTCACGTCAACGACTCGCAGCTGTGATATGCTTGGACGCAGACTAAAAGCTCTTTATGTTTGTTGACACATGGATTGAATTGTTGTAACATTGCAATATTGTTCAGTTTGCGTAGCATGTGTAAGCTTGGCATTGGAAAAAGGACGGTGTGATGACTGTATGTTTGGAAGGCTTGAACGAGTGCAAGTGACTCCAAAATTTTCGTGCAAATCAGATCTGGGTCTGTTGTTACGGCCAGCTATCTGACAGTAGGGTTCTGCTAACAGAAGGTGCAGTAAGAGACTAACACTGGTTCGTAGAGGTCGTTCTGGTAGATCGTAGGGTTAGGGTAAGGTGATCAGTCTTACACTATGGTAACGAGGTTCTTAGTATTCACAATACTGAGAGGTAAGCTGAAAGTCATTCGAGGATGAATCACAAGTTGATTGCTGAAGAACTATCTAGAGGGCTTGAGCAGGTACTCAAGTCCTGGTCTATATAGGAGTCTATCTACACGTATTGTCTGTAGTCGTTGGAGATCATATTGATCGAACATGATCCGTTGGCCCCCAACTCTTCTTGGATCATTCTGACCTAGAATGATTCATCACGTGACTTGTTCCGTTCTATAGTTCTTCCGTTCCGAGAGGTTACCTTTTGTTCCCGTGGCCCTGCATACAAAGTCCTGTCATAACCGCCCAACCGAGTGGGTCCTGTTAGGTGTATCTAACGGGTCGTAACATCTGTGATCGCAGCACTTTTTGTTTTCCTTAATTCATTCTTGTCTCCTTAACTATATATCTATGTTGGTATCACAGGGCACCTGTAAGAGGTATAAACTAAAGGGAAAACTAGTTTATTGTCTTGTTTGTGATCTGTCTGGAATAAGTTCTAGTAAAACTGCTGGAGGAAGTAGCTATTGAACTTTTAGCTATCTATCGGTCTGCTTATTAATTTTCTTACTTTAGAAAAATACTCTTGTGTTCGCTACCGCCGATATAGAACGGAAGCTTGCGCCGTCAGCGCGCCCCAACGGTGGCGTTCCTACTTTATTATGCCAGTAGATAAGATACTAGTAGTGCTCGCAAGACTGAGCGCTCGTCGCTGTGCTGGGAACCATTAGCCGTTCAGCTTTAGTAAGTTGAGCTCGTGGACGCTTGGAGGTTACTGTTAAGGCGGCCGGACTTGGTTGCCTGTAACTGGTCCATTCTCTAAGTTTTGTAACAGGATCAATATTGTAACCTACTCATCTTCTTTCGAGTCTAAATAAGTGATGTCGCCTGAGAATTCGCTGAATTTGAGTAGTGATTCTTTAACCCGAAGAAGAGCCTAGTCATCTTGTTGAATCTCCTGGAGGTAAGTCGATGCTCGGCTAATTTCATATTGCTACAAACCTTTGCATAATTTCACGTTTTTTGAGTTACGACAAAAACATGGATGGTTAGGAAAACCCTAAGAAAACCGCGATGGGTAGGGCACAGCGTCGTGGTCTTTGCTTGAGTTTCGCTTTGGTAGGCCTCAAAGGCGGTGTGGGCTTGCACCGGCAAGAACATCCATCGTTCCACAAGGTGAGCCTACCGCTTCTGAGTTGCCGGAGGGTATACGGCGAGAAACTGCAAGACAGGCAACATCCATGACTTTATTAGTAACTACCATATTCGAAATGAGACGTGCCCGCATCGGCACGGATATCCGGCGCCGAATCTGACTAGCTGATAATAGTCTTTACGAAAGGTAGCAAGTTTTAAGCCTTAATTTGATAGGCTATGAAGACCACGCTTATTAAGAACTACATACTAGTAAAAGGAGGTTAATTAGTTAAATAAAACTTATGCATTAAATTATTCCAAATTCCAGGGACTAATTACAAGTGAAGTAGCGAAAGCCCTGAGTCGATAATCAGCAAGAAGTCATCATCTCTGATTCTACACCAGAGGAGCACACTAGTCAGCGATGCGCGAGTCAGGTCAAAGTTGTCAACTACCAATCAAGGCAAGACATGAAATTCCATAACGATAAGCTTTTTCGGGGGGTAGATCAAGTATTTTATCCGGTAATCCGGCACCTAGGAAGTAGCTAATGCTCTAGGAGTTAAGGTAATATCCTGCAACGAAACCAACGCACCATCGTGCTCAGGCAACTGCAGCTGGCACACCACACCCCATCCGCTAATATCATCCTCTTAGCACATTAGGCAAGCAACCCCGACCTTGTTATGAGCGGAAATCATCCGAGGAGAAATCAAAGTGCTCAGTAGAAAGAGGAAGGGGAAATACGGAAACAGCTGCCTATCTGCTGTGAAGTTTAGTAACCGATACGTATCCTGGTAAGCCCAATAAGATTTGCCTCCGTCTAAGCTATATTAGCTTATAAACTCAGTTTTCCACCGGTTCCATTGCCTTAGGTATCATGAGTGAGTAATGAACTCACTTTCTCACTTTTCTTCGGAATCAATATGATTGAACACCCCATCAATCTAAGATGGTTTGAAAGCCTGCTAGAACTCACGAATGATACAAGTCGGCTTACTATATAAACCTGCAATGAATGCATTCGTACCTTGAGATTAACCTCCTCAGAAAAAAGCACATTGCAAACGGCAGCAGCTTTGAAAGCCAAACGATAAAACGGAACGACAGTCTAAACCTTTTCGTTGAAATCAAGCCACCATGAGAATCAGAACTTTCCTGCTTTATGCCATGTACGTTGAGGTCTTCAAAGTCTCGAAAATCCATCATTCAGCTGCTAATAGTTCACAGATCACTTGCTTCAATGGCAGTAGCAGATATGCATACTTGTAACAACGCAGGATCGAAGCCTGGAACATTTGTTTCAGGCAGATGCATTAGCTATGATGACCAGGCTAAAGAAGTCAATCACCCGGACTTGACCAAGTCTTGCTGTCAACCTCCTCACGGCACATCATATGACGATGGCCCTGGAGAATTTGTTCGTTCACTTTGTCATCAACAAGAGTAAACTACAAGCATAGGTGGCTGACTTAAGATTAGTGTTGCATGACGGATGATACAGAAAATTTTAAATTTCAAGACAATTGTTGTTCAGATAGTGGTAGAAGAAAGGGCGTTGTGTTTGCTCAATATCCGTACCCTTTCTACTGATAGTTTGTTGTACGCGGCGCAAACGCGTTGCATCAATAGATCGCTTCTGATGTAGGAGGTCATGACCTGTCAAAGTCTTATATTCATATGAGAACAACGGATGTTCTGCCATTATGTATGCTAAAAATTTTCCCGAGACCTCGAGAGGTTTGGTACGTTTATCTGGTAGTTGGCTGGGTCGTCTTTAGCTGCATGGACATTTAACGGCGTACACCTGGGATAGGCGTATACTTCCCACTTTCAGTCTTTCAGTGGCAAAAACGGAACTTCCGCAGTGACTAGTGTAACGTACAATTTCGTCTCAATACCGACTTCTTTGAACTCTAAAACGAAATAAACCATCATAAGTGTTGTGCACGTGCATGCCGAAGTTCCATACAAGGTTCCCAATCATCGAGTCTAAGGATTAAATACACGATGTGGATTAGGCCCCCGCTTTTACACTAGTTCTTCCTCATTACACTCGCGATGCCGCCGTACCCTCAAAGCTGAAGCTTTGCATGGTAGCTGCGAGTACTACTAGCCTTCTTGGTCAAGCTAAACCATGTTAGTGAGTCATTTTATGTTTGGCTACGGTTTCATTTGCATTTCACTACGTATAAACCGATAATTACTTGAATCTGCGATGGAAAGGGGTTTTCGATGTTTGTGATCATGACCTCCGCCGAGGCCTGGACTCGCCGCATCAACTGGGCTGTTAAGGGACATTAACCCTAAACCAGTTAATAAATGCAACTACCATATGAACGGTGTTGATACAAGCGACCGAATGGGGTCCTATTATTAATACAGACACCTTGTTCAGTCGATTGCCTGGAATTTCCTACTTAAAAATATTATTATGAACAATTTCTTTTTACGGCTTTGGGAGAAGCCTAGCTGGCAATCGGCAAAGAGCCAGTATCAGTGGGGTCAACTGCTTGCCGCCCAGCTAATTTGTGTCGAGCGCTGTTTAGTTTAGAGTAACGGCGATCCCCACCGGGTGCAATATAAGGCCCTGTTAGTAATGACTCGACTACGGAACGTTCGGATGCTGCTATAGATATAGCAATTAACAAGTTGTATCTTGATTGATCTCGCAAACGATGTGGCTGTCTCCTGTGTCATATCCTTATCTTACAAATCATCTAAAAAAATTGAAAGCTGGTGTGATATGTACCGTAAATCATAAAAAGGTTTAATAAATGTGAATCTTGCTTGAGTGCGCGCACTCATATAAGACCAGGTCAGCTCCTCCTACTTTTGGAATTGGAAGTTTGTTTTCCTATCTCTACTGCCTCAGCTGAATACATTGCATTCGAGTCTACCACTACACTTTCAATGCGTTCCCAACTTTTCCCTGTCATAGTGTATATGTAAGCTAGTCATTCCTAGATTTCTAATGATATACTAATTTCTGAAAGGACTTATGCTAGCTCGGCAGCTGCAGGTGGTGTATCTAAATGCTCGGGGCAATTCTTTCCTGGCATCTGCGGTAGGACGATTCCAGGCTCAACTATAGTTGAAGCGCACGATGGTTACACTCAGAGTTGCTGTCAGCCTCCTCACGGCACCTTCTTTACTGACGACAAGTACGCTGGACCATTCGTATGTTACTTTACTTCCCTAAGACGCTGCTTAGAAGATAATTAACTAAAGAACCAGTGCTGCACCGATAATACCGCCAGTGCTAAAACTTACTTAAATAACTGCTGCAAGGGTGGGGGCGAAGACCGTTCTTTTGTAGAGGTTACCTGGACTAAAGACTAAAAGCAAGCTTACGATTACGTGGCATGTTTAGACTTACTTTAAGTAAAATTTATAGGCCTTAGTATCCGTAAAAATGACTTGTTGCAAGTCTGACGATAAGAGTGTTGTCGAGTAATGTTTCATAGATATCGGGTTCCTAATGGAAACAGGCTGAATTCCGGAACGACATGAATTATTCCTTAAGACGAGAATACTGACATCTAGGCTATAAAATATTACCGTAGGCAAACATGTACTCTTACAAATGAAGATCCATAACATTGCACCAATCAGAATAATCTAGAGTACGGCAGCTGTGTCTTGCCGTACTGCATAAACAGGGGAAACAGAACCAACAGCATAGCATTTATTAGCAACAACGCCTCCGATACTGCATCTACTGGCAAGGCTGAATGAGATACTTTACAAAGAGCGGCCGGCGATACAAAAATGCCGGAGGTGATGTTAATTGTTAACCTCTAACGGCAGTGGGGGAAGTGCTTTCATTAAAGCCTTGGGCGGTTTTCTGAAGGGATTTGTTCCCGAAGTAGCCTTACGACTGTGGATCACATCTATGGAATGGCGGAAGTCTGCTGGTGTCAGCGCTGGGATTCCTTTGATGAAGTGAAGGGGCCGTTCCACGCCAAAGGATGCTGACTTTGGCCATAGCTGAGGATCGACGAAATGCGCTGGACGAGGTTTTACAGCGATTGTATAAGAAAACAGCAAGCCGTGGGGGATCCTAGACGGGTGAACAGGATAGGCCCACCCGTTTTGCTGTTTATACTTGCCCTACCTCTCAATACTGGTCGAGTGATTGATATCGTATGGTTTGAAAAAGTCAATGCACATTGCACAGAAACCCTCTTTGTTGAATCTCCCTCTTTTCTGTCTATTGCAGGGCTTTTCATGTCTGTAGTCTGGTGGGCTCCCGGCCATCGTTCGCGACTTGGCGCGCTGGCATGTCATGATAAGCTCTTCCTCATGGCTACATAGTTATAGTAAAGGTAGATTTCAGAACGATGCACATAGTGAAGCTTGTAGAATATATCCTAAGCTGCACGAAAGACATAGACAGTCGGAGATAAACCAGGTGCAGAGCAGCCTGGCTAGGAAACGCCGTTGGCGCTATGCGTTTCTTGAGCCTTCCATCTGAGGCCAGCACTATCTCTGCAGCTCAGACTATAGATTTTACGTGAGCTCAATGAGAACTTCTGAGTCGCGTTAGCTACAAGTGATGAAACCAGCAGTCTGCGGCTGCACATGCTCGGAATTATGCTGGTATTGCTGAACAGAAGGTGTATCTACAGTCACCTCTTTCAATCTGTGCTGTTGCCAGTCTCTACGAATACAAACCACCTATACGTAGTTGTAAGCATCCAACTATTAAGCGAGGTGTGAGTCATACTTCCTGGCTGGCAGCGCTGGCTCACGTCTTTCCCGTTACTGTTGGTGCAGGGTTGGCAGATGCTTACGATATTGGATGAAAGCATCACCTGACTAAAAGTACGGAAACTCTCCCTTTGCTTCGTTCTCAACCCATTTTCACTCGGTATTGATCGCTGACATCATGACCTCAACGGAGCGACAACAGAACCGAAAGCTGTTCGCGGATCCATCTGACGTCAATGAGGACCGTTGATTAGGAGTTCCCTCAAAAAGAGGCTCAGTTCGCAAGTAACATGCTCCTGCACCAAACCGACCTGCCTGATAGTCCTTCTATTTCGGAGAGGCTCCTAATTCTGTTCCTATGTCTCGAATATGTCAAGCCTTAACCACCCAAGCGAACGAGGTCCTGGTTGGTAATATGTAACAGTTCGAAATATTAAGTATAAAAGCAGAAGCCGTTTTGGCCTGATTTGATAAATAATACTACAAATATAAAATTATACTGCCAATGGTTTAAGATTAAAATCACGAAGGGCAGATGCCAAACATAAGCACCCAATGCACAAGTATATGAGTACATATATGCCAGTGAAAGATATTAGCTTCCTATTCAACCTTAATAATACTGCACCGAACGATTGACTTCCAATTTGCTCCTGCCCTGCGCTCCATCAAATACTAATTGCGCGTTGAAGTCATCATCTGCTCCAGCTCGAACAGCTGTTTCTCAGACCCTGCTGGAGCTAACGCCCGCACCAGCATCTGCCAAGCCCCAGTCATTGGGGACCGGCGTTCTTAATGCAAGTAGAACTAGGTCCTGTAGATCTGACCACGGTATGATGCTCAAAATGCGAGGTTGACTGCGGCTTGACTCTGATGTCAAAATGTCGACCAGAGTCAGAATTCCCACCCACGACGCATAAATAACCACAATCCCGAGGTAGATACCCATGATAGCTTGGGCCCACTGCAAAGTACGACGCTCATGACCAGATCCGTATCCATGACGTTCAGCGACGATATGGATATGCGTAAAATTTTCTAACCTTTGTCGAAATTTTGCTATAGTTCCGTTGTGATCTGTCGTCTGGCCCCGCCAAGTCTCACGATAGAAAGTTGAGTTGAGAGTCGTCAAAGTGTGAATACCGCCACGAACTCCGTATCGTTCGTTGAGTTTGATGTACGTGAGCTGGCGATCCTCGGTCTTGTTGAGTACTAATTGCGTGCTCTGATGTTCAAAAGTACTCCTTGCTAAGCCGTCAGTTAACCAGACCCCAAATACTCGGGCTAGTATTATTTCTGCTGCAGTGTAATTGGCGACATTGTCGTGCCGTTCAACGAATGCCAGAGCAGCTTGAGTCTTCCCGTCCAACCTTTCCTTTGACGAGAAGTTCTGGACGAGCCGCCAGAGCGCCGTCATGTTTGTGTAGTCCCCTTCGTCCCAAGTCGGATTAAGAGCTTCAAACCATTCCTTAGAAAATAGCAGGTTTCGAACATCGTCGGGGATTCTATTTTGGTACAAGTCTCTCATCACATTGGCGTTGCCCAAGGAGGATTGTAATGCGTCGTCAACTCTGGGGTCCAACGTAAAGTTTGATGGTGCCCAACTTGCAAGTAAGTTACAAAGATAAAAGGCGTGCCCTGGCTCGCCGGAGGAATCATCTGGGATTTGTCCGTCGATTAAGATGATAGGAGAATTAGTGGGAAACCTGAACGGGCTCGCAACTGATTTATTGTCGAGCTTCTGATTTGGGAGCCAGCTTTTGTTGTACAGAATGCCTCTTTCTTGGATAAGTTGGCATTCCTTGTCATTAAAACAGTTAAGAGAGTCGACGGGGTAAAAAAGTGGTGATGTGTCCTTGGCCAACTCTTCCTTGTCATATACTGCACATTTGGACTGTACAAATGGCTGATATAATGTCGAATTGTCTTGTGATTGGGATTTGATAGCGCTTTTATTCTCAGTTCGAAGCCTATATCGAGGCTCTTTCGACAAAGCGCCAACATCAGCGTGGTCTATATACTTCTGAAAGAGGCCGACACTATTCGTTAGAAAGTGTGGTGGGGTAGTGCAAAGCGTGGTAAGGCTGGTATTTTGGGTGCTATTCGCTAATGTGAAAACAAGGTGCCTTCGTAGATCGGCCGAAGTAGAATGAAAAGTCAAATTATTCCTTAGGTCAGTGGCAGGGAAGTCTCGTAGCCAGTTGGATATTTCGGGGAACCCTCCTGCTGGACAGGAGTCTTGATATAAGCCTTCAACCCCGCCGCAATTGTCTGGGGCTTTCTTTCGATTTGGAACCCAAATGTTGTTCCGTTTCCACGCGTATATGAGAGGAAGCTCGATTTTGCTGAAGGCGATTGAATTATCGATCTCGTACCAGTCCAAAGTCGGTACAAGCAGTACAGCAGAGGCAGGTCCGACAATTGTGGACATAAGAGTAGCAAAAACAACGAAGCTAGGAAGCAACAAACCCCAAGGGGTCGATATATCGAGACCTTGCCGCCAAAATGCGGCGCTTTTAAGGTAGGCCAGGTCACCAACTCGATAACCGCCTGTAAGAAATCCCAAGCGAACACCATCAGTAACCAGAGATCTCCGAAACATAGCTAGAGCGATGGAAGACAGCGACGCCACAATGAGAAGCTCGTGAAGTTTGGCGACAAGTTGGAGAACATTGCTGATCGTATCGGCGTCGACTCGGTAATTCGATATGAGAGGGCCCTCTTCTGGATACCAATAAAATTTACAAGTGCCAATAACCAAGATGGCAATAGTCACAAGCAAGGCAGGTATATGGACTATCCATCCGTGAAGGAAGCGGGTCCAGTCATCCCGAACGATATGCTTCGGTACTCTTTTAAACCGATTTCCGTCTCGGTACTTCAGTCCTGTGGCCTGTTCATCTTCATAGCCGCTCTCATCAAGTCTAACATGAGCTGATGATGGATGGTCTTCTGAGTTCCTTGACTGATCAAAGTATCGTGACTCATTTATGTCGGAATTTAGGCTGCGTGTGTTGATGCCTGGAGTAGTCCTTGGTTGGGTCGAAAGTAGAGGTACTCCCATGGTAATGTCATCAGTGTCTGGCTCTTGAGCACGCGGAAGTGATTCATGGTAGTCTATCAAGTCTTCGGTTGATGAAGTATGAGCGAGTTTTGGAGGTGATGGTCTAGTGATTGGAAAATTGCGGCCGTGATGACTCCCCCTGGTGCCATGGCGTTGTCCCAGTTCGATAGTATCATTTGTCGAGAACATTGAGCTCAACTCCAAGTATGCTAAAGAAAGTGTTTTGGCCACGAAACAATCTCAGACGTGGGAGACAGATAAAATAGAAGATCGAATATGTCTTTTTTCGAGTATAACAATCAAAAATGAAGGTTAAATGGCCAGCCTTGCCATTTCATACAGGTGGCGACATGTCGCGTTTCGTGGCACTTGTGTTGAGATGTGGTGCTACTACTTATAACTAATGCAACAATTCGTTGACGTCTACGGAGTACGTCAGTGGCTGGATCAGGCTGTAGGCTGCAGTGTTCATGTTGAAAACACAGCATGGTAATCGTGTTACATCGAAGTATCCCAGGCCGGTTTATTGGTTGCCGACAGGCATTCAAGGGTTTTACATAGCCACATCCTCATGCAGTCAGCACGAATAGCCACTGTGGTGTTACAGTCTAGTTGTGAGCTTTATTGTCTCAGGTGAGAAAATGGACAGTGATTGGCACCTGATAAGCTGCAAAGACGCTGGAAGCTCAATTAGAAACATCTAATAACATCCATCCATAGGGCACTTTCAGAAGGTTGATGTTTCGACCCAACCTGGTGGGGTACCGGCCGGTGTAACTATGCAGTGCAGAACATAGATAATGATGCAGACGTAAAATGACGGACTCTGCAAATTCACCGTCGACGAACACAATAGCGCGTATGAGGAGAGTTCTTCAAACCAACATTAACCCAACGTGGCAAACCCAAGGATTACGGGCATTGCATTGCGCTTCAACCAACCATTTGTTTCTGTTGCTTCAGGGACGATAGATAATGTCTTTGTTAGTCAGAAGAAGTCATCATTCATTCCGGATATATCCGTGGTTCGGTGACTTGAATATGAATCTTGGGCTGGTCATGGGAAGTAATAGCGGGTGTATTATTTGCCTCTTTAGGCTATAGATAAGCCCAATGCTACAAATTTCGTCGAGCACATGAGACATGATAATTTTTTTGATCATGAATGGACAATAGTCCTTGAGCATCTTCGCCTTCGGGCTCAGTTTGGTTATTGAATGATCAGCTGAGTTAACCTGGCATAGTAGCGACTAAAGGCCGAAGCCCCTCAGCTTCAACCATCCCGATTAGAAAGAGAAGAACCCTCAGAATTGACCTTGCTCCTTGCTTACAACAGGAATTTTGCTGAGCGTAGCTTGCTATATACTTCACCATCGCACTTTTAGTTAAATACTCTGAGATGAATCTAACATGCATAGTGAGGAATGAGGACAAAACATACATCAAAAAGTCGGTCACAGACGCGTAGGAGGCTCATTAAAACATGCAACACTATGAGTCTTCACCCTGTCATGCATGTGCGAAAGATTTGAGGTACTTCAGCCGATTTCGGCAAAGTGTCACTGCAAATGACACTTTGCCGAGCTAGAATCGCAATGCAGATCGACTGGTACGGTCTCCGCAGGAAAACATGCGGAGAGCCTAATGGCATTTTGCCGACCTCGGCCTTGTGTCTGCTGAGGTTTTTAAATCCTACAAGTCATGGAATTACTTTTATATCTTTCCCCTCCCATGCGAACTGCAGAGAAATTCCAATCAACGTCGCTGGTCTTTGTTGCTCTTTGGCGAAAGCGACGAGGTGACTTCTTCTGACACGTCGTCGATACGAGGATTTCAGTGAAACTACCTTCCACATGCTGGTATTGATAGAGTCAAGTGGCAGAGTAACGGCACGACTAGTGTGCACAACGTTTGATTGCGATTACTCAATCCAATTTGCAACGTGGCAAAGCTGTCGAACCTGGCAAAGCGAGCCAGTATGCCTGGCTCAAACCATATCAAGCCTTTCGCTTTGCAAGGCCGCACTTATGTCCAAGGAAAAGCTTCAGGTAGGCTCCTTTCAAGCAACTTGGAGCTGAGTTTCTGGGGAGGCGTCAATGCAGAAACAGGAGAAGTCATTGACCGTCACCATGCTCTATCAGGAGAGTATCTTCAGGACAAAATCTTGGCCATACCTGGCGGTCGTGGTTCCTGTTCAGGCAGTGGTGTGATTCTAGAGCTGCTTCTTAACAACAAAGGACCCAGAGGCATGGTATTTAGGAGACGAGAAGATATTCTCACGCTCGGTGTTATGGTCGCGGAAGAAATGTTCGCGAAGGCCATACCTGTGGTTACGCTCAGCGAAGCCGACTTCGATCATCTGTTGGACTACAACGGACACCAGATTTACATGGATGGCTCAACCGTATCACTGTTCGAGTCTTCCGGCTGTTGCGAAAGCTTTTCGATATTTCAGGACATAAACATAAATACAACTCCAGTGGACAACATAAAGTTATCAGACCTTGACAGAGACTTCATTGAAGGCGTTTACGGAGACGCTGCTCGTGTTTCTATTCGAATTATTCTGCGAATGGCCGATTTGTTGGGTGCTACGGAGCTGATGGACATCAGCCAAGTCCACATCGACGGCTGCATTTACACTGGACCTGGATCACTAGCCTTTGCTGAGAAGCTCCGAGATTTGGGAGGCCGCGTTAGGGTTTTTACATCTCTTAATTCGATCTCTGTCGACCAGAAGCGTTGGCGCTCCCAAGGAGTCGACGCCACTCTAGGAGCTGCCGCCACGAGACTCGCCGATGCCTACACTGACATGGGCGCCAAACCAACACTTACTTGCGCTCCATACCAACTCGAAAGTGCACCAGCGCTCGGAGACCAAGTTGCCTGGGCTGAATCGAATGCAGTGGTATACGCGAACAGCGTGCTGGGGGCTAGGACTATGAAATATCCGGACTTCCTCGACATCGCTATTGCGCTCACTGGTCGAGCACCGAAAGGGGGGCCTCATGTCGAAACGAACAGGCTAGCTTCTTTGGTAATTCGACTGTCTGACTTGAACAGCCAAGCTGCTGAAGTAATTGACGACTCCTTTTATCCTTTGATGGGCTATCATGTAGGGAGTTTGGCATTAAATGAAATCCCCGTGGTAGTTGGAATGGAACCTCTTGCGCCGTCAAAGGACGATTTGAAAGCTTTCGGGGCAGCTTTTGCAACAGTATCGAGTGCACCCATGTTCCACATCGTTGGTGTTACTCCAGAAGCGGCATCTTTAGAAGCCGCCATACAAGAACATCATCAGACACGGTCTATAGATGTTAAACTAGCTGACCTGTACATGTGCTGGGAGAAATTGAACAGTGCGAAGAAAGGTCAGCGAGTGGATTTAGTATCTCTTGGTAACCCTCATTTCTCTATCTCCGAAATCAGAAAGCTTGCCGGGCTTTGTCAGGATCGGACAAAACACCCAAAGACTGCGATAATCGTAGCATGTGGAAGGTCAACCTTTGGCTTAGCCAGCCAGGCGGGACTCATTATGGATTTGGAGGAATTTGGTGTCCAGTTCACGACCGACACCTGCTGGTGCATGATAACTGAGCCTCTTGTGCCACCATCTTCAAAACTGATAATGACGAACTCGGGAAAGTATGCGCACTACGGACCTGGGTTGACCGGAAGGGGCTTTTACTTTGGTAGTCTTGAGGATTGTGTCAACGCCGCATGTGACGGTAATGCCAGCAGGTGTGCGCCTCGGTGGTTACCTGGCTGTGTTGAAAAGGTCTCAATAGATTAGATGTGATATTGGGAAAGAGTCAAACGATAAATCTTTGAGTGTTGATTCTGCGCCAAGAGCCCTTGATAGAACAGGGACTATTGTCATCATGGTATACAATATTAGCGATGGAAGTGACATCTCCTAGGCAATGATGAATACCTAGTAGGCCACCTACATAGAGCAGCATCAGAGACTTGGTCCTAGGTATGTTAGGCAAGGCCAAAAGAACGAACACATACGTAAGTCGTCGCAACGTAAACATCTACGGCGGCTATTGCGATTAGTGATGTAACGAGTTATCCATGCGAGTCGGTTTGGACCATTATGAGCTCGAGTCGCCTTCTTGTCCACTTCAATGGATGAATCAAACCCCTTGCATTATCTTGCAGCGATAAACTAGATTCGATCATAGCTAGGAAACGCTCTAACTCATCATAGACAACGGTGGATGTGATTTGCTCGAAATCAATCTTAGTCTTGCCAAACAGGCAATGCACCTCGAGAGGCTTGGCCAGACTAGGTGGTGGTTGCAAGTAGTCATCATGTAGAATGCCAGTGAGGTTTACCCTGATGGTTCCCTTAACCGCCTAGATTGATGCATCTGTCAATGACAATGTTGGCTAGGCTATTCCAGGCTGTTTATTGAAAAGATGAAAAGTCCCGCGGCTGACACTGATATCTCCGAATAAAATCAACTATTTAAAAACCCACCTTTGATGATACGGCTTTTGGATAGTCGATACTCGAAATGGCTCGCTGGCAGCTGCAAGCGTCGCGATACGGTCGGAAATTTTACCCCCGACCGCTTATCTTTTTTTTTTTTCCGTCGTCAGCGATGCAATGCTAGGATAAGACACCACGACGAGTTCATGCACCCTGGCCAGGTGTGTTTGCTAGTCTGTCTATCTTAAGGTACAATGGACTGAGATGGGGGGGACTCATGTCAGGTGTGTTGGCAGAGGACGGCGTCGCAACGTAAGCAGATGCATGGGTAAGACAAACGGCACCCGGCACAAGGGGAAGACATGGACGCGTGGGTGCTATCGTTGCTGGCGCCTCTGTCGCCATTCATATTGTCTTGCCTTGTCCAGCGCCTAGCTGATCATCTCGTGTGCCCATCCGCACTTCTGGGACGACAAGACATTTGGTGTCTGTGCCAAAAGGAACGTGTTCAAGGAACGTGCTCGTCGCAAAAACACCAAAAAGCTGGCGGCCAGTGCCCTCCTCTGTCTTGAACCAGAAGCACGTCCGATCGCGGTACCCGCCGAAGGGGAATTTTACGAGGTTACTTGCCGGATTCCGTGCCGTCCGGGCCGTTTCCCAGGGAGGGCGCCTCTGCCGTTGTTTGCCATCTTGGGTAGTAGTAGAAAACCTCGATATGCCGTAGTTGATATGGACTATTGAAGATGGCAAAAGATGTTGGATGGGTGGGCTGTCTGTAATGGTGGGTTGAGAACCAGCTTCTGTTCTAGGAAAACGGAACCAATATTGGGAGGCAAAAAAACGTCCGTTCAGCTCGGATTCAAACGATACGCACCCAAGCACCCCCAGGGAACCATTCAATGGTTTCCTGCAAGTCAGGATTGTCAAGTTCTTGGCGGATGTAGGTGGGAATTGTCTGGGCTCGAAGATGCTCATTCAGGAGGGGGGGAGACCCGAAAGAGTGCATGATAGCGAACAAACCAATAGGAGAGGGATTATGGCGATCGTGGATGAAGGCTGAGAGAAAACCACCACAAAACCCCACCGCCACAAGGTCGCAGGGTGAGACGGCAGAGTGAGAGATAGCGGGAGAGATAGAAGACAGCCGCAAAGGAAATATTGATGCAGGAGAATACGACAGAAAGAGATCGAGATGACGTCTCGGCGGTTCGATACGAGAAGCTAGTGGGCTGTCGTGGGCTTCTGGTGGAATCAGAGTTCCCAAAGACACCAAAGACCGTGCATGGTGGCGTCCTTTTAGCGGCACTTGTGCGTCCGATCTGTTCCTGAACTCATTCTCAGGCGCTTTGCCGACGAGCTCTTTGCCTGCCTGAAACCCCTTGGGGTCTTGGAGGAGGGGGCCTGGGCTACGCTGAGAGGAGTCAAGTCAGGAACACACACATCTGTATGTGTGTGTGTATGTTATCTGTCCGATAGAGGAGAAGGGGGATGAGGGGAAGGAAAAAGTTCGCAATAGCGACGCTAACTTGGGTGAGGTTAGAGGCCTGCAGGTTACCTGTACGCTGCTATTTACAGCTCCGCCACAACCGGCGACTGGCATTGGCAGTCAGGTTGTGCTGCCCAGCTCACTCTACTGTAGTGTAGGTGACATGGCATAATGTATTGCTTTTGGAATACAGCTTGGCAAAAGCCGTTGTTGATTCAGCTCAAGGGGACACACTGCTATCAGGCCGGGTTCCAATTCTTGGGAACTTTCTTCAAGCGACCCTGCATTTACCGTTATAATGTCCGTGTGATGATGATAAGATGGACGATCATCAACGGTTCTTTTGAGAGACATGAGAAAAATACGGATACTGTACCTCCGTAAAGAAGACAAAACATTGATGGATCTCTGGGCACGGGAATATCTCCCCTCCAAGTCCACTCATCAGTTCCGCCTGGTCCACGTTTACCCGATAACATTAATGCCTACGGAACTGTTTACCGATGGAGACCTCCAAAGATGAACACAGGGAACTTGTGATGGAAAAGATGGGCATAGTGGGAAAAAAAGGTGGCGCTCTGATGATAGGGCGTCCGGTGCCCTGAAAGCTACATCCACGCAGAACACGTTTACTGCGTCAAATCCAAGCTGAACAGAATAAAAGTCAGTGGAGAAGTCGGGCCATCGGCGAATAAACCAAGCCATCCTCGCAGTGAGAGCAAGGTGGCGGTGTGGAGATGCTCATTTAACCGTATCTGCCCTGGCTCCATTCCCTCTTCCTCGATGAGGCAAGTCGCAAGTTCGGGGGGTTTAGAAATCTCTGTGGAAATCCCATCAATGATGAAGCCCGTTTTGTTTCTGCTCCATCAACTTTCTCTCCCCCCGTTCCATCGTTCTTCGTTGCTTCGTCCCGTCTCGCCTCGACTCACTCCCATCACCGCACAACCACCACTAGGTCGGTCCATGGCCGTGTGCCTCCAAAACACCGGGCGGCGTGGCGTTGGAATCCCGCAGACGTGCGCCGATCCCCAATAAAAACTCACTAGTTATCAGCAGCAGAGTGTGTGACCCTTGAATGCCAGCACCGCAGCCAACTGCAGCTGCAGCCCAGAAAGTTGCGGTTGCATCGCATGCGGCATGCCCTTCGTGTTCCCCCCTTCTGCGATGCAGTAGTGCTGAGCCCGCCCAGCTTCTCCTGATTCCCTTGTCCTCGGCCTGATTTTGAGCAGGGTCTGCTCGCCTGAACATAGTGCGATCGCCAGGGGGGATGCCTGTCGCTGTCCCCGAAGTCGACTCTGTCGCTTCCACCTCCCAATGCCTACACACACACACATACACACAATCTCTCTCTCTCTCTGTCTCTCTCCGTCCCTCTCTATCCCACTTAGGGACTGCCCAGGGCCAAGCCAATGATAAGATTGCTCGAGGCCAGCCTCGAACTCGGGCCTAGTCACCCATGACACTCACCAAATGGTACACCCCTGCTTCGCCTGCTGCAAGTGCCAGACCAGAGCTTTCTAGGCTTGCCAATGTCATACAGCCTGTTGACAAGGTAGTCAATTGACTGGTCAGGTCCGCCTTTCTGTCTCCACGACCAACCGTCCGGGGGTGTCATGGCCCTGGTCCGCTAGTTCCTCCTTCGACCTACCTTAGACTAACGGGCCGGGATGAGACGGATAGGACGAATGGCTGATGCCATGCCATAGGATGGGCCCCGACCCTGGGACCTGCATCTCATGGGTCCATGGTTATTTCGCCCGCGTGGTCTTGGTCCTTGGGCTGTGCCGAAAGACGCGGACGCGGCGACTAGCGAAGAAGACGGAGAGTGAGAGATCCAATTCAGAGATACCTTAATATATCGGGGAGCCGCCCTCCCGTCCCCCAGTTGATGGAGATGCTTCCCCATCCCCCATTGTCTGGGTTTCCTTCGTTTATACCCAAACCACAGCTTCACGGCCATTCGCCTGTGAGCAAGACAAGCCATCCACCATGGCTCTGACTACGTGGTTGTTGACGGCCCTCGTTGGCCTTGCCAACGGCCTGGCCTCAACCGACACCATTACCTGGGGAGGCGACAACTCCCGTGCCGGCTACCAAACGTAAGTTTTCTATCTATCAATCATCCCGCTCCGTAGCTTTTCCTCCCCGGCGTCGATCGTCGCGTAGTCGCAACGGGAAGCGCTCCGCTTGGTGGGGGGGTAGGAGGGGATTCCCAAATGCAAAGAAAAAGAATGAAACCTAACGCAATACTTTTGACTGTAAAGAAACCATAACATGGACCCCTCCGTCGTAGGGAGCTCCCAGTTCGGTCAGCTCTTCCGGGCGGCTCTTCCCGGAAGATACGGCAACGTTCCTGAGCAGATCTTCTCTCAGCCTCTCGTTTACACTCCCAGCGGCGGCGACGGCACCCAATATGTCTATGTCGCTACGCAACAAAATAATGTCTACAAACTTAATGCCAAAACCGGCGAGATCATCGCCTCTCGCAACCTTCACATTCCTTTCCTCACCGCTGACCTGGACGGCTGCGTCGATGTCAACCCTCACGTCGGCATCACCGCCACCGGTGTCATCGACCCGGCCACCGACACTCTTTACCTGACTTCCAAAACCTATGCCGACCAAACCCAGACCGGAGTCGCCCAGGGCCGCCCGGCTGGACGATACTTCATCCACGCACTGGATGTTAACGACCTCAGCGAGCGACCCAACTTCCCTGTCGACCTGGAGGGCACCGTAGCTAGGAACAACCCGATCCGGTCCTTCAACGGCGGAATTCACCATCAGCGCCCTGGTTTGCTTCAGTCTGGCCAGTACATCTACGCCGGCTTCGCTTCTCACTGCGTGCAGTACAACTTCACTGGTTGGATTATCGGTTGGGACAAGACGACTGGTGCTCTCGTCGAGCGCTTCGCCACCCAGGGTGACGGTGTTCCCAGCGACATCCCCGGAGCCGGAGTCTGGATGTCCGGTGGCGGTCTCGCTTCCGACGACGCCGGCTCCATGTTCTACGCCACCGGTAACGGTTACGCTTCTCAGCTCAGCACTATCCCCGTCAACGGCCGCCAGCCCCCTACTGCTCTGGAGGAAGCTGCCGTTCACATGAGTATCAGCGAGGACGGAAGTCTGAGTGTAGCCGACTTCTTCATGCCTTGGGAGAAACAGGCGCTGGATGGCGCTGACAAAGATTTGGGAACCAGTCCTCTTCAGATTCTCCCCAGTACCTTCTCCTGTGGTGACGTCCGTCGCATTGGTGTTGTGACGGGCAAGAGTGGTAAGACATACTGGATTAACCTGGACAACATGGGTGGTTACCGAAACGGCCCCAACAGACTTGATTCCGTTATCCAGGTCTACCAGAACGACAACTCGGTGTACGCTGGAGCTGGTGTTTACCCGTTGGAAGGCGGTTACATCTACATCAATGGTATGTCTGAGCTGCATCTTTGCTTTTCTTTTATTTGCTCACCCCTGCTAACTGCGAGTAGTCATCCAGTTCCCCACCAACGTCTTCAAGTTCTCTTGCGAGGCCGGCGTCCCATCCTTCACCAAGGTTGCCACCAGCCCCAACAACAACGCCTACATTCTCGGTGTCAGTCACGGTACTGTCACGTCTCTTAACGGCCAACCTGGAACCGGTCTTTTGTGGACTATGGACGTTCAGGGTTCTCAGTTGAAGGTCTTTGAAGCCGTTCCGAAGGACGGCTCCCTCAACCTTCTCAGGTCCTTCAGCGTTCCAGGTTCAACCAAGTTCGGCAGAGCTGTCTTTGGTGATGGTATCTTGTACCAGGGTACCACACAGGGCTACCTCTATGCTTTTGGTTCGCCTGTCACTACTCCCATCACCTGCACCTCTCCCAACGAGTTCGGCACTGTCGATGTTGGTTCTCAGGGCGAGCCGCGTACCATCACCTGCACGGCTGTCATTGGCGTTTCTGTCTCCGAGATCGCGCTCGATGAGGCTGGTGACTATGTCATAACCACCGTCCCCACGCTGCCTCTTACTCTCACAGCTGGCCAGACCTTCTCTATCCAGGCCGCCTTCAAGCCGACCACCGTCGGCCTCGTTTCTGCTGACATCATTGTTACCACTACCAACTCTGCCGAGGGTTACAGCCAGGGTACTCACATCCGGTTGACCGGTACTGGTGAAAGTGCTGGCCCGTTGCTTGCTGTTACTCCTCCGACAATCACCTTCCAGGGCGTCATCACTGGCTCTGAAGGCGGACTGGAGGAGACCATCCTCTTCACGAACCAGGGTAACTCTGAGCTGTCCGTCACCGACGTGCAGTACTCCACGACGAGCGCCCAGGGCCCCTTCACCACCTGGGACAGGGCCACTGCCGCTCTCACTGTCGGAAAGTTTACTCTTTCCAACATTCCCTCCACCATTGCCGCCAATGCTGGTGCTACTGTCCGCATCGCGTTCGACTCTTCCGAGAGTGGCAGCTTCGGAGCTTACATCAAGGTGGTCACGGACGGTGGCAGCAAATCCTTCACCATCGCCGGTACTGCCGGTCCTGCTCCCGCCGCGCTTATCGAGTTCCAGACGCCTGATGCCACCGGCTGGGTTGAATACGACCCCAACGTGCCATTCACATTCGGCAACGTCACTGAGAACACTTCCAGGTCCCTGAAGTTCCGCGTGACCAACAAGGCTCCCACCGGAGGCGTTAACCTCGTCCTGACCGTCTCGAAGCCGCCCTTCGGTATCCCCGGTATCGTCTCGGCAGCTAACACAGTTGATCTTGCTGAGGGTATCCAACTTGCCCCCGGCGAGAGCGCTGATGCTACCATGATTTGTGCCGTGCCCAAGACTCAATGGAACACTGATCCTTACAAGGGCAGTGCTCCCTGGACCATGAACACCAACGACCCCAACTTCGAGAAGCACTTCTTCACTTTCGAGTGCACTGCCGTCTCTGAGCAGGCCCCCCCTCTTTTGTCCAACGGACAGGGTAAGTACCGATACGTCGGTTGCTTCAAGGAGAACAACCCCGGCCGCCAGCTTTCCAACCAGCTCTACGGAAACCCGCAGAGCGTCAACTCCATGTGTATCGAAGCCTGTGCCGAGCGTGGTTACATCTTCTGCGGAACTCAGTACCACACCGAGTGCTGGGGAGGCCGCAACATTCCTATCCAGAAGGTTGATGAGCGCAACTGCAACTTCGACTGTGGTGGAGACATTAACCAGGTCTGTGGTGGTAACGGTTTCGGAGACCTCGAGGGCGGCGCTTTCATCTCGCTCTTCGCCGACTCGCTTCAGTGGGATGGCAACACGACGACTCCTACGCCTGGCCCGAACCCTAGCGGTCCGGAAGTCAACCCTGGCGTGGGCCAGTACGTCAGCCAGGGCTGTTACACCGAGCCAGAGACCTCGCGTGCTCTTCCTAGCCTGGTCAACCTTGAGGAGAAGACCGTTGCCAACTGTATCACTGCTTGCTCTGGACGCAGGAACACGTATGCCGGATTGGAGTACGGAGGAGAGGTAAGTCAAACGTGCTATCAAACTTGACTAGCATTCACTAACAGTTACACAGTGTTGGTGTGGAAACACCCTTGCCGAGGGCTCAGTTCTCGCTCCCGCCGAGGAGTGCAGCATGGCTTGCGCAGACAACGCTACCGAACTGTGCGGTGGACCATCCAGACTGAACCTCTACAAGCTGGACGGCGACTTGCCCGGGCCAAGCAGCACCGTCCCAACCGGTACCGCCACCGCCACCGCCACCTCTACTCCTACGGCCTCTGCCCCTCCCACGAACGAACGCGTCGGCGACTGGCTCTTCGAGGGCTGCTTCACTGAAGGTGATGGTGTTCGTGCTCTTCCATCTCGCATGTATGCCAACGACTCCATGACTCTTGAGTCCTGTGGTGGCTTCTGCGAGGGTCTCAAGTACTTTGGTACCGAATACGGTAGAGAGTGTAAGTTGTATTCCTCCTTGTATCAAGTTAGCAATGACTGACAAACAACAGGTTGGTGTGGTGATGCTCTTGGCACTGGTAGTGTCGAGGCTCCTCTGACTGACTGCTCGTTCCCTTGCGCCGGCGACAGCACCCAGAAGTGCGGTGCTGGTAACCGTCTGCAGGTCTACCAATACTCTCCCGTCGCAGCATCTAGCACCCTCGCGGTCACATCTACTGCCGAGGTTTCTGCTTCCGAGACCGCGACTGCCGAGACTTCCACCGCCACCTTTGCAAGCTTCTCGGTCCCCGCCAATGGCACGGCTACCGCCCCTGTATCTGACGCGGCTGCCACCACGTTCTCTACATCCACTCTTTCAGAGCCGGCTACACTGTCGGAAACTCCCTCGTCTGTTGCGGAGACCACCACTTCCGCATCTCCTAGTTCATCCATCGCCGAAACTACTACCTCGACCACCTCCGCGACACCCACCCCTACCGGACCCGTCATCGTCCCCGGTAACGTAAACTTCACCTACTACGGCTGCTTCTCCGAGCCGGAGATCGGCCGCCTCCTGCCCACTCAGGTCCTCAACGACGGCGACGAGATGACCATCGACAAGTGCCTCGAGGTCTGCTACGACAGGACCTACGCCGGTGTCGAGTACGGCCGGGAGTGCTGGTGCGGCGACGCCCTCAACCTCGGCGGCGCCGACGACACCCGTCCCGCCGCCAACGAGACGGGCACCGACTGCTCGTTCACGTGTCCCGGCAACAGCACGCAGTTCTGCGGCGCCGGGTCGCGCATCAGCTTGTATATCCTCACCGAGGAGCTGGAGCTGCTGAAGAAGCAGAACGGCACGATTTCACGGAGGAGATGGTGATGAAAATAGAGAGAGAGAGAGGGTTTTAATGTTAATTCTTTGTACCTATTCAGAAATTAGGGCCACGGCACTGCGCGGATACGGATGCAGATTTTTTTTTATATATAATTCTGGTATCTTGCTTGGATCAGATGTCCAAGTTTGTTTAGACTATTGAGATATAAGAACTCTATTGAAAGATATTTTGAGCGGCTGAATTCATGTGTATGAAAAGCATAAAGCCTAGATCTTGTAATCGGTCATGCGGCACCAAGGCGATTGCTATTGAACTTAAACCATAGCAGTACTTTTCTTAAAGTAATTCACCACGTTGCTCGCTTCAATATCTACAGAGGAACCAGGAAGGAGAAAATACAGAACGACGAAAATTCCTCCTTTCCTTACTAGAGGGGATTCCTGGCCTTTAGTTCAACTCAACTACTCTTTGGCGGTTTCCTCATCCATCGGCTTTCTCCCGTGGATGGCCCAACTGCAAATTCCATAGTCAGCAAAACGCGTACATTCATTAGTACTCGAGTCAATCACTCACATGGAAAAGTACGCATGAATATCCTTGTTACGGAAATCCTTTCGGTTCTCAGCAAGCAACACCAGGACCTCCTCACGGCTCCAGCCAAGAGCTCTCGTCAACGGCGCCATGCAAACCGCCTCCCATCCCTGGTCGATGTTCTCGCCACCGCAGATCCCAAGCTCCTTGAACCGGCGCTCCTTCGGCCATGAGTTGGTAGGCCACTTGAGCTGCTGCATGACCACGTCGGTGAACCCCGCCTCGATCATCAGAGGCTTCAGTCCTTTGGGGTCTTGGAATGCGGCTCCGAGCTTTTGGGCGGCCTCGGCAAGCAGGCCTAGGGTTTTCATTACTGAATGCTCAGGTTTCAGTGTCCCGTCGTCGGATTTGAGGTACAGGTCTAGTTCGATCAGTTCTAGATATCCGCCGGGGGTGAGGTTACTATGGGAATGATGTTAGTGACTGATGATGTGGCTTCACAGCGGTGTTTAAACTATCGCGTCTGGTAGGGAAACTGGGATTGAGGACCAGACGCAGCAGCAATGCATCGCAATGATCTAGACAAAAGTGCTGGAGTGAAGCTAAATGGTTGAACAGGTTTACTCACTCATAGCATTTCTTGATGTAAGATTTCCAGTCGCTGATGGACGAGTTCATAATACGGCTGTGGATATAGTCGAAGGGCTGTGAAAAGGTCCACGGCTCTTCAATGTCGTCGATTTCGAACTTAACGTTGGGAGGCGTGCTGAGCGGTATTAGCTTCTGTAGCACCATTGGTAGTAAGAGTTGTTGAGGTAACAACTTGCAATTCTGGCTGTGCAGCGGAAAGATCGATACCGCGGACCTGGTAATGATGAGCTTGACCTGCTTCTGGGGAATAACTGGTGACAAACCTCGGCCTCAGGGTGTGCATCGCCAAAGTCCATGGCCCAGATACCTGTGCCGGTACCAACATCGAGAACACGGCCGACCTTGGCCCCCGTCTCGTTCGGCGGAGCTGTTCCAAGCTTATCGTTGAATGAAAGAAGAAACATGTGATGTTGCAGGTCTGATTAAGGGTCAATACCAGCATGTAACTTGAAAAGTGAAAATGGTTACCGAGTCTGTCGTTTTCTCTTTCGTCGTTGGGCAGGTTGTACTCTGTTGACCATGTTGGTTAGTTTGGACGGATGAGTACTAAACATGTAACAAAATCCGATTCTTACTGCCATCCTTGTATGCGTGGTAGGTTCTTCCGTTTTCAATTCGGTACTCAAGAATTGAGCTGGTTACACTCGCACTCGACGACGCGATGCTTCGCTGGAATAGAAACTGCGTCAGTTCCTAGATTCCCTAGACAAGCACAATCTCAAAACTCACAACTTCATCCTCTAAGCTGTCATGCTATTGAAATCATGGTTAGCGGCCATCCAAAGGTGTCTCGAAATATCAATGGGTACCTCGTCTCCGACTTCGATAAAGACCTCGTGATCAGGCACGTTGTTAGCCTGAGCGGTAGGGGCTGCCTCTGGCACTACAGGCTGGGCAGAGCCGGTCGCATTTGTGTCTGACATTGTTGTGGATTGGTAATAGGATATAATCCGTAAAGCAATGCCAACGCTACTACTACTACTACTAGAGAAAATCGCCAAGTTCATAACTATTTTAAGGCAGCACGAGAATTTATCTGAAAAGCACAGCATTCCGCCGTACCCCTCTTGTTCTCTGCATGCTTGTTGCCAACTAATGCGATGTCAGGTCTGTCTTCATCGGCCACTATAACTACATGAGGCTAAAGTCTTCGTACCAGAGCGAATTAATGCTAGTTAGTGACATGTGCTCGCATGACAACAGAGTTACCATGCGTTCACTGAGAAATTGCCCTGTAACTGGTAACCATTTTGCTGGTTCGGACCTGCGAGGGAAATGCGATCGGATGCGGATAAGGAACCGCTGCTCTCTCGCCCAATCGCTAGACTAACGGAGCTGCAGGTTGCTGTTCCGCTACATAATCCGAACCCCGCCTGCAGGATGCATGAAATTTGTTCTCTTTCGGTCAAAGACCCGACTTTTGCGAGGAATTTAAATTGCCCTGACATTGCTGCTCATGACTATTTAACAAAATCACCGAATCTTGGTCACCACAGGTTGTTTCTAGACCAATGGCCCTCCGGACTTATGTCTTCTTTCCACTCCTCTCTCAGTCAACAACTCAATGATGTTTTGGTGACCGGCTTCCAGTGCTGCAGAGAGGACATCCTCATAATCTTCGTAACCGATATTTGCATCTGCGCCGTGGTCAAGTAACAAGGCAACCATTTCTTTGTGGCCTCCCGATACCGCTCCGTACAATGGTGGTCCAAGGTTCCATGACCTTGAAGCATTCAAATCAGCACCGTGCCGAATGAGAAATTCCGCCGCAAACACATCTCCTTCGTAAGCAGCCATCTGAAGAACAGTTCCCCTTCTGTTACAATCATTGGTTATGTCGGCTCCTTTTTCAAGAAGCAACTCAGCGACCTTCAAGTGCCTTCCCAAGAGTGCACCAAGCAGTGCTGGCCGGTAACGTTCTCCTTGACACCTATGAATATCAGCGTCATGTTGAAGTAATAAGGTAACCAAGTCCTCATGGCCTAACGATGCTGCTATTTGCAGTGGTGCTCCCAGACCCCACTGAGGGCCATTTGGGTCAGCACCATACTGAAGTGTCAGATCGACTGCATCTTTGCAGCCTTCCAGGACTGCGATTTGAAGAGGAGTTGCGTGGTAATTTTGGTCCTCGCCGTCAGAGTGTTCATCTGAGTATTCATCAAAGTTTTCGTTGGCCTCGATTATTCGCCTACTGATGTCCACGAATTTATTCACCATTGAGATGTGAACGCCTGATGAATCTTCAAAAGTCTGCGAATCAATGTTGAGGACCAGTGGCAGCAGCTTTTTGGCCATGCGCTTGTGGCCCCCTTCCAAAGCCAACTGAAGCGCTGCACTGACGCTCGCGCCATTTTCAAGTAGGAGCATAGCAACATATGTGTGGTTATTGCAGAGCGCTGCCCCAAATGCTGTCCTAAACATTCCGTCGCCCCAAATGTTCACGTCAGCGCCTTCTCTCAGCAGAAATTCGACAATATTAAAGTGACCCCTGGCGGAGGCTGCTATAATTGCTGTGCCAAATCTTTCGGCTTTGACATTGATATCAGCACCTTTCTTGAGCAATAATTGGACAACTTCCAAGTCACCCCCAACGGAGGCTGCTATAATTGCTGTGCCAAATCTTTCGGCTTTGACATTGATATCAGCACCTTTCTTGAGCAATAATTGGACAACTTCCAAGTCACCCCCAACGGAGGCTGCTATAATTGCTGTGCCAAATCTTCCGGCTTTGACATTGATATCAGCACCTTTTTTGAGCAATATTTGGACAACTTCCAAGTCACCCCCAACGGAGGCTGCTATGATTGCCGTGCCGGTATCTCCGCCTTGCGCATTTACATCGGCGCCGTTCTTGAGAAGCAGCTCCACTATGTCTCTGTGGCAATGCAAGGATGCGCCTTGCAATGCTGTCTAGTGCTTTTCACAGCCCATGTTAATGTCAGCTCCGTGCTGAAGTAACAACTCTACGAGTTCTCTTTGGCCCGCCGTCGAGGCTATGTAAAGTGCCGTTCCCATGTCTGGCTTAGCGTTGACGTTCGCTCCATATTCCAGCAGTAAGAAGATGACCTCCTTATTCTTTGTTATCGTTGCATCTTGAAGAGCGAATATCGAATGTTGATCTGAGTCCTCAGCTTCCAAGTTCGGATCACCACCACTGCTCAATAAAATTCGGAGTATTTCAGTGAAACCTTCTCGTGCTGCCAAGAATGTTGCTGTTCCCAATCCGGATCTTCCGTGAGGGAATCTCAAAGGGCGTCGAGCGTTTATCTCGGCACCTGCTTGGAGCAGAAGTTGCACAATAGCTTTAAAACCATGTTGTGTTGCGAATATGAGTGGTGTCATATTATCCTTAGAATGAGAGTTGGCACTTGCACCTTGACTGAGAAGTGTTTTGACTATCTCAGTCTGACCAGCTTTCAACGCAGCTCGAAATGCTTGATAAAGCAATGTTGCACTAGCAGAAACCTTGCTATTCAACAGCCACAACACCACATCTTTGTAACCACCCGCTGCTGCATTGCACAGCATCTCTGGATGTTCTTTGAGACATTTCAGGTTTGTTGAAGTAGTACCCTTGAGTTCATTGAACAGCAGTTGTACTAGATCCTGTTCACTGGATCTTAGCGCGGCTGAAAACGCTACCCATAAATTTGCGTTCGTATTCTGGTTGTCTTTGCCAGCACCGTGCTGAAGAAGAATCTTCACTATACCAGTCTGACCTCTACCAGACGCCGCTGCGAGTGCTGTTTGATTCCATCTTTCTTTGCTATGAACGTCCGCGCCGTTTTCCAGGAGTGCTTGAACAATATGTTTATGGCCATTTATTGCAGCTGCGTGAAGAGAAGTCCAATGAAAAGCACCCTTGGAATTCACATCAGCCCCTCTGCCGAGGAGGAACATAACAATGTGTAGTTGACCTTTTGCAGAGGCTGAAATGAGTACCCCCGCCTTCATTGTGTCATTTAAAGCGGCGCCGTTGGCAAGCAGCAGCTTTGCAATCTCCTTATGGCCGTTTGATAAGGCTTCTTCAAGTGCCGTCATTATCCCCCGGTAGGAATCTTCCACGCCTGGTGCATTCGGGTCCCCACCCCTTTTAAGGATTAGTTGAACGATTTCTTCCCGGCCATTCCTGCAAGCGTTTTGCAATGCGGTTCCTGGTCTTTTTTGCGCAGGGCCTGCTTTCCATCGTGGTTGCTGCTGTCGGAAATTGACGTCAACACCCATGTCCAAGAGCATCTCGACGATCCTAACATAGCCTTGCGCAGATGCTTCCAGGAGCGCAGGTCCGCATCCTTCAAAGTTACTGAAATTGATTTTCTTGTTGAGCAACGAAGAAAGTAGCTTTTCATTTCCTATTGCAATCGCCGCTTCCAAATACGTTGGAAACCGGCTCTTAAGGGTCGAATTATCGGTGTCCTGTTTAAGGAAAGTGTGGATCAACAACCTTACCATGCTACTTTTATCGTCAGATTTAGACTGTTCTAGCACCGACAAAGCTTCTCGTGTACGTCCTCCAGACATTCTAGTCGTTAGCTCAGCGCCTCGGCGGAGCAGCAACTGAACGACGCCCTCGTGACCATGTCTGCATGCTGTTTCCAACGCCGTTACGGCATAATCGTCTTGGATCGGGGCATTAATGGAAGCGCCTTCATCAAGAAGAAGTCGAACAGTCTCACTGCTGCCGCTTTCACATGCTGCATTAAGAACGTCCTGGTCTAAATTTGCCCCTTTTTCGAGCAGTATTTGAACGATTCTGAGCCTTCCTTTCCTCGCTGCCTCCTCAGTGGCTAGATCAATATGTTTACTCGCCTTTGAACGGAATGTCGTGTAAGCCCTGGCGCCTGCGTTGAGGAGTAGCTCCACAACTTCGCTATGGCCTCCACTTATGGCAGCTGAGAGTGATGGGCTACCATATAAAAATCTTGCATCGTGGTTGTTCTTATTCAGATTCGGGTTGGCGCCTTTTTCAAGAAGGAATTTTACAACATCCAAATGCCCTTCGGTGGCTGCGGCTTCCAATGGTGTTCCGTGGTCCCCAAATTGCATATTCAACACGTCAAAGGCAAGAAAGCTTTCTAGCTCACTCACACCATAATCCTCTTGAAAAAGAGCTTTCACGACTGACGACAGTCCAAGCAAAGAGGCATAGTACAATGCTGTGGGCCTATGTCCCAACCAGGTTCCGTGGGTATTCCGTCGTTCAAAGTCCCGGATTTCGACGAATGTCTTCAGTGACCTTCTCCTATTCGTAAATAGCGCAATAGCCTGTTGATCAAGCTGTATTACCGAGATACCATTATGGTAATGGTGCGGCCAATGGTTTACGCCGTATGCAACTAGAGGATATCGTTTTTGAACATCTCGGTAATCCAGGTCTTCTAGGCCCTCTTCGAGAAGGATTGAAAGACATATAAAAGCCATCATAGTATGGGCTTTTCTAACATCTACCATGTATTTGGCTGCCTTCTCATGAGCTGTGATCCGGTCTGACTCAAGGTACTCTTGGACTGAAAAATGTGCGATGCGTATTGTGGCGTTTTCTGTCTCCTGTTCCAAAACAACCTCTGTAAATCCTGGACAAATCTTTTGAAGGTCATCAATATTTTCGACGCGTCGGTCGATGTCGAATTTCGGTAGAGCACCCGTGCTAAGCGGGACAATGGCGTCGACAGCAAGAGCATCAATGAGCTCTGGCGCAGTCAAAGGCCTTACAGCGCAACACAAAATTGATAGCATTTGCTGTGCTTGCTCCATAAAATCAGAAGGGATATTCTGCAACATCCTCGCATAGGTCTCGTCCAGTGTTCGAGGCAAGGAGTTGAGTAGCTTCTCAATAAGATAGGGACTTCTTGGGCATTGCTTGATCGCAATAAACTGACACTCAACCCATCTAAATCTGTCAATCGTTAGCTCTATTGTACGCAGACTAATCAGCCTCTGAGTACTTACACTCCTTGCGCTTTTTCGGTCAGTACCTGTTCAATTCTCGCGTGGTATTTCTTGAACTTCTGCAGCGCCGTATCACTTCGTAGATGCTCAGATACAAAACTGGCAATGTCTTCGTTCACATTGTTCTTCATGACGATAGTTTCCAGTTGACTGGCTCGTATGCCGTCGCTAATTTCAGGTAATTCTCGACTGGTTACCAAAAGATGTAGATTTCTCCAGTCTCTCATGCTCTGAAGTGTATCGAGCATTAGATGACGGGCCCTAAGAGCAGGGCTCTCATCCAGTGCGTCTAATATTACATAAACGTCATCGAACATTGCCACAAGCAAATGAAGGCATTCCAAAAGGCCTGTCACCGGTAGCATGCTATTTTTTTGCCTGTCGTACAAGTCCTTAAGAAACTTAGGCGTCGTTTTTAATTGGCTCAGTAGCTGAATGATGAGCGCACGAAGCATAGCAGAGTCGTCTTGTTTCGTCTCGTCATTGAAAGTAAAGTAGAAGAAACACAGCCCAATCTGCGATTGAGATCTTTGATGGCGTCGAGCATACTGTATCGCCGTCGAGGAAAGTACTGTTTTGCCACACCCCGCGAAGCCTTTGAGCCATAAGAAGGACCCTCGTGTTTTGAGCCAGTTACTAAATTCCTCCCCTTTTACAAACCACAACCCCGTACCGGGGTGCTTCTTCGCGCATGCATCGTTGAAGTTGATGGTCGCATCTGGAGCCTTGAGCCAATCTCTAATTTCGGAGGAAACAATCGAGGCGCTGACTGTTGCAAGGACCGCCTTGATGTCTTCGACGTCATTTTCAATTTGATCCACGGCACCTTGCTGTAGTAATGAAAGGACGAGTGATAAGTGACTGATTGCATCATCAATTTCCTCATCGAGCTTTTGCAGCGTACCGAGCTTGAATGGATATGCCAGCCGACGACCCGTAGCGCGAACAGCCGCCTGGAAACTACCACCTGGAACTTGTTCAAGCTTTTCGAGAATTTCTTGCAGTTCCTCTATGCATTCATTGCAGTTCTGCACGGCGTCAATGACTTCATCGGCCAGTTCTTCGTCTCGGTCTCTCGAATTTAGATATGATTCTAAGCGATCGAAAAACTGGCGCAGTCTCTCGAGCTTCTTCAACGTGCGGCTTGTGTCTGACGGCTGGTCTTTGACATCGTTGTAGTATTTGAATAACGCCTGGGTGACCTGGATGCCGAGAGAGGTAATGCCGACTGCTGTGCCTGCAGTAGATAACGGATCTGCCATCGTGGTTGATGGTTATTATGATGAAAATGAGGCAATGTGAGGAGTTAGACAAGGAAGAGTGGAAATGGCCGCAGAAACTGTTGAAGGTGGTCTTATTGGAACTGGATGGTTTTTTATGCACTGCCGCCACATACTGGGCCGCTCTGGAACGCCTAGCTCGACGCTGCATCATACGCCGCAATGATTTGGTGGGTGGGATGGTGCTCCTATTGGACGGCCTGATTCTGAACCATGACATGCAAATGGCTGTGCATGCGCATTGAGGAGCTCATCTTGCATTTGAACAAATCAAGATGCGAGTTGTAACAGTCAAAAAGCCCAAGGCGGTTGCCTGCCGCACGCGTTGGTGCACGAAGAAAAAATGGCAGGCCACGACTTGCCTGAGTCTCCCGGGATGCCTCGGGCTTACCAAGGTACAGATTGGCTGCGCAACCTGCAGTCAAGTTACCATACTCATTAAAGCATAAACGAATCAACTCTTCTGGGGATGTACTGTCGACAATTTAGGGACTCGTTATACTTGGCAGGCTCTACGGAAGCAACCTATTTGGGCTTTAGAGTTGAATTTGTTGCCACGCATAACCGCAAGTTAAACCAAACAATACCAGGATTTCTACTTCGACAACAGTTAATGCATTAAGGGAGCTAGGATGAGATATAGAGGTTGAGTAAGTTAGAAGCCTCCTCCACGATTAGCGAACCACTGGTGTTACTTACCTCCTTTACTGACGCACTACGAATCGATATTAGAGTTGCACTAGGTTTCTAGGTAGCTGATGATCAAATAGATATCCAGATAAAAACTCTTCATAACCCTGATTTCAGTGATTTAACTTTGAGTCGGGGATAGACAGCGCACTTTTATCCTTCACGTTCTGCTGGGTTCAACGTCGCTCCGCCTACGCCACACTTATTGCACAACGATGAAAGTGTTTAGAATTAATGACACGGCCCTGGATTATTCATAATCGAGAAGATACCCTTGACAAAATGTAGCCTTGGAAAGCTGACTTCCAGGAAGCTCCACGTGGGTTGCCATCTCAGAAAAATATGCCTAATGCGGCCAAGACACAGTTGTAGAGAAGATACCCCTTTGCTACGGTGGTGGGAACAAATGAGGTTGGTTAGCGGTGACTTAGTAAAGCTTACACAATTATAACCAGGATCAAAGCTCGCCTGGGATTAAACATATCGAGAGATGAAAAAGCGTAGAATGCGACCAGCCACACTTCGCCGAAAAAAGCTGTCAGAAGCCCCGATGTCACTTGAACACCCAAAAACGGCCAAACCACCACGTGCCGTATCGCGCTAAAGATGGCAGCTGAGACCTCCCACCCCATCATTTTCCACTTGGCTTCATTCTACCCTGCTCTTTCATCAACCTCATCTATCGCAATCCTCATACTGCATTTGAAAGAATTTGAAAGTGAACGAAATGGCCTTCGTTGTGCTACTCGTCGCAGTTATCGCCGGCATCTTGGCGAGAGAGTTATGGCTCTGGTATCGCCTCTCACATGTTCCAGGGCCATTCTGGCATGCTATCACGGGCTTTTCCATGGCGCGTGCCGCGCTAAATGGATCGGTTCATGAGTATTACATGGAGCTGCATGAGAAATACGGTGAGGAACAGGTGACTCCTGGCTACGAGTCACAGCCTGGCTAAGATTCAAATAGGACCCTTGGTTCGTATAGGTCCAAATACAGTCATGTTTAGTGATCCGGAGACGCTGAAAAAGATCGCCGCTGCTCGGAGCAAATACACCAAAGGCGAGTGGTATGCGGTTGGAAGGACCACGCCTGGCGAGGATCATTTGTTTTCCATGCGCGATGAGGGAAAGCGCAAGTATCTGAAGAGCAAGATGGGACCAGGTGTGAGTAAAGCGTACTCTGCGATACCCTCGAATTGAGACGGCCAGCTAAGGGAGGAGCAGTATTCTGGCCTTGAAAATGGCGGATTCGAAGCAGGTATCGACAAACATGTCGCGTCATTCATCGATTTGATCGAGAGAAAATACGTATCTACGGCAAAGGAGTTCAGACCCATGGATATGGCCAGCAAATCGACATACTTTGCTCTTGATGTAATCAGCGAGTTGGGTTTCGGCCACGCTTACGGCTTTCTCAAAGAAGATAGGGACTTGTACCAATATGTGAGCACCAAAGATGCGTTCTTCCCTGTCATGATAACCATGGGAAATGTGCCCTGGTTGGCGAAGCTCATGCACAGCTGGCCTCTCAACCTGGGCCTACCAAAGTCTGGGGATTCTGCTGGGTTTGGAGCGCTTATGGGGTATGCATATCTAGTATCACGTCCTATGAAGTCTTGTCTAACGGGTTAATAGGTTTGCAAAGACTTTTGTTGATGGAAGGTTGGCTCCTGATACCAAGCCCGGGCGGGACATGATTCAGTCCTTTATCAACGCGGGGCTGAGTAGAGAGGAACTGACACAAGAGGTCTATGTGGAGACGTAGGTTCTTTGATAGATCTCAAGGGTTTGTGCAAAAGCTGACTATTCGCAGAATAGCAGGATCAGACACCACGGCGACCGCAATCCGAATGATTCTCTTGTCATTACTTTCGAACCCCTCGGCATTTGCAGCACTCCGAGCAGAAATTGATGCGGGCATCGCGAACGGAATGCTCAGTTCTCCGGTCAAAGACGCTGAGGCCAGGTCCATGCCATATCTCCAGGCTGTAATTCGCGAAGGACTCCGGCTCTATCCGCCATCCACTGGCATTGTCAGCAAAGAAGTGCCGGCTGGCGGAGACACGATTCACGGGTACCGCTTACCTGCCGGAACCCAGCTCGGAGAGAATGTTTGCAGTATCGGCCGGACGAAGAGCGTTTTTGGGCCCGATGCGCATCTTTTTAGACCTGAACGATGGCTTGAAGCCGCTAATGATGATGAGAAGTTCAAAGTAATGTTGAGCACGGCGGATTTGGTTTTCGGGTTTGGCAAGTTCTACTGTATGGGAAGGAACATTGCGTTGATTGAGCTGAACAAGATTTTCGTCGAGGTAAGGAACTCCTCCTATTCTTGGAATCCATGCTGATTACCTTATAATTACAGCTTCTCCGGAGATACGACTTTGCTACTGCAAAGCCCGAGAAGCCCTTGAAGTTGTGGAGTGCGGGTTTCTGGATCACGCATGACTTTTGGTTAAGGATCTCAAGACGAACTGGCAGGAGGCAATACTAAGTGGATTTTCTATAAACTATGTGCCACAGCAATTAATCGGGTTGAAAGGGCGCTATAAGCAGTTTTTTACGTTTAAACATTCTATACTTTAATCAATGAATTGCTCTTCAGCTACTGTCCTGGTGTAAAGCCAGCGTAAGTGGGATACGCCGGAAAGCCCCAAGGTATGCTGTTATTCAGGAGATGATGGTCCAGGCCCTTTCCTCCGCCGTTCATGTAAAGAAATTTGGTAAAGGGTACTGTCGCGAAGTACGAAAACGTGATATTTGCAGGAACGAAAGCCACATCTCCCGGGAGCAAACTTGCAGTGTCGTAGCCATCAACGGAGAGCACAAGTTGACCTTCTTGAAGCTCCAAAGCGAAATGATGGGGCAGAGTCACAGTGTTTTTTGTTTCGTTTTCCAGTTTGGGAGACATGATGATTGTGCCGAGAGTGAAGTTCCCATCCGTCTGCGTGGGAGTGACCAGGGGCTGGATGACCTTGTAGCCGATCTCGGCATTAAGGTAAATAGGACCGTAATTGTTCGCGACGAAATATGGCTCGGTGGGATCATCCGGAAGAGTATTCAGCCCATCATGCCAGTTCAAACCTGCGTCGCCTGCCGTTCCGTTAATCATATCCCGTCTTGGAATGTATTCTTCGGCCGGTGCGGCGATCAAGTCCAAACTCCGAAGCTGTGCGTCTATTTCAGGGGTGAGAGGGCCAAACGGTTCTGGGTCATCTGGTATCGGGACATATGGGGATCCAACAGCAGAGTTGTATTCCCCAATGCTGAATTCTGCAAACAGTTTCTCGAAACCGCCGGGGTGGAAGATGTGATTCAGCTGAGTATCGGGGTCGATGAGCTGAAATGTATGGATGGTTCCAGGGGGTGCGCTCCCATAGTCACCCAGGCTAGCAACCCGTGCCTCATGGTTGGCGCCTGTGGCATTTTTTTGTGCCCATAATTCGGCTCGGCCGCGTGAGCAGTAGAAGTGTTCATGCGTTCGCTCGTGGGTGTGAGGTCGCGCCACCGTCCATCCAGAAGTTTTCCCGTTGTGCTGGACCATGGAGAATGCTCCATCGGATGAATTTGTTGTGATGGCGAAACGGACAATATCCGACTTTGTCAATTTGATTGCGCGACCCTTGAATTTGGGTAATACGTATGGCCGAGGGTAATCGGGAGCCACATCGACAAGGAGGTTGCCGGAAGGGCTTGTAGATGCTTCTGTAAGGGAAGCATGGTAGAAAAGTAATGCACCTAGCTGATAAAGCTTCATGATGAATGTGCTCAAGGGGTTACAGGCCGAATGAGACAGGAGCGGACTTGAGCATTAAGAAAAGACACAAGGGCGTGACCTTTAGAGACGATGCCCTTTATCATAGAACCGTCGAGTAAGCAAATAGTCTTATTCCTGTGATGCCGAAGAGCTATCGAACTTCCGGATTCGGGTATTGTAAGCGGCCACTTGGGGTAACCTCGGCGATGTTTTTCAGGGCCATCCGAACGGACCATTTACAGGCGTTTCGGAGAACAAACCCGGCGTTTTATTGAACTGATTATTCTTGGCCTCACTTGTTATTGGACGGGGCGTTCTCAATGTGGAAAATGGCGTGCCGAGAGTGGTGCAGGGTGTTGAGGAATATATTGCAGCTGAGCCTTAACGGGGAAGGCCTTCTAGAGTTTTCTCTTCTTTAGTTATACTTACGCAACTGATAGGTACTCAAACCTGCTTACGTTCTGTAAGCGACCCTCTTTTTTGCTGACGCGATATTGTGCAACATCTTCCTAGGAACATCAGCCTTAGGTATGTAGAGGCCGCAGACGTTAACGCGATGATGTTGCTTGACTTGACGCATGGGGTGAGCAGTAATTATTACTCCACCACTTAGCACCCGCATACGGTAAAACTACCCGATATCGAATGGTAGAAACGTACTCTGCGGGTCCAGAACACAAATGACATCCTAATTGAATGCACGTTCCCTCCTGTCCCACATTCGCTTGTTAGTTGATGGTTATATCATCTCTTGCTTAAGACAACGTTCATTTTTGCAGTCCACAACATGAATTTCCAAGGTATGAAGGCAAAACTACCTCCGGTTACTATTTCGCGGAAATTTGTATTTGTTTCTGTAACCCTCTCCCAATGTCATGTCGCTGGATGAGTTTTAAACCGCATTGTTAGAGTGCTTGTGAGACGAAGTCTTACAGACTCAATATAATGTGACTTTCTTGTTCTTGAATAAAATCAGCGTCATTGTTGTTCACTACATAGTTGAAGTTACAGATCGCTTCAAAGCTGTACAGGATGAAATAGTGGTCTCAAGGAACCTAGCTCATTATACAACCTAGCGCAACGGAGGACAGCTGCGGGAAGGCGTAGGTAGTAGCGAGCGGAGCAATCAACGCTACTAGGGAGAGGCGAGTGGTATTTTAAAGTTGCCATGAATAGATTGAATGATGGTGCTATCCTTGTTGCCTTGTGGGTGTTCAAAATTTGCAGCTACTTCCTTGAGTGTTCATGGTAAACATCTCGACTTTGTATTGCCGGATCGTATAAGAGCCTGCCTTCGTCCCTATTTGAGTGTTGCGGATGCCACTTATTGGTTACTGACATCAACTTTTATTGACAGGAAGTTTCTCTTTGACACATTAGGCCCTCGCGAAGAGTTGCAGAGTTCTCTCTTCCCGCGGAAGAACAATGATTCCAATTGCAATCCTCCCTACAAGTCTTGCGAAACAATTAAACATCTTCCCAAGAATTCGGATCATGACACTGATAACCGCTAGCTTCCACGTAGTATATAGATGATTCGTTAATCAGCCACAGCAGGGACCTTCATGACCTAATTACAATAAAGTTTTGAGGATCACTAACTCAGAATAGACTTATTAGCTGCATCGACTAAGTGATCACCATTGAACAAGACAGAAGGCAGTGACGCAACCGATCTTTGATTACTGCAGCCTCCCGATCCGTCCCGTGGACACGCCCGCCGTTGCCAAGCCGGTACGTCGACCGGCTTTTCAAGTGCCCATTCCGAAGTTGGTTGGCCGCGCCCCGCGGAGATGCTGGTGTAGATCACCTCTAAGCACCCGAGTAAGCTCAGCCCAGTCTCCACCTAATGACACATGAATTGACTGTTCACAGCGCCATTCAGGAGCTTGTCAGGTTCTTCCAATTCCCACCCTCTGGATGATCGACGTCATCCAGCATGCCACACCTGCAGCTGTCAAGAATGCGGACTCATCGCCCCAGAGAATCCGGACAGCCGGTGACCAGTAAAAGACGGCTGCGGGCCCAGGTAAAATGCTGTTTTGATATTGCTTCTCGTACCACTTCCGTGTCGAACATCAAACTCTATTTGCACAATGGGAGCGACAAGTCATTTTGTTGTGAAGAAGACGGACCACCCGGGATCTACTCCTCAAGAGATCGCAAATGAACCCAATTGGGGCTCCGGTCACAACCATCGTATCGGCTTCAAGAACAAGGACAACCGCGTGCCTGGATACGTGGAAGAGGCGAAGGGGAAGCTGAGCGCATATCACACTCGAGTAGAGACTGGCGAGCTGGTCAATTTCGAGGATATTGTCAAGGCCCAGGAGGATCTGAGCCTTCTGCATCCGGAAAACAGGTCCGTAGGCTGGCGCTACGTACTCGACGTTACCGAGGACTGGGTCAAGTACGGCCAAAAATGGCCAGCAAACTTGGAAGCTGAGAAGAAGAAACAGGAGGACAAGAAGAAGCAAGACGAATCCAAAAAGGAAGACAAACCCCAGCAAAACGGCCACTCGGAAAAGTCTAACAAAAATGGGCAGAAGGAGAAGGGAGAAGATAGGCCAGAGGACAAGTACTCGCCACATGAGCTTGCGCTCTTGCGTGCATTGCAGCATGAGAGCGAGTATATAAAGAAGCTCGAGGTCAATGACGGAAAACGGGCTTCTCCTCAGAAAGACCATCGACGGGATATTGCAATCGACGAGGCCGACCAGTTCACACCCGACAATTGGCTGCCACGCAGTCCCGAGTTGATCCGGCTTACAGGAAAGCACCCCCTTAATGCCGAGCCGCAGCTAAATAAGCTCTATGGAGCTGGTTTGATCACGCCTAACGAGCTGCATTACGTCCGGAACCATGGGCCTGTACCTCGTCTGTTGTGGGAGTTTCACACCGTCGACGTGGACAATGGCAAACTGCTCCTTTCGATGGATCAGATCAAGAATGACTTTGACGCTGTCAATATCCCTGTTTTCCTGGCCTGTGATGGCATGCGACGAAAAGAGCTGAACCTCATCCGCAAATCCAAGGGGTTCAACTGGGGTTCTGGCGCAGGCAGCTGCGCTTATTGGAAAGGGCCTCTTCTACGAGATGTTCTCCTCGCCGCTGGCATCCCTGACGAATTGAGTGAAGATAAACGCTACTGGGTCAACTTTGAAGGCGCAGACGAGCTGAGTGAGGGCAAGTATGCAACCAGCTTGCCGTTTGACTACGCCATGGACCCCATGAACGATGTCCTGCTCGCCTACGAAATGAACGATGTTCCTCTTCCGCCTGACCATGGGTACCCAGTACGATTGATAGTCCCAGGCTACGTCGGCGGACGCAACGTAAAGTGGCTGAAGAGGATATGGATTAGTGAAAAGGAGAATGACTCTCACTATCACATATGGGATAACCGCGTGCTGCCGTCTTTCATCACGGAAATGGAAAGCGAGTTTGCCGAGACCATGTTCCGACACCCGAGCACGGCGTGCAATGAGCAGAACCTCAACTCTGTGATTGTGCGTCCGGAACAGGGTGAGAAAATTAGCCTTGCAGACGCTCACCGGGGGAAGTCGTACCGGATCCAGGGGTTTGCGTACGACGGCGGTGGGCACGAAGTGCAGAAGGTTGAGGTGTCTCTCGACGGCGGCGAGACGTGGCTGTACTGCATACGCGAATTCCCCGAGGCGCCCATCAGACACGGTAAGAAGTTTTGGACGTGGCTGCATTGGTATGTCGACGTGCCTCTCTCGCATCTGATCCAGGCGCGGGAGATCAAAGTCCGCTGCTTCAATGTGTTCAAGAACACGCAGCCTGAAAAGCCGTCGTGGAATCTGATGGGTATGATGAACAACTGCTGGTACACGGTAAAGTCGGAAATCGTCGAGGACGAGGATCCAAAGTCCGATTCCACATACGTCTTGTTCAGACATCCAGTTGAGCCTGGAACTGGCGATGGCGGATGGATGAAGCCGAGCGTGGTGAACCAAGTTGAAGCGGCGAAACGAGATGCAGGCACCCCGCAGAAGCAGTTTACGCGAGAGGAGATTGAGAAACATGACAAGGAAGATGACTGCTGGATTGTTGTGGATGGAAAGGTGTACGACGCAACGTCGGTGATGTCGTGGCATCCTGGTGGAAAGGCGCCCATCATGGCGCATGCTGGCCGGGTACACCAGGAGGCAACGGAGGAGTTTGATAGCATCCATGATGGGTTTGCATTTGACAAGCTGAACGGTAATTCCACAAATACTCTCTTAGCTGACAGTTCTAACATTCGTAGAATGTCTCCTCGGAGTCGTCACCGACAAGGCCATGAACTTTATCAAAAAGAACGCGGAATTAGCAGCCGCCGAAAAGGCCAAGGATGAGGGCAACAACAAGCGCGCGTTGCAGAAGCACAAATGGATGCCCACGAAACTGATCGACAGAAAGCCACTCTCGGAAGACACCTTTTCCTACACGTTCCAGCTCCCAGACCACAAGGCAGTTCTCGGGCTAGGAACCTGCCAGCATGTCTTTATCGGATTCCACATGCATGATAAAATGCTCGTGCGGTCTTATACACCCACCCGCCCCATCCTCCCGGCACCGAAGAACGCACTTAGTGAGATCCCAGAGCAGAATGGTAACAGTGACAAGCATGGCCCAGCTGATGGAGACGGCACTTTCGAGCTTGTCGTAAAGACATATTTCCCCACGGACAAGCAGCCAGGCGGAGCCATGTCGAACATTTTGCACTGCATGCCTATCGGAGGCGAAGTTGAGATTCGCGGCCCGACGGGTGAGATTACGTACGAAGGTAATGGAAAGTTCATCATTGATGGGGAAGAGAGGGTGTACAAGCACGTATCGTTGGTTCTTGGCGGCTCGGGTGTGACCCCTGGGTACTCTCTAATCGCGAGGATTGTGGCGGCTGGAGATGACGAGACCGAAGTTCGCGTTGTAGATGCCAACAAAACGGAGAAGGACATTTTGCTTCGAAGCGAGCTTGGAGGGTTTGAGAGGAAGAGCGACGGAAGGTTGAAAGTGACGCATGTCCTTAGCCACCCTAGCGACGGGTGGAAGGGGTTGAGCGGTCACGTCGACGAGGATATTCTCAAGAAGACTCTTTTCCCACCATCGGAAGACAGCGCGGTCTTTCTTTGCGGGCCGCCGACAATGATTCAGAAGGCGGTTCTACCAGCGTTGAAAGGTGAGTCCCCTTAGGTGCACATGTCACCAACGTTGCTAACTATTTGCAGATTGGGGCTACGTAGAAGACAAGAATGTCTTTGGCTTCTAATCCAGTCCATCACTCAATCATGAATAACGACGGTGTAAGGTGCAAGAGACGTGGGGCTTTAGATTTTCTCCTTTATTTGATTGTTTTATCGTAATGAAATGCCAGAGATTCTAACATTCGTAATTTCAGCCCTGCCATCTCCTGTAGACGTCAAACTGCTGGTGCATTCTCGCCTCCTGGCCAGGAGTGAACTCAGTCGTGCTGCACTTTGTTAGCAACTGAATCCGAATCAACCCATGTTCTAAACTCACCAGGTATCATCCGAGTAGTCCATAAAGTTGTGAATGGGGTCCAAACCAGGAGAATCAGGGCACGAGTTCCTCCCAATAGGGCACCCTGAACTCGCGCCGGCCTGCGCAGGCGTATCCGCAACCTGGTCGTTGATGCCATCACAGAACCGTCCATGGAACGTATGGAACAAACCGAACCAGTGCCCAACTTCGTGAACCGCAATATGTCCCTTGCGAGGGACGGTGTCGTTGCCGGTGCGGGGGTACAACCCGGGCATGGTGTCGCCGTTGACGAAGCAGCCGTCGAGATAGAACTGCTGGCTGCCGTCCTGGACTACGCCGGCAAGGTTACATGCGCCCCCGACAGCCGGGTTGAGGTCCGAGAAGAAGTAGACGTTGAGCGCGTCGTAGGCGCCACGGCGGGTCTGTGTGCGCCAGGCGAGGTAGCCGTCAAAGTCGGGGATGCCGGGGCCGTCCTCGGCGTAGAAGCCCTTTCCTGCGATATTGTCAACGATTCGGGAGACGTTGACGAGGTTTAGCTCGAAGCCGTGGCGGAGGTAGGTTGAGTGCAGGACCTCGAACTGAGTTGTCTGTTAGGAGAAGTTCGATTCATAGACTTGAGTGAAGGTACCTGGGCATCGACGACGGCGTCGGTGATTCTGTCCTTGTTCGCCTCCGTGCTGGTGATGTGGAAATACACATCAACCGACTTTGGCGCGTCCTGCCGCTTAACGTATGCGGGGAGGGAGATATTTGGGAGCTCGGCTGCAGCGAGGCTATCGTCGTTGACACATTGGAGGTTACCCAGCGCCAACGACGCTCCCAGAGAGAGGACTAGAGCAGTGGTGGCACGCGACGACATCTCGTCAAGGTATACGCCGTGTGTTGGGCTCAAATAAGGCTGAGTGCTTTACTCTAGAACAAGACGAGTGGCGAGCAGACCATTTTGAGTACCGCGGATGTTGGAACTGCTGGTTTATGTACAGTCCCACCGGTCAACGAGAATGACGGCACGAAGCCAAGAAAAGGTGCCAGTATGGGCCGCCATCGTGAACACGAGCCTTGGGTGCTTGGCGAACAGCTTAAACTAATATAAACCCCACTGCGACGGGGACGTTGTGTGCTTGAGCAAGCAAGGATCTCCAGCGAACTGCCGAAATGAGCAACGTTCCCGATCAATGCATCTCGTATCTTTACTGCCGATGCAGGTCAAACGGTGACTATGGATCATTGGAAACACTTGAGTTAAAGGGCATTTTTGCAGAGTAAATTGTAAAAAGGAAGCATCTGAGTTAAGACGAACGATTCCTGAGATAAGTATGTCTGGCGACAGTTCAGGTACTGAACAACAAAATTCCAAGCTTATCATAAGAATTAAAGTTACATGGGGAATACCTGCATCTTGAACAAAGGCAATTCGAGCTTCCTCTTATGATTCCGCCGTCAGGGAACCATCCCAACCGTGCATGATGCATCCCGGCCGCCAAGAAGCCAATACTCCCATCCGGCTAAAATTTCCGTTGCGACCGACTCTTTACTACGCCGTCCAAAGGAGTTGCTATGTAATGCTTAAATGGCATCATCCCAACCGGAACCCGGGGGTCATCGGCATCTGGCACATCCCGGTGCCGGGCTCCGCTTACTCCGGAGGGCAACACAATCTTTCCGGAGCATGGAATAATGTAAACAAATCTTCAGATAAAATCTAAGCCGGCTCTAAATGCTATGCAAACACTCAAAGCTTCGACTTCTCCCTCCTCTGCCCGTCCGCCTTGCCCGTAGGCTCCGTGCTACTCGTCTCCGCCTTGAGGCTGATCGGATCTCCCAACTGCGACGGGTTCCCAGCCTCATTATTCTCCTCGGCGACCTCCTTCAACCTCTTCTTCTCCCGGTCCTGGACCGGCGATCCGTCCGAGTTCTTTGCACCAGCGGCCCCGCTGCCTTTCGGACCCTGTGATCCGCTCGTCTTGGCTCCTTGTTCGCCTTCGGTCGGCACCAGCTTGGAAACCTCGGCCTTGAGCGAGACCGGGTCACCTAATTGGGAGGGGTTGTTGGATGTCGCCTTCTCGGCGACGTGCTTGAGACGTTCGGGCTGTTTTTGCTACGATGTGTTAGTCGAGTGAGCGATAAACAGTGTCCAAGTAAATGATAGACTTACCGGTGCCATTGTAATAACAAAGTGATGTCAGATTTTCTTATTCATGTAACTCAACTATAGAAAGGACAAACAGCTCCAATTTAAATAATTACATCTCTACGCAGGAAACTCGTTGAAGAATCGATGGCGTGCGTCCAGACGCCATCATCTCAATGACGTGTATGACTTAGATGCCGAGGCGAGCCGGGGAAGCCAGAGCGCGCCGGGTCGAATCGTCATACACTCCTCACCACCGTAGATCGATCTACAAATCGTGCAGAAAAAACATGTGAATTCAAACTAAAGCTACGAAAGAGGTCGATTCGGATAAGCACGTCCCCGGATCTTCAAATGCAGGAACCGATGGTTATCTTATATACTTGTACTAACTGGGGGGACTGAGGTATCTACCACGCGCTCAACGCACGCAATGCTAAAATATAAACAAAAGAGAGGGGGTAAAAAAATGACCGCTTTAATCCCTAAAGAACTCCGGTCCAAGGAAAAAAAAAAACTCATGATGCAGCGTGTAACGTCCTTCGTCCGTGTATTATGCCTTTGATCGTGTATATCCTCCCGCCATCGTCACTTCTACCTCTAATCATGCTCGCACAGCGGTATTCTGGAGCTGCGCGGCGCTGGCGACGGCCTGCAGAGGCTCTAGCTCGTCCTCCATGTCGCGGTCCGTCTGTTCAACGCCCGCAATCTGCGCATCCACGCCGCCGGGGGTCGATGCCGTCGCGTCGGTCGTCGTCGATTCGGCAGGGACCTCCTCGGGCTGACCCATGCCGATGACATCGATCCATTTCCAGTACTGCACCTTGCCCTCGGTTCGGTCGAAGATGGCCTTGTCGTCCATGAGACCGTCGTCGGGGCCGTTGTCCGCGTCCTCGTCGCCCGTGATGCCCATCTTGCCGGACCCGGTGCCGTCGACGAGATCGCCGATCCAGGTGCGCGCAACAGGAATGCCGTTGGCGCGGAAGAGCTGCAGCTGCGCGCGTAGGTTCAGGCGCAACGCGCGCTCGGGCTCTTCAGAGTTGAAAATCTTCTTGGTCAGCCAGGGGAAGAGGATGCCGAAGTCGGACTGGCTTAGATGGGCCGAGTTCTCGACGTAGAAGAAGTTGGGCTCGGTAAGGCGGACACCGCTGCGGCGGAAAGTGGCGGGCGTGATGACGCTCGCTGACGGGTCCGGCGAGAGCACGCGCGCCGTAACGTGGAGGTGGTCTGTCCACTTGAAGAAGGCGTCCGATTCGACTGCCAGGATGGCGCTGCCGCCGGGGGCGCGGGAGGTGTTGGCGTACGCGGGTAGCGGCAGGTCGAATAAGGCGGAAGAGCCGGGGGCGAGGAGCGGGAAGCACCACATGTCGAGGAGCATTGTGACGTTCTTCTCCGTTATTTGTTGACACAGGGCTGAATCCGGGCGCGGGGTGAAGAGGGGCTTCTGGACGTGGGCAAGGGCAGAAGATTCCGCGTAGTATGTCGTCTTGAGGAACTGCACGATGGAGGCGGAGCCGAAGCTGTGGCCGCCAAAAATGATGCAGCCCGGCTCGTGGACGTGGAGCTTGTTCTTGAACTGCGTCAAGCTCGGGGTTGACTTGTTGAGGTTCGTCATCGCGAGACCGAGGTCCATGTTCAATGCCACGACGTGTATGAGACCCAGCTCCCACAGGCGAATGCGCAGCTGGTCTTCGCGGGCCTCGTACACTTCAGGTCGCGCTTCATGGTCCACGCGGACGTAGGGGACTACACGGCGGGTGTTGCGCAGGAAGTATTGGTCCTGCTTTCCAGGGATGCGCACAAACGAGGCCACGGCGCTGCCGTCGCGATGCTCAGGGCAGATTACGACAATGCCGTGGGAGGCGATGGAGCCTGCGAGATGGGAGTATGTGTTTCGGTTGCCGCCGAGGCCGTGGGAGAAGATCATGGTCGGCCATCGTCGGTTCGGGGTATCAGGATCGAGGATTTCGGCGTTCTTGTGGACGGGAATCGTAGTGTAGTGCAGATGCCGGGGTAGGAAGCTGTAAGAGGTAGTTGTTAGTCTAAATCTGCTAAGCGAATGGCTCAGTAGCTTTCAACGTACGAAACGAGGTCTGCCAGCATCGGGCGAACGCCAATGAACTGGGTATATGCTGAGACATGCTGTCGCTGGGGCGAGGGCAGCCAGCTGATGTTCTTGCCGGTCGATTCGGGGACGGCAGGGTAGAATACACGGCACTGGACGGTGTAGATCTCAGAGGCGCTGTAGGGGGTCGGACTGGGCGACTCCAGCTCGGATACGGGCACCTCAATGTCGACGGTGCCGACCTTGTGCGGGCCGGTGTAGTCGGGGAATGCGGGCACGGGGCTCAGACGGGAGAAGAAGGACGCAACCTTCTCAGCGGCCGTCGGGGGCGCTTGCGCGGCGGGCGACATGTTTGCTGGACCTGCAGCTGCAGTGGTATGTTGCTGTATCTTGGTGTGTCAAGCTTTTGTTAGAATTCGCGCAGTGGTGGCGGCAATGGTAGTGGTGGTTGTGATGATGCCGACGATGATCCCTCGGGCAGGTTTAAGGATAAATCGAGATCGCAGGGGCCGACGATGGGAGAAGAAAAAGAACAGATCAAATCGACCGCGTGGATAGTTCGCTGGCGGGGGGTTACTGGGGGGTTGAGTTTCAAATCGTCCCTATTTTCCCCTTTACGTCCCTTTATACAAGCTTTCGCGGTCGGATATGCGTGTGTCGCGATGGTGTTTTAAACCAATGTTTCCGCCGATCAAGTTGGTCAGTCTTTCAATGCAGATTCAATGCGGGCGGGCGCCACAGACAGGGCAAAGCAGGGAAAAGTAATCCGGAATAGTGAGTCGTCAGCGGAGCTTTGGCGCCAATCTAATCAGCTGAAAGTCCACCGTCGTCTACGCTACTGTGCCACCGACAAGGGTATCGGTTGATGTGTTATGTATGTAATATAACGATGTGCAGGGTTCCCAGGGAACTGCCGACGAAAAAAAGAGTCCGGATTGTTTATCTCGTAATCCGGTTGTTGGGAATAAGAACGCCAATTATAATCCGGCCGAGATGAGTTGATTCTCCCCCTCGTGTGTGAGTACAATGTACGGGTAATGCAATCATGAACCACCACACCACGAATGGGGAGGGATTGTGACAGTATGGAATGTCAGAGAAAGATCGAGAGAGGGAAACAGGGCGAGTTGGTCGACAGCAACGCAGGGCTCAGATGGGATTTCGAAACCCGATGGTAATTAACTCGGAGCGGGATTCCCTGTTGGCAGCCTCAAAGTCAACGAGCCAAGGCAACTGTTCCTTGTCAAATAAGGTCAACGTGAGAGAAAGCAAAGACCCAACAGAAGTCCCAGGTCGAGACCGCACGAACACCTCCCTCTCCTTTTTATGAGGAGGGCAGAAAATTTGAGAAAAAAAGGTAAATATAGCTTCCTTTGACCAGTAGCCAATCAAGCTGCTGAATCAAGGTGGTCTTGTGGCCATTTGCCAGAGGCGGAAACGTCATTTACGCGTATGAGTCGTGCGAGCTGTTTTGAGCGGCGAAGAGAATCTTGCCTCGGTCAACCAAAACGGTTTAGGTGGGAATCAGGGCGAGGTAAGCGTAAGCTAAGCTCAACTCTGATGACGGCGGCTTTGTTCTGAATTTTCTTAGGTTGCACTTGAGGACTACATAGTAGAGCCTTTCTTTCCACTCAACGGAGAGTCCGAGATTTCTCATTAACATTAACAGGAACTGTATTTAGAGTGGGACACGAACGGCGGCTGGTCCGAAGAGTACGGGCGTCCGTAGGGAGTACTATGTACTACAGCCATCGTCATATAACCGTGCGATATAGAAGGCCAGAATAGGGCGAATGGGAGTACTTTTTCTTGCTGCAATACCCATTCCATGGTCTTTGCGTATTAGTGCATGAACTTCAACCGTTGGCCCCGCGAGCTAAGACTTCAATCGCATAGACTTTCCATAAGGCAGGAAATCTCAACATGTCGCTCTGTCGCCGATGTGTTATCGTTATCTCGATCTCGATCAGTTGATTCGCTCCACAAAGCATGTTACAGCGACAGCTGTGTCAGGGAGGTTCCTTGTTATTGGGGAGGTGGGTGAAGATGGCCCAGACCAGGCTTCGGGGCTGTCTTTTTTTCTTTCTTTTTTTTGCCTTAAACACCGAAGCCATTTGGCAAAGAATAACTAAAGTGTAAATTTGAAGAATTACGTCATGGGTCGGCTCCAACCGTCTCCGTGCTCCGATCCACCATTCAGGTGCTTTCGGTTAGGAAAAGGTGGTGATTGGTCTTCGCTTCGGTCCGGGCCCGCTTATTATCTTTGGTTGATTTTTACCCGGGACCCATTTTCAACCGTTCCCATTTCTGGAGCCACTTACATAATCAAATAGAACCACGCTAAGACTCTTTAGGAATACTCACTCATTATGCGATGCTCTCCCTCATTCACTCTTAGTATTATACAAACGTCTCACTAACACGAGTTCATCACATTTGTCATTCAAGTATACTCCAGCAAGTGGGTTCACAATCTTATATTGTTTGCAGAATTTTTTCTTTTTACTTTCATTCTTTCCCAAATCAAGCCTTCAAGCCCTTGAGGAAATCCTCCTTGCGTTGCTGAAGCAGATAGTAGTATTTACCCATGTCGATGGGGTTGTTGGGCGTCGGGTCCGCCGTGTAGGCGCCCTTTCCGTGGCCGTCGAAGTGAACCTTCCAGGCTGTAGAGGTATTAGTAACGTGAAGAAAATCACCGTCAATGGATAAAACTTACTGCTAGCATCGAAGCCAAGGTACGACCAGCTGTCGTTAAGGTAGGCCTTCTCGGAGCCGACCTGGATGGTCTTGACGACACCCATCTCACCCGGCGCAGGACGAAGCTGCTTGAGGTCGGCCATGAGCTTGACGAGCCCGGTGACGAACGCAAGGGCGATGTCCTTGCCCACGCACTCGTGCTGGCCGTAGCTGAAGGCGGTGATGTTGCCCTCCATGTTGCGCTTGGGGTCGAACTTGTCGGCGTTGGGCACATCCTTGGGGTTGCGGCCGGCCTCGCCCTAGAAATAACATTTTAGCAACATCACTGCATAAATGAAAGCTAATAAAAGAACTCACAAGAAGCATGACCACGAGGTTGCCCTTCTCGACCTTCTTGCCGTCGACCTCGCCCGGCGCAACCGCGACACGCACGTTGCGCTGCGAGGTTGTGAGACGCTGAGCCTCGAGGACGTAGTTATGCAGTCCGACGTCGTCGTTCTTTTGCGCCATGTTCTGGACCTCGGCCCAGATGGACGCGTTCTCGCGACGGAGGAAGAACTCCATGATTTCGTAGAACTGTACGGGATGTTAGCTCTGACAACCTTCGAATGCTCATTAAAAGACACTTACCGTTGTGACCGGAACACCGATACCGCCAAAAGAAGTAAGCCACATGTTGTCGGTGACCTTCTCGGCCGAAGCGCCCTGGGCCAAGAGCTCCTCCGCGAGCTTGTAACCGCAGGAACGCAGGGAGTTCTTCTTGAGGTACGTCTTGCGGGTAACCACGCTGGCGACGGCCGAAGCGATACCGAAGCCGAGACCGCGCGACGCAGCAACCTCGTTGATGAGCTTGCGCGTGGAGTCCATAATGATCTTTGCACTCTCCTGAGCGCGACGGCGACGGTTCCACGCCTGGCCGGGGTCGTTGTTGTTGACGCCCCAGATGCGGATGTTGAGCAGATGGCGGTAGAGGTCCGTCGAGCTCAGGGTGCCGTCCGGGTTCTCGTCGGTGCGCATGTCAAAGTAGAAGAGGTCGGAGAGCAGCTGGGCGTTGAGCGGGATGGCGACGTCGCGAATGATGTCCATCTGGCACAGGTTCTCCCGCATCTTGAACGTCTCCTTGGCGATGAGCTGCGCGCCGACGCGCTCGATGAAGTCGTGGATGGCGCCGTGCAGGTTCGGCACCTTCTTCATCGCGTTCAGCATGTTGAGCTTCTCCTGGCGGTTCTGCGGGCCGTCGCCGGCGAGCATGAACCAGCTAAAGTCCTTCTTGGTGTCGACGAACAGCTCGTTGAGGGGCCTGAGCCACGGCACGACAAACTGCTGCGGGTTGCCGAGGACCTGCTTGACGGCGGCCGCCGTGTAGACGACGACGGGCTTCGGCGGCGGCTTCGGGTCGTCGAGCGTGTAGTGCCCGATGGTGCCGAGCTCCCTCGCGATCCTCTCGTTGGCCTGCTTGGTGTACATGGGCTGCATCACGGCGATGGAGTTGTACGGGAACCAGCCGGGCAGACCGCGCTGGATGAGCTTGTACAGCATCGAGCCGCCGAGCGTCTTGTAGTCCTGTTGGACCTCGTTGTATCCCCACGCCGTCAGGTTCGACACGGTGTAGTCGAGGGTGTTGAACCTGTCGGACCGCACGAGGGTGACGGCGTCGGAGAGCACGGCGCGGCCGACCGAGTACGTCGGGCAGATACCGCTGCCCGTGTTGCGGACGGGCTTGATATCCTCGATCATCAGACCGGGGTAGAGCTCGACCATGTCCGGGTCGGTGTACAGCTTCTCGAGCAGGCTGGCGATGTCGGGGTCCGAGTTGATGTCCTTGAAGGTGTCGTACTTCTTCAGGCCAAAGAACTCGCGGAACTCGTTCAGGGAGGCGACTTGCCACGCGCGAGCCTGCTTGATGCCGAGAATCTCGACAATCTTGAGCGCCTTGGGCACCATGCGGGCGCCGAAGCAGCCGGCGGGGTCGTCCATGGCTTCTTTGAGGATGTTAACGAGCTCCTCGTCCTTGAACGTGCCGTCCGCCTGACGCTGGAGGCCGTCGAACGTGCGCTTGCTGGGGTCCTTGTCGATGCTCATCTCCCACTTTTGCAGAGCAATACCGAGGTCCTGGAGTTGGATGTTCTCCAGCTCCTCGGGCTTGGTGCCGGGGAACAGCTTGCTGAAGAAGCCGTTGATCCAGCGCTCGTCCTTCTTGGAGATGCAAGCGTGGAAGCGGTACAGCAGGTTGAACTCGACGCTGACCTGGTTGCCGACACCGCGGGGGACGCCCTCGCCGTCGAACTGCTTGCCAATCTCCACACGGGGGTCGAGCGTCCAGTCGCTCTTGGAGTGGTGCGTGTTGGTGATGGCGCGGAGGTAGTCGTGCAGGCAGATGTTGATGTACAGACCGCCGACGATCAGGCGTGCCGTGTTGAAGAGGTCGTGGTCCTGCTTGGCCACGGCCTTGGCCTTCTCCTCGGCGCTAGGGTTGGGGCCGTGCTTGAGCGTGAAGCGCTCATTCTCGTTGATCTTGAGCAGGATGTCGCAGACGTAGTTGTGGAAACGGCTGTAGAGGACCAGCATGACGTTGACTCCCGCAGGCTGTCCTAGAAGACGCTTCTCGTGGAATGTGTCAGGCTTGAGCTTACCCTCCTTCATGGTCCGGATCTCCAGCTGGTCCTTCAGGGAGGAACCATAAAGGGGCGCCAAGTCGAGATACGACGACGTGTCGGACTTGTTCATGTTCGTACGGTTGGTTCTGAAGATATCGTGGATAATGATGGAGGCGTGGTAGAAAAGTATGGATGAGATACCAGCCGGGTTCTCCTTGAAGCTCTTGTCGTCACGAGCCATCAGGAGGTCAAAGAGCAGACCCGGGTCAGGCTTGACGCCATGGAGTCTCTTTGCAGTCCTGACAGTCTTTGCGTAGGGAGTGCCTGCTTGGCCCAAGTGAGGCTCAAGGATGTTGTTGTAGCTGCCATCAGGCATTCTGTAGTGGTGGATGCCATCGGGAGCTGTGGGAAGCTGCTCACGCAGGATGACATCGCTGTCAGGAGCCTTGAACTCGATGAATTCCTCGGGCTTGGTCTGGGGCTTGGGGTCCTTGGGGTTGACGACCTCATACTTGACGTCGCCACCGACATAGCTCAACGGGGGGTGCTGGAGGTTGCCCCAGAGTGTGTCGATGAGCTTGTTGGTAAGCTGTGATCTGGCCTTTGATGTGGCAGGAAGAGAGGTCAAGATGCCGATCAAAACTTCGGTCGTACTGATGATAACAACTGTCAGTGTCGAGCTGTTTCTGAGACGGACTTTTTTACTTACCCCTTCTTGTCGTCCAAAGGCTCGCCTTTAGACAGCAACTCTTTAATGAGGCCTGTGAGCTCTACTATTGAGATCTGGTTCTTGAGGCCCACAAGATCTTTCATCAGGTCTGCGGCGACCTTTGCGGGATCGGCGAAGAAGTTGCTAGAAGCATTCCTCTCGTCCCCGTAGGACTCGCCGGCCTGAAATTTCGTGTTGAACGCCATGGCTTTCCCTGATGATTCGTATACGATGGGAAGACAGGGCAATAGTGATGGGAACAGAAAAGTCTGGCTCCAGATTTACTTTCTATCTTTTAAGAAGCCCTCGTGCCTCACTTATACGAAAGTCGAGCTCGACTGATGCCCAACTGAGCTGCACATACCGGCTGGAGCAAACGCGATAACACAACAAAAACCCCCTCACTTGTCGTTTACAGTTCGGTGGCGTCCCCATCATTCGATAACATACAGGGATTCACGCGCTTGCAGGATCATCTCTCCTCGCTACGCTACGAACGTTCCACAGAAGGCCAGTGGTAAGAGACAGCAACCCTGGAATGTGATGCTGAAAACGCACTCGAAATGCGGTGAAAGGGCTGCTCCAAGACAATGTTGCAGGAGGGAACTTGGTCTCCGGCCATCTACAGTTTGACGATCAACGATGGCCGGAGACACGCAGGGCGCCAAGGTGCGCGGGGAAGCAGGCAGTTGTGGCACCGGGAGGGCAGTGGGACCAGACGGGAGAGCATCCGGAATGGAGGGGCAAGGAGAAAGGGAGGCGAGCCGGCTATGACATAGTTCAGCCGCAGCGGATACAGAGCTCGCCCTGTTGTTTTGATATCCCCATACGAAGAGGTAAAAGGATATACACTCATGCAACCGGTTCCAAACGGCCCGCACCGCCTGCAGGACTCGAAACCCAAAGGGGCCAAGACATGCTAGGCTTAGTGGCCGGCAAAGCTTCCTCAACGTCCGTAGCCCCAATTTGGGATATTGACTATCGATCAACACCCACCGGGAAGCGTTTATAGGACACAAAACGCTTCAGCCGTTCTTAATATCTGGGATGTGAGTGACGTTTGCGGCTAGCTCACAGCAAGCTTCATTCCATCCGGCATGAGATAGTAACTAATCAGTTCTCTCTGGCAGTAATATTGCATGTCGGGCAGTGAGGGAGTTGATTTCCCAGGCTGGCTGCGTCTGTTGTGAAACATACGCGGCATGTCTTGAGCCCTGAACAAAATGGTCATCACATGTTTCCTTATTGGTAGACGGCGTCGCCGAGTCGCCGATGTATATCCCAGTGGCTGCTGACCGCCTGTCGACGGCATGCTGCACGGCGGGAAGTCTAAGACATGTCATGTGAGCGATACCTGTCTGAGCTATGTGTTCTGCATTGTCTTAGACACACAGAGCTATCCTTTCCCCGCACTGCTTACCCTGCACACATGCAATGATCGGCGCACAAATCGCAGCTTGTATCCAGATTGAGTTACAAGTCTTGAGAGCTGAGGCTAGCTTGTTATCAAATAGTAAATAAACAAGTTCTGATTTGCCATCAAATGTACCAGAGCAGTTGACTTTCATACCCAGTTGCGGCAACTAAGTTGGCAAGATTCTCCAACCCTTGGAACGAGATAATTCTGGCGCAGAGAAAGTCTTAGACAAAACCCCCTAGCGTTGAATGTTTGCAATTGAAAGCATCTTCTTCCCCCTCTACCACAGAGTTTTCCAAAGCCAGTTACACAGAATGCGGAAAAACCTGGGCTACCTTTCACGGGCAAGCCGCTGATGCACGGTCTGGTGCTGCCTGCCGAGTCGTCATGGTGCATGGCCAACATCCAATGCCGTAGACAGTAGAGGCCCCGTCCTTTACAGAATTTCGAGCTATGGTTCAGGTGGCTGGCTGATTGTCTCGAAAAGTCGAACAGAAAAAGCACATGTGGAGGTTACACTCCGACCGCCAGGTTTCAGCCGCTCCGCGCCTCGCGAACCGATCGACGGGTGTTCCCCGCGAACGATGTTCACCGGCAACACCGGTAAACTGACAATCTTTTGATAGCCATTGGGTTTCTATGACGGAGAGAGAGAGCTATCAGTACCCTTGCGAGGTGCGAGGTGCGAGGGGGGTTGATGTGTAAGACACCAGTGAGGGGTTCAGAGGACGCAGGTTGCCGTGTATACGAGACGGCATATGTCCTTCTCCCTATCAAAAGTCAAGCCCGTACATGAATTGAGGCCCCCTCGGCCGTGATCATCGTCCCTCCGTCGTGAGACTAGCGAGAAATGTCCCGCCACGCGGCTTGATGACTGTCGGGGTGGCTGTCTTGGTGATGATGTGAGAGATTGGGCAGAGGTTGGTCTTTGGACACTGAGAGTAAAGATTGATATATGGGGTGTTTGAACCCCGGAGAAAACTTGTCTTTTGAACTTCGCAAGTTGTTACTGGGGTTATTAGAAACAGCCTTTCTCATCAAAGAGCATAATCACACTTCCTGCAACCATGCCTGGACTCGTTGACAATGGGTCCTCTGCGACCGAAACTCCCGGTGGTCAGGTCCCGAAGAAGCTGGTTCTTTGCTTCGACGGTACCGGTAACACATTCACTGGCTCCAACGCCGACACAAATGTTGTCAAGATCCTGAGCAAATTGGACCGCAATGCGCCGAACCAATTCCATTACTACCAGAGTGAGTTCGTCGGTTCCTAGCCAGTCTTCCGTCGCTTACACTTATTCCAACCAGCCGGCATCGGTACGTATGACATCAATGAGAAGTCTGTAAACAAGACATTTTTCGGCGAAATCCAGAGCTCCATCTCCCAGACAATCGACCAGGGAATCGGCACGACATTCGACGCCCACGTCATGGCTGGATACAGGTTTCTGATGCGTTACTACGACTCCGTAAGTATGGCCTTTCTGTCGAGCGCACTCAGTTTACTAATATTTACATGCAACAGGGCGACAAGATTTACATGTTTGGATTCAGCCGCGGCGCCTTCACAGCAAAGTTCCTGGCGCGTATGATCCACACCGTCGGACTTCTCTGCAAGGGTAACGAAGAGATGGTTCCCTTCGCCTACCGCCTCTACCAGCGCTACCTGGCCGGTGAGGTCGAAGACTTCATCACGGCACACCCCAAGAAGTCCAAGAAGGAGAAGAAGGCCAGGAGAGCCGCCGCAGAAGCAGCAGCCAACGGAGGCGAGGCACAGCCGCTCCTGGACGACATGGAACCCCACGAGCACCGCGAGGGCGAGGATCCCGCTGTCCACGGCCACAATTACGAAGTCGCGCGTGATGAGATTGCAGCCTTCTCCGACACATTCTGCCGCAAGGAGAACATCATGCACTGCGGGAAAGAAGAGGAGTCCAACATCAAAGTGCACTTCCTCGGCATCTGGGACTGCGTCAACTCGGTGGCCATCCTGGAGCGCAAGACACCTGTGCCAGTACCTGTGGTCGGTACGGCGCACCACGTCCGGCACGCTGTGGCCGTCGACGAGCGCCGAGTCAAGTTCAAGGCCGCGCTGCTGGCCCAGGACATCCGCGACGGAAGCCACTCTCATGAAGAAGACATCAAGGAGGTGTGGTTCCCGGGCTGCCACGGCGATGTCGGCGGCGGATGGCCGGCGTCGGATAAACACCCGCTTGACAATGCCGACGTGCAGATGACGTTCTGGGAGCGGGTCAAGAACTTCTGGACGACGCGCAAGTCCAAGGAGCCCCTCAAAGCGATAGGCTGTGACCGGCTGCAGATGAGTGACGTGGCGCTGGCGTGGATGATCCGGGAGGTTGAGTTAGTCGGCGAGAAGGAGCCGACTGCGGCGCTCAAGTGGCGTGAGAATGTGAAGGACTTCAAGGCGAGGTACGCCAAGAAGAAGAAGCAGGCGATGAAGGGCGTCATTCACGACTCTCTTGCCTTCAACTGCGGTACTGGCTTCTTTACTGTGCTCCTGTGGAAGCTCATGGGTAAGTCGAGCAGCATATAACTATTATCATTCAAGATGATGCTAACGATGTCATGCAGAATGGCTACCCTTCATCACGCGCTGGGAACTCGAGGACAGCGGGTGGGAGAATGTTCGCTTCCCGCTGAACAAGGGTGCTACGCGTGATATCCCCAGAGACGCTGTTCTTCATGAGTCGCTACTCTGGAGGCTTCAGAACGACAAGAACTACTGCCCTGGCAATAATCACGGCGGCCGTCTGCCACCTTGCTTGAAACACCACACTTCTGGTGCCATTGCCAAGTGTGATCCCCCCCACGACCACAACAAGGCCCATGAGGACTGTGAGCACAGGACGTATACAATTGTCAAGGCTGCACATGAAGTGTAGTGAGATGCCGTCTACGGTATAGTCAATATGAAAGAATGTAGTCTCAGAGAGAGTTTGAAGCATTTGTGGGTGGGAGGGGGAGGGGTTTGTTAAGGAATGTTGCACAGCCATCGAGAATATAGCAACCACCAATTTCCCATGTATTCCCCGCGAATTCAGCTTCAACGCCTGAATTCCATGAATTGGGAATGTTGTGCCAGTTAGACATGTAAATGCCGGTGTAACATTTTCCAACGGTGACCCTGGAATTCTCATCTGCACTATGGACCCTGGTCCCATAACGCCGCTCCACATAGTCTGCAAATTTGCCCCTCCAGCCACACAAGATCAATAGATCACCTACGGAAGGGTGGCCGAGTTGGTTATGGCGCCAGGTTAAGGTCAGCTTAACATCTGTTTCCTGGTGGGGCAACCCGCGCGAGTTCGAGTCTCGTCCCTTTCATTTTGCATTTGCGAGTTATTTGTTTTGTTTTGCTGTCAAGTAGTAAAGTAACATAGTTTTACAGTCATTGAGAATCAATCTAGTAATAGTTTTGCTTCAGTTGAATCTTATGAAGAACCTCAACTTGGAGTTACAGTCTAGTCAGTAACCCTTCAATAGCTTTTCAAGCGCATTCAACTTAGTTGACATGTCCAACGTCTATCCAAACCCACTATGATATTGCCAGAATCGAATTACCGCTGCCAACTTCAGCCTCAACTTCAATCTCAACCAATATCTCATCCCCAATAAGCCCAGCTGTAGTCAGAGTATTAGCCGGCCATATTCCATGACAATTAAAAACCCAACCATGAGCCTCAGACACCTCGTCAACGTCCTCCTCCCGTTGTAACATCACCCTGGTCCTGACGACATCCGACATGGTGCCACCAAGCCGCCTGATGGCTCTCTCAATAATATCCAGCGCCGCCACGGCCTGAGACCGAGCAGACTTACCCCCAACAACCTCAAGTTGTCCCGCCAGCTGCGGCGGCGGGTTCGCCGTGGTCCCAGACACACGAATAACTCTTCCAGTCCTCACAGCTCTCGAATACCCGCAAATCGGCTCCCACTTACTGCCAGAGTGATATTCCACCCTCTTCCCAGCCGCAATCGCATCCTCAACCTCGCGCATCTCATCGCTCTCCTTGATATGGTCGCTCAAATCCCCTGCCGCCGTCAGGAAAGGCGGCCGCCGGTACTCATCCCCACAATCACCAGGCAAATCCTTGAGCATCTCCTGCGCCTTGGCGATCAAAGCGCGGTCATCGTCGTCGAGCGAGAACCCGAACACGGCAAGCTTGCTAGCCGCGTACACCCCGCTCTCCTTGGTCAACCTCGCGCCGATGATGACGGCCTTGACGACGGGGATATCCAGCACCCACCGCATCGCGACCGCAGCAATCGACACGCCATGCTTCCTCGCGACCGTCGCCACGGCCTTGAGAACGTGCTGGAAAGCGGCCCAGCCGCCCGCGGCTCGGATGAAACGTAGGTACTTTTGCAGACTCCAGTTGAGGCCCCTCACATCCCTGGGCTCCGGCACGTCAACCCACTTCTCGCTCAGGAACCCGCCGAGCAGCGTGCCGTACGTCAAGATGCCGACGCCGTGCTTCTCGCAGACGCTAAACATGCGGCCGCGCACCAGCCGGAGGTCGATGACGGAGCACGACACCTGGTTCGTCGCGATGTCGTGGCCCGAGTGGATCAGGAGCTCCAGGTGCGCGGCGTCGACGTTGGTCAGGCCAATGTGCGCGATCTTGCCCTGTTGCTGGAGCGTCCTCAGATGCGCGAGGTTGCAGAGATACGTGTCGTCCGTGTAGTCCCAGACGTGGTACTGCATGAGGGCGATCTGCGTCTGGTTCATGCGCTTCAGCGCGAGGTTGACGGCCACCTCGGCGTTCTCGAACGACTTGTCTCCGTTTTCTGGGGGACACCACTTGGTGAAGGCCGTGATGGGGCGGTCTGATGTGCGGTTGTGTTGGCCTATGACTAGCTCCGCGGGACCGTAGTGGTCTGCCATGTCGAAGCCATCCAGACCGGCGTCGATTCTGCACAAGTCAGGTTTTTTTTTTTTTTTTTTTTTTTTTTTTTTTTGCCTTTGGGCATAAGAATTAGGAGTGACTTACAGCGGCGCCATGCCCTCCGCGGCGATGGCGACGTCAATGTCCCGATCGTGGCCGCCGGCAAGTTGCCAGAGGCCGTTGAGGATGCGGGGTATCTCGATCGACCCCGCGATGGTCGTGCGCTCCACCTTTGGTGACGTCTCGGAAGCCATGATTTGGAGTTGAAGGTATTAATAAAGCTGTTGGTAGGTGTTAGTTGTAGATACCTAGTATTGAGGTGGTGCCAGGGTTATGGGATCAGATGTCCGTTTTCGGCTCAGGAGCGAAAACACGTGGTCGGGAGTGGCACCACCATCAGATCGTTTCTATTAACAACTGATACTACATTTCGAGACAAGGGTCTGTGTTCCTGATACGTTTGACCGTATTGCCAGCCACGTGTTATAAGGCTGATGTGCACTGTCTGGTGTTTAATTCGACTAGCAAATGAAGTTATGATCCGTGGATTTGTAAGAACGACCAACATCAAGTTAAAATTACCCTTCATAAATTGAGCATTACTACGGAGACTAGCTAGGAGTTGATTATGAATTGATTGCCATGTTGTTTTAACAAAGGGTGTAAATCTCACTCTTTCGAACAGAAACTCAGTAACTAAACTGAACGAAAAGAAGAGTTGAAAGTTACACATGGGCATCCGCATATGTTCTATCAACCAAGTTTATAAGTAAGAATCGCGTATTAAACGCTATGCCACCTTGACTTTCACCTCCACCAGTTCAACCTCCGTATTTCCCAACATCGCGTCTTCTAGCAACGTACCATCAAGCATATTCAATTCCAAGATAATTCCTTCAACTTGAATTGACAATAGGAAGTCAAAGTCAAAGTCGTAATCTCAAATCTCTCTCCATAGTTAGCAGCCAAACTTTAGATCTACGAGTCCAAGGTAAAAGTACTTTAATCAGATGAACGAAACCTCCATAACTCATGGACGCCACGCACTCTATCACCTCGACGTAATCTCGTTGCTGCAATCGTACAATCAAGTCACCGAACCTCAACAGTGCAGATTCCGTATTTCAGTTAATCGCAAGATTCATTATATCCAAGATGGAACGAACGTTTCTAGAGTTTCTACTTCTTTCAGGGGCACTTCGCTCGACCCTAAATCTTACATGGCCAACTTGCTATGGTGATAACATAGCCTCAGCAAGAACATGAAGATGAGAGGCTCATCTTGCTGAACAAGAGCTGCTACCAAACGCTTCGGCAAGGTAGACCTCAACAGTCGTAGACACCTGGCTCCTGTCAATGTAAACCACAACTCTACATACGGCAAGGACATCTACAAACCGTTGGACATGGATCCATCAGTTTAATCACAGAGCAGGCCACATCACCATCACTTCATAACCGTCACGACGCAAAAATACACTCAAAGCTTTCTGTATCTACCCGCCTTACCGCCACATTCAGTGGTCGAGCGATTATGCATCCGTGCAACTAAAGTTTAAGAGTCCATCATACGCCGCCCTCATGCCGTCATGTCATAGCCGCCAGATGAGGCGACCTCGCAAAGCAAACAGAGCCGCCAACACCGACAGCTCGCTCAAAAGATAAAAAGAGGGAGACGGATCCGTCCATTCCCCCCTGCCTTTTGCTCTGATACTTCAATATTCTGCAGAATAAGTCTATGCACTCTCATAAATATAACAAAGGCGAACAGTTTCAAAAACTGAAAACATATCCGCCGAGGTATCCCATCGAATCAGAATAAAAGAAATACGCCATCCATACGCCAGACATCTTTTCGTAACCTTCTCAGTCGAGATATAACGGCTTGAGAACCCAGGTGCCAGCTCGGCCTTGGCCGCCAGAGCGCTCGGCAATCGTCGCGATGGCCTCCTTGATTTCACTGCGTGAGATCTTGGCGTGGGCAAGCGCAACGTACGACAGATCGATCAGCCCACCCTTGGCGATCTTGGGGTTCGCCTGGATAACCTTTTTGAGTTCCTGCAAATGGTTGTTTTCCAGGAGCTTCTTGGGTAGAGATTGTGCGTTATTCTTGGCGCCCAGCGCCTGGAAAGCGTTGGCCGGCGTTGAGGATTCCGCCACAACCTTCTCCTTAGACGCCTTCTCCTTGGACGCCTTGTCTTTGGTGGCCTTGGCGGCTTTTGGCTTGGGCTCCGGTTCCCAGTACTTGGTCGAAAAGGGGTCGATGCCTGAGTGGCGGTCGAGGCTCTCTTTGAAGGAAGTGTTAATGCGGCTTCTTGAACGGGTAGTGGGGTTTGGCTTACCGAGAATGAACTCCATCCGATGCTCGTACACGGTACGTACGGGCCCCATGCGCTTGCGATCCTCCCAGCAGAGACCGGTGCTGACCGGTTCGAGACCATTGGCACTTACATATCGAGCGGGACCAGTGTCCTCTGAATCGTCGAGGAACTCGTCCATGTCGTCATCGCCATCCAAGTCCTCCTCATCGTCGTCGTCGATGTCGACGTCTTCTCCCTCGCTCTCCCACTCAGCTTCCGAGTCATGGTCGTAGTTGATAGGCATCAGGTCGCGGAGGGTCGGTTTTCGTGCGAGTCGCCGCATGCCGTCCTTACCAGCCTGATAGGGTCTGAGAGTGACGGTTCCTTTGTAGGGTGGGCGTACATCCTGCCAGAATCGCAGGGTCTTAATTGGGATATTTCTGAGGGCATCCGTGGTCTCCTTCATGATGGCCTTCTTGTCTTCTTCGCTTGCACCCTCAGCCTTTTGTGTGAGTTTCCGCATTTTCTCTACGGTGTATTTGACGGGCGGATAGATTCTGCCACGAGGTGCGGGGCGGCTGGGCAGTTGAAGGGCCTCGACAGGGTCGAAGTCGCCCTTGCGAATTTCTTTTGTTCTCTTGCCTTGGAAGAATTCCTCCAGTATTGTCGATTTGGCGACTTGCGTCTCCTCGTCCATCTCAAAGGGGCTCTTGGCCATGCGGACCGTCTCGTGAACGAAGAAAGGCTTGAATCGCTTCTCATATTCCGACTTTTCTTCTTTTGCGGCTGGTGATTTCGTCGAGTCTGCAATAGGAGCCTTGACGGGGCTTTCGGTTTTTGTGCTGGTAGCGGGTGTCTCCTTTTTCGGAGTTGCTGGTGTTTTTGAGAAGAATGAGATGAGCTTTGGTTGAGCACGCTCCTTCTTCTCCTTTTCCTCGCGGGCCTTCCGTTCCTCTTCTTCCTTCTTGCGGCGTTTCTCATCTATCTTGGCCTGCTTCTCGGCCTCGGCCTTTGCCTTTTCGGCCTGCTTAGCCTGTTTTTCCGCGTCGACCTTTGCCTTTTCGATTGCCTTTGAAATCTGCTTCGCCTCCTTCAGTTCCTCACGCTCCTTCTTCTTCTGTGCCTTTTCCCTCTCTTCAGCTTCTTTCTCTGCGGCGGTACGGCGCTTTCGCTTGGCGGGGGGCTGAGCTGAGGTCTTGGATGCCGAGGCGGGAGGTTTCGAGGCAGCGGTGGCCAACTTGTCTGAAGCGGCCTTGGTCGGTGTAGCGCGAGGAGATGGTGAGCCTCGAGGCGGCGTGCAGGTGCCGATGTCGCTGAGAGGAGAGCCTGGGCTACTCAGGGGAGAGGAAGAGACACGTGCGATGTCGACGTCGGGAGTCATGGCTATGCAGGTATTAGTAAAGTCCATTCTGCAGGCAATGTATCCTGCACCGGCAGGAGAGGTGATGGTATTCCCACCTTTGCTCGTGTGGAACTGTCTGGCTGGCTCGGTGGCCTGTTGCTTGACGCCAGCATCAAGGCCACGATCTTCAACGGTGACCTCATCACCGGAGAAGTCGTCGTGGCTTCTCTTCAAGGCGTTCGATTCCATTTCTGTCCGTCGCTGGGTAGTTGACGGGAAACTGAACAGAGGCATCTGACAGTTGGAGAGCCGCAGATATCGCGACCGTCGCTCGAGGACGCTGTGTGGTGAACTGACTCGATTGTTGGGTTGTGGGGTGTTGGAAGGGGAAATCTCCAATTGATTCAGTAGCGGAACCAAGGCCAAACAAAAGTACAATAGAATTGGCCGATTCGAGGATTTCTTTCACGGGATCTAGTATTTGGACATGGGTGTTGCCGTCGGAGTCGCCAAAAAATCAACAGCGGCAGCCGGACAGCTCGAAATAGTGAATCACGAAAGTAGCCACTAACGGGCGTGTTGAGGGTTGGGAAGCGTTGTTCCTGGTCGAGACGCGAAGGACGCGTAAATTTGGCGTCAGGCGAGGCCGGGGTCGTGTTAACGGGCCGGTGGGCAGGAACGGTGGTAAAGAGGGAGATTAGGGGTCGATTAGGGGGGGTTGATGAGTGTGTTAAAGAGGTACGTACCTACCAGCACACGGTATACGCGTGTTGATTGAGATGAAATGAGGGCAGCAATTGAGTTGATAACTGTCAATTAAACAATTTAATAGCATTCGCAGACCTCTAATAATCATTAGAACAACCTTTTTCATCAAACAATATTATAAACACTCAGGAAAAGAACAGCATATCAAACACAAAACCATGTTTAACCGTGTCCAAACCACAAACCAATGTTCTCCAGCGTCTTTTGTCTCGCACTAACAGACCACATTCGTCAATGACGCGACCCCACCTCGTTGTCGATAAGATAAGCGAGACATGTCCCGCTGTGGCTGACCAACCCATGCCGCGCCAAAAGTGGCTGTGACAATCACACTGTGGCTGAGCGGCAATGTGGGGGTTCAACAATCCCTCCACCTTATTTCCGCCCACCCACATCCACTCCGAGCCCTTCACACTTGGAGAAGAGCACAAAACGCACGAACCCAAACATTTGATGGGGGCCTCCAAAGCGAGGCAAATGGGCGGAACCACTGGGCTAATGGGAATAGCGCAGGGCCGGGAAACAGACACCAAAAAAAGGACAATACGGAGTGACCCCACCACCTCGGGCCTAATCGGTCTTGGCTCAAGTCAGAACGTTACATCATGATGCCATACCCTCTCTGTCGGAACCCTGTCCCTCCTTCGGAGCGGACGACAGCAAACGGAGGGGCGCGAAAAGGGAAAAAAAAAGGAAAAAAAGGAAAGATAAGGAAACTAGGGGTTCTCTAGGGTCCCTTTTTAGCGGAACACGAGATGATCGACGAGATAAAACCAACACGCCCAGGCGACGACGCAACCCTAAATGATGCGATGGCAACCAGGCAACCTGCTAGTATACATGGAGTAGTTCTATCTACTGCTTGGGATCAGTTATCCATGTTCCCGCCGAGGAGAGGAAATGCACATCAGAGGGTTGGTTGTTCAGGACAGGGTATATCCGTAGTTTCAAGGACTAATGCCAGGGACCGCATAACACACAGACAGATACGAATACCGATAGAGCCGCCTCGCTCAGTTTCCCGAACCAGCCTTCCCTGCACAACGATATACCATTGCGGTGAGCGAGGCTGACATGGTCCTACGTTGTATACTAATGTACGGCCGGTCAAACAAAACAACAAAGAAAGAGGGCCGACGTTGCGAGATCTACAACCTCACGTGCTCGTCATCCCCCACTTCCAAGAGGAGAAATGTCGAAAACGGCCCCAGTAATGGGCCGATGAAGGTGCTACTCACGACATCCAAAAATGCAACAGAGCATCCGTTACCATTTCCCTCACCGACGAAAAGTCTAAAGCACGGGGCTTCAAAGACTGCGGGAAACGTAGGGATCATGATACCTATTTAGCTTCGATTATCCCCATGTGGGAGTTACATTTTCCAATGGTAACTGGCAACGTTGCAATATAGCACTGCTACTATCACTGCTGAAGCAGCTTGGCTGACAGCTTCAAGAGTCGCGCGGGGGGGAGCTATCGTCTGTGTTATGATCGCCCAGTGCTATGTTTGGAGCAATGTCAAGCGCCAAAAAAAAAACCCCAAGAGGGTAGCACTGCAAGCGGCTCACCACATGCTCAACACCAACCCCCCCTCATGGCGCTTACTACATAGTACTTGACTCAAACCCCCCCGCCAGAAAACGATCAGGGAGAGAGAGATGTGAGGCGGATGAGGCTGAGGAGGGGGGCATAATTCACCCTGATAGGTTTCCAATCGCGCCAGAGACTTCAACTATGCAAAGACACCCCCAAGCGCAAGTAAATCAAACTAAAGGACTGTGCCCCTCCCCTCCTCCGCCAGAGCTGCCCAGGCAAGTAAGTAGTTTACCAGGGCTGACAGGACATAAAACGTCGGAAACGGAGTGCGGCTGAAAGGTTAAAAAAAAAAATAAGAGGCATCGAGACTAATCTCGCCCGGGGTTTCTATCAATTAGCCTTTTCGTGTCAGGGAACATGTCCTTCATCGGATTCGGGCTTGGCAGGGCTCCTTTTTTTTCGGGATTCACACCCTGGGATTCATTTCCCTTACAACTTTTGTCACGTCTCTGGCGGATAGCAAAGTGTTGGCAATGGCAATTGGCCCAGGAATGGCTTTTCATATTCGAGCATTTCGAGCTCCATCCTCTCAGTATTGTCTGTCTCACTTCTCTCTTTTTCTCTCTCTTCCTCTCTCTCCCCCAATCATCTGGGGTCTCTGAACCGTGGTATCATCCTCCCTTTCCCAATGTTCCTTTTTGTCTTCTCCCTCCACCTCCGCCGGAACCGTCCCCTTTTGTATTTCCCCTCACTTTTTGTCTTGCCCGCAGATTAAGAATGGTCCCAAAAAAATAGACTGGTCCATCGTGTGAGGAGCATAGCATGTGCTCTGGAACAATAAACAATTGCAGTAAACAGAATATGCGGAAAGAAACCCGTGGGTAGCGATCGTAGTTTACAGGGAAAAAAACGTAGTGTGGGAATCTCTCGACAATGAATCCAACCCTGACACTCCCGATATAAAAACCTCGTGTGTGGTCTCGGGACGGCCTCTGTATGGTATCATCCCACCCAAAGCCCAGTTAACAGGGAAAAAAAGACAAAAAACGCCATTGTGATGCAGAGTTTGTGACAGCAAGAGGAAAGTAAAGCAGCGCCCCTTAACGACCGAGTGTGTTGCCTCCGGGGGCATTCGTACAGTTGTGACAAGCGAAAAGATGTAAAAATGTGGTTCGGATTTCGAGGCCGTCGGGGTCCATCCTGTGGACATGGAGTGAAAATGTAATTCGGCCTTTGTGGTGTTTGTTGCGGTAGTGATGGCTCTTTAATCGGGGTTGGCAATGTAAAGACGGCCTCCCGTAAGCGTCGTGGTGCGCTCGTCGACGCTTCCCCTCCTACGGAGATCATCGGCGCCCTTGACGCTCTTCTCGCGGGTAATGTTGGAGTGCATCAGCGAGTTGCTGGCCAGCCGTGCCGCGTTGTTGCCCAACTCTCCCAAGTTATCCGCCCTCTCGGCGCTGCTGCCAGACGACCCCGTCGTCATGGCCTTGCCGCTAGCGTTGTCGCCCAGCGTGTCCTCCTTTTCTTCGACCAGGCTGCCGGACCTCTCGGGGGTGTCGCCAGGGCTCCATCTTCTGCCGCTGCCGCTGCCCAGCCCGGTAGACGTCCTGTAGCCGGGACCGCGACGGCTCGCGGTACTGCTGCGGCCGCTGCTGCCGGTGCGGCGGTGGTGTAGGCGGGGGTCATCGTCGTCGCTGCTCTCGGCCTCGACCTCGGTGGCAGAAAGACGCATAGGCACGCCGCCGACACCGATGTGATGCTCGCCAGGGGCGTAGCCAACGACTGCAGGCTTGCCATGATGGCGGATTTTTGCGGCTACCTTGCCAGTAGCAGAGATGCCGGTGCTGGTCCTGCCGCTTGGAGCGGACAAGCCGGAAGATGGGCGCTGGCCACCTATGACCTCGAGTGTAGCACGCATCTTGGCAGCGCGCTGCTGAGCTAGCAGACGGGGATCCTCATATTGGGCACGATCGCACCAGACGGTGGCCTTTTGCTTGCGGAGGAGAGCAACGTAGCCCGTGGGCTGGGGGCTGCCACCTCCGGATCTCGACGAAGTAGAGCGACGGAGATCGTTGGTGGGAGATGTACGGTAGGCGGCGGGAGGAGCCACGCTCGAAGCTGTACTAAAGGTATTCACCGAGGGCGATCGGCGGGTATGTTGTTGAGGGTTGCCTTGGGCCTGGGCCAGATGCATCGGTGTCGGGCTCTGGATAGCGAGAGGGAAGGTATTTGAGGAGACGGTGCGGGTGCGGGAATGGGAGTAAACAGCGGACGAGTCCATGTGCTGTTGACGCCTACTCGCCGAAGGGTCTAACATTGTGACGAGGGTATCGCGAGACTATATGACGACGATGTTGGACAGAGGGCAGACAGACAGACAGACAGACAGACTGAATGCTGCTGCTGGTGTTTGTGGAGGAATGGTGAATGTGCTTCCTCTCTTCGCCAACAATCCCAGTGGTGACTGATGGGTTATATACTTGGTATATAATGTGTCACCCGCCAACTATGGGAAGGGAACAAGAGGTAATAGTTGGCTTGGTGGGTGTTGGTGATATTGTTGTTGTTGTTGTTGTGAGGAAGAGGAGGGAGTAGGAAAAAAAAGAGGAAATGGTCGGGCTGACAAGAGGTTATTAGGAAGCTGGCCTTGGGGTCGTGCGAGTAAGGTACGTTTCGCAGGTTTTGACGGGGCGCCGATTGTTGAGGGGTGCGGTAACAGCTTCAGCTATGCTCTGAGGACCACACCGGCGCAGTGGTACTTGGTGCTGGTGCTGGTGCTGGGTGCTTTGGGTGCTTTGGGTGCTTTGGGTGCTGAAAGTGCGTAATGACAGCCCAAGAATAATGGCGGCTAAGGTACACAGACAGGGCCCTTGGGCAGGGGGGGGTGTGCTGTGTGCGGAGGGGAGTGGGCGGGAGGAGTGGGAGCAGGAGTGGCAGCAGGAGTACCTGGAGGAGTGCCAGTAAAAGTACCCGCCAAAGTAACGGGAAATCTGCCAGGACAAGTGCCTGTAAGACTGCCAGTAAGAGTACCAGCGAGAGTGGGTGCGCTTGTCGGGAAAGCCGAGAGAGAGAGAGAGCAACCCCCCAAGCTAAGAAGCCAAGCCACGCCTGAGAGGGAACCGGCGGGACGGATTGCGGATGGGGGTTCTTTTCTTTTTTTTTCCCTCTTTTTCTCCCCTCTACACTATCTTGCTCTCAATCTGACGCCTGGTGCAGTGACCGTGGCCTTGCTTGTCGCGCTAGTAAGGGGGGAACCCAGCTGAGAGAAGATGGGCAAGGATACGGGAGGGAGCGGCGAAAGAAGAGGCGGGAGGGTCTCGGGCTTCTCTACTTTTGCTCGTGTCCGTTTTGTTCTTTCGGAGGCGGCTACTGCACAGTAGTACTAAATAAGGCGACCCTCAGTGGAGCACAGACGAAGGAAGAGTCGGCACCAGAAACCGTCGAGCGTATGTGTGTGTGTGTGTCCCCGACTCGTCGTCAACGATGCCAGTGGTGATGATGGAAGGGAGAGAGAGGAGGGAGAGACCCGCAACACACAACGGAGGGGAGCAGCCTTGTTTTGTTGTTGTTGTTGTTGTTTTTTGGAGGTAGCGGAGAAAAGGAGGAGAAATTTGTAGTGGTGTTGTTGTTATTGTTATTGTTGTTGATGATGTGATCCCACACCCAAGATAAGGCAAGGCAAGGCAATGCAAGAGAGACAGCCACAAGACACTGGGCCTCAAATAAGCAGGTCAACTGGGAGGAGAGATGAACTACTACTAGATATGTAAAGAGAGGGGGCGGAGAGGAGGGGAGGTAATGGAGGGGGATGAGGGACAGACAAGCCACCACCAAGAACAAGTAATAAGCAACAATGGCGGCGACAACGACCCAAGAGGTGGAATGAAAGGCCAGGACGGGTTAGCAGGCCGAAAGGGACTTGTACAAGAAGTTCTTGTCTTGGGGGGGAGCAGCCTAAGTAATAAGGGGGGGTGTTAGATATCGGCGGCGGAGAGATGCAGATGGGCCGGCAAGATGAAATGGGATGCAATGCCATGCAGAAAAGACCACCAGCAAGACCGAATTGTGACGACTGAATGTGACGGCCAAACAAGCAGCTTTCTCTCTGTGTACCACTTAGTATGTATCTATCCCAGTCGCCCACTTCCTTCACTTTCCTCAAGAGAGAGAGAGGGAGAGTGGGATGGGCTGAGAAACATGGGCCACGAACAGGGAATAGAGACAGGGACAGGCCGCCAGCACAACACCCAACACCAGGCTAGGACAGGCCATGAACGAGGTGACAGGGTGACAGGGGTCCCGGTCCAACGTTGCATGCGCCCGGGGCAGCTCTTTTGCTTAGCGTCCCCGTTATGCTGCTGGAGACTAGTACGGGAGTACATAGTAGTAGGAATGGAATACATAGTGTACTGCTCTGTATCTTTGCGAGTACTAAGTACTATGTAGGAAAAGGTGTGGCCATCGAGGTGTGCGCTGCCTCTCCGCCTCTATTGGCTGGCTGCCGCCGTAGCCTTTTCTCTGTTCTGCTTCTTCCCTCGTCTCCTCACAGACTGCTTTTGTCTCTCTTTGGCCGGTCACGTCAGATCATTGGATGTGGGCTCTCCCTCGTTGTGCCTATCCATGTATGAACGATCGTTGTATGCATATGGAGAACACCTCCACTCGCTTGTCAGTCTGCGGCGCTGCGGTCGCTTTGTCGTCGTTGTCGTCGTCGTCGCTGCGTACTCTCACCACTTGCCTGACACTGGGAATGGAATCATGTCTCCTAGCCTGCGCATATTTACCGCAGCACACATACACCTTGTGACTCTCCACTCAACATGCTTTTCACCATCTGACAACCTGCACGTAACCGCCTACCCGGGCCCCCGAACTTCCGGATTGAACCGGAGGCTTGACTCCTAAAGTCCTAGCTACTAGTACACCCATTCTCAACCACCGTAGCAATAGTTCCGATCAATCTTCCATCACCATCAAGCCCCCCTCTTGTCCTTGAAATCAGGAAATCAAGAAATCAACTCTCTGACACTATCTACCACGGATACTCTAACCCCCAAATCTCGATCGATCATGATAATCCACCGAGAACTAATGCCCTTCCACCCCCCGTTACCCCCCGTAGCGTCAGCCCGGAACAGGCTCAAGGCGAACCAGGGCCCCGAGCTAGCACCACCACCTCACGCGGGACGCCGTGACAATCAGGACGCGGCGGGGCCAATCACACCAGTCTGTCGGCGGCTGTTGATGTAATGCTTCTTCAACTTGTGGCCGACGCTACGGACACGGCTCCAGCACCTTGGACCTTGACGGGGGGGGGGGGGAGGCTCCAGCATAGAGAGAGAGAGGCGTTGGCCGCTCTCGCGCCGTCTACTGGCAATGGCAATGTCTCCGGCCGGAGCAAACAGAAAGTCGATCATTGATCTTCAACGCCGCTGTGCTACCATCTTCCCATGCTTATGCTGTAATGATCTCCAGGGCCTTCATTTGCTGCCATGTTTCTTTTTTCTTTCAACCCGACTGTTGGATGACCTTGCCTTGCCTTTGCCGTCCGTCCTACCCTAGTTCTGTGGTTCCCTAGTGTTTCCCCCCCCCTTCTGGTCCCTGTTTTTTCTTGTTCCTAGTCTTTACTTCATTCATCCTCCGCCCTTCCCTGTTTTGGGGACCGCCCGCGAGATCGGATCGGTGTGCATTTGTCACTGCGCGTTGAGCCATCTACTCCCCCTTTGCAAGTTCGCCGGTTTCTCTTGGAATCCTTCAAATGAACTTGCCTTGGACCCCCCCTTGCTTCGTTTCGCGTGAGCGTTATGCGGGGGATGGTGTTGTCGGTCAGACAGTCGAGTTGATCGACACTCCAAGGCCGATTATGCCAGCATCAGGTCCCCCGAACCAGCGCAGCCCCAACCAGAAACTCCTGTGTTGTCCCACGTACATTGAACAACGCAGGGAACAAACCCGTAGTTAGTGATTGTGATGTAAGATGCGCGGCCATTGCCCGGCCGCACTCGCGTTTAGTGGTGTTGGCCGCTTTACCGGGCGATTGATCCCGGGCCAATATCGCTTAAACAACTATGACAGATGACATCTTTGCCCGTCCCTCGCATTACCTCAGATCATCTCAATTGGACGTGGAGAACGCTGTGCCCTCTTGGCTTCTGATGAGAGGGGAAACCGAGGGACACTAGCAAAGCTAGGCGCACCAAAGACCACATCTCCGGTTGACATGGCTGACCATGACACACGAAACGACTATAGTCGTACTAGAGGAACTTCAACGTCTTGTAACCCCCTCCGGCCGGACATGTTTGTGTGTAATGATATGCAGCTGTATAGTCGTACAAGAACCACCAGGGCAAAAGCAAAAAGTGTATAGTCTCAACGTAATCATCAGCAATTGGGCCCTCCCCGGATAGGTGGCCCCCTGATGCAGCGCCAATGCATGCCAATATTCAATATCACAAACCCCCCCATTGCAAACTAGCACTTTCACCGTCTCGGACTCCAAAACGGCCATCTTTCGTTTTTTGTTAAAACAAGGCTCGCCGGAATGATACCACAAAACCTCACCAACAAAAGTCTCCAAAACTATGAGCCGCCTGACCCGGGACCACAGTAAGGGACACACACACACACACACACACACACACATGAAATACATGGTACCACGCCTAACAAAGCCTCAGCCCATATCTAATGCAGCCATCTCGCCTTACGTGCATGCACTCCACAGCCAATACCAACATGTGCCAGGGCCTCAGGGGAAGCAAGGAGGAATATGCGGGCGCGTCAAAAAGGCACAATCATCCCGATTCGAGTCCGCCTCACGCTACTTCTGTACGGATTCTACTTCTTCAGGTCCCCCACAGATTTTCAATGTGGAGAACACCACCCGTGGGTTTTGTTATCCGGTGAGAGTGCACCAAAGGAGGCCAAGGGCCCCAAATATTGCCGTCACCGATATGGAGAACGGGTCCGAAGGAGTCGGGGAGGCGATATCAAAGCCCTGGCAGAAGAGGATTGGAACTAAAGAAAAGTCGCCTCCGAAAGGGGAAAAAAAAAAAGGTGGCCAAACCTGCCAAACCGCCAAGGGACCCACGATCCGGCCGTCCTCCGAGTTATCGACTCTCAAGACTCTTGGCTATCCCGGGTCCCCTTTCGCAATCATGTCCACTTTAATACCCATCCGAACCTTTTGGTGATCAATCTCCGCAACACCTGGTTTGGTTTTTTTTTTTTTTTTTCTTCTTCTTCTCTTGCAAGTTGCCCCTGGGTTTTCCCCTTATGATCTCAGCTCAATGGGCTCTGACGTGTATTGTTGTT